CCCGAGACAGCCCTGGAAGAAGAAAAGAAGGGGTTAGCCGCCCTGTGATTTCTTTTTGTGCAAACACATTTTGCTCCTGTTTTCGTCTTGTCACGGCGTCTTTCCTTTCGCTACGGGAACGGCTTGTGCCGCCGGACAGACGCGGCCCGCCGTCTGTTGCCTCGCCCTCCAAGTATGTATTGGAGCGAGCAAGAAGACGTGAGCGGCAGCGGCAGCAGCAGTATCAGCAGCAGTATCAGCATCACGTCGACAAAAAAAACCCAACCGTGCCATGCTTGCCTCGGATATTGGGAACCGGCGGGCCGGGGGGCTGTTGCATGTCGCGATGATCCCCCTTCCCTGCCTTCCAATCAGCTCGACTCTTTTCATTCTTCGTCGTCTTTGATTAGGTAGCAAGAGTCGAGGGAGAGGCCCGGGGTCTGGCTGCTCCATCTCGGTCTACGCAGGACCGGGATCTGGCGGCCAACAGCCGCGGGATTGCTCGCCGTGGGCCGGCGTGCAGAGATGGGGGGGCAAAGGCCGTGATGGAAATGTCGATTCTCAGCAGCTGCATGCATGTAGGCAATGTCTCTGCGCCAATCCTTGTGTTGTTGCGTGCCGGCATGTGCTCCGTTGCACCGGCCAGATTGCGGCTGGGCTCCCCGAGGCTCCCCGAGGCTCCTCCCCTGTTAACAGCCGTGGGCCATGCTTGAAGGGTTAGGGATTAGTTAACTAACTAGTAGTAATAATTATTGGCTGCAACTCTGCCCGTGTCTGCATAGCTGCCTGTACTCGATACAAAGATTCAATGACAACCTCGCTCGTCATGGTCGCGAGTGAAAGACGCGCAATGGCCACAAGGGACAATAGCGCCGTCGTGCCATTGATGGATGCCACGCACCCGGCCGTATCCAACCATCATCCCCCACCCACCTTTCTCCATCTTCTTGCGTCTGGTTGCCCGCGGTGGGAAATGTGGCCTCGAGGAGGAGCCGTGCGCACGAGGGCGAGCGAGGCCATTCATCCGCCGCAAACCCTGCTGCTTTGAATAGACTGCTGCGACTGCTGCCGCCCACCCGTTGGGGCGCGCAACATGTCCTTCGTTTTTTGGCTTTGACGCATCTCGCCCGCAGCAGATGAGGCATTGATTGATTGAACTGAGGCAGCCGAGCAGTGCGGCCCCTCCCCCCCTTTTTCCCTCATATCGCCATCAACCGTCAACCATCAACTCGTCTCGCCGACTTGTCTCGTCATGATGCGCCGTGGAGATGGGCGACTTTGATGGCCACCCAAGAACCCACCTACATGGAGACGACCGCCATGCAGCAGCAGCAGCGCATCTTATTATTACATGGCCATGTATAGTACCGCGGGAAGGGAGTGACGAGGTGGTATTCCAAGCTACAGTACCTACAGCCCCTCCCTCAGTGGCCCCCTCTCTCTAATAGTGGTCCCCTCTCCCTACTAGTGGCCCCTCCCCAAAGTGGTTCCCTCAGTGGGTGGGGAGCAGCCTGAACCGTGATCCACCGTCACCACACCCCGCCAGTGGGTGGGCCCCCACGATGCTCCAACAGACCTCCACTAAGACGGGGGCGAGCTTCAACCTCGTAGCTCTCCGCGACACGCGTCGGCGTCCATCGTTCAGGGGCCAGTGGCTACTGGCTTTCCCAACGCCAGCGGCCTTCTCTCCTCGCCCCCCCCCCCTCCCCCCACCACGAGGCCTCGCTCATCTGACGTCGGTGGAGGAGGTGTTTTACAGCATCTCTACTATTACTCCGTAGCGCCTGTAGAGGAGACTGCCGAAGCCATGTACGGAGTATGTATGTAGTGGGCTGATGGGAGCGGCAGCTTTCGCCCCTCTTTCGCTTCTACACGACATAGCTCCATGACGAAGTTGATGATTAGCTTTGCCCTGTCCTGTGACGAGACAGATGGAGGGTTTGTTGATGACATGTCCCGTGTTGGTGCGGTGCATGTGTGCACATGGTTAAAAAGTAAGCGTTTTCTTGGTCTGTCTTTGTGCCTGCAGCAGTTCCACCCTGGCATGCAAACCCTACCTGTTGAGTTGTCGGAAACAAGGTCAAAGATCAGAAGTATATACGGCAGACAGCCCGTCAAACGAACAAAAGCGCAAAGCAAATCAATCCTCCGAGGCAATGGAAACTCAAAACCTCTGCAAAGGTACTCGGTAGACTCCCGCATGGTTCGTCCAGCCAGGCTCATCCGCTCCGGCTGTCCCCACCCCCACCCGCTACCCGCACCCTGCTGTAAGTCTCCTCAGCCCTTCGGAGCTAGCGCGGGTAGCGTGTACTGGAGGTACCTCGTGCTCGTGCCACCCCTGTAAGCTCTTTGGAGAATACGGTAGTTACGCGCGCGCTGCTTCTTGTTCAAGCTCCGTCGCCGCGGCGGCTGCTGCTGCGGCCCCACCTCGAGCGAGATAAAAAAAGAAGTCTTTTTGATTGTGAAAGCTTGCCGAGAGGCAGCTGTTGCGCATGCGCCGGTCCATGTTGTCGTGTCGTGTCATCCGATGGGCTCAGACAGGCACGCACTTGCGAGTGAGTGCCTCGGCTTTGCTGTAAAAACGCATGCACGCCATGGAAAAACCTCGCATGCTGTACCAGAGATCCCGTTGCAGGGCCCCTGCCCATCTGTCTGTATCTGTCTGTATCTGCCTATATCTGTCTGTATCTGCCTATATCTGTCTGTATCTGTCTGTATCTGTCTGTAGGTATCTGTCCGTAGGTATCTGTCTGTCCATGCTCAGGCCCTGCGGCAAGCGACGCTAGCGCCAAGGAGGAAGTGGCAGGAGATTTTTCCACCGTGTACGGAGTAGGTAGGTAATTATTTAAAGATGTCGACATGCGTAACCACACGCCCCCCTCCTGTGCGACACAGGAACAGAGTGTGTCCTGCCTCGCTGTTGGGCTACGGCATGTACATACATACGTACACGGAGCGAGTGCGGCCCTGATTCGCGGGCGGCTGATCCGCCCCGGCGCATGTATCCTGTACCAGGGTACCCGCTGGCCAGTACATGTGCCAGAGCATGCGTCGCACCAGGCAGGCACGTACCCGCTGTCCCGCATGGCTGTACCCCGTGCCCGCAGAATGCTCCGGCAGAGGCACGCGTCCATGTACACCCAGACAGTCGAGACTTTGGGAAAGAGAGAAGGAGAGACCAGGGCCCTTTGGGGGTTTGGGGGGGCTAGTAGGCAGAGAGGGCAGGAGGAAAAAAAGAAGGTGCGGCCAGTAGAGAGGGCCAGTAGAGAGGGCCAGTAGAGAGGGCCAGCAGGGAAGACACAAGGTAGGTAGGTAAGGTATACATGGAGCGTTTGAAGAAGACGTCTTTCCCTCGTGTGTCCGGCAAAAGGTGCCTCGTCTTCTTCATCATCGGCCCTCGTCATTAGCATCACCACCACCCGCCGGAACTCGCTGCACAAACGACGACGACGCCAGGCCGGCAAGCACCTCGTCCACGCCCCGTCTCGTGGGAAACAAGACATCGACCGAAGCCGTCTGCAGAAGGAGAGGCGCCAGCAAACCTTATTATTCCTCGTCCCTCGCCTGTCCATTCTCCTCTGCCCGTCCATCGGGCTCTGTTGCGAGGTCCCCGACTAGCGGCGACAGACGACAAAGGTGTTTTAGACTTTGGTCCTTATTGACGGCGACGACGACGACGACGACGACGAACCAGGACAAGCCTTGCCCTCCCCACAAGCTCATTGGGGTCCCGCGAGAGACCTTGCTGCCTTTGCCTTGCCTGCCTTGCCCGCCTGCCTGCCTGCCTGCTGCCTGCCTGTCTGCCCGCCCCGACCGCCCGACCGCCCGCCCACCTGGCTGGCTGGTCTGGCTGGTCCACCTGACTTGAACTTGACTTCGGTTGAGAATTGGCTTCCGAATAACGCAGAGAGAAGCTTTTTTTTCTCCTTTACCCTTTTCTCTGCCCCCGCCGCAGGCCAGGCGTGGGAGTCACCTCGTTTCTCCCCCTTCCATTTCGACACCGCCGCCGCCGCCGCCGCCTTGGAAGCGAAAAAGCCAGTTTCGGGACGCAAAAGCCATTCGGCAACAAGCCTTTTGCTTGATACTTTCCCCATCGTCTGGGAATCAGCACGCCTTTTGCTCTTTATAAATACATCCATTCCATTCCTTCCAGCGTCGTTCCTGAGCATCAATCCACCACCAGCCAACAGACAGCCACACAGCCTGGGACGAGCCGCACGCCTCGCTACGCCCTCTACCAAGCTTCCCTGTCTCTCACGCTCACGCACAACCAACACCACCGCCGTCGACTGCCCTCGTCGGCTTCGTCCCCTGCATCCGCATCGCCTCCCTGCCTTGAACTGCCAGCTGCCGCGGCACGTTGACGACAAGCCCAAGGCACGCAACCAAACACCCACCTGTTCATCCAGCGCCTCACGGTGCCAGCCGTCAAGTTGTAAGTCCATTTACTCTCCTTGTCTTGTCTTCCTCTGCCTTCCTCTGCCTCGGTGCCGCTTGAGAAGCCATGAAGCCCGCCTTTTCTTATTGCTGTCCGCCGCCACAAGCCCATCCCCTTCCTTCTTCCACCCCGGCAACATATATACACACACAGAACGAGGGTCCTCTCCCCTTGTCGCCTCATTCCTTGCCTACCTTGCCTGCATGCTCGGCAAGCCATCGTTCCCGGCCACTGCTACACAGCATTAAACCAGCCAAATCCTCTCCTTCTCTCCCTCTCCCACACCCCTCAGCCCTCTCCCTCTCTATACCATCTCGGCACTGTCTTCTCCTCTGCCGTCGTCTCCAAGGCAGTCGTAGCTTTGGCTTTTCAGAAGCCGCCGCCGCCGCCGCCGCCGCCTTCTCGTTGCTCATCGCCTCCACAACCGGGTATACTAACTGGATCCAGGGCTCACTACGAGAACAACAACTCCGGGTCGGACGGACTCGACCGTCAGGACGAGGAAGGCCACGACGAGTCATCTTTCACTTCTTCCCACCCTTGGCCCGGTGAACAATCCCGTCCACTGGTCCGGCTCTCCGCAATGGAGGCCACCAGCTTCTCGTCGCGCCGTGCGGCCGCGGGTTCCTTGCCCGCCTTTTCTCTTCCGCCCCCGACCTCAGATGTCCCCAGTATGGCCTCATCGCCCTCCTTTGGCCTTCTCTCGTGCGCGTCTCTGACCTCCTCCCCAGGAGCCAGCGACGGCCTCAGCCCCAGCCTGTCGAGCGTTCACACGGCCAGCTCCCAGGGCTCGCAGGCACACAGCACCAATATCCAGTACACCTACAGCGGCCCGGTCCAGGGCGGGTGGCCGACGCCCACCAGCTCGTCCTACAGCGTCAGCTCGGCCTCGCAGGCGCAACAGCCGCTGGGACCCTCACCCTATGGCGCCCGATCCTCGGCCATGTACGGCCAGCAGCCCCCCATGGGCTACGCCAACCAGCGGAGCTCCCAGTCCCCTGCGACGGGGGGGGACGTTTTGCCGGCGCCATCTTACGAGAGCGTGCATCAACCGTTTAGCACCTCCATGGCTGGTGGCGGCGGCGGCGGCGGCGGTGGCGGACCGGAGAGCCACCACCACCATCACCACCACATGTCTCCCGTCCAGGCTACACCCCACGCCGGCGCCATGCTGGCGCCTCACAACTCCACGCAGCCTCCCACGCCCAGCGCGCCGGCGCCCGTTGACCCCTACGCTCACTCGAGACCCCCGAGCAACCCGAGCTACTATGCCGCCTCGACCACGCCACAGCACTCGACGTTTCCCTCGTACGCTCCCCATGGCGGCCACTCGCATCCGTCACCGACGGGCGCCGCTGCCGCTCATCGGGGCATGGGCTCCCTATCCGGATCCAGCATGGGTCCGCCTCACGGCTCCTACAGGACCTTCGGTGCCTATTCGCACATGCCGCCGACGGTGAACGGGCCCGTCATGTCCAACATGCACCATCCCGGCACTCAAATGTCCGTCATTTCCGGCATGGGCATGTCGACGTATGCCCCTCATCCCATGATGTACGGCCACCACAACCAGCCCCAGCCGCACTCGGAGCGCCCCTTCAAGTGCGACCAGTGCACCCAGTCGTTTAGTCGCAACCACGATTTGAAGCGGCACAAGAGGATCCACCTGGCCGTCAAGCCCTTTCCTTGCAACTTTTGCAGCAAAAGCTTCTCACGCAAGGACGCTCTCAAGGTTCGTCCCCTCTGCCCCGGCCCTTGCTCCCGCGCCTTGCTGACATTTCCCGCAGAGACATCGATTAGTCAAAGGCTGCGAGAACAAGTCCAACGAGCACGGCGGCAGCTCATGCAGGAATGGGAACGGAGGACGAGGTTGTGCTAGTGGTAGTGGTAGTGGTGGTGGGTGATGCTGTTTGGTCCAACAAGGGGCCAGGGGGGGCGGATTCGCCACAACACGCCCCGTACACAGGTGCATGCTTCGAGGCACACACACACGCACCTACTCACTCACACAGCGGAGCGATGGATTGATTAATAAACAGATCGTCGATGGGCGGGGATATTGATACCGGCCTCTTGATCCCCTGCCTCTCGGGGGCCAGCTGGAGGAGAAGAAGAAGGAAGAGAGGCTACTGAGGCCAGGATCAAAGCTGGACAGCGAGGATGGGCTGCATCAAGACTGAAGGGGTCGTCAGGGTGTGTCGGTAGCGGTGGCCACACATGTATGCATCCCGTTGGGTCCATGTACGCACATAGTGTTGTTGTATGAGCGCGTCCTGATGCGTCTTTGCCCCTCCGCGGAGCGGGATGGCGCTTTCCGCCTGTACTATGTACCAAGGCTTCCTCGGTATGCTGCAATAATATCATGTACAGTACAGTATGCCCATGCGTTGATTTGGGGAGGGGGTGCCGGGGCCGGCCCTGTCCGGACCACGTCGCTTTACCACCGGCCTCTGATGGCGAATCTAGAGGCTGGGTTCCAGGGGGGGCGATACGAAGTGCACACGCGGACGAAGTGTGATTTCATTTGTCTAGTACTTGCCTTTACTAGGCGGTTTGCCGCGTATCACGGTGTCTTTGCCCTTTTTTGATTTTCTGATTGTAGGGGATGCTCATCATGACCGGCTCTGCAAATGTCCGCATCGTAATACTGTAAGCCCTGTTATGGACGAGTCCAGGCGGGACAGAACAGCTCGTCTGCATGTGACAGACGTCATGGCCACGCCGGTCTGTATAGCATTGTGTGGAAGCTCTGGGGCAGTGTGACGAGGCGGGTTGCCCCCTTATCCTTCCATGTCTTGAGTGCAAGTGTGTTTCCCCGGTTGGCCCATGTCTTTGGTAGCATCGGCTGCGTGACCCAACCGTCGAAATGGCTGCCATGTCCCTTGTTCTCCTTTAGTCTCGCCGTCTGCCGTCTTGTGGTAGGCTTGCTTTGCCGGGAAGGGGGCGGAGGCGGGAGGCGGGAGAGGGTCAGCCCGTCCCCAGATTCCTCCCTGCCATCGTCTCTCACCGATCTCCAAGGAGGAGGGGAGGGGGGGGTCGCTTTCTTTCTTTCTTTCTTTCTTTCTTCCTTGCCGTGCCTCTCCCGCCCCATCTCATCTCGTGCCCCGTCCACTCGGGCCTCGTCCCGGGCGGTCAGCACGCACCACCAGGGCCAGGCCAGGCCACCCGGCTCGGCACGGGTTTCCGAAGCCGTGCCCGGAGAGAGGTAGAGAGGGTGTGGGCGAGGGTGTGGGCGAGGGTGTGGGTGTGAGTAAGGCAGCACGCTGCTCCTCCATGCTCCATATCTATCTTTACATAGAGACATCTGTATCTGGACCGTGGGCCCCCCTTTTTCCGCAGCCCAACATTTCCTGCTTGCGGCCGGTGTTGAAGCCCCCCTCCTCTGATGCTGCGGCTCATGCCCCCCCCCGATGCAGTCTCTTCCGTAAAGGGGGCCGGGAGGAGCTGGTTGTTTGTCCATTGGTCTGGTGATCCAGATGCTGCAGGCAGGCGACATTTCGGTATCGTTCCGTCCTGTCTGTCTGGCTGGCTGGCCGTCTGCATGTAGGCCGTGCTTTGTACAAATTGTACTTGATGGGAGAAGAGTCGTTTCTCTCCCCCGTCCCCCCCCCCTGTTTGCTGGTGCGGATTATTATTCCTATACGCGGTGCAGGGTACTGGCGGGCCAGGGGAGCCTCAATGTCATGTTCTCTGATGCACGTACTGTATATTGCACGGGAAGCCGACTCGGCCGTAGAAATGAATACGGGGGGGTAGCGACTGGCACGCTCGTTCGATGCATGCCAGGAACCGGTGAGCAGGTCCCCTGGCCTTTTGGGAGCGGGCTTGTTGCGGCAACGCCCCTCCCTCCTTTCCCTCTCCCCTGCCGGGCCGTTGTCAGATGCATCGATCGCCCGGCTGCAGATTCGAGCTCCTTTGCCTCTTTCGGGGTTTATTATTTGTTTCTCCTTTTCTCCTGTGGTTTGTGCATGTTTGCTTCTTGACTCATTTGATTTCATTCGAAGCCTCGGCCAATACTTGATTTCAGTCAGACCCGATTCCCCTATCCCCTGCACGCTCGACCTCATCACGATGCCCTTTTCTCGTGCAACCCCAAGAGAGACACAGGCTTTTTTTTTCTCACGCTCAATACGATACGACACACACGCACACCCCCCCCCCCCCGAAGCCTCTCGGGCCCAATGGCCCCACGCCGCTGCCGGCCCCCCCGGTCGCCATCTGAGGATGCCAGTCGTCGAAATAGACTCGCTCCCGGATACCTGCATCTCGGATACGACTGTACCAGGCTCCTTGTATCTATTGGCGGTGGGTCTCGTCGCCCCTCTCTGCTTGGTCCTCGCTCCCCAACCCTGGGCTGAAAACGGGTCGCGGATGGGTGCATTGCAGGGGAGGGAGGGGGTGGGCGGGAGGATGCGGCCATGGTACGAATACATGCTCGCAAGGCGAAGAGGGCGAGATATGGACACAGAGAGAGGGGGGGGGGGACCGTTCAGTTCGGAACGCCTTGTCTGTGCATTCCGCGCGGCGCGTGTGTGTAGCTACTGCTCATGCATGGACAGACATACATCCAGTACTGTACATGTAGGATGCCGAGGTATGCACAGGCATATGTACATATGGACAGGGATCAGGCTGTGCATATATACCTATTGTAGAGGGTAGCACACATCTATCTGATGAGTTCGTGACACCCATCGTGAGTGTTTCGACGCCGTGCGTCTCCGTACATTGCACATATGTAAGCTTGACTCGGGAGGGGGGAGAATGGATCCGCTTCACATTTCCCACGCCCCCCCTCCTCGCAGTCGGGCAAGGCCACTCGACGACATGGAGACCGAGGCAACGGGGAAGCTGTGCCGCTCCACGAGGCTTGCCCGGATCGGTGGATGCCGTCGGATGGCCTGGGGGGACAGGGGCGTGGCGGTAGCCTGCGTCACACGGCAGGACGATGCGGGCAAACGTGTTGGTTCCAGGCATGAGCAGAGTGGCTTTGGGGGCTCACATGCACAGATAGAAAAAAACGAGTGAGTGAAAGGACATCGAGGCTTGCGGGAAAAGGGTTGGGTGATTGGGCGGTTGCATCGGGGCGAGATGGGATCTGCCTGGTCTTACCCCCCTAAACGCAGTCGATGGAGATGCGCCCTCTGGCATGGTAAGGGGGGAGGGCTGGCGCGTGAGAGAAGGTGCGTCGTATTACGTTTGACAATTCGAGCCTCGAGCTTGGCCGCCCGTCTATGCATGCATGTACATACATACATACATACAGGAGACAGACACCACTATCGGTGGCTTCATCTGGCTGATCGATCCCCCCCTTTTCCTCTTTGGTGGCCTCTTGTTACGCCCTCCCATTCAACCATGAACGGCTGGATGTCGTGGAGGGCGACTTGGTTCTCGCAGACTGTGTATGAATGGCGCGATGAACAATGTAGTAGTATCTGCGGGCAGCTCTGAAGAGGAACCAAGCATGCCCCCCCCCTTTTTGCCCCAAGAAGATCACGTCTTTGCTGCTTCCTTGTCGACCAAGCTACCCATCTCTCTGTGCAGGTTGAAGCAAGTGAGCGGTGGGTAGTCTGCATAGGGGCCAGAGTGTTTCACCGCAAGGCGTAAAATCATTCATTTGACCTAGGCACTATTCGCTGTTTTCTCAGAGGAGCCAGTGTTCTCCTGCGACGTGGCCGTGGAACTGGAAAGGAGGAGAAGGGGAACACGTGTCTTCCGCACTCCGTAGTCTTTCCCCAGTCCTGCTTGGGTAGATGGCAGAAAGGCGCCGGTCAAGGCGTACGCGAGACCCTTACAGAGCATCATCCCCGGAATAGGTAGACGGTTTGCCAGTCTAGACACGGCCAGGGTGAGCCTTTTCTACACTGCAAACGCTCGCATGCTGGTAGCCACCGGCGTGTTCTCGTAGGAGGGCTCGGAAGGTGCCAAATAGGGGCCCCCCCTGGAAACTGTATTTTTACTTACCCGGTGTCTCTGTCGACTGAGATGTATACTGCTCCGATTCTCTACCGACGCTTAAGTACTTTGTGTGTCTATGCTCTTCATGATTGCTGTTGACACGGAGGGCTGCTGTTGGGACTACACGTGGCTGTCTTCCACCCAGGCCATCGAGGACGAGTTTGATTCCCGCCGTCGTTGTTGGTTCATGTCGACTCCATCGTCAAGGTTACTGATCTCCCCAGGATCCATCCCCTCGCAAACCGCAAGTCTTCCCCCAAAGCTCCATGATTATGGACCCGTGGCCGTCAAAACCCCCAGCCTGGTGGCACGAGATGCAGCGCCGTCTATGCGTGCCGCCAAAAAGCCCGATGGCAAACGACATCACGGATTCAAGCCGAGCATGGGCGCCGGCTCGTCGTGCCCGCGAAAGACTGGGACTGGCAATGACCAGAGTTTAATTTCTCAGCCCCCTGGACATATACACGTTCATCCAGGAAGAGACCCCGGGATTCCCCATGTCTCGGAGAAGAAAGGCCATGACGACGGAGGGGAGACGCGGGTGGAAGGCTTGCCGTCCATCACATGGCCAATTCGGGCCGAGGTCCTTTCGCAAGTGTACACGTAGGTTCAGGGGCTTCCTCGTCCGATCCGAGCACGGATACAAGATGCTGAGGTGCTACCCGGTGAGGGGCTGGATCGTCCTGGGTCACATTTTCCCAAGATCCCCCACAATGCACCATGAACTTCTTCGCGCACCTCTTCTCAGCCGAGGGGGTGGATGGCGGGAAAGCAGCTGGCCAGCTCGGCAGGGGGTAGCGGACAGGCCGGCGCCCGCCCCATTGGCGCCTGCACCCCGGCACGAGCAAACCAAAGGCAAGGAGGGTCGTCGTTCAAGTCGGCGCGCCTTGCTGTCCTCCGAGAGCCTCGGCTGGACTAGACGGGCGACCGGCATCGAGGCTCGCCCGTTGAATGCATGTCGTCTTGTCTCGGCGGCGTTTACCGGGAAACGTGTCGAGGTCGGGGATGACGTGGAACGCATGATGAGCAAGATGGATGCTACGCCCCATGCCACAAGGAGATGAGCCTGCATTTGATGGAAGCGGGACTGTTCTCGGGTCGACTACTTGCCGCAGCTGCCTCGGAGGACAGGACCAATCGTTGTGGCCATGGTCAGCTCGTAGGCCCAGCCTTTCCGGAGCGCGCGCATACGAGGGGACTGGATGGTCTTGGCTCCCATCGAAGACTACATTGAGCTGCTGCCGGTGCCAAGGTCTTCATGGGGTGGGCGGCAGTCACGCCATGCACCTCATATTGCCAAGCGTCCATGCACGTCACCGGCGATCTGGCCAAGAGGAGATGGAAGCGGCGGCAGAGAGACGGTGAGAGCGGCCGTCTGTGGCTCGAGATACCGGTAGCTTAGTCGTATGGCAGGGGGGAGAAACGGAAAGGAGGTGAGTCGGAGCCATCTTGTCCAAGGGCTTGCGTCGCTCGAGACTTGGCCGTTGCTGTGTTGGTGACTGAGGCGCGTTCCTGTCGAGAGCTGGTCCGCGCGGCATTACTAGAAACTGGCTTCTCTGCCCGTTGATCCGGGGCCCCCTGGTTGGGCACTTGGACGGCCGAGCCACTTGCAAGTCGTTTGAAAGCCCTGGTTTGAAAATCGGAGGAGACGGCTGGCCTGGGGACGGCCAATATGAAGATGGCTTTCACAAGCAAGCGAGAGAGCCTAAGCCCTTGCATCGAGATAAACCACGTTCAAGAACACAACGTCAATAAGTTTATTCTGGACTGGCCGAGCCAAAGCAGATGATCCCATGGCCTCTGCAACATATTTTCCCCGTTGCATCACGCCCAGCAAGGAGTGCCGTATTGCCCACGGGGGGGGAGCATTAAGCCACGAGTCCAAGTGACTTGTCCTCGACCAAGAAGCCCAACGTTGGCTTTCTGAATTTGCCTGGCCAAGAACAGTCCCAGGCGGTGGACCTGTGCCCCAGGTATGGTCGCCCTGGCAGCCGGGCCTGGTTTCCACGGCGCATGATCGAACGCCATCAACGCTGGTAGCCGAGGCGGTCTGACTGCACCTTGCCCCGAAACAAGGCAAACCGCAGCTCAAGGCCTTCACGATTCAGCATCACTGCGAACGTTGCCCAGCTCAGCTAGCTGACAGGGCTCATCGAAGATGCAGTCTCGAGAGCCACTTTGCCCTTTTGAAGCCACGCGAGCCCATGCTGGCCTTTCGTGGGACGTCTGATGAACTGTCTTTGACACTGCAGAATCAAGATTTTGCAGGCCAGGGCTGTTGGTCGTCCACACGGGACGGGCAACGACACAACCAGCCGCCGGGTGTCGCCGAGGGCGCGATCAATCGGGCCATGTCCCCGGGCAACGGACCATCCGAGCGTTGAGCATGTATGCACGAGTGCCTATCTGGGATAGCATGATCGCCCTCGATCCCAACCGCAAATACTTGTGCGGCAACGAGGGTCTCGTGGTGGGCGCAAAGTTGCGGGGTCGACGGCGGCCGTGTCGATCAAGGCCTCCGCAAAGGATCCGGTAGGGCTCGCCTCTGTTTCCTGGCATGACCGGTGGTTCTGAGGAGTAAGGAAGTCGGGTCTATTTTAGGGACAGGGCGGAGAGGTAGGCGGCCTTGCAACATGTGCTGGGGGACCTGGGCATTTCGTCTGGGCTCAGGCGATAGCCGATGCTAGTCGGAGACTCCTGCGACGGCCGACGAGACCAGAGCTGCGGCTAGCTAGAGGAATAAGCGCTCACTTCCCTGAGCTCTGACACGTGGGCCGTGTGTTGTCGTCTCGATGCGCCGCTGCTGAGCCTCGACCGACGCGGCACTGGCAGCCAACAATCAGCCAGCTTGGAGAGACTCACGGCGGTCTGGCAAAGGACGATCAAGTTGCCCTGGGTGTGCGTCCCAGTCCCAATCGCATCGCTGGGTGCCGAGCGCGTCATGGTGGTGAGAAAAGGGGAAGAAATGGGCGGATGATGCCGGTCATTGTGTCGAGTGTCCGGTGCGTGTTGGTGACGAAGGAGGGGACACGTCCAGAGGTCTCAGCCACCATCGAGATGTGCCTCAAACGTGCTCAGGGCGGGCGTGTGCACTCGGTCGAGATAGTGCGCTCGGTCGAGACGATGCCCTCGTTTCACCATGACGGCAGGCCGAGAATCCGAAGACGGCTGAGGTGATCAGGGCCCATTACCTCAGCAGTGCCACCGCCAGATCGCTACCCGTCACGGATACGTACCGCAGGCAATCTCGCCATCCCCAGTAATTATCTATACCCTCGAAGCCGCTAGCCAGCCAGGCCATGCCAAGCAAGAGTCAAACAAATAAAGGGAAAAGGAAGCCCTAAAAATAAAGGGCGCCGCCCTTGCGGACACAGACATTTGCATACCCCGGGTTTCGTCTTCGTCTGGTGTGTCTGTCCCCTTTGTGTTGAAGAGTCGATAGAGTTGAAAAGACGCTCCCTGCCTTGAGCCCGTTTCGTGTCTTTTTGCTGTGCTCGGATGCTTTGGCAGGTCAAGTCGCGGCTGGAGCGTCGAGGAATTTGCGCAAATACTCTCTCACTAGCACGCTGCCCAACTCGCTGTACATTTAATCTCCTTGGAAGCTGCACATCAGACGTTGTTTGACTTACTTACGCCGCATCTCTCTCTCTCTTCCTCTTCCTCTCTCTCTCCGTCTCTGCCCGCCACCACACAGACATCACTCCTCGTGCACCCAACCAGAAGCAACCAGCCACCACCACCACCACCATCATAGCTCCGATACACGCACCAAAATAACCATGTCCTTCCTCTTCCCACGCCACGGCGCCGACCACAGCGACATGGACATGGGCAGCGCGCCCGTCGTTGCCGCCGCCGCCACCGATGCCCACGGCCACGACTCCATGGGCTCCATGATGATGACCATGGTCTTCCAGACAAACATGGAGACAGCCCTCTACTCCAACTCGTGGACTCCCCGCAGCCCGGGCGCCTACGCCGCCACCTGCCTCTTCCTCATCGCCCTCGCCGTCATCGGCCGCCTGCTCCTCGCCGCAAAGTCGCTCCAGGAGGCCCGCTGGCTCGACCGCGACACAAACCGCCGCTACATCGCCTCCAACGGCAGGATGCAGCTCGCAGAGTACATCACCCGCGACCCGGACGCCAAGCAGATGACGCTGTCCGAGAACGGCATCGAGGAGTCGGTCGTCGTCGTCGGCCGCAAGGGCACCATTGCCCGGCCCTGGCGCTTGAGCGTCGACCCCGTCCGCGCCGTCATGGACACCATCCTCGCCGGCGTAGGATACTTGCTGTGAGCCTTATATACACCCGTTCCTTTGCACCAGCTTGACCTCCGGCTGACTGACTGTTTGGTTCCACACAGCATGTTGGCCGTCATGACCATGAACGTGGGCTACTTTCTATCCGTCCTGGCAGGTGTCTTCGTCGGAAGCTTGGCCGTCGGCCGCTACAGCGCCACGTCCGCCGACCATTGAACTTGGCTCGGGATGCGGCGTGTGTACCAATATAATGTCTCCTTTTCGCCTGCCCCTCTCGATAGCGCCGACGAGGGGCCCTTTGTGGACCTATAGCTCGTTTGGCAAGGCGACTTTTTTTTAATCTGGGTTTCTGGGCGTCACGGTGTTCTGGGTCTATCATGGCAAAGCACTTGCACACCAACATCGAGAGCTTGCCCAACAGCAGCAGGCGTGTTTGTTTTCTTAGGCTACATACCGTAGAGTCGGCTTCGCAACAGGACACTGTTTCCTCTTCTCTAATTACCACAAAGACCGTATGTAGGCACGCAGAAGCAACAAGACGCTGTCATGGCGTCCTCGTTCCAGCAGTGCTGGGGTTGTGGCCGGGGTAGCTCAAGTACGTACTGTTTGCTTTGTCCCAATGCAGAAACCTTCTCAAACCTGCTCATCCCGCCAGCCAGTCAGAGTCAGGTCTCTAGAAATGTCAGAGCTGACTAAGTCGTCTGTATAATCATCCTGGCCTCTCCCCAAAATGCAACTGACTGTTGGCCATGGCGGGTGTGGTTGGCCTTGCAAGAAGGCTTGCTTCCGCGTGCGAGCAGACGCTGACGCCGATAGCCTTGTGCCGCGCCAAGACTCTGGACAGGGAGCTGGGCCGTGTCTTCTGCAGCGACGAGCTGGATACAGTATGTCCCCTCGGTAGGGCTGATATTTGAAGATTTTGAAGTCGAATCGGCCTCGGGACCCTTGAATTGAATGAAGCCGAATCGGGTAAGGTCTTCAAATTCGACGAATCAAAAATCAGGAGTCTTCATTCAATTCATTCATAAAAATTGTGAATGAATGGCGATATGGTCGAAACGTAAGGCGAAAAAAAATTATCACCCCGCTTCGCGGCCAAGGGACATACAGGAGGAAAGGGTCAATACCGAAGCCACCCACCAAGGGCCTCTTCCTGTTCTTCCTCGGCAGGCTCACATACACATCAATAAACAAGCTGCTTTGACCCCATCATTGGGGTTTGCCCGCGCGGACACGGTAACTTCGAGTTCGGCCGCGCTTGTGATGACGCTCTGCGTATTTAAAAGTCTGTTGTGCGTGTTTCAGTTGGATTCCACCGTCCACACTCCACTGGCAAAATCCTAGTCCCGCGCCGCCCGCGTCTGGCGGGGGCGTCGCTGGGGAAATCGAGGCGAAGGACGGCAGTTAGGGCGTCCATATATTGTGGTATAACGACCCTAACAGTGCCTGATACGCCACCGTTTCAGCAATCTTGCCACCCTATACGGAGTATTAAAAAACACCATGAAGCTCATGAACAGTGCCATTTTATAATGCACATGATTTAAATGTAGTGCCGCTCGAATGTTCTGGATTTTCTCGTTCGGATGATATAACCTCGATAGTTACATGTCGTTAACATTTGCTCAAGAAATGCCACATCATCTTGAAGGCAATCAATGGATAGCCCATTTTTGGTTGGAATACTACATTTCAAGCACATATTAAGCTCGGCAACCCATATTCTGGATATATAATATAATAATTATACCGCTGTACAGCCCCAGCAAGCTGATTCGAAAACGCGTTCAGATCCTCAACATCTCAATACTGCGCGAACAATTGAAGTGACACGAATCGAGTCAGCTCGCGATTTGGAGGCTGTTAGGGACTTATCTACTCCTCGAGCCCAATATGACTGCTACTTGTTTGTCCATACAAATTAGCCGATCAGGAAGTACCCGAAAAATCTGCATGATAAGGATATATTGTGCCAACTAGCCGCGTTCAGACGCGTTATTTCCGCTCAGTTGACCACCTGTTAATTCTACTGCTGTCGGAAAGACAGGGTCGTCAGCCCATCCACCTTTGCCTGCGTGGCGCAACGGTCTTCGCGACAACTGCCACGACATTATTTTACCACGACCTCGCCTAATTCCTGCTTCGATATTCCGACAGCGGCTTCGGATCAGCCCCCGAATCAACGCCCTGACCGACGACCTATCCTACCCGTTCAACCCCGACTCCTTGACACTTTATTGTGGTTTATTTGGTGTCGTTCCGACTACCTGTGTCGCGTCCATTCTCGAGCCTTTCAGCCAAGATCAGGTAAAACTTCATTACTCTCCAATCTACCCTCCTTATTTAATTACCTTACGAGTGGATAGCTAATTATAACATGATACGTAGTATGGCCCCTGCTGAAACAAAAACATCTGCCGCAGCGAATTTCTTTGCTCCAAGGACCCGGCGTAAATTGCCAACGCAGAATTATGCCCGCATCGAACATCCTCAATTCAACCCTCGGAATCCCGCGCGCGCGCGCGCTGATTCTAGCGCAACTCCGGCTCCTTCCTCTCCTCTTCCAACTGGCGAAGATACAATTGTCTGCGCGCCCCCGGGTCATCCTGACTGTGAGTCAGATGATGACATGCCCGACGCGGATACACCAGAGCCGCCATTGAACAGTAGTCATATGACGCTCGCAGAGAAAGCCGGACTTATCAAGAAGTGGGCCGACAACAAACAAAAGCATGTTCGCAAGAAGAGAGACAAGAACAGCCACGTCTATTGGTATATGCAGAGGAAGCTATAGACAGAAGCTTTTACTCAGAGGATAAGGATGGGCCGAAGATCTTCCAAGAGTTCCGGTGGACTTGTATAGAGTGCCTTCAAAATCCCAATACTCTTCGGAAGAGATTCCAGGTCCTCGAATCGAACCGCCGAGGGGTTACCTCTGGCATGGGAGACCATTTAAAAATCCACGGTATTACGAAGGAATCTCACCACGCTCGAATTAATGGATACGGCCGCGCCATTGGTGGAGGAGATTATACAGAGGCAGACGCATGGAGCGGTCGACCTAGGCAGAGAGCAAGACTCACGGCAAAGGAGTCTATCCGCCGGTGGTTTGTAAAACACCGACAACCCTTCTCTGTTGTCGAGACTCCTGCTTTTCAAGAGATGTTCTTGGCTCACAACACAACATGTGTGTACAGGAGTCGTATAACGTTACGCAATCATATATATACAGACTTTGTCGAACGCAGGAGAAGCTGAAGATTGAGCTTGAGTACAATTGTGCCACCATCTCGTTCACCCTTGATATCTGGACAGCACCGAATCGGGTGCCCATTTTCGCCATTATTGCGCACTGGATTACACCGGAGTTTGAGGAGAGAGGAAGTTATTGAGTTTATTGAGCTCAAAAGATCTCACACTGGCAAACAATTAGCTGAGATAGTTGAGAGGACGCTTGAGGAGCTCAGGCTCAAGCCTAAGCTTCTCGCCATTACGGGAGACAACGCCGGCAATAACGGCACGCTCTGTCAGTCTTTGTACGATTCTCTCAAGACCAAATTCGACGACAAGGTGAGCCCAATAGGAGGCCCGCATGCGCTTTCACGGCAGGAAGAGTTGGATCCGCTGTCTAGCTCATATTACCTCGCTCATTTGTGAGGGCGTCTTGCAAGATCTCAAAGCAGGCACAGCGAAGGAAGCCAAGAAGATGCTTGACAAGTGGGACGAAGAGAATAAAAGCAACAACTACACCATTCCGGGAGACTCTAGTCGAAGTGGGATTGCCAAAATCCGCCTCCTCAATCTCTGGATGTTGAGATCCGGGTCTAGGGAGCAAGACTTCAAAAGCATGCCGCGCACGCACTACCGGAAGCCAACCTACGATGTCGACACTCGCTGGAATTCGGCCTACGACATGATTGACCAATTCCTCGAGCTTGAGGCAGAGTATACTGAGTTCGTTGATACTCACCCGCAAGTCAAGTGCCTCCTGCCCTTATCAGAAGAGATTGTCGCTCTCTATCAACTGTGGAAGGTTCTGAAGCCGTTTAAAGACCACACTCTGAAAGTCTCCGAAGTTATGCCGCCGATCTCACAAAGTCTCGATATCTATTGGGATTTGGAAGCTCTCCTTGATGATGTAGTCGAAGGAGTTGGCGACTTTACAGACCTTGATATGTCCATTCGAGACGCCTTCTCGAAGGGCAAAGCAAAACACGTTACTTATATGAAGAAGCTTGACGATCAAATGATGCTATTCGCAGCTCACATCCTGGATCCGCGTTATAAAACTCACCAATTGGAAATGATGATACCGGATCAATACTCTGAGATTATGGCTAAAGTCAAGAAGTATTTCAAAACGGAGTGGCCGGAGCTAGCAGCATTGAATGCCACAAACTCAACTATGAGCCAATCCAGACCAGCTGAGCGTCCTCAAGGAGTCTCCATTGCGCAATGGAGAGCCATCCAAATGAAGAAGGCGAGGAGGCGGAGACGGGCGCGGCGATCCCTATTTCGGAGCTTGAACGGTGGCTTGCAGCTCCTCGAATAGAGTTCGACGAGTCTATTGCAAAGTCTCCAGACTTCCTACTGAAGTGGTGGAAAGAACACAAGGTCGAGTGGCCACTTTTGGCTGCGGCGGCGCGTGATCTTCTCTGTCTCTGGCTCTGAAGTTGACGTGGAACGCCTCTTCAGCGGTTGTAGAGACGAATTCGGTATCCGCCGTCACGCCTTGAAGGCAGATACGGTGCGAGTACTAACACTTTTACGGAGTGCTTATACTCAGGAAGATAAGATCGATCAGGCGTTGATCAAGGCGGCCATGGAGTATGACATCCTGCCCTTTGCCAATAGTATTATTTGGAGACCAGACCACATTCCGGGCAAGCTGGAAGATGGTATGTATGGATATACCCTCATTATATATGTAGGTATATGCTAATCTGTGTTCAGGCGAGAATCCTCCTCAACCTCTTCCTCCCACCGAGGCTCCCACCGAACCCCTACCCCAAACCTCCTGCATCCCAAGCCGATAAGTCTGCGATATCAACCCCCTGTCTAGATACAATGGAGGCTTCGGAGGATTGGGGCTCTAAGAGTGTAGCCGTGTACAGTGGCGGATTCGAACGCGTTGTACCGACGTATTTTGAGGATTCGGCAGAGCTTTGAAAGTGCTTATTTTCAGTCGATTTGCCTAGGACAGGCGGATCAGTATTTATGTAAGTTAATTTTTGTAGTATTCGGGATTATCGACTTCTTAGAAGGCTATAACTTAAAACTATATACTACTTATTGGCGTTTTGAGGCATCTTTGCAATCGCTCAGGTACACACCAAATTCACTTCGTTTAGGGATCCTTCAAACCATTCATGAATGGCCTGAATTGGCCCAAACCCAACTTGAATCGCGAAAATTGGAGCTTGAAGATTTTGAATCAAGATCCAAAAAATTCAATTCATTTGATTCATCCTTCATTCAAAATCTTCAAAATCTTCACCTTCGTCTATCACCCCTACCCCTCGGCGGCTGGTGCCCAAAGGCTCCCGAGGACCGAGGACGTCTCCCCGAATGGACAGTCTGATTGCCATACCTCCAAGCACACGGCTGATGCGTTACGACAACCGCCCATCATTACGCCGACAAGCTCACCCGCGACCCGCGTCTCCCTCCCGGGTCCGCGGACCAAGGCGCGCTGCATCAAAAACCCCGACTTTTCCCTGTCCACAGTGTCCCACCCACGGCCTCGAGCGCCTCGCGCCAAACCAAAGCAAGCTAAGAAGCACGACTCTATACAATGGGCCAACGGCTTTGCCAAGGCCCGCAGGGGCGCCATGGACCGGGCTGATGGGTCCCCCTCCTTTCTATTTTATACTCCAACAAGGGTCAAGTTTGGTCGTTTTCGAAGCTTCGGCTCCCGAAGCCAGCCAGCCAAGCCTCGTCCGCGTATATATTTTCTCCAGTGTCGAGAACGAGGCTCGAACGCGTACGTGTGGTGACCAGAGAAGCCGCTCTTAAGACCCCATTCTGCCTCGTCGAACTGGTGCCCTCGCCCTTTCAAGAAGCATCACCACCCGATAGACCGCAGTGGTAGTCGAGAAACGCCAACACGTCAAGATTCACCACCAAAACACTAGACCCAAACCAGGAGCCTCGACGGCTTCTATCCTGCCGTTGGCCCCTTCGGCCGCCCTCCCCAATCACATTGGCCCTCGACTCCCAAAATGGCAATAGCGAGTTCCCCAATCGGGCCCTGTCTACTAAGCCGTAACGGACATCCGCCCCGTGATGCTGGAAAAGGAACAACGCCCGCCATCGGCAACAGAACCTAAAAAGAAAAAGGTTCGAATCGGAAAAGGAAAGGCGGCAGTTTGCCCTTCAACTCCATCTGTAAACTTAAAGGCTCCTCTAACCGCCCTTTTTTTCTTCTTTTTTTTCTCTTTATGCGTGGACAGTTTTCCCAATGCCCCCCAACGCCGCCTGTCGCTTCTTCCGGAAAGGCGCTCGTCAAGGCCCTGGTTCTTCCCCGGATTCCTGCATCCAACGGTCGATCTGACGTTCCTGACGCTTGTCTGCATGTGGAAGTGACGTGTTCGATGCCCAAAGAGGCTGTCAGGAGGGATTCGCATCATCAGTCTTCCCTCCGATGGGCAAGCTCCGCGATTCTCTACCCATCTTCGACCCGGGACGAGAACCAGCACATCAGGCCGCCCACAAATTTTAGCCTCCTTGTCCGATTTAGCTTCAGCCGCAGAGACTGCCATCACATGCAAGAGAAGATCCCGTGGCTGGCGACGCGCGCCTTCGAAGAAGCTTGGACCCAAGACATATCATGTGCGAGATCCATTCAACCTTTTTGTTTCTGATTCCCAGACCCCCAAACATGCATACTTTCGTGAATGTCCATTATCATCCATCCGCGAAATACCTTGCGCAATGGGCCTCCCGACGCCCTCACAGCAAAAACTCCCTGATTGCTCTTCAACCCTGTAGTCGATACACTCCCGACCTCGCCCGTTTCCAGCCCCCTGACCCCGTGCCCTGCCAAACGCTCGAGACTTGTGCCGCCAGGGACTAGAAGAACGCATTTTAAACGCCACTGGATACGGAGCAGTTGATACACCATCGTCCTCAAGGAGACGATGACTCGATCTCGCCGCCTCGGACCGCGACCCAGACTGTCCCGGCCGAGTTGATGAACAGGGCAAGCCGAGCCTCATAGCCCATTGCGCAAAGTTTCTTTGGCGGTGTGTGAGGATGAGGAGAAGGGGGTGGAGAGGAGAAGAGACCGTTGACAACCGAACGCAAAAGCAGCGGACCTACACGTCATCAACGCCGAATCACCAAAGCCCCGCAAAAAGAATGGCAACGCCCACAAGGACAGCCTCTTGTCATGTAACAACGTATTCGTGGAGCGTCGGTAGCCGGGTATAGGCGACCGGACTCACGTCTCCCCCGCGCCCCCATCCTCCTCATGACTGATGGTGAGTGCTTGGCGGCATCCCGGCCTGCGGCGGCATTCCCGAGCCGTATCCTTGATTGCGCTGCTGGACGTAGTTTTGGTAGGCGAGTGCCTGTTGAGGGTCCATGGGCATGTTGGGCATGTAGTTGCCGGGCATGTGCGGGTTTTGAGGCATCCCAGGTCGGGCGCCCTGGGGAGGGATGTGTTGACCAGCCGAATCTTCGGGTGACTCGACCTGGTCGCCGCCGTCGACGCCGTTTTCATTGCCGGGCGCAGGCTCTGGTGCATTCAGGCACGCCTATAGAGAACGGGATGCGTCAGCGCAAGAATTTCGACCGGTTGTGACGTGGATCACGCGAGGAGCGCGTCAACGCGCCCGTGGCGGCAGGTACGTCCTACCGCGGCACAGCGCGGGCAGCTGACCGTCCTCCGTGACGAAGGGCGGCACGGTATGAGACCGGGCGAGTTGAGACGAGAGCGATAGAGGGCATTGAGAGGGGGCAAGGGAGGGAAGTGCGAGGGAGGAAAGTGCTGAAACGCGTCGTTGGCGGCACGCAAACCACTATCGAAGGGTGACGCAAAAGCGTGGAGAGGCGCATACCTGAATCAAGTTCTTGCCCTCAGCCTTAGTGACGAGCGGTTGAAGCTTGGGCGTGGTGAAGGTATACACGAGGCCCGTTTCGGAGACGACGAGGAGGAGGACTTGGGTGCCGGTCAGGACGGAAAGCTCGTAGGCCTAGAAGGGGAGACGATACTGGCGTTAGCGACGACTTTTTCCGGGAGGAGGGGAAGATGGGACGGATGGGAGCTCTGTCGTCGCCGCGACAGGCGTAAGGAGGATGTGAGGCAAGCGACAAGTGTCGAGGGAGCGCGCGTTTGTGGACTTGGGCGCGGATCAAGGACGGAAACGAGCTTTGGACGCACCTTTTTCATGATGCCCGCCTTGCGCTTGGAGAAGGTGATGTGCCGGCGGGACTTGTCGCTGATGAATTTTATCTCAATCTTGCGACGCTCCCGGCCGCCCTTCTCGTCGTCGTCATCGTCGTCGTCGGCCGTAGCAGGGCGCTGGCGCTTGATGCCGCGGCTCTCGGCGGCAGCGGTGCCATTGCCCGCAGGATGCGACTCATCGAGGTCCGTGGGCGACGTCTGGTCGTGCTGGTCGGTGATGTCGGCCATTGCTGCCTTTTTGTGAAATTTTTTTCGGGGCTCGGGCAGATGGTCCAACAGCTGTGCTGCTGTTGCCACGACGCACTGGGGGGCAGAGAGGGCGAGAGGGGGTGTAGGTAGGTAGGTAGGTAGGTAAGTAGGTAGGTAGGTAGGCAGGTGTAGGTAAGTAGGCAGGTAGGGGACCGCGGTACGGAAATGCAGACGAAAGTACGGCGGGAGGGGGATTATTCCCCGATGCGCGGGCTCGAGGCGAGAGGTCGAGGCGGCGGGAGGGCGCAGCCGCAAAAAGTCAATCAATCAGACGAGGCGCGCAAACCGCAGCGGCTCTGCTCTGCAAGCTGGCGAGCTTGAGGTGGAAGCTCGTCGCGCGTGTCGACAAAAAAGAAGTCTGGAAAGGGCAACAAAGTGGTGGAGATGCTGCTTTGAGCGTGGTGCCGATGGATCTATACTGCATCTGGCGTTGCGAAGCGGAGAGGAGGGAGGCGCCCAGGTGTCGCAGAGACCTGGTTGGGCGCGCTCTTCTGGATCGAGTCTGGTGTGTGGGCGGAAGGAAGCGAGACGAGGTACGACGTCAAGTTTTTATTATTGCTGTGTTTGGCGATAGAGTCCTTCGGCCTTGGTGCATGCCTTGGTTAGCGCTTGTGCTTGTCGGGGCGCTTGTCTTTTGGCTGTTGGGCCGATTGTGAAAAGGGGAGAGAGAGAGAGAGAGGGAAGGAAGAGAGAGGAGAGGGAAAGGGGAGGGGGCCGGGCCTACTGCCTCGCCTTGGGTATTTTATTCACTCGCCCTCACTCTCACTCACTCACTGTCACTCAACTCAACTCACTCACTCACCCAAGCCCTCTCTCTCGCAAGCTCTCTCTTCTCACTCTCGCTCTCCTTCTCAACTACCTCGCGCCGTGTCCCCTCCTCTCTCTTCAACGCTCTCTCCTCCTCTTCTTTCCAACCTCGCCACTCCACTCCTGTCTCCCTGTGTTTGCTCGCTATTGAGCGGTAGTCTGCCGCCCTCTCCGTGCCAGCAGGGCAGCCGAGGGAGGCACTGCTTGGTGCGTCCTACCGCCCACCTCCACCCACCGGCTGGCTACCTTGCCATACTGTACCGTACAGTACAGGAGCCGATGGTGGAAGTCGAGGTATTGCACTGTACCTGTCCTCGTGCGGCCGGAGAGTGAGTGGTGGGCGAACCATGACATGTACATGCGTGTACGGGCTACCGTGGATGGCGCGCCGCTGATTGGAGGCTTTCAGTCTGAGTAGCTGCCGCTGGAATGAGGCAAGATGAAGGCGCGCCGCTGAGTGGACGGACGCGATGGAGACCGCCCACAGCGCGCCAGGGAGGGGTCCCTCTGTGCACTGTCTACGCACTGTACAGTGCACGCTGGAACCCTGCAGATGAGTGTCTCCACCGCGCGAGCCACCGCGAAAAGCAAGACAACCGCGGTGCGCAGGGCTGGAGCTGGCCTTGCATCGCCTGTGGGGGAGGAGCTTCAAGTAACGACGGGGCACCTGTTGCTTTTTTCGGCTCGCAACCGTAGCAGCGCCCAAGTACTCCCCAGGCAAAGATACCTTGTCGAGGTCGTCACCGGCATGGCTGCCTGCAGGACGCGACGACATGGCCGCTCGTCCATGCCAGAAACACATTCTTTCCGAGTGCACCTGTGGAAATCGTCGATATACACAAAGCTAGCTTCTAGCCCTACGGCATGCCCTTGGCAAATAATTCCTCCAAGAGGCGACCGGAGAACAGGCGGCACATGGCGACCCGGTGTCTGTTCGGTACCTACCGTGGTAGGTGTACCCGGCTGGCACTACACTGTCCAGGTACCTACCCACAGACTTGCGTATCTGATAGGCCATGCATCGACAAGAAACGTCGGCGGCGGCATTAATAAAAGGTAGACGCTGTGCCCTTGGAAATTCTGACCAAACTGCCGGCCTCCCGGTCTGCTAACAATACCTGCGGTGATAAGTGTCTCGGGCGATTGTTGCTGCTAATAGACGGCTGATTGGAGAAGTGAGGGAGAGATACGGAGTACATCCATCCGTACAGTGCGCCCAAACGGGCCCATTGCAAGGGTCCGTGGAGACCCGGCCGGCCCGGCTGCTAGCAGGCATCTGGTGGTGGGTCAGAAGTTTGCCTTGGCTAATAAACAGCCTTGCTCACCCCCACTCGCACCCTTTTCTTCTTCCACGGTGCCTTGGACTGCTCCCGATAACAAAGACAACTGTGCTGTGCTGTCTCGTCATGCCGTTTCGCGACAGTCTCGGAGCGTCAGGACCCCAAGTCGCATCTCACCCACATGGAGAGGTCAACTCGTCGCCCGCATCTATTCCCATGAATGTTTGAGCACACACGACGGACATGTAAACACAGTCCGACTCTGGTAGACATTTGTTGTCTCTTTTCTCGTACGAACATGCGGATAGCAAAGGCAGGGTGTTTGTCCCATGCTCGTCTCGGGTCGAATCCATGCTAGCAAACGTACTGTATGCATGCATGTCTGTTTTCGTCTTTTCTCTCTTCTTCTTTTCCAAGCCCATGGTTGTCCCGTGAAACTAGAATCGTGGTCTTGAATCTCTCGGCGCCTTGGCTCCTTGATGCAATAGACTTGGCCAGCATTTACTTCACGTCGACTCCGAGCAAACTGTTTGCAACTGGCAGCTTAATACCCCAACATACAAACTGACTGTCTGCTCAGCTTTGGCCCATGTTGGTTGACACTGCAATCTGTCGTGTAACGCGCAACACTCCTTGTCGTCACGGTGCGAGAAGGGGCCAGGACAACCCAAACGGCGAGTGGGATGTGGAATGTCCATGGGCAAGGTTCCGGCGGCGCGTCCATGTGCTAGCTGGGTGGCTGGGCCCCGCGCCGTGGGCGATGCTCGCAGTCGCTTCGACATTGAATACCAAGGTGAAGGAAGGAGAAGTGGCAGAGCGACACAGTGCGATGCTGGGCCGACAGCCCCATGGCCGAGTTCACGAATGACACGAAGCCAAGTTTCCAAAATTGGTCATCAGGCCCACAGGGCCGCGGGTAGCGACTCGAGCACGCACAGGTCCCTTTTGCATCACCCACCGCCACCGTTCCCCGTTGACGAAAGCTGGACAGAGGCATGGCGGGCGCTTGACTAGTTCAGGCAGTTACGCGGGGCCGCGCACAGTGCGGCGGCCGACAAGGTTCGAGAACGGACCTGTTTTCGGCGATACGCAGGAGTACGTGCGTATCAGGTGGGCCCATCACACAGTACAGTACGTACGTATCTGGTACCGGTACTTTCAAGCTCGGCCGGCAGGGAACCTGGACGGGACTCGGATGGGATCAGCCCTTTTTCCGTCTCCGCAAAAGTTAATACCTAATAAGGCGAGACAAGGCGATTCGAGTGCACGCAGACTTGACGAGGACAGGGAGAGTGAGGCCTGGACTGTACTTGGGCGCTGGTCCTGCAGCTCCCTGCGGAGGCCCGACCAAGCTGCCGCCGCAGTGGTCTGCTGGTCCAAGTATTGAGGTACCCACCCTTTTGAAGCTAGGCAAGTCTCCCGCTAGCGGCATAAGACGGACCAACGGGGGAGGGAGGTGTGGGTGATGAATCGCCTGCTCTCTGCTCCATCATCACCGTGTAGATCACCATGTAGAAATCAAAAGACGTTGCAACTCGATCTCGGGTGAGACGCGCTAAGAGGCCACTGGACCTTGAATAATTTCCGTCCCCATCGACGTTTGTTGCCTTTTCCCGCCTACAGCGTGGGTGCAATGGATCTGCGCTGTCTAATTACCAAGTCAACTCGTTGATCTTGTGCTTATTAATTATTTCCTTCCCAATTCCCCTGCCCTGGCACTCTCGTTGCGGAATGCTGGGCTTCGTCATGCTGGGCCTCGTCATGCTCGAGCCTACCCTACACCACCCGAGTTTTCAGACGTGAGCCCACTATGAGAAGAGATCGGCCGTGGATCTCGTTGCTGCCTTGATTCATGACATCGAGGAGGCATTTGCCTGCAAGCAGGTTGCAACATTGGTGACTTTGGACATTCAGGGCGCCTTCGACACAGTCCTCCGCAACAGATTGATCCTTCGCCTACGGGAGCAAGGGTGGCCACCGAACCTCGCGCGATGGGTCGGCTCGTTTATGCAAGACAGGTCGGCACGCATCCGCTATCAAGATATCGCAACGAATTCATCGCCTCTCCAGTGCGGGCTGCCACAGGGATCGCCAGTCTCGCCGATCCTCTTCCTACTGTATACGGAACCAATCTACCGCTTGGGCAGCTCAAAAGGGCGTTTCGGCTATGCGGACGACACTGCCATCCTTTGCGTCGGCGATAGCCTGGATGAGACGTCCGCCGAAGCATCTCATCATGTGCGTGAGCTTGTATCGTGGGGCGCCGCCAACGGGATCTCCTTCGACCCTGAGAAGACAGAAGTGATGCACTTCTCTCGAACGACGCCCAAGACGGCGCCGCCAGTGCTCCATGGCGAATTTGAGAAACGGCCGGGCCGGGCGATGCGTTGGCTCGGCGTCTGGCTCGACAGCACTCTGTCTTTCAAGACTCATGTCGAGAAATGGACGGCCAAAGCGCAAGCAGTCGCCTTCCATCTCAGGAGACTGACAAACACCAGGCATGGTCCTCTACCGAGCGCTGTGCGACGAGCGGTCTGCGCTTGCGTCATTCCAGTGCTGCTCTACGCGGCGGAGGTCTGGTATCCTGGTTCTACGCGCCCGCGCTGGACCAAGCCGGGCAAGGAAGGACCGTCCAGGATCGGACACCTCGTAAAGAAGATGAGCAAGGCACTCTACACATCTCTTCGGGCTATCCTGCCAGTGTGGAGAACTACACCAACGAATGTTCTGCACCGGGAGGCAGGGATACCGCCGGTCCCTCTGCTGCTCGAGGCGCGCCGGACTGCATTTGCTGCGCGTCTCAAATCCCTGGACGAAGCTCATCCGCTCGTGAAGCGCACGTCGAGGCCAAAAGCCCCTATACTGAATGAAATGATCAAGCTGAAGTACCAAAAGCAGCCAAAACCCTTCCGGACTAGGCTGCGGCGCTCCGACGAATTGCTACCAAGCTGCCCAAGGCCTGCCTTGCTGCAGCGCGGATTTGTCGAAGAGCAGACTGCGCCTCTGCAGAGTGCATCGAAAAATGAGACGGCGAAGAAATTTCGCGATTGGCTCCAGGCACTATCGCCCCGAACTCTGGTCGTCTATTCCGACGGGTCCCGTTCTACCGAAGGCCACGCCGGATATGGCTATGTTGTTCATCGGGACGGATCCACCGTCTTGCGCGACAAGGGCCGTCTCGGGCCCGCCGAGATTTTCGACGCTGAGGCGAAAGGTGCGTTGGAGGGGTTGAAGGCTGCGGTGAGCCTTCCAGAAACTGACCGCATCTTTGTCTGCCTCGACAACCTCGCGACCGCAACATGCTTACGGGGCACGCCGAGCGACTCCTCGCAAGAGGTCTTCCTTGAGTTTCAATCTTTGGCGCGAAAATACGGAGCTGTGGAGGTCCATTGATCCCCGGCCATGCTGACATCCCAGGCAACGAGGAGGCTGATGCTCTGGCAAAGGCGGGAGCATCACTGCCAGAACCCGCTGATAACGTCCCGACGCTAGCGCACCTGCGAAAGATTGCCCGACAGCAGCCGGAAGAGGCTTTCAAGGCCTGGTGGGAAGCCTCTGCGCCGGAGCGATACAGAGACCTGAGGCTTAAAGCCACAACCAGCTGCCCGTCAGAATTGGCGCTCTCGGCCCCTGCTTCGTAACTTGCTTGCAGCAAGAACCCACCATGGGGATTTTGCTGACTACCACGAAAGGTTTGGTCACGACAATGCGCGACTGACGTGCTCGTGCGGAAGACGAAAAGAGCCAGCACACATCTTTTACTGCAGAAAGGTTGCGCCACGGCATCGTATGCGGCTTGCACCTTGGCCGGCTGCAGCCATCAACCGCGCAATCGGCAAGGACTTTGACAAATTCGTCAGGCTGGCGAAAGCGAGCTCCTTCTTCGGAGGGATCTGCCCACGCCACTAGACGGTCATCATTCTCCTCTCTCACCCTACCTTTACCCCTGCGGAGACCTGAGCGACCAAAAGTTGCTGGACGGAAAATACACTAAACTAAACTAAACTAAAGAGCCCACTATGAGACATGGCGCGCAGGGCCTGCCTATCATGCCGAGTTGAGACAACAGCGATAGACACCTTCCCATCTCAAGTAAACACACAAGACTATGAGTATATCCATCGGGAAAGGCGCCAGGGGTCGACATGTGCCGTGGCTCTGACCAGGCCCTGACAAAGCCCTGGAAGGAAGACCCTCAAAAACCGCAGATGCTTTATGCCATGGCGGACTGTATTCCAAGTGAGTTGCCATGACGGTTGGAGGCCCCTTACCTAGACTGAGCAGCATGCTGTTCATTTGCCGCTCAACTGCTCCCCCAAAAGGGAGCAGCAAGTCCCCTGCTGGTGCACACGCGTCAGAGTCTCAGCCGCATGCCCCGTGGCCAAGCTTTGATCCAATTGCTCTGCCTGCCCTGCAGCACGGTGCCCATTGGACCCCGTTGATAATGCGGAGCGGACCTCGGCACGTGATTGTGCCATGCCTTGTCGTGCCATCTCGGAGTATAGACGCCGGAATCCTGGAACTGGTTTGGACGCCGATCCAAGGACACGACGACTTGTGGAAATCCCCCAGACTAGAGATTACACAGGGACATGCAATGTAACCGTTGCAACCTGTTCGACCCATGCATACACCTGAGCGTTTTATCAATCCAGGTTTCTGGCTCTTAAGAATCCGGGTTTGCCGTGATGAGTTCGTCCGTCCAGGTGCTCGGGGGAAAAAATATGGAACAGGGTCCTTCACATGGGCTGAGATGAATAATGCGGCTTGTTTCCCCTTAACCATCTATTCCCCCAGGAATAATGAATAGTGTTTCGATGAAATCCATTGTCAGCACATCCACGCAACTCCGTGTACCGCTTTCTCGCAGCAGGTCTTTCGGCAGCAGCCGGGGAGGGGGATCCTGATTCCACCCTCATTGGCAGTGCCGCAGACCACTTCCAAGGGCGAGATAATTGTCGCGAGTCAAAGGCACAGACTCTGAAGGAAGGAGAACCTTGGGCCAGCCATTGGCAAGACGGGACTGCAGAGTGCAGACAGGCCCTGTGGGGCAAATCGTGTTGTGACCGAAGTCAACCCTGGTGCTCTCGATGTTGCCAGGTCTCTCGACAATGAGAGGGCAAACCATTCTGTCCACCTTGGACAAGATGAACGACACAGGTAACTCTGCTGCGAATCCCTGGACTCTCAAGGCTCCCAGTCTTCATCCGAGGAGTGCCGAGTTGACCATGGTTCCAAGCCGGTTCGACAGTCTGCTGAAAGCAAAGCCCACAGGTGCAAGAAGGGAGGGAAATGGTACAGCGCTGGAGCCAAGACCTTGGCATTGACGAAGTCGATACCATGGTGTTGCCCACGACCTGCATGTTCATGATGAGGGCTGGCTTACCGGATGTAACAGTGCCCTTAGGCTATTACTCAGACACGACGCCCGTCAAGCGTTGTTTGTGCCACCAGATTGGTTCAGTCAAATAAATAGATTGTGTCGGCCTGTTAGGTGGCATGCCACTTAGGTCTTTCTGGGCTCGGGGGTACATCGTCAGGTTCAAAAGGAGTAGCCGGGGAGACGTAAGATAAAACTTGCATTCTTGCCTCGTCAAGTGCATCTTGCCTTTGACCAGCCTCCATAGAGAGAGCGTTACGAGCGACGAACAAACTCTCAAAAAGCAAATACTTCTCTCGGCGGAGGATGCCACCCGAATGGACCGAGTGCGAAATTCGTGTTTCGCTCCCAACGCTGCCTATTACCCCTTGATTACTTCAATCTAAAATGTCCAACTCTTGCTACCTACACTAGTTCCTTTGATGATCCCATCCCCGGCCGTGTTCCCGGGCCTGAACCTTCGAGGAAAGGGGCTTCAGCAGAGCTCGTACCATTCGCCCAAGCTCTTTGTTCATGGGGTGCGCTCCGGTGAGCCGCATTTTGGCCCTTCCCAAAGCCAGCTGAGAGGTGTGAGCTGCGTTGATGTAGACAGTATTGAGGACGTAAAGCTATGCCAGCTTCATTAGACCATAGACACAGTCTGGGTGGCCCGGCCCTCGCCACGGGACTGTTGGATGAGTTTTACCGTTTCCCGACATAGTGGCTCGGCCTGGTCGAATCTGTACTGCTTCGCCGCGACCCATGAGAACCCCAAGATGGTTCTCAGAAAGGCTCTTCTTACCGGCGTCGATGCCTCACACCAACAACCTCTCGGCCTCTTTCAGCGACCCTATTTCGACTTGGCTTTGACCAGGTAACTCGGGGTCCCTAGCGTCCAGGGGTGTTCCTTGCCAAGCCATATCTGTCTTTCAACATAAACTTCAGCGATATAGGACTCGGCTTCCTTCAAGCGTCCAAGGTCAAGCATGGCCATGGCGAAGTTTGACTTGGTTGTCAAAGTGTCGGCGCGAAAATCGCCCAACATATACGACGGTGAGTGGTAACTCGCCTTCTCCATGCAGGCGCAGAGAGATTGCTGGCGGCTGTGGAGTTGAATTTCTGACATATGTACAAGGCATTACACGACGCATACATAGACACGATGAGTTAGTTATAGTCACGAAACCAACGTGTGCCAATAGTCATGCCTAAGCCTATCATGTTGCATCATGCACCTCGACCCGCGGGCCTCTTCTGCCCCACAATGCAGCCCTGAGAGCTCCAGTGGCCCCCCATTACTCGCTATTCCTCAATGCAGGAGTCGAATCCTGCGATGTGTGCGGAATAGTCCTCGTCATTAGCCGCTTCAGGCCTGGTTCCCTCCCTCCACTTTCCGCTCATAACCGGTCGGTGGGACACCTTGTTCGCTCGAGACTGAGTCGGATCATGAATTGCCACGTATATTAACTGGTCCTCGCGCGCCGGCCCCGTCCATCCGAGAACCGTCGCGCACTCCATGGAGCCAAATTTAAGCTGTCAGGCTGCACATCTCATCGACATGTCCACCACCAACTCTACCACGCTCTCTAGAGCCGAGGAGGAAGCGATTGATGCCCTCTTGAGCCGCGCCAAGAATGCTAAGCCTCAGCCCAACCCCTCTCCCAGCGACCCAGTGAGGCTTCCCGGCTTCGGGCTGCCTTTGGGCTATCTGCCACGTCGGCGAGACCGCTTCCCCGTCTTGATGGGCGTGGAGAGAAAAGATTGGGCGGCGAGAACCCTGCTCGTCCGCGAAATCTGCATGCTCAAGTTCATGGAGGATATAACGAATAAGCCAGATTGGTGGCATAAAGTGCGCGACCCGACCATCTCAGCAAACTGGATCCAGGAGGTTCAGCGAATGAACTGGGGCGATTACCGGAAACATGGTGACTTTACCCGTGCTATGGCTGTTTCGGTGAGTTGGACTTGATATACCGGGGTGCACATGGATCCGGCCGCAATGCACAGGGAACCTTTTTGATCGCTAATAGAGTTCCAGTGCATCCAAGAGCTCTGCAAGAAGGCCTCCTTCTACGAAGATACAGGGCTCATACCCGTCCTGGACTATTCGGCCTGCGTCATCAAAGCTGATAAACTCATTTCTGAGAGCCTGAAGGAGCGTCTCGCAAGTGCCATCGGCCCCCTGGAAAAGGTTCCTGAAAATCAGAAAGACTGGCATCCTGGCAGTGACGGAAAAGTTCTGGACCTGGTTCATCCGTCTCTCTGGCCGCTATTGTACGGCCGGTCCCGAATCCTGGAGCATCAACGCATTGGCCTTGCGGATTCTATGACCCATCGCGGCAAGGGGGTCGTCATTCCCAAACCAGGCAGGTCGGAGTGGAACATCCTCGATGATGACTCCATTCCGTCAATCTCGACCCGTTTTCAATGGCTGCCGTGCGACGTTGCGTTGGACGAAAATGGACGAGCCACGATTGAGAGTTATATCAACAATCTGCATCCCGACAGACACGCCGAGTTGTATCCCATCATTCAAGAATTTATCACGCTATCTCTACCGGCGTGGGACTTTATCCTTCGCTGGGTCAAAGTGTTTCCCATTCAACGACTCAAGACGGGCAAGGTGGACAGACACCGGTCGATCCCAGATGCGATTCCCGAAGAGGGGGATGAAGAAGGCGACGGCGACGGGACGACTGAACAACAATCAAGTCCGTCCTCTGATAGGAGGGCAAAATTGCACAAGAGCTTCGCTTTTGATCGCCTCGAAAAAGACGATGCCGAAGAAAACGACCAAGAGAACGACTCCGAGGATAGCCAAGATGATAGCCAGGATGACAGCCAGGATGATAGTCAAGACGATGACCAACAGGACGACTCTGAGTACTTGGAAGATATTTTCATTGGAGTCTCTGACGGCGACGACGCAAGTTCTGGCGATGACGACCCCAGACCATCGCATTCTCGCCGCTTTCAAAGCAAGAGGGTCAAGGTTTCTGGATTCTTCCGCAAAGCATCCCGTATACAGGTCATTGTCAAACTTGCTAATATCCACCTGACACCTGACAAACCTTCATACGATGGCGGCTCCTGGCACGTTGAGGGCCAGCTGAACGAGCACATATGCGCCACCGCCCTCTTTTATTACGATAGCGAGAACATCACAGAGTCTCGCCTCGCCTTTCGCACGCCGGCAAATGCCGAGAGATTGAGCAAAACTCTCGAATATGAACAAGGCGCCAAGAGGTCGATTGAGAAAGTGTTTGCCATCCGCAGCAAGTTGGATACGCTGCAAAGTATTGGAAGCGTCCTGACCCGTCGTGGACGTGCTATATTTTTCCCGAACCTCTTCCAGCACAAGGTACAGCCCTTTTCTCTGGCTGATCCGTCGAAACCCGGGCACCGCAAGATACTTGCACTATTTCTTGTCGATCCGGCAATTCCAGTGATATCGACGGCCAACATTCCGCCGCAGCAAAAGCATTGGTACGATCCCAGTACGTCCGCTCCGCTGGCAAAACCAGCGTCCTCTCCGGAGAGCTCCGATTTAGACGACTTGATTGAGGAGCAAGAGGCGCGAGTACTTCGGGAGAAACTCATGAAAGAGCGGACGGTATTGCAGAAAAATACAGAAAATGAGCTAAAGAATGTGGAATGGAGCTTTTGCGAGCATTGAGAGAGAAAATCCCCGGACTACAACATGGATGTGTACCAGATCCTCCAAGATATTTGATGTTTGAGAAAATACGTACGACGAAATGATGCTATTCTTGATTGTCCGGCTATAGAACTGAGGCGATGGCGCTCTTTTCAGACCTTACGAAGATCGAAACAGAGACGGCAAATATTGTCGTCGCTTGTAGAGCCTGACTTGGCTTCATTAGTACCAGTTGAAACCATTTTTCGTGAGATCGAGGTACGACATAAACAGTCTTGGCCATGAGGTGGCTAGAAACGCCGCAACTGTGCTTGTTGTCGGCGGGAGGTGGCGCACCATAATAGCCTCCGATTCCGTAGGAGAATCGGGGAAGCGCTATTCTTGGAAGCTGGGCGTGATTGCGAGCAATGTCGATATCTCTGTATCGTCGCGTGTCAACCCCGAGGTCAGTACGGTAGATTTCGAATAACGGCCGAGGCATGGAGGCACAGACCTTGGGAGGCGTCAAGAAATAAAGGATTGCGCTTCATGGCTGCATTGCGAGACAGCTGCACTCTATATGTCACACTGAGATATAGGCCACGCTACGGCCTGCACACACCAATCAGCCATAACTGTCAATTACGCACCAACTGTAGGAGCGCGTTCCACTTTTGAGTGGTGCAGTATATTACTGTGAGGAAACCACTAGGTTGTGCAGGCAAAAGTGAAGTGACATTCCAACAGATGACCTGGAAGTAGACCCTATATGCCATGGAGGTGCCGGTGGCAGCGGACAATTACTAACTTATGGTTGTTATCCATTCAGAATCAAAGTAGTATATTATAAGGAAGCGTTTATGGTCCGCTGATTATAGCTCCTCTTTCGGTAAGGTTCTCTAGCCGTCAACTGAAGCATTTGGCTTCCAAAGCGACTGAATTTCCCTGATAGCGGCCTGACTTTTCCGATATCGATCGACTAGACTCCCAACCTATGAATTAACGTTTTCCTTCACAGTAGGGCTATTAGTCGGCTAGTCCATCTTAACTAGTTCGAAATCTAAGACCGAAAAACGTTATTTGCATAGTAAAACTGTTAAGCTGGTAAAATACCGCTACACCATGCAAAATGAGGGCACCCCCGATAGAGGTGTTACTAACGCGTATTATAGGCCCTTGTCCTGACAAAAACATATTAATAAGACTAATATCTTCGAGCAATACGCCCCCCGTCCTAATTTCCTCGAATAGCTGCCTTAGCATCTCGCATAGGTATATTTTAGCAAGCTAGAGCATTCTTTCGTTAAGTATCATAATGCCTCCAGTATTATATAGATAAGAGCTAATGTGACGTTAATACTAGCGAATAAGTCGACCTTTAAGGTAGCGTAGCTTATTGTAATAGCGCTGCTTGGTCTCGAAAAGGTACTCATTTTCGGCACCTTAATCCCTTTTTTAAAGAATAATACTCCGTGTTAGTCTATAAATGTCTCCGCCTTTTAAAACTAGTCGAATGATATTTTGGTTAAGTAGAAGTAAGGTGGATAAGACATCGAGCCGCCTCGACCGTGAAGAGTGAGACTAGAATTAGAAGGCCACCTAGATATACATAAGTATAGCGCGGGTCTGAACTACTAAAGAACTTACTAAGATGCCATCGTCAAGAAAAAATAATGGGTGCAGAGAAGTTGGAAATTTTCGGAAACGCTGACGAAAACGTGGCCGAAGCTGTGGTTACATGTCGTGTGTCTCAGTCACGCATCGGGGTGAGCGTCTATAAAGAATAATTCAAGCTCACACTATGCTTAATGACGCATTATACATAACTCTGGATGTCTCAATCACGCATCGGGGTGAGCGTTTATAAAGGATAGTTTAAGCTCATAATTTGCTCAATGACGTATTATGCATAACTCTAGATCTAAGGATCCTTAGCCAGCGCTATGGATATCCTCTAACCCGCCTGGTGCTGCTAAGGCATCCGCTAACAGAGCAAAGGAATCTGCCATTTTCCGCCCTTAGCGATCGACTATCTAAGCACCATTAAGATTCCAGCAGAGATATCTAAGACCGTCACCGTAGCGTATAATTTTATAACCTACTAGGTGGTGTCAGGTCTCGTCTGCGTTAGCGGCTCGCCAGACTTGCTCTCTATAATAGAAAGCACGATTATAGGCCTATAAGCTCCCTACGACGGGTAATAAATATCCCTCACTCTACCGCTGGCGAATCCCTTAAACTAAAAATCTATAAAGAGTATCTCGAAGAGGATATCTAAGCCGATACGCGGAGTAGGTTGCTATAACTAATCTAGGCGATTGTCTAGTAAGTAACCCTATTTAGTATTAGCTTTAAACTTATAGACGAGTAGTGAGACTTGCATGGGTTAGAAACAAACGCGCGTATCTTATAAGACTGTTAGGTGCATTCCGCTCTCTAAGCTAAGCTTCGAGCATAGAGCGAGTTAAAGATATAAGTAGTTTAATTAAATAGTACCTTACACCTAAGCTCCCCGCCTACCGGTAAATAGTAGTTAGGGCGCCGTAATACCGCCTTTAGCATGGTTCTATTATTTAGATTTCGTGCGAAGAGCATCGTTTATTCGCCTGACTTTCGACTTCCATTCAGCTCCGCTAATCTTTATACCTATCCACCCGCTAGCGATATGTACTATCTTGCGAATCTAAAGCTAGCTGCAAAACTGAAACGCGAATTCCATCCCCTTAACTGCGTAAGACCGGTCTCTAAGTCACAAACAAGGATATTAGCTAATAAGGACGCCCCGTGATTAAAGGTATATTAATTTACTACTAAACATCACTGTAATAAAAGTACTAGCAATTTGGGCCTACATAAATAAGTATATTGCTCTGGTTGCATCCCCTCGTTATCTTCCTGGGCCGCCGCGGCTGCTTATTGCCGCTGGCTCGTACGAAGAGGGCTTCGTCAAAGCTACTTACAGCGGCTTAGGAAGGCGTTAATGCGGGCAAGTCATATTACGGCTCTAAGAATTGCGTAAAGCGTTGTAGTCGAGAATTGGCTGTGTAAGGTTTTCCTAGTGCTATCGCCTGCGTGGCCCGTATCTGCTTTGTATCTATATACTGTGGGGCCCGTGACCGGAGACCGGTCTTACCGCAGCCAAAGGGATAGGTAACATGCAACTTGGGTCAAGACCTAGTTGCAGAGGTGTATTTCCTCTGGCCAACTTAGCCTTTGAGAGGGCTCTTTAACCACTCTTATTGGTAGAGGTCTCTTAAGACGACCCTCTTGGAATTCCCCACATGCGACTAGCTTGCATCTATGACATGCCGTTTTTTTTAGCTTCCATAGCGAATTGCATACGGGACTCGGTATACTTAGATTCTTAGGGCATTGCTGAGCTTAACTGGATTTTCCTATAATTTAAGAACAAAAGATGCGCCAAGAAACACGGTTACGATTGAACATATAAGTCGACGCGTGGTGGAGGTTGCCCGAAGTAGGGGGTGCCTAAAGTTTAGGGGGGTGACTTATTAAGTCAGACAGTTAAAGGGACGAGGTTTGTGTGTTTTACCTAGACTGATATGTAGCACTATATATATATGATACCCTTAAATGCTAACTTAGCTATAGCATCCTCTCGCGGTCGATGTAATAGTGGAATTCTAGAGCTGTATACGAGATAATAGCAAGAAATCGGGGGGCGGGGGTATAAATCGCTTTAGTTATAAAAGAATATTCTTTTTTAAGTTAATATCGATTTTATTCCTATTAAATTACTACTCTACCTATAATATAAAGTTCTCACCCTATAGAAAGAGTAATAGGTAGCTCTTAAATAGGTGTTTAAGAGCGTATATAGAAGTGATTAGGGGCAATAAATTAATATAATAAATAATACATACCCCTCTTCTAGCTACGCGAGACCTAAGGAGGTATTATAATATATAGATACCTCTTCTAGACCCTGATATAGCTGCTAATATAACCCTGCCCTAATGGTCCTAATGTTCTAATACGAAATTGCAACTTCCCTTAGCCTCAATGCGTAGAGATAAGTTATCCTTATGTTGACGTGTGTATGTGGCTCCTTGGGCCCTGCTTGCACGTCTAGACATCCCTTACCTAATTGACGGTTGCTGCCTAACAGTAGCCCAGCCACCATTTGGTATTCGCATGTCTCTAGGAGTTAAGACACTATTCGCGGATAGGCCGGCCTTCTATATAACCCTAGCATGCAGCGGAAAAAGAGTCGTATCCTATCCTGGTCTCCTTTATATAAATATCTATAAGGCAACCGCCTAATGTTAATCCTACCGTCGCAGAGTCATCAGCCTAGCATCGAATCTTGACGAACTAGCTAGCCTTGCTAGGTAGTATGGTCACGATGAAATCTCGAACTACTTTTGCCTTTCTGTCGCTCTTTGCCTGGAGCTTTTCACTAGTCATATCTGCCGAACCGAGAGTCAACCCTAACGACCCTCGTTTTCGCCAGTGGAAACCTCGCGGGCCTAATGACGGTGGGCTTTCCCCCTATAAGCTTGTAGGCCCTAACTAAGCATATGCATAGTTCGCAGTGCGTGTCCGGGGCTAAACTCGCTCGCCAACCACGGGTTTCTACCACATGATGGAAAGCAGGTCGACGCGACAACTATTGTTCGCGCATGCTTCGAAGGCTTCGGGCTATCGCCCGAAGTGCCCGCAATCATCGTCTTAAAAGGCTTACAGGACGCCGGGCTCAATCTTAATAGCAAATTTTCCTTACATGATACTGACAGAAAGTCGTGGAAAATCGAGCACACCCGCAGTCTCTCACGCGAGGACCTCTTTCCGGGCGGCCCCGAGCCTCCAGCGCAGAGCACGTCATTTTTCCAACAGCGACCGTGGAATGTCGCTCTTGGGGTACTAAGAAAGTGTGGAGGGAAGGTAAACGCGCTCTGCTTCGGGAGAGCACACGCTGCCCGGGTCCGAGATGGAAACGTACGCCCACCGAGGACGCCCTACGACATGTCGGCTGCTGGCCACGGTGCCGTAGAGCGCGCTAGGATCACACTTGCTTTGGGTGATAGGCACGGCGCACCACTCAAATTCCTCGAGTCGGTCTTCGCGAAAGAGAAGCTTCCGTGGGACTTAGGGTGGAGACCTAGAGCATTTTCGGGTCAAATTAACGAGATGTTGAATTTCGCAGTGGAGTCACAAAAGGCTGATAAAATCTTGCGATGTACCACGAATGGTAGAGTGGCCACGAGATTTGTAAGTTTTCCTTTAACGAAGAGTGCACACGCCGATTTAACCAAGACGATAGGACATCATTAGGTTATTTGAGTCGAGCAAGCCCGGTTTTATTAATGACGTAAAGAGTCTTATTAAGAAGGCTGGTTTCGCTAAAACAAATTCTATCTTCGCCGCATTAGATGGGATTGAGAGGGAGAAGCAGCATGGGACCAGCTCGTCAGCGGAGTGCAGAAACGACGCGAAGAACCATCCGCATCCACCCCATCCTCTTCATCGAACTTCACCTAAACACCAGCACGGAGGTTACGGAGGCGGGCACCATCACGGCGGGCACCGCCCCGGAGGCTACGGAGGCGGGCACCATCACGGCGGGCGCCGCCTCGGAGGCTACGGAGGCGGGCACCATCACGGCGGGCACCGCCCCGGAGGCTACGGAGGCGGGCACCAGCACGGCGGGCATCGCCCCGGAGGCTACGGAGGCGGGCACCAGCACGGCGGGCACCGCCCCGGAGGCTACGGAGGCGGGCACCACCCCGGAGGCCATGGTCATTACTGACGCCGATATCAAGGCTATGCTCGAGCGGACATGGACGACTATTCGGGCTTGCGCGGATGCGAGAAATAAGATTTAGAATAGAAATCTATTCTGATTTAGTTAGCATCCTCTTTTTTAAACGTAAAGTTATTTTATACTATAATCGCCCGACGTCGTTCCTCGAATTAGGCTCAAAAGCTTCATCGTTGAGGTCTCGGGAGGGCATTTTCGACTTCCCTAGCATTGATGTTGATGACAGCAGGATAGCGCGAGAATAACTCGGGAACCCCAGCGGGATCAATTGGCTTGCAAAGCGAAGCGACGGTCGTGGACCTCATTGCTAATTTTCAACGTTCCTTGGCTAGGATAACTTACACATTTAAGGGCGCGCAGCAATCAGCAATACCTTCAGCAGCTATAATTAATACTCTAAAAACTCTTATGGCTTCGCAACAAGATTCTCAAACTTCGCAGGAAGCTATTCCAGCCGTGAATGGCTTCGAAGAAACCCTTTTCAGTCGTAACCACTGTCAGCGCGAGCAGCCAATTGACTGCACGGTCCGACCGAGCCCAAACGGGGCCCCGAATGCACCCCTTTCCACGTACCCGAGCCTTAGCCTCAAGTCCAACCTCTTCTACCAACGCCGCTGTTACTTTTCCAGCAATTTATACCTATCTTCCTAGTAGAAAGACGGGTTAGGTACACGAATACAGGCCCTCAGTCGGGTCCAAGGGGTCCAAAGCAGCGCTATTCACGAGAGTGTAGTTGGAGTAATACTTATCTTGCAGAGGTATTTATTTGCCTTGCTACTCTTATGTATATGGGCTTGCATAGGGATACAAGAGTTCGAGACCATTGGAAGGCTCCCTCATCTAGTTCCATGCTCCTAACGCACCCAATACTACAATTTATGTCGTTCAATAGCCTCCATGTCTTCCGGTCTTTTGGCGCGCTCTTCGCCAAAGTGACGTCCCCTATTGCGTCCCTCATGGAAAACGAGAACTTCTCAAAGTTCTACCGAGAGGCCTATGGGATCCACATCAACATGCGGCTTTTGAAGTCCTGGTTCGACCTCAAGGCACACAAGCAACCAGGATGGCGCATCATCGAAATTGGCGCGGGAACCGCTTCCACCACTTTGCCAGTCCTGAATCAGCTTGGCAAGGACAGCGAAATGTCTCCTCCCAGCTTCTCACACTGGACCTTCACTGACATCTCTGCCGGGTGGTTTGAGAATGCCAAGAACACCCTCCACGACCGGAAGTCTCGCGTTGAGTATAAGGTTTTGGACATTGACAAGGATATAGTAGTAGTCGTCACGGCCCGCTATAGGGGCTCGATAAAGATGCCTCGGATATTTGCCGTCATTTCTAGCATATTGGACATGACGTGGCTGTAAAAGACATGACAAAAGCAGTTGCAGAGGCGAGCGGCAAGACTGTTGTCTCTCTTCTCGACTACGATGAGCCAGTTGTGGCATTGCAGGGGTCCCATGCGTGGCTTAAGGACGCAAGTGCTCGCCAACTCTCCTGCGAGGTCGAAATAGAGCCATTTCAGAAGCCCTTTGGCATCAGTACCCTTATTTAAGTAGATGGCCATGGATCCGTACGCCTCGCCCGACTCTTCGCCACCAGGCCATACCATCTTGGCGATCTTAGCATTATTCTGAGCATCTGGTGCCTCGACTGCCCAGGGTAGAATGTTCCCATCTGCAACTAGCACTCTAACTCGGTTGGCGTTGTCAACTTTCACCGGGTAGAGCTGGTCTCTCATGAGCCCTGACCCGGCCACGGCTGTCTTCTCCGCTGCTTCTTTATTGAGCCTTAGTTCTGTCCTATCTCTGCAGACAATTCTAATGCGCCGGTGTTCTTAGCACCCTTGACTATAGCTGCATATCGCCAGGTGTCCTGTTCGTCCTTCAAACCCATCTCGTTTCAATGACCTGTCGGATCTCTCCGACTTCGGCCTTGCTCCATTCCTGGTCCTTGGCTCTACACGCGTCGACGGTGCAGTGAGGGTCACGGTGGAGGCCCTTGGGTTTATGCGCATAGACAAAGGGATGTTTTTATTACCAGCACGGATGGGTTCGCAAAAATAAAAATAAAAATTAGAGACGTGTAGTTTAGAGGTGAAAAGGCGAAGAGACTAGGTATGGCCCTCCAATTCACAACCGCAAGTGAGGGGGGATTGCATCTGAATCCACTTCCCAAGTACGGTTTATAATTCCATTAACATGCTTGAATTATTCGCATACATCAACGAGAATGGCAGCGCGTGGTTAGACTCTTCGAAATCCATGAGCCTACACTAACAGGCACATTCCAACCTGGTGTGGATCTCCCATCGCCTTCAGGATGAAGTCTCTCGTCATATGACTCGGATACGTCCAGCCATTCATGGTGGTAGATGGCTCGCTCTGCGATGGGAAAGCCGTCGATCTCTCGCATCCACATGAAGACATTGCGCGTGACCATGTCAGAAAGGTCCATTCTTGGATGCAATCGATGGCAATCAGGCACAAATGCAGCTTCGCCTGTATCTGGCCAAGGTAGGTTTGTCGTGTCGCGGGATAAGGTGCAAATGTTCTCTGCTTCTTGGATTTCATTTCTTCCGCCAACGCAAGTCCATCTGATCTTTGAGAACCTTAGCCCATGCTTGCCTGGGCACAGCGCATGAGTTCGGACATCAAGGTTCAAATCCTCGATGGCTGTTGCGCCCGGTGGAGGGTATGGGTAGATTGGAGGAGATCTCTCCTTGTAGGCGCCTTGACAGAGGTACTCCAATCTGCATTCATCAGCACGAGTGATAGAGTTTGTCTCGTTGGGGAGGTAAGAGACTGGCTCCTGAATGAATGACAGGACAGTTCCTGTCCAAGCTGCCTCGTGGAGGTCAATTCGGTTAAGGCCGAGGAGCCCATGAAGATTCCTCAAAAAGCTCTTGTGGGCACCGGTAATCATGGCCCCGAGCCAGAGGAAGCTGAGACGGGGGCCTCGAATAAAGAACATGCAGGCAAGTATATGAAGGTCCTGGGCGTACTCGGACTGCAGAACGGCAATTGTGCCTTGTAACCATGCTCCACATACATTGCATGGTATTTCAGGTTCGTAGAAGAGACTGCCCAGAATGGACTTCATACCCCAAGAGTTGCAGCTGAGCGTTAGCAGCCTATCCAGTTGCCGAAGATCTTGACCCCAGATCGGAATCGGCGAGGCCATGCTCGAGGCTCCCCCATAACACATCTGGGGCGGCGGAAGCGAGACCCTTCTGCAGTCGAGATTGGCCAAAGGAAGGAGAAGGGCCGCTGCCAGAGCTGCGCGATTCTGATCCTTGGCCGAATGAAGGGCCGAATATTCTTCGATGTAACGCACAGCAGCCTCGAAAGACGGAGGGAATCGCGAAGAATGGGCTGCGTTTTTTGAGGTGCCAGATAGAAGCATGGCAGGCATCGACTCCAACGTCACGGTCCAGGGCGACAAAAGTTGGTAGCGTTCGTGGGGGATCGAGGCTTTCCAGCCTGCCCCGGGGGCGAGAACCGCGGCCCACCAGCGCGCGGCGTCGTCATTCACGACACGCAGTTCCACAACAATGGTTGTTGTGTCCTCCGATGCATGGGACTGGTCGCCTGCCCACCTGGCCTGAATGCCGGTATACTCGATCGGGGCCGCGCGGGGAATGATGACGGTCCAACGCGCAGACAAGGCATAGGCCCATCCAAGCATCAGCACAGCGAGGTGATTCCCCCTGTTTCCGAACCATTTGGGGAATCCGACGTTCGGGTCGTTGGTGATCAGTACCTTTGTAGATTTCCCAATGGATGGATTCATCTGAAAGCGCTGCTCAAAGGAGGGCATGTCACAGGGTCCGATGGCGGGCTCCCAGGTAGATATAGCCGTTAATAAGCCGGAGTCGTCGAGATCCAACCCGACGGGAAGGAAGGGATGTTCAGGGAAAAGACTATCCGCGGCAAGGCAGGGCGAGGGAAGTCGCCGGTCTTGACAAGCTTGCTTCCATAAGGCGAACCAGGTCCTCTAGCCTCTCTCATAAAAAGCTTTGTAGACGGCGTCACTCGGCCGAAGGGCATCTTCCATTTTCGGGGGGATTAAATCGGTTAGAATGCAGCGAACCGAGATTCTGCAATGCTTGTGCGCATGGCATTATGTGGTGGTGGTGAGAGCAACATTTGTTTCTTTCAGGGAGCGCTTTTGCGTTTTTGTTTTCGAGCCCGCGCGGACCATATCCCCCTGTAAGGCCCATTCTTGACGCGCGACACCGTGGATCAAATGGTCACTCATGGTAACTTGAGCAATTTTTTTTTTGCCAAGCACAATTGAGAGGCACAGTGACGCTGCGTGGAGAGGCAAGGCATGGGAGACAGACCATTGAGGAGCAACTCTGTAGGGATGTATTGAACGGGAGGAGTCACTGGAAGGTAGCTGCGCGAATAGCTTCCATTTAGCAAGAGGCAGAAGAAGTTGACGGTGCAGACTGCTCTCCTCGGTTAGAGATTTCGTGACATTCTCCCGAAATTGCGTTGTATGTCTTTTAAAATCTCTTGCGGTGAGTGAAGCCAGTCTCGATTTTTTCTTTTCCATTTCTCTTCGCACATGATGGAAGCAATCTGCAGCCTGGATTCTCTCTGATTGTGTTTTCATGTCGTATCCCACGCCAAACAGAGCGGCATCGTCATTCTTGTAGAGCTGAAAGGACATGATTTCTTCAGAGACAAGGTAATACCTGAGGGAAATCGTGAATAAGTGGGAAGTGATACAAGAAAAGAAGCTAGAGCTTGGGCAAACGAGCGTCAGCGCTGTCAAGAGGTCAGCGAGAAGGGCGTCAGAACGTCAGCAGGGCGGGCGTTTCGGGTCTTGTCTCTGACCAGGTGGGTGAGGAGAACCTCGGATATGGGGTTTACGGACTGAATAACCAATCAGATGCGAGGCAAAAGACCTTGGCCAATTAAGAGGCTTTACGTGTCCTCCGTGTGGTGTCTTGGTCCCCTGTGACGTGCATCTGCTGGACGCGAGCCAGGTACACCATTGTCCTAAACAAAGCACTGCCGCAGAAGCATATAACAGTCGACTTAACGACAGCGCTCAGACTGGTGCGGTCGAGTCGAAGTACTGCGAATGCGGACAGGTAGAGACTAAGCTGTGCTCCTCCTATAATGCCCGAGGTGGGATGAAGTGAGGTGTCTGATAAAGAGCAGGAGGATCGCGATGGAGAGAGCTGATCTTTTTCTTCTTGGAGGATGGAGTGATACAAGACTGTCGGATTGCCGTTCGTCGACGGAACCAGGGGCAAAGGGAAAGCCAGGTATATCTTTTACGGATACGTAGCCCGGCCCCAGATACGGGGAAGGGAGGGGAAAGGGGAGAGGGGGAGTGTGGAGCATGGTTGAGGCCTGAGGGTTTGGCCAACTTTACCCGCCCCCACCCCCGGATGGCGCCGCACCTTCATGTAATTCACCTTAATCTATGGAAAGACTAGTTGGGCTGATTTCAACGCCTTGCGGGCTCCTTGAAAATGATCCAAGTGCAACTTTTTGGTGGTGAGCTGTTATTCATACGTAATATCTGCCGACCAACTATGATCAAATTCGGCCCCGAAGTGTCCACACGACTTTCCAAAACCACTCATTCAACAGCTATGTGCGCTTACTCGGTTGCTGGGTCTTCGTGTCGACCCAGGAGACCAGCGAAGGTGCACTCCAAGTATGCTGGCTAAGGCACCCGGGGAACGTGCATGTTGGTGTCATAGAGAAACGTGGTTAGCAATAGCCCGCGGCTTGTAGCTATAATGCCAACCATCAGCAACTTAGACTCGTGAAAACATGTCGCATGTTTATTTCATCAAAGATGCTCCGACCACACACATACGTTGACGGGCGCCTTACCTCTTCCTCGAGTACCTGTTACTTGGATTTGCTAGATCCACACTCTTCTCCACTCGGCCACGTAAAAGTATAAAAGGTTTGACCGGTATTGCCATTCTTGAACAGATAGCAAAGAGAGTCAACGGTTTCGTATGTAGTCCATTCTTCTGGCTTCGTTTTGACTTCCTTGCTGGAGTGTTCGAAACGGAAATATCCTCTCTTGTAGTAGACTTCTACTTCGATTGCCGAGGGCGCATTTGCATCTCGAGAACTTGATGAAGCCCCATGACTGCTGTCGTCGACCGTAAGTTCTGCCAAAGAATACTCGACACTCGTAGTTAAAGACGAATGTTCCTCCTGGTAGTCGGTTTCGATCCCTTCCAGAACGACGATGATGTTTCCCTCTCGGTCCTTATCGACAACAGGATAGCTACTGTAGTCCACATGCTTGCCCTTCCGACCGTGTTCCGGGCAAGGCTTACAGACAACCCAGCCAGTGTGATTAGGCACCAAGGCTGAAGGTATGTAGTGGAGGGTGGAACCGCAAACTTTGATCTTCTTCCGACAGCCTTTGGCAGCGCAAGTTTCCTTCTCATGCACATTGTTCCCATGGCCGCAGGCCCTGCAATCACCGCTCAAGCTGGACGATTTCATCGGTGACGGGTGATAGGCAGAGAGAAAACAATAGACGAGCTGGGAAGTGAGTTGTCTTATTTGCAGAGCATCGCGAGAAAAAAATCACTAGCAGAGTAACAAACGACTCTTATATATATTTGCATTCATGGTCCAATGATCCGACTCTATGCTTGTTGATCATATCCGCTGATGCGCTGGGGTCTGTCTACCGCTCGTGGCCCTGCAGCCTGCCCCTTTTCTGCCCGTCTGCTGCCCCATTGCCTTGATCCTCTCCGGAACAGTCAGGTCAAAGGTCGTGTAAGATTTATATAGTGCAGTTGAACATAATAGTCAATCTGGCGCATCACTTTTGCTTATGGTACATCGGCACGATAGACCTGCCGCTCACAGGTCGTCTCAAGTCTCAACTGCTCTATGGTCCAGACCGTGCTCCGTGGAGTGTATGGCCGTCAACCCTTTGGAGGGCGCCATATGTGGTCAAAGGCCTTTGCCAGCTAGGTTCGGCTACTTGTAGCTGGCCAACTTTCTAGACTCTTTGGAGAACCGACTTTAGAGCCAAAAGCGCAGTGGAGAAGAGACAAGTCGCAAGCAAAACAGCACGCTCGCCTTAAATCAGTACCTCATCGCCCAAGGCGTGGACCCAAAGTCAAGGAATAATAAAGACAACCTCTCGCATAAAAGGTAGGTAATTCGGCACTGGCAAGACCTTATAGGTCCGTCGAGCCTCTTGCTTATTGCATGCCCTGATATCGCTAAAGCATTCGCGTAAGTATAAAAATTCTCTATAGATGCTATCGCCACCTCCGCTTCCCCTCTCTTCCCTCTCCTCCCCTCCTCAGCTCCCTGCACCTCCTTTCAGCTCCTCCTGTTGCGCCTCTTGCCAAGAGATATCCTCGAGACCTACGAAATCCAGCCACGCTTCGCGAAGTGTGGGGGGGAGGGACGAGCGTGACTTGGAGGAACGAGCGTGAAGCGATAAATGTACAGGCGACGCGAATCGTACCTCGACCATAATACGCAGGTAGACCTCGACATAGTGAGGCTTGTTCTCTTGTTAAGCTGGTTGGCGTTGCGTTGATGATTGAAGAGCTTCCCATGCTCCATATATATATATATATCATGTCGGCCCTTTGATCGCTGTCTTAGAAGAGCCGACAACCTCAACCATCTCTACTCCCAGCCTGCCTCTCCCTCTCGCATCTGCAATGGCAAATCTCAAAGCCATGCTCCTGTAACATTATTTTCCATCGCCTGCTCGGCTATTGCTTTGCCTGCCGTGTTTAAAAGCATTGCGTTGACTTCCTCCACGATACTCGCCTGCAGCCATGACCACAGCACTTGCCAATCAGCAACCATGCTCGCCTCCAGCTAAGTCCAAAGAGGCGTCGGCATGCGACCTGCCGCCGAGAGCAGCCTCTTGAACTTGGCGCTCATCGCTTGGACTGTCATAAAGTCCGCGGCCGTGCGCGAGAGCCCAGTGTATTTAAACCGCTGCGCGTGCCAAAATTGCCGCGGGTCACGAATGTCACTCTTTAAGGAAGCAAATCCCGCTGTTATCTGGCACACTCGTCCCCTGTCCTGTTTGCTAGAATTCTTTTCTTTAGACAGACGTATCTATCGTTTGAACGGAGAATAGTATTGCATCTGCTGACGCTTTGCGGCTGGTGCATCAGGATTCTTCAACGAGACGTAGGTCTTATATCATAGCTGCTTGTGTTACACGCACTCATAAGATTTCGTAAGAGTACACGTGGGCTAGTCGACTGTTGCTAGGCTCACTGTCTGAGACGGGCCCATCGTCCGATTCTACGGCGAGCTTCCAAATCTCGGAAAACCACGTCGATGCAACGGTTCGGATGGGTAACACTGCCAGGTCAGTAGAGGACGATGGAAAGGGCGGATATATATTACTTGCAGGTTGGCCTTCCTAGCAGTACCCTGTTTCTGACTGTGAATCAAAGAGAATGGGTTCACAAGGAGTTAACTGAAGTCTCGACCCGCCCTGGGTGACGGTTCATTTATGTTTATTGACCAAATTACCACCTAGTCCGAGTCGGACATCCGGCTTCACGACCAGCCGTTGAACGTTCTTCTTGCGGGGCGTGATTCAACCGCTTGCTGTCTTTTATGGTGCATGTGAGTCCTTGAGTTATTTGCTTCCGCGTTTCTGGAGCCCTTCTACTGCCATGAGCTGACAATCTGACAACTGGCTTCTGGTGCGCCACCCGGCTGTGCTTGACAGGCTTCGACGTGAGACGGTCTCCGTAATGGATGATTCGGCAAGCCCAACCAGGGAGCAGATTGCCAAATGCCGTTTCTGAGTTGTGTGATTAAAGAAAGTGAGTCTGTTACATATCTATCTGTGTATGGAGAGAAGGATTTAGCCGTATTGCTTCTGGCCCTGCAACTGTACCTATCGGTTCCCCTTAACAACTGCGAGGCTATCCGAACAACTGTTCTGCCGACCGGGGGAGGGCCTTAGGGCGACAACTGTGGGAGATGGTCGTTTTCTCGCAGTACGTAAACTCGCAGACGACTTCCGCCCCGTACGCTTGGAAAAGCGAGAGCTTGACGGAATCGGCTGGGAAGATTCGTTTCCGCTTGACGCCAGTTAAGGTGATCCGTGTGATGCATAGCCGCCTTGTGGTCCCCAAGTGATTAGACCAGTCCACGCAGCCCAGCTGGACTCCGAGGCTCCCTCGGTGACTATTCGTGTAGCCGTTGGTAAGAGAAATTCCGCGTCAGCTGGTCTCCGAGAGCATGCGCTTTCGGCAACTATAGGAGGAACGACTCGCCCGCCAGTGCGGTAGGAGACCAGAGGATCGTCTTTCTCTCACCCCACTATTACTTGTATTCCTGAACCTGTTCATCTTACCTTTGTCTTTAACCTCGTTGTTCGTCACGTTGAAATGGCACTCGCAGTCAAAAGATACGGTATTCAAGAGCTTTGGAGGCCTACGGGAGATGCCGAGGTCGAGCAGGTGCATGCCTAACCCTATTCCTCCCAGTTTTGAACATCTTTAAAGCATAGACGCTGTTCATGGTCTCAACGGAGACTCCTGGGGCACTTGGACGGCGAAAGCGAACGGAGTCTGCTGGCTCAACCATCCAGACTTCCTTCCACAGTTCGTCGAGAATGCCCGCGTTCTTGCGTGGAGATACAACGCGAGCTTCTCTTCGCTTTTTGGCGACAAACCGTCGAACGATCGCATCCATCGCCACGCGCAAATCATCGTCGCGAATATGTCAGCCGGCCGACGGTGAGTCCACTCCTGGGGACGCACTTTGTGGCTGAATGATGTCTCCCCTACTCTGGGGGAGAAATATTCCGACCGTTTGTAGCTTGCTGGGGCCACCGGCCGCCCCATCGTCTTTCTTTGCCATTATCTTGGAGGCATCATCGTGAAACGGGTCAGATCCGCGTCTCCGTCATTCATTCGAGTCATGAAGCAGCTGAAACTCGAATAGGCCCTCTGCTACTCCGAATCGAGAACAGGTGAAGACAAATCCCAGCTTCTGTCATGACTACATCGTGATCGACGACAGCGCTGCACCTCTCTATGACGACATAGAGCGAGCAGGACTTGCGGCAGATCATTCTGGTTTGGTCAAGTTCGCGGATGCTTCTGATCAAGGATTTCTCATGAGATACTGTGGCCAGGCCCCGGTTGACATTGAGCGGAAGCGTAGGTATGCCGATGGAACTATTGGTCGTGAGCGCCATCGGGAAGCCGTGGATACGATGCAGAGACTCGGAGGCGCTGCATACTAATTTACTTTGGCAAGTCAGGCGTCAACATATCGGAGAACTATGAACGGCAGCTCTGACGACCCCGTCACTCGCATTTTGGGTCTTGGCCACGTGTAACTGAGGGAAGGCTCGTTGGTGCCTTTTGCAAGCCTTCTCTTTGGTCTTTGGCTATGAAAAAAGAATGATATTCTCGACTTGGCTTCATATGGGGGCAGTCTTGATCATGCAGAGTCGCACCACCAGGTTCCGGAGGCCAACCCAATGACTGTGAAGGGTACAGGCGAGTACTCGATGGAGTCCGAATGACGAGCATTGTACGAGTATGCCGCAGAACTCCCATCCAGCCCCTGTACGCATCGCAGCCTCCGGAGCTTTTGTGATTGGCGAAGGAGAGCAGGTAGCCTCGATTCAACACAAGCAAAACGACGACAGGCCCGTCACTATCGAGTTTTCCAACGGCTTGCCGATTCCCCGTTGATTCAATATTGTCCGTCTGTTTACATTTCGCTGGCGGCACCCGACTAGGCGTGCTGTCAAACCCGGCGAAGTCAACGTTTTTCCGGACTACAGGGGAAAAGAATGGATTGAAGTATATAACTATGAGTTCCGCAAAGGCGGAGAATGTCTAAACGACGGATTTGAAAAGTCCCCCGCCCGTTCTCTTAGATGCATCTGAAGTAGAGCTCGGTCGCCGCCGGGCCTCATAGCCCATGCTCGGCCGTGTCTTATTTGAGCTCGTCGTGGACAATAGCATTTGACCCGTGCTCCAGCTTCTCCTTCGGTATCATTGCCTGCAGCTTCTTGCACTTGTCTTCGCCTCGCGCAACAACTTTGGTGATCTCTGCTTGGACCATGGTGTTGTTGGTCTGTTCGAATCCGGGCATCACGCGTGGTCCACGATGGCTGGATGCGTGAATCATGGCCAGAGCAACGAGGGCCGCGCACTCTCCCTGGGGCAGAAGGTTGTTTCTGATGCGCTGCAACACGTTTTCCGGCAAGGTGTTAAGATCGACGCCGCCGGAGGCAACATCTCGGTCAACGTCCATGGGCGCCTCAACACCGGCATACTCGTCAGTGTCCATTGGTTCGTTCACATGAGCCTGTTCTTCTTCAATGTCCATGGCCTCAATCGTCTCCAGCTGTTGGTCAAAGAGTTGTCCAGAAGAGGCCTCTAAATCGACTGCAAAGTAGGCAAAGATGCTCGAGCGACGCACATCCCGCGTAACGTCCACGCCTCGGGGGTTTGCTTGGTAGTCGATATAGCTCCTGTACGGCCTTCCAGCATTTCTGTCAAGTCGAAGACATTAGTATCTTCCATGGCAGCGAGTTGGGACGCGGCCGGGAGATGGACTTGCCTGACAATTACAACGTGCCCACTGCCGTCGGGGCGCCTGTACGCAACGCCCATGACACGAGGCGCACCAACGTCCGGGCGCGCTTGGCTCTCCGGCACGCCGCGCGAAGCCCGCGCCGGACCTCCCCCTTCCCCGTGGTATGTCTACACATGGAAGAGGAGGCCGAGCCGCTCAAGTGCGGCCATCATGTTGGACATGGAGACGCCAGACGTGCCCGGGCGAGGCACCGCAACGCCGGCGCGATTCGAGATGTCTTCAACCGTCGTGCCGAGGAGTCGAGCAGATGTGACGAAGAAGCAGTCCGCCCGCAGGGGCACCTGCGTCAAGAAGTCGGCAAGAGCCCCGAGCGCTTGGAGCTGCACATAATATCGTCGGTGGAGAGACTTTGGTTCTACTGCGCCACCCGTGTCATCTGAACCCGGATCAGCTTCAGCGGTTCTAGTATGAATACACTTGCTCCTTCTATGGTGTCACGTTGCTTACCCGTCTTGCTGGAAGCAACAGCGTTGTCCAAAACGAACACGGCATCCGAGAAGCTGTCGACTTCAGCATTGGTGACATCTGTCGTGCGGACAAGACCGGCGCTGGCTTGGTGAAAGCTGAGCAGCGTGCTGAGCAGCACCGACAGAGCGGAGGCTCTCATGGTTTCGAAAGGTGAAGATCTGGTTAAAGAAGATATATACGTGAATGGTGTAGCGAGTGGCTGTGACTTGAGAGAGTGGAAGAGATGGTGAGTGCAAATTGAAGAAAGCAGAGAGCCTCTTATATACAGAATCTCGCCAGGCCTCATCAACGACGAAATTCATACCCCGTGTAAGTCGCATGCGGGTCCATATTCAGGCCACGCTTGAATGTGATCAAAAGTTCTTGCTTGACCGAGTCTGAAGCCGACAGCTAAGAACCACATCGTATCACCAGCAGCATTTGCGATTGGCTCATCTTGTAGCATGCCTCCACAAGCCATCTACCAAGCCATGAGCTTATTACAAGGCTACATGCACAAAATCCACGAGTAGAACAGCGGTAGCCCATGGTCATTTTTGGCAAGCGACTCCGCGGTCGATGGTAGTACCGTTAGGAGTGCCGCCTTCTCGGAAATATCAAGGTGCGGGAGCGGGAGATATACAGTGGAGACTTGGAAAGCTTCTTTGACAGCTTCCATAAACACGTGGGTTGGCCAGGCAAGGACAAGCCTTTGCGACGGGAAGTGGGACTTGGTTCCAGAGGACGAGGCCACCACGGTGCTCACGCAGTCGCAGCGTACCGACTGGGAAACTCCAGTCAGGGTTCCGTAGAATTTAGATTGATGGGGACCAGGTATTCCCCTGTCCTTGACAGTTTCTTTCCTGCCAGACATCCTTGCTACCCGTTTGCTCACAGGTGAGATCGGTTGAAGCCGACTTCAGCGATTAAGTTAGGCTACATCCAGAGCACGGCCGCTCAACCACGTTTCGGGAACGAGTGTGAGCTGTGTTGGCGGCAACAATACAGATATGGCACTTCTATAGTGACTGTCATGGTTGTTGTAGGGGGGGAGAATACTCGAAAGAGCACAAGTACGAGTCAACTCCGAAGACACAGGCTCAAGTGGGCAGCATATGTCAATGAAATATTCGCCTTGCTGTTGGCAGCAAACGTGTGATATCGAGTGGATCAGGGTCTGGCCGCAGCAGGCAGAGGAGTGAAAAAAAGTGACTCGAAAAGCCTAACACAGCCATTATGCTCTACAAAGGGTCAGCAGGTCGTCTCCACTCCCCGTTCTCCTCTTGTTGTCGGCCGGGGTGTTGATATATGCCCACGGGGGGCTTATCCCGGCGTCTAACAGCACGCGATGCGGAGACTAAAGAGCTTAACTGACTAGGCCGTCCAATCGCATGCTTCAATAATGCCAGAATTGGACATCCCCCCTGACAGGCATAAATCCCGGAAGACCTTTTTACGCTCATGGATCCCGTTTGGAATCACGATGCATCCATCTGGGACGGGCTCGCTGAGAAAATTCGTCGTCTGATGTGGCATGCAACGTGATGGCCTGGGGCAATCCGATACGGACTGACTCGTCTTTGCATAAATCTGGCGACTGTCTGGGAGACCATCTCTACCAACACGAGGCTGTCGAGTGGAGAGAGATTGATCACTTCAACATCGGGCCTTGTGAGTAAACGCCTCCTCCCCAGAGACCCAGAGTGAAAGCAGCTGCAGTACAAGGGCCTCTCAATGCCAAGGTGTGATTTCAAGCGTACAATGTTGTTCCGCCGTGGTCTTCAAAACTACCCAACTAGGCAACTCCGGCCGAACACAGAGGGAATAACGAGGGAGCCCATGACCCTGGCCTACTCCGTCTCATTCCCCCGCATGGGTGCTAAAAGCCGGGTATAAAGCTAACGCACAATGGACAATACTCGTGTTAATGCGAGACTCCCCCATAGGTCGTTCTCGAGCTCTGCCTCGCCCGGGTAATGGCGGCTCAAAATTGAATCCCCACGGCCGACTGTCGATGAGTGCGAGGGTCCAAATATTTCCTGGCAGCCTTTGTTGCGATTGTCGTGAGTCTTGAAGGCGCATAATGGTGGATGGTTGAAGTGCTGACCCGCAAGTAGCACATGGCCTTGCATCTAGTCACAAAATAGGGTATCAATACATGAATGGCTTGCACGGCAGCAGGGTCAGCAAGACATGCCAATTTCTGCACAGCCATGCGTGTCGAAGAAGCCATCGGTGGAAACAACATGACTGCCAACATGAGTGCGTCTGACGATGCGGCCACCCAAAAGCAAAGCCCGCTGCAAGGGCCTGCCATGAGCTTTGCAATGGCGGCGGTACCCCCAGAAGAATTTATCGATAATTTAAGAGCAGAGAGCGTGTGTGGTGTATCGTGCAGATATGACAAGACACTGACAGTGAGATGTATCGTGACAGGAGAAAACAAAGCGCACATCCATACACTTAGTGCATGACCGGCTTCACAAACATGGCAATAGGAAATCCCTTAGGACATCCCTTCTCGAACTTGAGATGTAAACCAAGCGGGGACTGCAAGGTGGTAATGGTTGCAAGGTACGCCAGTCGACTAAAGGGCCATCTCTCAGTCTCCATAAGTCCATAGCTTAGGCAGATAAGTGAAACGTCACATCTGGCACTCTCGTGCTCTGCCAGACGGCTTTGTTATCAAGGATTACTGTTGTGTCATCCTATTGTTTACCATCGGAGAGTAAGATCTGGGTAAGGGCTTCTGTCATGGAGGCTTACTTTGCTACAAATGTCGTTGAGCTTTGATTCAACTGGCTGATGATTCTCGCCAGACATGCGGCTAAAGTGACGAAGGGCATAGACAGCTAAACGGTATAATGACTAATCGAGAACCATGATTCGATGTCACTCGGCAAATGGAAATCTCCTATTACGGAAGGCGCTCTGCACGTGACCCAGGATCGGAGCAAACTGCCGCCGCGATGGACAATGAGGGTTCTCATCCGTCTTTCTTCTTCTTCTTCCTCTTCTTCTCTTGCGCCGCCAAAGAAGCCGGCCGTGGCTTTGGCCCTCGCGGCGACGACACCTGCCGTGCCGGAGCAGCGTGGAGAGCGCGAGGGCGGGCGCGCGTCTGATTGGTCGCGCCCTGACCGCGCTCACCGTTCCTGACGCAGGCCTGAAACGGTTCTTGTCGGGGCCGCGCCAAGATGCCCTCGCTCTCTCCTCTGCCGGCCTAAGCGCTCTCCTCCCCTCTCCTCTCCTCTCCTCTCCTCCTCTTCTCCTCCCTCCGTGACATCCAACTTCTCGACAAATTGGTCCTTCACTTATTCTTTCTTGGATTCCTCTTCTTTTCAATCCCTTCCTTTTAGTCCCGACGCTCGCCTCCACCACGCTGGTTCGTGTTATTCGACCACCCCCGCCTGCCTTCTCTCACTCACACTCTCTCGCCCTGTCCATCGACTACGCGCCGCCCCAAACAAGAATATAATTCGACTGCGTTTCCGACATTCTTCAGCTCAAACTTACTCCTGGCCTCCCCCCTCCCGGGACGCCGGTCGCCCATCTCGCCATCCGCGCAACAGGGAATTACACGACATCAAGATTGTATGCGCACGGCACTGAGCCCGACTGGCCTTGCCCGACAGGACCCGGCCTAGAACACCCACCACAGGCACCCAACTCCCGCAATCATGCCCAACAAAGTTTTCCTCGCCGCGCTGGCGGCCGACGTTGTCTTCCTCATCACCGGCTGCCTCGAGCTTGGCTTCTCCCTCGTCGTCCGCAGCCAGCTCTTCAACAATCCCCAGGACGGCCAGGAAGCCGTCCGTAATCTTCTCTACCAGAGTTTCCCGCTCATCGCCGGCATCGTCAACGCCAGCTTCATCCTGGCCGCCTCCGTCTTCACCCTCATCGGCCTCATGTCCCCCATGAGGGGCTTTCTCAAGGCCGGCGGCTACACAGTCGCCTTTTGCGGCCTCTTCACCCTCTGCGTCGGCGTCTTCCTCTGGGTCAGCACCCTCAAGATCAAGGAAACCTTTTTCCCCGTCTACGTGGCCCAGGATCCGACCGTCCAGCAGCTCATACAGACGTCGGTACGTATACATCATCAGCTTATCCTCTGTCCTTTGTCTTCTTTTTTTGCTCCCAAGCACTTTTCCGCAGATCAATATTGACATGATGCTGCCACAGTTTACCTGCTGTGGCTACTTCAACCACACCACGCCGGCCTTTGTCACCGACGCCATCTGTCCCAGTCCCGCTGCCGCCGCCCTCCTCCGCGGGTGCGGAACCGCCATCTCCAACTTCTCCAACATCTTCATCGACAACATCTTCACTGCCGTCTTTGGCATGGTCGGTATGTGCCAACCCGAAATAGAGAGTGACAGCAGAGGGACCTCAGCTAACAGCAGCAACCAGGCATGGACGCCATCCTCATTCTCGCCATCGCCTGCCTCCTCAAGGACCGCAAAGAGCGCGAGCGATACCGCCACATCGATGAGAAGACTGGCTTCCGCCACTTCTAGACGGCTCGCAGTTGCCACCGCTTTTCAAACGTCAAGACAGGTTCTGGCCAAGGAGTGAGAGAGCGGGGGGGGATTCCGATTGCCCCGACTGCATAGAAAAGCATCAGCATTGTGATTTCCTTCAGCGTTGTACATTCCCTCTTCTATTCCAGTATCTAGATTGGGCGGTCTGTGGTTCTTGCTAGTGTTTCCTGCCATTTGGGTACTCTCATCCTTAATTTTGATGCTCGGAACATGGCCCAAACTGAACCCCCCAATCACACATCTCATGATACATACCTTTCTGTCCCAACTTGCATTCCTGAGCGTGAGCACTCTTTCGATTACAGTCTCGTCAGTCGTGCAATGATGATCTATGCAGTTGTACCCGGATCATAGCACCTCGCCATTCCCATTCGTCTCGATACTCAAGGCGAATGACACAAGCCCACTGTCCAAACCGCACCGCGTGTGCGTGCATTCGTATGTTCGCATCTGCTGTTCTAGGACGCCACATTCGCCTCGCCAACTCCTGGTAAGCACCTGAAAAGGGAATACAATGCCCAGCCTCGGGTCTCGCAACCAATAACCTTGCTGCCACCCGCTTCCGGCTTATCCGTCTCCTTCTGGGTTATGATCTCGAGTCTGGGACCGCAAGGCGCTGACGGCGGACGAGCGGTTGCTCCGGTTCGTCCACCAGCCCAGCGTCAGCATGTTTCGTAGCGACCCTGACGTCGACGAGCTTCTTGCCCGAAGATTTCTCCGCGCCACGAGGCCGGGGAACCCGGTACTCCTCCTCCGCCGCCGGGCCAGCTTCTGAGGGGCCGACTCGCTGCTGAGTCCCGCCTCGGCTGCCTCGGCGGAGCCGCTGTCCGCCCTGCGTGAAGTCGGCAACAGCGGCGAGCTTTCCGACCGGCCGGGCACTGTGCTCGACCGCAGCCTGCCTATAGGCGTAGACGAGTCTCGTTGGTCCGCCAACTCGCCCCATATCTCGGCACGTTCTGCCCAGCGGAAGCTCTTCTTGCGTGGGGGCGTCATCGGAGTGGTCTCGCCGTGGGCTGGCGGGAACGTCTGGTACGTCGGAGTGACGTCGTCCTCGACGACAGCCTCCGACCCCAGCAAAGATTCTTCTTCGTCTTCCGTGTCTTCGACAAGCCCCAGTCCGGGAGCCAATGTTGATTGACCAACACCAGGGGCGTGCTGCTCGTCGCTGAGCCGCCAGGATAGTGCCAAGACGCCCGACAGGAGAATGACGGTCCCGAGAGAGATGAGGCAGGCCCGCAGTGGCGAGATGAGACCGGTCTGGTTGAAATATATTAATCCATCCAGGATAGCGATAATGTTGTAGACGCAAAACACGAGAGGATAGAGGACCGATGTGGAGACGAGCTTCAAACCTCGGTGTAGGTAGTAGAGTTGGCACAGCGCCAAGATCACGAGGACCAGCACAATCATCCAGGATGCCCAATGGGAGAACTGGTTGTCACCGCCTATTGTCTTGATGACGAGCTCGACGGCCGATTTAGCGAAGAGGAGAGCATGGGCGGAAAGGTCGCCGCTGATGACGCCGTACATGATGCCGCGGATGAGGCGGAACCGAGAGTTGTGCGAAAGACTCGTCGTGTTGTTGACGACATCTACGACAACGGCGATGCTGATGACGAATAAGGCTTGCAAAATCATCCACGCGACAAAGGGCTTTCGAGCCATGAGCCCCAGGAGCTCATGCAAGTTATGCGCAGGGGAGGGGATGGCGCCGAAGATGGCGATGAGGATGGCGCCAGTCGTGACAAGGAGCGTACCGCAAAGGGACCATCGCGTAAAGGGTTCGCTGAGGATGAGCGTGGCGCATATCGAGTTGAAGACCAAGCCGGCGGCTTGAAGCGTCGAGAGAACGGGCAGCGGCAGCGTCGAGATCTGCACCGTGCTTCCGAGCAGATTCGCGATGATGAACATGGCCATGCCGAGCTGCCATCGCCGTCTGCGATAGGGCGGACGACGGACGTCGTGGGGGCCCTTTTCGTCTTCGAGGATATGCGACTTTCGCTGCAACGTCAAGCCGAGGCTCTGAACACTAGTCGACATGAGACCGACGATGATTCCCAGCTGTCGCACGCTTTTGTTAGTCTAAGCGACACGGCCCGTTCGGATGAGTCTAGGCATACAGCTATGCTCCCGCCGGGGGAGATGCCACCCAGAGATCCCATCGCGCCGCCTCCAACAGGGGCGCGATCATTTGGCGAGGAAGGGGGTCGAGTCGCCGCGTAGCCGCTGCATGAGGAGCCGAGTTTGACTTTGGTTGCTCGTTGGGGATCGCCGTCAAGAGAGTCGCGACAGTACACCGCTAGTCAAGACGGGACGCGCGACGGTGACTATGGGCGGATGGCTGGCTGGTCACGAAAAGCCGCTCTGCGACGGTTGGTCGGGAGGAGGCTGGGTGGATGGACGGATCAAGGGAGGACGAGGGTGCCAGCACCCAAAGGAAGAGAGCGGAAACGTAGGAAGCGGTGGTTTGAAGCTGAGTAGGGGGCGCGCCTGTCCCAGAGGGAAAAGAGGTCTAGACAAAACTCTAAGAAGCGAGATGCAGACACATGGGGGTGCACCACCTGACGGAACGGATCCAAGGGGGGGTAACCTCAACAGATCACAGGTACGTGAGTTATGCAGCGAACGAGGCCCCGTGCACTGCCCCAGGCGTATTCATGCAAGCTGCGTGTGGCTGGTGCGGTCACATGATGTCAGGTGATGTCAGGTGATCCCACGTCATCTCTCTGTTCTTGGGCAGGCGGCGTGTGGCTTGCGGTGACCTCTGCCGACCTGTGGCTAATGCACCCTCCCCCCCGTCAACGCCCTCCCTCACTTTGGCCGTGAGGCAACGACAAGCTCTCTCGACATCCAGCCGCCACAGCTCCTCCTATGCGTGGCAACATCACCGACATCTGCAACGACAGCCCATTCCTCACATCTGCGGTCCCCCCCCGGCTGCCCTCCAGGACCTGCTCGCCCGCCACCCGCCTTCCTCCATATCCTGCAACTTCGGCACTTCCGAAACCGCGATCATGTCACAACACGCCCTGTCCGACCAGCAGGTACGCTCTCCCCCCAAGAACCTCCGACGAGGAGCATGGCTTCGCGATCATCTCCGCCTGACCACGACAACTTTCACCACCGGGCAAGGTTGCTAACGCAAAGTTGCTCGAATGCGCCAGGTCGACAATGAGCTCCGCAAGATGACGGCCTTCATCAAGCAGGAAGCCATGGAAAAGGCCCGCGAGATCGAGATCAAGGCCAACGAGGAGTTTGAGATCGAAAAGTCCAAGCTAGTCCGCCAGGAGACGGATGCCATCGACAGCCAGTACGAGAAGAAGTTCAAGCAGGCCACCATGTCACAGCAAATCACCCGCTCCACCGTAGCAAACAAGACGCGACTCAAGGTCCTTGGCGCTCGACAGGAGCTCCTCGACGGTATATTCGAGAGCGCTGAGAAGCAACTCACTGATGGTGCCAAGGATAAGGCCAAGTACCAGAAGATCCTCAAGGGTCTCATTCTCGAGGGCTACTACGCCATGAACGACCAGCAGCTGCAACTGCGCGCACGGAAGAAGGATTACGACGTGGTCAAGAAGGCCGCCGACGAGGCGGCCAAGGAGTACAAGAAGGAGGTTGGCAGGGAAGTCGAGGGCAAGATTGACGAGGAAAACCCCCTGCCAGAGGGATCGTGCGTACCCCGCCTCCCCCCTCTATCTGGTAACAGCCGTTTTCTAACTACTTCAAAAGAGCGGGAGGCGTCGTCATCGTCGGCGGAGCCGGGAAAATCGACATCAACAACACCTTCGAGGCCCGGTTGGAACTTCTCAAGGGGTCTGCAGCACCTGCGATGCGCGAGTCACTGTTTGGCAAGAACCCGAACCGCAAGTTCTTCGATTAGAGTTACTGTCGGAATCGAGCCCGCGAAAGGCGTTGCATTGGGACTGTTCGCTTGGAGAGCTTGCCAGACCGGGGCAACTTGTTCGTCACGATGCGCGGTTCATTCAAACAGTCCGCGTACGATTCGTAAATTACATGGCTGTATCATAAACCTGATTTCATATGCAAACGTCCAAGCCAGTAGCACTGATTGCACGCTACTTGCGTTACCTTGCATTTTGCCGCCCTCACTTGATGCGCGTGAAAAGTGAAGCCTCGTCAGTCGCGGTACGGCCCTCCTCCCCTGCCGTTCACTTTGGCTGCAGAAACTTCTTCATGTAGTCTTGCTGCTGCCGCAGCACAAATGGATCCTCCCCCTGAATGCCAATGTCAAAGACACTTTTCTTGGCCTTTCTTCGTGTACGAACCGCGTGGGAAAGCCGCTGCTGAACCCACTCGACCACGCTTTTGGTTTCTGTGCGCGCCAGCTTCATGCCGGAATCGTTAATCTTTCTCCAAATCTCGCCCAGCTTTGAGGCCAGCTTGTCCACATCGTCGTTGAAATGCTTCTCGTTCTCGCCATCATCGAAATCGACAACACATCCGTCGTCGATCGCTATGTCGAAGAGAATGATGCGGGACTTGAGTTCCGCAAAGTCGGTATCCAGGTTGATCGTGTAGTCGTCACCATCGAGAAGATTGATAAAGTCTTTGATGGCCAGAATGTCTGCCGGATTGTGGCGGGCTAGAGCCGTGTCGCCGAAGAGGAAGACAGTGGCCAATCTTCGTCTGAGGTCGTGGATTCTCGCGCTGCTGAGCGGGAGACCAAGGAGAGCATTGGCTCGAATGTTCTGGTTTTTAATTCCAGCGGACAACGAGGTAGATAGTTCGAGACACTACACTATTAGCATCATGCAAGACAGCGTCTAGTTTGGAAGAGGCAAGGCTCACAAATGAATCCCAGGAGCAGTTTGGAATAGCTTCAGCGAGACACTGAACAGCGTCTTCATATTTCACCAAAACGTCAAGATTGCAAATCAGGAAACAGTCCATCGACATGCGCAACAGAGTATGCGTTGCAGACTTGACAGCCGATACGGACAAATGCGGCGATATCGTACCAAGAAGCCAGAGAAACGACTGAAGGCATGTCCAGTCACGGTCTCGATAAGGCTCTTGATCCAGATTGGACAAGGACAGCTCAAAGCCTTCTTCCTCTAGATTCTTGTCCGCCCCTAAGCGAAGGAACAGCTCCTGGAGTCGCTGCGGGGTGATGAGCCGAGCGATTTGCTCGGGGCAATCTGCGACAATGCTGCAGTACTCGGACCGCATCAGCATGGATTTTTGGATACACAGCTCGTCGAGAATCCATTCCAGCAGCGAATCCGGTAGGTTGTTCATCTTGCGAATCGCCGTCTGTAGCACACCCGATGCGAGGTGCTGCTCTCTGAGTTTCACGTTCCCATGGGTGAGCAATCGCCACGGCCCGGTTCTTGCGTCCCTCGGAGCCGCTGTGCTCAGCGGACACCTGTAGTCCGGGTCAAAGAAGCAATACCGCTGTTGGGAATGGTCCGACCCCGATCGCTGCACCGCTCTGAGGACCTTTTGAGCATCCTGCCCACTCCTCTCCTTGACGATGTCCATGAAGGCATCGCCAGGCGCGTCGTTTCTCGACAGCTTTGCCTTGTGCTCGGTTTCATCGGCAGCGGTCTTTGCTCTCATGGAGCTCGCCGTGGTCGCATCATCGAGGCGCGCATCCTTCGCCAGCGCCTTGAAATCGAACTTGTGTTTGGGCATAAAGGCCAGCGGCGATGAGTGGAAGTGAACCTCGGTCCGCTTCGCTCTTGGTGTTACGTAGGGACTGTGCTGTGGCCTCTGGGGAGGCGGCAGCGCGGTTGGGGGTTGACGACGCCCGAGGAGAGTCGAGAGATCCTCGAGCGAGTCGTCAGAGTAGCCTCCATCGCTCTTGTCATCGTCGGAAGCAGGGATTACTGAGGTAGCGGGCCGAACCGGGGTAGTGGTGTGGCTCGGCAGCGAGGACGGCGGGGGGGAGGAGAGCGGCGTGCTTGCGGTCGCGGAGCTGCGTAAAGCTTGAGGAGGCGTGTGTGGCCTGGACTGAGCAAGGGGCTTGAAGAAGTTGAGAACGCTTCCGTATCCAGCCCCGTCAATTTTCTTGTTGCCTGGCTTTTGGAATGGCATAATGGCAACCCAAGGAGGGAGCTGGGCACGGCTTGGCGGCGGTTGATGAAGATTTTACATTCATCCCCGACAAGTGTCTTTGCTATAGAGCATCGGTTGATGTCAAGGGCAGGGTCTGGCAGGTGGACTCAGATATTTGGTGCTGGAGATGAATAAGGCCAAGGTCAACGCGTAGGTACGAATGCATCTGCATGAGGTTTCACGGCGGCTCTGCTAGAGGCAAGGCGCGCTGTCACGTGACCTAATGGATCATGATTACTTAATCGCCTCTTTCTCTTCCATGCAGTCAATTAAGAGACAGAGGGGCAAGTTGAGCTGTGGCTGGCTTTGGACATCCTGCTACGTACACGGCTGTCGAACCTACTCTCGGTTTTGTCACGATCGACTTGCCCCGAAGGTTGCGACACATCTCTTGCCCCTTTGGAGATGGCCAATTATGACTCTCGCTTCCCGTCCGCACTATAGCCATGTCTGCGGCTCTTGTGGATGTGGTTGGTTCTTAGACAAATCTCGCCAATCTTGACCCTAAGCGGACAACTGCTTCCGCCGTGGCAACGCCCATTGGGTCCAGAGCACAGCACAGCTCTGGCGCCCGTCATGTGTCTGGGAAGTGATAAGGGGAGCTACGTATGGATGCGCATGCGCGATGCCATGACGGGCAGCAGCCAGTCAGTCGTTATAGAGGGCGCAGGCAAGGTTGTGCCTCGTAAATTTTTTCTCCCGCCGCGGAGGAGGCAAGGGGCCTATCGTGAGCCGAGAGCATGCCAGCCATGGCCAACGCGACTCATCCTGCAGACTGGTGGGCGGGGGCGGAAAGGGGGCATTGTTGGCTGCATTTTCCACCGTTTGATTCGTGCATGATTCGCTTCTCATTAGCTGGTACTGGCATATCCGTGCAGGCAGCCCACGGCCATCGTGGGGGCCGTCAAACGGGGCGAGCTCCCACTCGCTGCGATATTCGTCGAGTCATCACGTATGTAAGACTTTTACGTACGCGTTGCACAGAACCTATATGACCTCGAGCCGCACTCAGATGGGCGTCCATTACTCTTTGCACGTCATGTTTTATGGGCACCTGGCTTGACAGCGAGTTTTCCAACTGCATTCCAGGAGTCGGCAGCCCGAGCCCCGCCGAGAGAGACGTGTTTTTGAAGAAGAGTCCAGGCTTCATTAACCTCCTTAAAATCACGCAGACGCCAGTTCGTATGGGGCCAGTAAGCTTCTGATCCTGTATGCTTCGTGGAGACAACTACCCACCCCGTAACTAGGTAGCAGTTTAGTTATAAAAAGTCTGGGCACCAATGCGCACTAACAGTTGAGAGGCACTAGCACTAATGCTGGGCGTATCGACATTTTTGTTACCCTTTTCTTGGTGCTAGTGCCAGAAACACCACCTGTTTGCCAAACTCGCTGATGTGCCAAATCGGAAGCCTAATCATGGAAGGGGGTGACTTGGTCCGTACCTGGCAGGTACTTGGTACTCCCTCATCAGATGGAAACAATCTCAGGGGGGATAAAAAGGGGGTACGTAGCTCCGCTGATCTGATGGGGTAGCTTGTGCGGCGCAGGCTGCAAGCAAAATACAAGTCAAGGGGTGCAGAACTGCAAAGCGAACAGCAGCATTGGTATTTGCTGCAGAAAAGTCGTCGTCGCTTGACGTCTAAAGTAGGCTTGCCGCGGCAGCTCTAGCTTGCAGCAGCCTGCCTGGACCGAAAATATTGAACATGTGTATGCGCACTTGGTACAGGATACTTGGATACCTCCATAATTGGATGGAGACTCATCTGGAACCAACGAGCTTTTCGTGTTCAGATTCCGGAGTAGGTGGCTTTTGTGAGACCTGCATCGCCTGTGGTCTATAACGAGATGCGGTGCTCCGTAAGAAAGGATGTGAGCCCATGGAACTTAAGTGTCAGTGGCCCCCCCCCCCCGTAAGGCGCAAGGCAGGTGTCACAAAGAGCAGCGGAGGGCGCCCTTCATGGATATCTGCGCCTTGGCCCTTGCGGTGGGCACCAGTCAGCATCCCTACCGTCCATGTACAGTAGTACTGTACCGATGCTGTACAATATGTCGACACCACGCATGAAGTGGAGGGCAATAACTACTAGTAGACACTTGTCAGGAAGCTCCACGTGCATACTACCTAAGTACTAGGTAGTACGTAGTAGTACTGTAAGTATGTAGGGACCAAGTAATACTGTTAGGCATGCAGGGAGCGCCAGTTTTGGCAGAGGCTGCCGAGTACAGTACTTTTGTCCACAAGCCAGCCACCTGGTGCATACTACATGTACCTTAACCCTTAACATACTGCAGTGCCGGCGAAGAAAAGCCCGTATTTCGAAGCGGCTAGCAACGCTGTTGATATGTAACCATCTCGTGTCTCAGGAACCGCGGCGTCAAAAGGCGAGCTAAATGGCCACTTCAATGCCCACAACAAAAACACGGCTGACTTCCTGGGCGGCACTTGGATGCCGCGCTCTGTCTCTCTGTCTTGCGTCTCTCGAGTCTGCGTGCCAGCCCTGAAAGCTTTGGGCAAGTCGCGGCAGCCCCTGGTTCACCGGCCGCGGGAGGTACCCAGACGGGGTTAGGGTCGGCCCCCTTGTTCCACAGGTCCTTTGCCTGCTTGAGCTAAGCCTCTGGGTACGTCTCCCACTCGGAGACGCGAGAGACGCCTTCTTACGCGCCCTGTGGCAAGGGGCGGCTGGGCAGATACATACCCGGCAGCGGCGGAGTACAAGCCAGAAGACCGTGCTGCATTGCTCGAAGCGGGAAGGCAAGATATTGCCGGCTGTATCAGCATGCAACACGCAGAGAACCGTTCGTGTTGTAGATCCGCGCAAGGGTGCATTTGCCTTTCCAACAGGAGGCGGTCGGGCGTCAGAGGATCCGAAGAGAGACGACGCGGCTGACCAATGCCCGTGTCGCGACCGAAAGTTCCGTCAGCACGTCTTGGCCCGTCTGTTCCGTTCAGACCGATGGGTTTCTCAAGGGCGATCCAAGGCCTCAGCGGGCTGATCGACCGAGACTCTTCACTTGAGGACTCGCACAGTAGATATCTCGAGAGAGAGAGGGGACTGCTTGATACAACTACGGTACACAAGAAAACTCGGGCCTCCCAGACAACTCGCCCATTGCTGTATCGCCAAGCTCGGTCATTCTTTGGTTGTCGGATGGGCCGGGAGCTAGTCGCATCCGAATTCTGACTGCTGAGGGTCAGCCGGAGAGGCAGCGCAGCTTGAGAATATCCCACCACTCGGCGTGAAATTTCAAGGTACCGTGCCGTATCCTCGACTTGTAATTAATCCCACGGTGCTCCGCTGCCGGGGGGCGCAGGGCGCAGTGCACTCACAGCAGCTTGGAACCACGTGTGTACAAGCCATCTGCGTTGATGGCTGGGGCTGGGGGGGGGAGGGGGCCACTGTCCCTCCCTTGCTGTACGGATACGCACGGGACCTGGGCCAGTCAACGTCGAGCTCTCCTAGCATTACTCGTACCCGTACTTGCAGGTACGCCTGCACCCTGTACTTCTGCACCTAGCCCGCTGCCCGCCGTCGCCATGTACTGTCTCGCGCAACGTAGACGACTCGGGGTACATGTCGCCGTGGCCTCTTTTCATTACCAAGCAGGTACCTCGCCGAGCGTTGTGAATTCCATCCCCCTTCTCTGTCCCTTCGCTGCATCGCCGTCTTTTTCTCTCGCACACACAAGCACACGCCCATCGACCCTTGACGACACGTCCCAACGGTGACGACCTGTCGACCCGGTGACGCCGCCGCCCACCGTCGTCGCGACAGAGAGCAAGGCCACCGCTGTCGCTGCGGTCTCGCCGTGCCTCGTCGCCCTCGTCGGCCCTCGTGGTCGTGTCGTGTCCAATTGCCTCTCGGCCCTCGCGTCCGCCTCGATCCCGAATCTACCGCACACTGGCTGGCCACTTGGGGTTGAACGGGCGATAGCCCGCGGCTTTACGTCCATCATGGCCTCATCCGCCAACCTCGACCCCGGTGCCGACGCCATGTCCCAGAAACTCGAGCACACGCAGAGGGCACGCTGGGCCACCCGCAAGATGACAATCAAGAGCAGTCGCACCAAGCGGCTCTCCCTAATCAACCGCGTGCAGCACCGGAGAACCCCGTCCAACGAGAAGGAATCTGCGGGGGGTCAAGGCAACGAACCACCTTTGGTAGGCTCTGGCGACGGAGACGCCCAGGACTCGGATTCGGACTCGGGAGAGTCGCACGACGACAGTAACAGCCGCACGCTGTACTTCAACCTCCCTCTCCCCGGTGAGCTACTCGACGACGGCCATCCGATGTACAGCTTCCCGCGGAACAAAATCAGGACGGCAAAGTACACACCACTCTCGTTTATTCCCAAGAACTTGTGGTTCCAATTCCACAATGTGGCCAACATTTTCTTTCTCTTTCTTGTCATTCTTGTTGTGAGTATCCCTCTTCCAAACTCGTCCAAGAGCCGCTCGATACTAAGTCTTCCTCCCTCGCCAGGTGTTTCCCATTTTTGGCGGAGTCAACCCCGGGCTCAACGCCGTTCCCCTCATTTTCATCATTGTCGTCACTGCCATCAAGGACGCCATTGAAGACTACCGACGCACCATCCTCGACATCGAGCTCAACAACGCCCCTGTTCACCGGCTACACAACTGGAACAATGTTAATGTCGAGGAAGACAATGTTTCCTCGTGGAGAAAGTTCAAAAAGGCCAATTCGCAGTTCTTTGGCTCCATGTGGCGTGCCATTGAGAGTTTGTGGTCCAAGAAGGCCAGGACCGTCAGGGTGGAGCGCAAGGCGCGCAAGTTGAACCCTACAGAGGAAGATGAGGGCCGCATCTCGGTTGAGACTGTGCGCACCCGGAGGTCGATGCGCGAGTCTCTCACCTCACCATTTGCCGCCGAGTCTTTCGTGTCTGCGCGAGAAGATATCCAGATGACTCCCGTACCGTCCCCCATTTCGGCTAGCAATGTTAATGTTCCTCGGATTGAACTGCCCGACGGTGACAACGGCGACGACGACGACAAAGAAGACAACGACGCCAAACGCGACGCGGCAGCCCAGTCGATGAAATCTGACCTCATCAACCATCGGCATGCCCCTCAGGGAGCCAGGTTCAAGAAGGATGCCTGGAAGAGCCTCCAAGTCGGGGACTTTGTCCGAATCTACAACGACGACGAACTGCCCGCCGACGTCATCATCCTCTCAACTTCGGACCCTGATGGCGCCTGCTACGTGGAGACGAAGAACTTGGATGGCGAGACGAATCTGAAGGTTCGCCAGGCTCTGCGCTGTGGACGATCTCTCAAGCACGCCCGCGACTGCGAGAGGGCCGAGTTCAGGATCGAGAGCGAGCCTCCGCAACCCAATCTTTACAAGTACAGCGGTGCCGTTCGATGGCATCAAACGGTCCCCGGGTACCCCGACGACGAGCCCGAGGACATGACGGAGCCCATCACCATCGACAATCTCCTGCTGCGAGGATGCAACCTCCGCAATACCGAGTGGGTTCTCGGCGTCATCATATTCACAGGGCACGACACAAAGATCATGATGAATGCCGGCATGACGCCTAGCAAGCGCGCCAGGATCGCCCGTGAGATGAATTTCAACGTTCTCTGCAACTTTGGCATACTTCTCATCATGTGCTTGCTCTCAGCCATCGTTAACGGCGTGGCCTGGGCAAAGACGGATGCCTCACTCCACTTCTTCGAATTTGGCTCCATCGGTGGCAGCCCCCCTATGAGCGGCTTCATCACCTTCTGGGCCGCCATCATCGTCTTCCAAAACCTGGTCCCAATTTCCCTCTACATCACACTCGAAATTGTGCGCACGCTCCAGGCCGTCTTCATCTTCAGCGACGTGGAGATGTACTACGACAAGATCGACCAACCCTGCATACCCAAGTCTTGGAACATATCCGACGACGTTGGTCAGATCGAGTACATCTTCTCCGACAAGACGGGTACTCTCACGCAAAACGTCATGGAGTTTAAAAAGGCGACCATCAACGGCCAGCCCTACGGTGAGGCCTATACGGAGGCGCAAGCCGGGATGCAAAAGCGACTTGGCGTCGACGTCGAGAAGGAGACGGCGAGAATACAGTCTGAAATTGCCGAGGCCAAAGTCCGAGCCCTGGCCGGACTCCGCAAAATCCACGACAGCCCGTATCTTCACGACGAAGACGTCACCTTCATCGCACCGGACTTTGTCTCGGACCTGGCAGGCGAGTCTGGACCCGAGCAACAGGCGTCCAACAAAGAGTTCATGCTGGCGCTGGCCCTCTGCCACACCGTCATTGCAGAGAGGACGCCGGGTGACCCCCCAAAGATGACCTTCAAGGCACAGTCACCCGATGAAGAAGCCCTGGTCGCCACGGCTCGAGACATGGGCTTCACCGTCTTGGGCAATTCCGGTGACGGCATCAATCTCAACGTGATGGGCGAGGACCGCCACTACCAAATCCTCAACACAATCGAGTTCAACTCCAGCAGGAAGCGAATGAGCTCCATCGTCCGGATGCCCGACGGTAAAATCGTGCTCTATTGCAAGGGCGCCGATTCGGTAATCTACGCGCGGCTGAAGCGAGGCAAGCAGCAACAATTGAGGCGGGAGACGGCCGAGCACCTCGAAATGTTTGCCCGAGAAGGTCTACGAACGCTCTGCATTGCTCAGCGAGAGCTGGCGGAGCAAGAGTACAAGGACTGGAAGAAGGAGCACGACGTCGCTGCCGCAGCGCTCGAGAACCGAGAGGAGAAGCTGGAGAATGTGGCAGAGCTGATTGAGCAGGATCTGATGCTCATTGGTGGCACTGCAATCGAGGATCGGCTTCAAGACGGCGTGCCAGACACCATCGCCCTGCTCGGCCAGGCCGGCATCAAGCTCTGGGTTCTGACCGGTGACAAGGTCGAGACGGCCATCAACATTGGGTTTTCCTGCAACCTGCTCAACAACGACATGGAATTAATCCACATGAAGCTCGATGAAGACGAGACGGGTGAGACAAGCGACGACTTGTTTCTCGAGACGACGGAGAAGCTGCTGGACCAGAACTTGCAGACGTTCAACATTGTCGGCGACGACAACGACCTCGCGGCAGCAAAGAAGAACCACGAGCCGCCCCCGCCGACGCACGGCCTCGTTATTGACGGCTTCACCCTTCGCTGGGCTCTCCACGACCGCCTCAAGCAAAAGTTCTTGCTCCTCTGCAAGCAGTGCAAGTCTGTCCTATGCTGCCGCGTCAGCCCGGCGCAGAAGGCTGCCGTGGTGGCAATGGTCAAGAATGGGCTCGACGTCATGACGCTTTCCATCGGAGATGGAGCCAACGATGTGGCCATGATTCAAGAAGCCGACGTGGGCGTAGGCATCGCCGGCGTCGAAGGCCGCCAGGCCGCCATGTCTTCCGACTATGCCATCGCCCAGTTCCGCTTCCTGCAACGCCTGGTGCTGGTGCACGGCCGCTGGTCCTACCGCCGCCTGGCGGAGAGCATCAGCAACTTCTTCTACAAGAACATGGTGTGGACCTTTAGCATCTTTTGGTTCGAGATCTTCTGCGACTTTGACATAACCTACCTCTTCGACTACACGTACATCCTCATGTTCAACCTGTTCTTCACCTCGATACCCGTCGGCATCATGGGCGTGCTCGACCAGGACGTTTCAGACAAGGTTTCGCTCGCCGTGCCCGAACTGTACCGACGAGGCATCGAGCGGCTGGAGTGGACGCAGCGCAAGTTTTGGTGAGTAGACCTCCTTCGGGCACGCCGGCTTCATTGCACGACCACTGACGCGGCCAATTGCAGGCTTTACATGGTTGACGGCATCTACCAGTCCGTCATGGTCTTCTTCATCCCCTACCTGCTGTTCATCTCTGGCAGGTCGGTGACGTTTTCTGGGCTGGGCCTCGAGGACAGGTTGCGCTTTGGGGCATACATTGCACATCCCGCCGTCCTCACCATCAACGGGTACATCCTGATCAACACGTACCGGTGGGACTGGCTTATGCTCCTGATTGTGGTGGTCAGCGACCTCTTCATCTTCTTCTGGACCGGCGTGTACACTTCCTTTACCGGATCCGCCTTCTTCTACAAGACGGCCGCGCAGGTGTACGGCGAAGCCAGCTTCTGGGCCGTCTTCTTCATTGTGCCTGTCATCTGCCTGTTCCCGCGGTTCGCCATCAAGGCGCTCCAGAAGGTCTACTTCCCATACGACGTGGACATTATCCGCGAGCAGGAGAAGATGGGCGAGTTTGCGCACCTCCTCGCTGCGGATGACGAGTCGGAAGGGGCCAAGGCCAATGACACCAAGAGCCAGAAGTCGAAGTCGTCCAACGGCTCGAAAAAGACCAAACACGTTCCCTACAACAGCGTCGACGAAGACCTGCGGCCAATCTACCCGCCATCGACGGCCACGCGGACGACGGCGCACAACCACACGCAGCACGGCAGCGACTCGACCAATTTCACGACCAACCGCATGTCTCTGGACATTGTGCCCGCGAATCGGCAATCGCTTGACGTGCCTCCGCAGGGCCGACCTTCGGTGGAGAGGGCGAGGCCGTCGTACGACCGCATGCGCATGTCCATGGATCGCGTGCGGGCCAGCTACGAGGCTAGCAACGACTTTACGTCGGCAGCACGACTCTCTCGCATCGAATCCAGCCAGTCGGGCGGCGGCGGCGCCCGGCTAAGGGCCAGGTTACGAGGCCTGTCGTTGACCAAGAGTGCCAATAATTAGGACACGGCTGAGCGACGCTTGTCACGGCCAAGCTAATCCCCGGGACCACTGTACATTATCGTCCCGACCGACGTACAAAAATCCATGCCTCCAACTATTTTTTACCTGTCTTTCCCTTTCGTCATCGATATCCCGGTCACACCGCAGCATGGGCGGCATTTTCATGCTTTTGACGATCTGCATGAGCGATCTACGAGTTGTTGCTTCCCTTGCCGGTCTGGCACACAAACCACGGATACCAACGCATCGTATACACCTCTGATGCAGCAGCCACCACCGTGGCAGAGCTGTAAAGGAGCCTGCATCTCTGGTTGCTGTTGCCTCTGGCGCCTGGAAGCCATTGTGTTTTGTTAGGCGTTCTTGGGGATGGAGCACGGAGAGAAGTTGCCTTGGGCAGGAGACCCCTTAGTGTTTATTTTTCCTTCACTTCTCTATTCTCCCCTTTTCCCACGCGTGCTGTATAGAGTCTTGAGGGCCAGTGGACGCGATTGACTGGTGTATGCCGAGGGAGGACAGTCGACAGGAGCAGGGTGGCGTTGATACGACGCTGTGGTCCTGGCTGGATACTGGGAGCGCAGGTGGGGGGGGGAGAGTGACGTGTATGGAATATTCCAGTAGCTTCTTCTTGGAAATTCAAAGAAGTATTTTAAAGATATGTCGATGACATGCTGTATCTTCGCTTTGTCCTGCCATGTCGCCAATGAAGGGCCAAAAAGTACGGGTACTTTGACTGAATTCTGGCGACATGAGCTGACCGTTTTCTTGGCAGGGGTTGCTAGCCTTTTTTTTTGGAATTGGCGAGCTCCACTGGCTTAGATTGACGATGCTTGGATGCTTATCTTTTTCATCTGTCGTACGACATCACCCACCGCCCCCGCCCCCAACGTTTGCCGCAAGTCACCGCCTTAGAAAGGCTGTGGCATGTCGCGGCGCGGCTGAGAGGCTGAGGCATCGGCGGCGCAAGAAGCTCCTCGTGTCTTGTGTCTAAGGATTCGCACGGGGCTTTGGCTGTGGCTGCGATGGAAGAGGATGCGTTTGCGAGGGCGGCGGCCCTTTGGCGTGGGCTTGCTGGCCGTGTCGATGTCTCGTACGTCCCCCTCCACCCCATTTCCTCTCAGTCCCTCCGATCCGAGCTGACGGGGGAATGGACAGGATAACGCCTTTGCGGGTTGGGGTTTCTGTGCTCGCCGTCTTGGTCTCGGTGCTGTTGTTCCTCTGGCGAGCTGTGGGAACGGAGCGGTCATCGCCGGTTCCTTATGCCGTCGCGCCCCCCAAGCCGCCATCGCCCGAGACGACGGTCGAGCACACGTCGGTCAAGCTGCCCGGCTCGTCAGCCGTGCAGTGCTACGCCCCCTGCACCGGCCGGTTCCTCGGCCTCGTCAACCCGTCGTCGCCGGCCGCCATCGACCGCAGCGTCGCGGCCGCGGCCGCCGCGCAGGGCAAGTGGGCGACGACGACGTTTGCGCAGCGCAGGGCCGTCCTGCGCACCCTGATGCGGCACGTCCTCGACGCCGCCGACGACATCTGTCGCGTCGCGGCGCTGGATAGTGGCAAGACGTTGGTCGATGCCCAGCTGGGCGAGATCCTCGTGACGGTGGAGAGGATCCAGTGGACGCTGGCGCATGGCGAGGAGGCGCTGAGGCCCGAGTCGAGGCCGACGAACCTGCTCATGGCCTACAAGCGCAACACGGTGCGCTACGAGCCCCTGGGCGTCGTCGCCGCCCTCGTCAGCTGGAACTACCCCTTCCACAACATGATGGGCCCCATCGTCAGCTCCCTCTTTGCCGGCAACGCCGTCGTCGTCAAGGTCTCGGAGCAGACGGCCTGGTCGAGCGCCTACTTTGCCGCCATCGCGCGCGGCGCCCTCGCCGCCCACGGCCACGACCCGCATCTGGTCCAGACGCTCGTGTGCTGGCCGCAGACGGCCGCCCACCTGACGTCGCACCCGGCCATCGCCCACGTCACCTTCATCGGCTCCCAGGCCGTCGCGCGCCACGTCGCCGCCAGCGCCGCGAGGAGCCTCACCCCCGTCGTCGCCGAGCTCGGCGGCAAGGACCCCTTTGTCATCCTCGACTCGGCCGCGCCCGACCTGCCGCGCATCGTCGAGGTCATCCTGCGCGGCACTTTTCAAGCCGCCGGCCAGAACTGCATCGGCATCGAGCGCGTCATTGCCGCCGGTGCCCTCTACGACGACCTCGTCTCCGTGCTCGAGCCCCGCGTCAGGGCCCTGCGCCTTGGCCCAGACGCCGACGTCGGCGCCCTCATCTCCGACGCCTCCTTCGACCGCCTCGAAGAGCTCATCGCCGAGGCCGTCTCCCGCGGCGCCCGCCTCCTCGTCGGCGGCCGCCGCCACACACACCCCGACTACCCGCGGGGCCACTACTTCTCCCCCACCCTCCTCGTCGACGTGACGCCCGCCATGCTCATCGCCCAGCACGAATGCTTCGCCCCCATCCTCACTCTCATGCGCGCCCCCTCCTCGTCAGCACCCGACATGCTCGCCGTCGCAAACGCCCCCTCCTTCGGCCTCGGCGCCTCCGTCTTCGGCTCCGAGCGCGACCCCGCCATGCCCCGCCTCGTCGCAGGCCTCAAGGCCGGCATGGTCGCCGTCAATGACTTCGCCGCCTACTACGCCGTCCAGCTCCCCTTTGGTGGCGTCGCCGGCTCGGGCTACGGCCGCTTCGCCGGCCGCGAGGGCCTCCGCGGTCTCTGCAATATCAAGAGCGTCTGCGAGGACCGCCTCGCCTGGCTCGGCATCCGCACCTCCATCCCCCCGCCCGTCCGCTATCCCGTCCCCAGCCAACAGAAGGGCTGGGCCTTCGCCTACGGCGTCGTCGAGGTCGGCTACGGCGGGCCCGTTAGGAAGCTCAAGGGCCTGATGCGCATGATAAACAACATGTAGGATAGACGAGCTTGAGCCCCCCCTTACGCGAGTATTGGAGACCAAGCCCGGTAGTGTAGGAGAACGAGCAATCAAAGCTCAATGACAAGCTACCTTGATGCACAATCACTCGGCTCATACTGCTGCGGGCACTATTAAGTCAGGCTCGACTTAGACGAGAGGGCCTTTCCTGCCCATCTCTTTGCTGCCACTCACGTAACAAATCCCTGGAGACGGAAGACAGGGCGGCTTCAATTCTGCTCCTGCTGTTCTTTGTCGAATCTCATTCCACTAACTCTCTCGCCTCCATTTTCACCAACTCCCTCTGACTTCACGTGCCCATCCTGACGCTTTAGCAAAGGCTTCAGCGCACACCGCAAATTGGCGAGTCTGACGTGAGCTTGACGCCTGGCTAACTGTCCATCCAACGCGGTACGATCCTCGAGAACCGTCTACCAGCCGGATTGGGCAGGCTGAGCAGCGGCCCAGGACCCATTGCCGTTCGTGTTGCCTCCCGAGTCGTCACCACCCCCAGCGCCCCAGCCAGCACCACCGGAGCCGTCCGCCTCAGGCTCGGCTGCCTCACCTCCGTTGAGCCAAGCACCACCTCCCACGTCGCCCAGGTCGGCAGTGGCGCCGAGGTCCGCGGGATCAAAATCCGACTCTGTCTCGAATTTGGGCTTTTCGGCAGCTGCTCCCTGCGGAACGTAGAGCTGCAGAAAGTCCGGTATTTCCTGCTTCGTCTCAAGCAGAGTTCGAGTCAAGACGCTCGCTATTGGTTCGTCCCTTTCGGAAAAGAAGGAAGTGGCAATGCCACGATGGCCCATTCGTCCAGTTCGGCCTATTCACACATCGAATCAGCACGTCAATCCTCCACATGCAATAGCGATTCAGACATACCAATGCGATGCGTATACTCCTCGATACCCCCATAATCCATGGAGGGAAGATCGTAGTTTATGACGTGCATGACATTGCGGACGTCAATGCCACGCGCCATGACGCCAGTTGCAACAAGAATCGGCGCCTTCCCAGATCGGAACGCTCGCAGGGCGGCCTCTCGCTCCATCTGGGTTCGGTCGCTGTGCATCGACGTCACCGGAACACCTGTGTTGAACAAAAAATCGTCCAGGTTATCAACCTCTTGACGAGAGTTTACGAAGATGAGTGTCCGGACCCCGTGCATCCCATTGAGCAGGTTGACGAGCTTGTCGCGCTTTTCGTCGCGTTCTGCCTGCATCACGGTCTGCCGGATGTTTTCGGTGGTACTGCCAGCGCGACCAACGCGGAAGCGAACGTGAGAAGCCGATAGATGGTCCCTGGCAAGATCGCGGGCCGCCTTGGGAAAGGTGGCTGAGAACAGGCCATAGACGATGTTCCCCTCATCCTGTTCTGCACAGCAATCGTCAGCGTCGAGAGCGGCAAAGTTTATTGAAAGGACTCACCTCCGCCCGTGAGGATCTGACGAATGTCATCGCCCCAATCTGAATCCAGCATCTCGTCTGCCTCATCGATGACCACATATCTGAGGCGCCGAAGCGCCAGAACGTCTGGCTGCGACATAAAATCGATCAGTCGCCCTGGCGTTCCGATGAGTATGTCGCAGCCCAAGGCCAGATTGTCGCGTTGGTCACGAACGGCGGCTCCGCCATAGACCACGGCGGGACGAAGCATAGATCTGTAGCAGAGTCTTCGTGTGTCGTTGAAGATCTGCACCGCCAACTCGCGAGTTGGGGCGACGATCAAGACAAGTGGCTCTGCCACGAATCTCGGAGAATTCGCATCATGGGTGGCAGGGTTGGGCCTTGGAGCCGTGATCTTTTTGGCCTTGCCCATCAATTTGCTCAGAATGGGTATAAGATAGGCGGCAGTCTTCCCTGAGCCTGACATGAAATGTTAGCTTTTACGGGCACGGGCCAAGGTTGGGGCGTACTCACCCGTCTGAGCGATGCCGATTACATCGTGTCCCTGAAGCATGGAAGGGATTGTGTATTTCTGGATCGGGGTCGGGTTGGCAAAACCGAAGAGCTGGATGTTTTCGAGCATGACAGGATGGAGGCCGGCGTCCTTGAAAGATCGAACAGGATCAATCCTGACAGGCCCTTCTTGCTGGACCTCGATTTGATCGATCCTGAAAAGCGTCAGAAATAACACAAGGATGTAGCGAGGATGGTGCGCCTACCTCGCAAAGTCCAGACCAGTACGTTCATGACGAGTTGCGGGATCACCGAACAGCTCTAATTCAAGGTGAGGAAACCTCGGACCAACGTCTCCAAACTCGTCGCTCCACTGGTAGACGGGAGCGTTGCCATCCCAAGTGTGCATGTTCTCCGCGGCCTCAACAGCAGTGTAGTCGGTGGCTTGTTGCTGGACCCAGCCGTTGACATCGGTGGGACCTGCGGCGTTGTCCATGGTGCATTCAGCCATGGTGAAGCAGCTAAGGGTAGCAGGCGGGCAGTTAGCCTGGGTGAACTCGAAAGGTTGTGTTTGAGAAGGCAGCTCGAAGTAGGATGGATGTGAAGAGCTGTTGGGAGGTCGGAGGTTGGCAAGGCGGAAAGGGCCTTTCACCTTCTTGGATATTTGACAACGGCTGAGAAGGTTCGGGAAATACAGGTGGCATGAAGAATCTGGAATGCTCGCAGGCAAGCAGGGGTGTGCAAAGGCCAAGCAGGCTCGCTTGAGCACAGCAGCCTGGCGCTCAGGTGCGGTGAAGGTATGAATAAGAAAAGAGCAAGGGAAACGATGATCGACTGACCTTTTGAGGGGACTGAAGAGCCTCCTCGATGACCGCTGATACGAAGAGTCACACTGTATAGATGTGTGGTGGCGGGATGGATGAGGTGCGCGGCAAGACGCCTTTAGAAGACGGCCGAAGGAGGTGAAAAGGATAAATTCCACCAAGATGCAGGACGAAGAGCGCTGGAGGTGAAAGAGGAGGGAGAGAGGGAGAGGAAGAGGGAAGAGCCTTCCGCGTTTGGCAGCCGGGGCAACGAGCGTTGCTGCCTCAGAAGACAGGCATCCTCAGGCAGGAGCCTGCAGCTGGGCTACAGCGGGCCGGGCGAGGCGACTTAGGGGCTGTTCTATCAGTAGAAGAAATAGGCCACTGCTGCTGTGGTCCAGGGGACGGCCAGTTGCTGCAGCGAACGTTTACACTGCCAGATCAAGAAAGCATACGTACCTATCCCGACGAGCACAAGACACGCAGAGATGATTTGACTTGATGTGTTTATTGGGAGGGTATAGGGCCAGAGCTGCACGGAGCCGTCTCCAGCTTCACTGCCAGCTCCAAACGCCGCAAAGCCACCCATCTCTGCCCGCTATCTTTGCAGTCGGCAGGCATCCTAAAGACTCCCCCCGGGCTAAAGTGCAACCCCTGCAGAGGCCATCAACCTCCCAAGTCGCCTGCCTGCACGGGACCCCTTCGCCCGGTTCCTCGTGGGAGCTGTTCGACGATGCTGGCTGCTACAAGGGCCTAACTCGAGGGTGGCCAGCGCAAAGAGCAGTCCTTCCATCACAGGGTTCTCGTCATTGTACACTGACCAAGAATAGCCCCAAGTCTAAGCGGATGTACGTCGTCAAGTAGGCGTTATCGCCACTGGTCAAAGTCCCCGATAGCACCGGCTTGTTGGTATCGTCATGCTCCCTGAAATTAGCAGCTCCCAGCCTCACGAGCGGCAGCGCAATATGTGATATATGGGAACGCGGGCAACGTGGCAGAGCCTATGACACCATCTCCCTGAACTTGGATCAAAGTGCCGGGAGCAGCGCAGTTCCGTCCACTTGGCAGCATTATGCCCTGGACACACTGGTTTGAAATCGTCCAGGCCCACACAAGGCACGTTTGCAAACAGACAGCCCAATGTCATGCACCACATCTCGTAATTTCTCTCAACAATCTCTCACCAGAGGTCGAGGAGATCTTGGGTGTCCATGGCGGTCGAAGGTTCAAAGTCGCGCATCCCTTGTTGCAGTATTTGATCCAGTGACGAGGCAGCCCGGCCGGCCGAGCCACCCTCCTTCTTCGCTCTTTCGACGCCTCTGGACACGCCAACAAGAAATCGCCGGTGGAAGACTTGTTGCCGTGCCTCCCGATTCGAATACATCTCTCCCTCTTCGTCACGTCGCTCGTCCGTCAGATTCAGGTATCCAAAGGCATTCGCAGCTCGAGGCAATCTGTACAGGTTATCCCAGTACTCAGACGTCTTTCTGCCCTCGGTAGTTCCCGCTCTGAAGCCAGCCTCGATGAATCTTGATAATGCCGTGATCTGGCGGGCCAGGTTTTGAGCGTCTTTAGGTTTCAGCCCAGCTCGAGCGCCAGATGTCCAGCCGCCAGTGGACAAAGACACGGACCAGCCCATGGTGGCGCAGAATGTGCTCAGCGTCTTGACCCATCCGCCGGGGCAAGTGACAAGCTCGTCGTCGGCCACATCGAGCAGCCACTCCATGACGCCCAGGGAGTCGTTGCTGATGTCCAATGACAGATGTGTTATCCCAGCCCGAAGATATACAATGACGTGTTCAACGCTATGCTTCACCTCATCCTCGGGAAGAGTGCGCAGAAGCTTCAATAGTTGAGCTCGCACGGGTGTTGAGCTATCGGAAACCAAGGGGAGGAGCTTGATGAGGAGCGCGCGAGTTCCAACCGGATTCGCACAAGCATCGGCAGACAGCTGACTGGTCAGATACGCAAGCGCCTCGCGACGCTGCTTGTCTGACTTGGATGAGGAGGCCAACGAGAGGTTGTGCTTGAATAGCTGGTCGACGTCAGGGGCCTCTGTCGACAATGACTGATGGCCCATGACAATCGCTAGGCGTCGTCAGCACGGCGGCAGGGACGGTCATCTAAGGCAGTATCGCTTACCCTTGGACTTGAAGCTGGTATCGGTGTGATTGGAGGCCTTGGCTTGGGTTTTCCCGACTTTGTACTTGGGTTTCTACGGAGGGTGAGCCATGTGCTGCGACGGCGCGTGAACAGGGCCAACTCACTTGAAAATCCTTCTGCTTCTCCTTCTTCTTCTTCGAGCTGGAGCCCATTTTGGCGGCTCTGCGTGTGCAGACGTTGCAAAGACAATTAAAAATTAGCAGGCGTATTACGCATACGGAGATTCGGGCGTCGACAGAAATTGAAGGAAAGCCGCCACCAATTGTTCAATTTCGAATGCTTCACCGTCGTCGTTACTATTTGCATACAATAGTGGGCCTCAGACTTGCAGCGGTGTCTCGCGGCAGAAAGGTGCCCCGCTGGCGCGTGTCCGCAGCCCCGCCCAACCGGCAGCCAGTGCCACCGCTACGCCGATGAATACAGAACATGACGGGTGAGCCTGTTGTTGGCTCGTACGCGCGGCTATCAAATGGGCGTCATCTTGCTGTGACACCAACTCGTTGTCTGCCCGACGCAAAGCAACAGCGCCATCGCGAACACGGCCAAACTTTGCCATGGTTGACTCCTCCACGGTCTAGAGCCTCCCGGCGCGGCTGCTCACGCCCAGTGCTGACTTGGTTGCCAGGCGAGCCGGACGAACGGCCATGATGCCCTTGAAGAGAAGCTAGGCCGGCTGTTGAAGAAGCCTGGCGTCAAGGCTAGCATCGTCCTCGACCGCGCCAGCGGCGCAATCCTCAAGACGAGCGGCGACGTGTCTGCCCTCCGGACGGCCAAATCCCGCGACGCCGCGACGGCTGCGTCTTTCTCCAACGAGGTGCCCGCCGCCGAGGAAAGCGAGTCCAAGGGGATGGAAGACTTTGCCGCCATGGTCTGGAACTTTGTCGCCACGTCGGACCAGCTGGTACAGGAGGTGGACAAAGAGGTCGGCCTACCTACTCTCCATGCCGTCGAGGAGATGGTGACTGATGTCGAGTAGGACGAACTGCGGCTCCTACGAATGCGCACCAAGAAGCAGGAGATTGTCATTGTACCAGACACCAAGTACCTCCTTACCGTCATTCACGACACACCATCGGCCTGAGGCAATGCAGCAAACATGGATTAAGCGACACAATACGCGGTGGACAGGCTGGCAGAGTGGTGGACAGGGGAAAGATGGGCGATGGAGGCATCTTCCTCTGCTCCTCTCTCTTGTTTTTTTACGCCCGACATGAATGATACCCTGGCGAGCTTGGACGGCACGACGAAGGTTGGGTTAGCATCGGCATGTTGAAATTGGGATGGCTTCTGGGGTACTTCGTAGTGGCCGCATGGCGTTGCAAGGGATTACGTTGATGCTATGAATGGCCTTTCTCACTCAAAGTATAACTCGAATGATACGATTGAAGTCATGCCGGTCGTATTGCAGTGAAGGGAATAATATTTCTATCCTGTATTTAAAGGGCGTGGAAGTTAAAAAGAGACAGCCATGAGCACTGCCGTCCGGTCGAGCCTTTTTTCATCTCCATTCCAAGAGGGGACGGAGCAGTCGTCCCGGCCGGTCCAGAATGCGGGGAAGATCCAGGGTCTAGCAACGAAGCTGGGCCATGTTGGGGTAAGCTTTGTGATGACAGGAAGATGGCCGACTCTATCCTCTATCCTACCCCTGTAATTCATTGCGGTGAACGCTCGTTGGCGGGCGATGGGTCACGCCACCCGCACCGTGGCCAGCTGCGATGAGAGGGCCTCCTGAATGCCCTGCAACAAATGCAGGTACTCCGTAAGTAGCCCTGCTTACCTCATATTATGCGTTATCTCCGCCTGAAGGCGAGCATCGATACCTCAACCATACCTGCTCCCGAGTGCACTCTCACCAAGGCCGACTGATGGTCGTACTTCGTCAGATCACGGCCCCGCGCCGACCTCCGTCTTGCTAAACAACCGCCCTCCTCACCAGAGCCCACCTGTCCAGAGCCCACCCACCCGGCGCCTCGTCTTCACATGACAGAGGCTCATGCGTCGCCTCTGCAGTCGGGCCCCGGTATAGTGCTTGCTTCTCCTCCACGCCATGCATCATGAGCTCCCTGAGCGACGACGACATCGAGAAGCTCTTCTCGGGCGCGCCACAGTACTTTGCCCGTAGCGAGAGCCACTTCCACGGCGCACCCCATCCCAGCGTCGCCTTCCCCTTTGATGAGGAGCTCGAGATTAGGGACTTGACGGATCACGTCCCCATCGCGGACAGGGCTTGGAGCGGCCTCACCGCCTGGCCCCATCTCTCGAGGGACATCAACCGCGATGCCGCCGCCAAGACGCAGGCCGAGGAGCGGCACAAAGCCCACTTCCACATCCGCTGTCGAGAGCGGCCCAACATGCTCAGCATGCAGGGGCTCGAAAAGGGCACCATGGGCTACCAGGCTGCCCTAGAGCTCTCGACGGCCGACTCGCTCGAGGAGGAGCAGTTTGGCTTCCAGAGCGTCGGCACAAAGGCCCGCGTCATTGTCGACGCTCGTGAGCGCATCTTGTCCAGTCACGGCTGGCTGCGCCGCCTGCCCGAGTCGGAGCTTCTCGAAAGACTGCGGCGAAACGGGGAGCTGTACCGGAGCAATGATCTGCGTGCCCGCCCCTCAACCGACACGTACCAGGATCTCTTCCACACCCTGATGAGGCCCTACAGCACGGCCATAGACAAGACGGACCAGTATGGGCTTCCTAATCAAATTGTCGCACTCCTCAAGTGCCTCGGCACCGCCAATGTTTGGATCGACCTTGGCCGCGTCGAGTGGCGCATCCGGCTTGGGCAGGTCTTGTGGGGAGACGAGGCCGACGATGAGCTTGACGATGCTACCGCCATCCACGATGCCGACAACGCCAGCGAGCGTGCCGAGGAAAAGTACTGGCTGTTCATGCAGATCTTGGTGGCGACGGAGCTGCTCCTCCGCCTGGATGCCATCACAGAGGGCGTCGAGTATGGCTCAGGGAGCATCAAGCCCATTGACGTCGCATACTTTGAGAGAGGCGCAACCCCTGCGGTCAAATGGTCCCTCCTCCTTGCGCAAAGTTGGCTCGAGAATATCGAGATCGCGAGAGAGGAGGAGGGGCCGGGCACGGTAGAGCCAGCTTCGCCTCACCGCGCTCGGAGTTGGCTGGCTTCTCTGGTCAGCAGGATGCCCCATCGGCATCATCATAGGCAAGCCCCCTCACCTCCACACCGTTACACCATCAGGGGCCGGCATGGTCAGCGCCAAGTCGATGGGCTCATACGCTTTGCGACGAACCTGATGTGGCCCGGCATCGACAGGTATGAGGCCAGGATATCGGAAAACGCCCGCCATGCGGTTGACGACGGGCCCACGCGTCGCCCGCGCTCGACTTCCACCACGGCCAAGCAGGCCGCCTACCCTGGGGCGTGGGATCTCGCGTGCCGTCACGGCGAAAACAAGCAGAGTGCGCAGACCCAAAGACGGAAGCTGGCGGCCGCACTGCACGAATCGGGATGGCTCACAAAATCTTACGTCTACGGGTTGGCCATCCCGGGCGAAGCCATGTGCCACTACCTCATGGCGACACTTCTGGAGAACGATGACGAGGCTCTGGCCAAGCTGGGGCCGTGTGCCAACTTGTCTGGGGGATTCGTGTACGCTGGCAAGAGCTTCTGGAGCACAGCCTGCATTGTCGGCCGAGTGCTTGCGGCCGGTGAGGGAGCCGCCGAGTGCATGGGGTGGATATCGACCGACATTGTCCCTCGGGGGATGAGTGATGGGTGGCTCGGCATCGAGGTGCAAGACGTTGCTGGTTCGTTTCTTTCATGGCTCCATTAGGTGGTGGATTTGCAGGTTCCCGGCGCGGAGTGGCTAACGTTTTCCTCAGATGACGTTGCTCAATTAGGGAAGAAAGCCAGGCTATGGGGTAAGAGGAAGCTCGAGCGCGAGTCGTCCATCCTTGGCGGCGCAAAGGAGGACTCGGTCCTCCCGGCCGACTTCATCATCCCCCACGAGAACGCTTACTCGACGTGGCCTCCGGGCCTCGTCATCAAGTTGCTGTCTCTAGAACTCTCGTCGCCGGCGGAATCCGTGCCTGCCACGCCTCTCAGCGAAATCGTCGCGACGCCGGTTGCCGAGACTTGTGGCGGGGCCCCCGAGATACTGTCCTATCCGGCGAGCGCCAAGTTCCTGGTGTCGGTGGATGGCGGGAGCGAGGAGGAGCGGACGTATCGCTTGGCCTACGACATAAGCTTTGTCACGGCGCATCCCTGCGCGCCATCGCACCGCGTCAGGATGCTCAAGTCGCCGTACAGCCCGACTGTGCAGAAGATTGATGTCTGGGGATCGGACTCGCTGGGCAAGGGCTCGCGCTCTGCGTACATGACGGGTGGGACCCCCGGGGTGTTGCTTCAGGATGAGCGGATCACTAACATGCTACTCGCAGGCCACCCGCTGCACAAGTATTTCAAGTACTCGGTCATCCACCTGTCGGAGCTGATTCAGAAGCCGCGGGCGACGCTGGCCGAGTTCCTGGCCGACGCGTGCCTCGGCAAGGCGCCTAACAGCCGGGTGCTGGTCGTCGACTGCATCACCAACCTGGGAGGCGGCGAGGCACCGCAGTCACCGGCGCTGGAGCGCGTGAGCTCATGGCCGCCGGAGTCGTCGGTGGCGGAGCGCAAGGGCAGCTTCTCGGCGACGGCGCAGATGTATCTCGAGTCGCAGACGCGGCAGTTTGGGTCCGACATGGAGGTGCTGGTGCGTGCGATTTGCGCGGCCAAGGGCTGGAACGCCATCATCAGCAGGAGGAGAAGGGGGTGTCTGGCGTGTGCGATTAGGGAGGCTGGGGCGCTGGGGTGGAAGGTGATTGTGAGGGTGGATTGACGCGGTGGTGGTTGGTTTTTGCATTGCTTATTTGCTGTGCATGTGGATGAGCGTGGGAGGCGTGTTTTTGGTTGTAGGCTAGGTATGAGGTGCTGGCAGTGAGGCTCCCCGCCCACGTCATTGTGGGATTTGAGGGCTCGGGGATGAAATTGAAAACGTCTCAACTCCTTCAAGCGGTAGGCAATGATGCTCATTTCCTCGCTACAGAAGTATCGGTTGGGGGCTTCATCCATCCAGCAGTAGGTACAGGCCCTCGGTGGATCGTGGCTGGTCTCGGCCGAGAGCAAGCCAATTCGGATCCGGATAATAGCGGGGAGCGTCTCGAGGTTGATTGGCTGGATGGCGAGGCTCCGTGCTACAGTACATAACTTACTACCTAAGCCACTTTCAGCTGAGCAAGCAACAAATCAACCACAGCTTCATCCTTGGTTGCCACGCAGTCCCCACGACGGTCGAGCAGAGCAGCAAAACCATGGCGCCCGGCAAGGACATGCGGCGGCCCGACCTGAGTAAGTCTCCCCCGCCAACCCGCGCTTCCTTTGCTGTTGTTGCTGCGCGGGCGAGCGCGACGATGATGGTGCTGCGCTGCGGGAGAGTTGATGACGAGAGGGGAACGCCAGGGCAAGAGCCGACTGCTGACCATTGAGCGAACACTGAGCAGTCATCCCGTATCAGGAGCCGACGGCCTCAAGCGACAAGGCCGACTTTTCGTCTACGATATCCTCGACGATGCCCATGGCTGCCATGTTTACGCGAAACAAATACGTTGGATGGTACAGCCCTCTTTCCTACCGCTCTTCACATCTTCCCTTCTTGCCCCGCGTTTGCATGCGCTCCCTCAAACGACGGATCTACGACCGCTTGCGCAGGGGTGTCGAGGAGAGAGGCGCGGTGGCAGTCGCGGTGGCAGTCGTGGTCGGCGGGGAAAAGGGGTCAAGGCACATACATATACACACAAGGAGACTAACGGGACGCCGCAGGGCTGCCGTCGTCTTCTCGATCCAGGCCTGGCTCGGTGAGGGCGAGGACGCCCGGAAAGCGTCGAGCACGCCGAGCTACTTTTCGGTGCTCATGTCGGGTTTGTCTCCCATGTCCCTTGTTCGTAGGTGGGATCGCCTCGCTGACGTCGGGAATGCTTTGTTTGCCCAGTCATGGCCCTCGGGGTCACGTATATGCCGCTCTTTCTGCCGCAGCAGACGGGACTGGCTGGGACCAGCACCGAGGCGCCTGCGCCGGCTCCTCCTCCGCAGTGACGGCAACAACGACAATGATAATGGGCGAGAGGAGGAGGAGAGGAAGTGGTCATGGCGGCGTGGGAGTTACACATGGGATATGGCATGTGCTTCGAGGCCCCAGGGTGGCCTGCCGGGTTTTCATGCTCCTGCACTGACAATGTGTACTGTAGTAACTAATGCCTTGCCGCGTTTTGATGACTGCTCAGCTCAGGTGGCAGGGACAAGGACGGCATGGTGGGCGCGGGCGTTGATGCTGGACCTGCTCTTCCGCGCATCCACAACTGAGAGAGTCTGTACTGTAATTATAATACAACCATCAGGCAAGACACAAGCACAGAGCGCATTGATTGTGGTACCAAATGCAAGTGCATGATGGTGCGGGCGGTCCGGATGTTTCTTGGCGTGGCGGCGCGGCGCGGGGGGGGTCCCGGATCCGGTAGGTGGTTAAGCTAAATATAATATGTAAGCGCCGTCATGGGGCCTCAGGGGAGCGAGCGCTTGGAGCTAATTATTGCTTCCCTCGCTTTTGCACCCGTCCTTTTTTTCTCATTATATTCTTCAGTTGTCGCTCCCGTCACTGCTGTCGTCCAGGATATCGAGACCGTTGCCCAGCTGCCACGGCCGCCCTTCTTACTCGTGCACTACCGCCGCCCATACTTCACCGCTGTAGGCGTCGGCGTCCCCTAAGCGCGGCCGCCCGCCGTAGTAGCCCGTTTAGACTCGTCGGACCCCACAACCCACCCACCACCACCTTCGGGGGGGGGGGGAACCTGTAACCCACTAAAGCCGGGCGCGAGCGCTCGGCGCTGAGAGCTTCCGCCTCGCCCTGAAACCTCACCGGAACATGGCCCCCTGTATCAAGCCGTTTCGACTCGACTCTTTCCTTTTTGCCTCGTCGCGTGAACTCTCGTTGCTCTGGCTCCCTCCTCTCCTCTCTTTCCATCGCCACCTTCACACTCACTCACTCACTCTCACGCACCCGTCTCTGCTTTCCCTCCTCCTCCCAAGGTCGCTGGCCCGGCGCAAAGTCACCACCGAGGAAGTCGAGACAGAAAGCCACATCTAATCGCTACATCTGAACACCCCAATTCTCGCCATGCGGCTGTCACTGGCTATCGCGCTGGCCGCGGCCGCGTTGCTCGCCAGCGCCGGCATCGTCATCTCCCCCATCGAGGCGGACCAGGTCGTCCTCAAGGTGCCGGGAGACTGCTTCTTCGGCGAGGTCACGCCCCAGGGCTGCGGGTAAGTCCACAACCCAGCATCTGCGCGCGGCGCACACACACGTTTTGCTAACTGGACCGTCTGTTGGGCAGTCCTAAACGTGGTTGAGAGCCGTCTTCACCCCCCCCCCCCCAGCCGGGCTGGGCGGACAACGGGAGCTATTGCGCCAGCAACGACAACAAAACCAACTTCAGACGGGGACGATCGGATCAGGCAGAGATGGGGAGATGGAAAAAGCTTCTATTGTGGTGACATTCGCTCCTTATATGATTCACCCTTCTTGCACATAGTCGACACTTTTTGCATAACCAGCGGCATGGCACACGGCATAGCACACGGCATCACAGCATTTTCACACATCCACGGGACGAGGGGGAAAGCAAGCGTCGTGGCTGGCGGAAACCACGCACCTCTTCAGCATGTACCGTTGGCTAGTTTCTTTGTCTTCGTCTTGTTCAGTGCCACGGGGCACACGGCGCATCTCCTCCGGCTGGCTTCGTCTGCTCTTCGGCGCGAGCCGGCCTGCCCCGATAGTATTTAATAAACACACTTCATGCTTATTTTGACATCTCCTGCCTTGTAATCTACGATTCTCCCAAGATTCACCGGCGTTCAATTTCATCCCTCCTTCTTTTGCCTCCGTATCTTTGGGCGCGCTCAAAGTGCAGTTGAATCCCGGACTCGTGTCCCGGCCCCACTCCGGCTCACCCGGAGGATCCGCGGCCCCACCTGCCCCGCGGCTCCCGGGTACCCGCCGCCGCAAAGGGGAGAGGAGAAGCGACCGGCAGAGGCAGCATGATCTAGTATGCGTTGTGAATACCGAAAACGGCAATCCAGCCTTCAATTTCCGCAAAGACGAGGTGTTACATTCCCTGTCTCAGTTATTGCCTCTCAGCAGGCCACGACGGCTTCCCCCTTCTTGTTCGCTTGTGCATTAACACAAGGGCGCAGCAAAGTCCTTCTTGTTGATTTCTCCCATTCACTATGCACCAGCCCACCTATGCAGGCACGCAGGACAATGCATGCCAATGCGGACAGCTTCTCTCCCCTGTGATGTCATCACCGCAGTACATGTATGTGCAACCCCCCCCCCCCAAACTGCCGAGGCAAGATTCAAAAAATACCCGCGGCTTCCGAGGGACAGGGCCGACAATCCTCCCTAATGTCCCCATGTGGCAATGGCTTGTTGCCTGTCTGTCCCAAAACGCACGCGAGAAAGCCTGAGACCGCCCTCACAACGCCCCGCTTCTCGCCCCCCCCCGTAGTTTACCCTTTCGCCTTTGCCTTCACCTCTGTCTCTACTGCGCCCTCTTTCGTCGCTGGTGATACTCTTCCTGCTTGGGAAGCCGCAGGGTGTGTGGGGCGGAATTCGACCCCTAGAAGGGGGAGGCTGCTGTCTCATCGACCGTGCGAGGGCTCTGCAGTGGAGAGACTGCGGCCCGTACTGGAGATTCATGCGAGAACTAAAGACGAGCCTCGTCAGGGAACGTTGCGAGGTTGCGAGCTACGGTTGCGTCGCCGAGACGAGATAGTACGGACACTGGTCCCAAGTCTGTATTCCTACGTGGGCAATGCGACGTTCATCGGATGGACGTACGATAAGACAACTCGTCCGACATCTTGGAGGAGCAGAGCGAGAGGGGAGTTGGCCGAGCTTACAGTCAATACCCAATTCGCCATACGGGATATCTGTCCATGTCCAGGGGAATCTTGACAGCTATTCGTACGACACAGTCAGCTCTGCATCGCCGTCGTACATCACAAACCGCGTAGATTAGAAGAAAAGTGCCCCGTCACATTTACAAAAACAGCCGGGTAAAGCGCATATACTTCATATATTTCAAAACCTGAACGGCTCTATTGCGTCACTGGAGAGCTTCCCGATATGCACGTGCCAAATTCTAGCTGGCCACGAGCAATGGGTGACGCCGGAGCCATCCCGTGGCTCCGGAATCAATGGCGTGCGCAACACGATGCGCGCCTAGAGGGGGGGCACGGACTCGGTCGACGAGGACCACCTCCGGCCGTTCCCGTCAGAGCGTCGACGCCGAGGCCACCCGAAAAAGGAGAGGAAAAACAAAGGGTTGCTCCGACGCCGACGCTGTTCATGACGACTCAAGCTTGGAGGGGAACACCGCCGCCACTAGGACTAACACCTCTCTCGTCACCTTTTGACATTACCTAAACCTCCTGCCTCCTGCCTGACCCTGCGGCTTCTTGCCATTCTTCCCCTTGTTCTGCTTCTGCTGAGCCTGTTTTGGCTGCTGCTGAGCCTGCTGAGCCTGCTGAGCTTTCTGGCCTTGATTGTTGTTGTTGTTGTTATTGTTGTTATTGTTGTTATTGTTGTTATTGTTGTTATTGTTGTTACCGTTGTTAAGAACACAACCGCAGTTCTGGTTGCCGACGCTGAAGAAGGTGCACGAGTCTTGGGGACCACGCTGGGCGATGGGCATAAGGACGGGCTGGTGATTGGCAGCTCCCGCCATGGTGCAGAATCTGTAGCAGCCGGCTTTGAGCCCTTGGGCAATATTTTCCGTGACCGTGGAGTCGCCTTTTTGGTTCTGCTGGCCGGCATCATTGACACCCTTGAAGAAGGCAAACGTCTTGGCCGGGGGCGGAATTTTGCTAACAAAATTATTTCCCACGGTTTGAACGACAAAGTGCGTATGGCCAATGACTTTGTTTTTGAGCAGGTCCTGATTAGCGGCGTAGTATGTGTTGTCGGGGTTCGTGAATGCGCCCAGTTGTATGTTGGACAAGACGGCAGTGAGGGTGATTGGCTTGTTGGCAGGCAGGTTTTCGCATAGCTTGGGACTCGTAATGGCGGTGGCCACCATTCCGTCCTCAGTCGGCATATTGCCCATACCTGTAACCAGTCAGACGAGCATTAGGGAGTGAGATCATGGCCGTCACTTACCAGGGTTGCAAGAACCCTTCTTGATCTGCAAACCATCCGTGATTGTCTTGCCTTCGCAAAAGTTGATGTTGTTGTTGTTGCTCCTGTTTTTTCTTGTCAGATCATGGGCTATGCTTTGAGTCGGAGCGGATTTCCTTACGGAACCGAAGGGGATTGTCCCGGATCGCCATCACCCCCCTCTTGACCCGTGATCTGGGATCCTTTGTTGAGGACGTTCTGACTCAGCTCGAGGGAGTTGAGCACATTGTTGTCGCCACCGCCGTTCTTGTTGTTGCCACCGCCGTTCTTGTTGTTGCCACCGCCGTTCTTGTTGTTGCCACCGCCGTTCTTGTTGATGCCACCGCCGTTCTTGTTGATGCCACCGCCGTTCTTGTTGATGTTGTTGTCTACGCCTTGGTTTGCAGCTCGGCCGGCGCCGCCTTGTCTAACTCCCTGTTGTCTTCGGTCCAAGCTGTTTGATTCCGGGGATCCACGGTCCATGACGGCGGCTTCGGTGACGACGGTCATGCCCACGAGGGCTATGAGAAGAGATCCGATATGCATTTTGGATAGAAAGAATTATGGATGGTCTAGAACGAAAAGAGAGAAATAGAGCACGACTCCAGCCAGGGAGACAGGTTGCGGGAAAGCAGCTGACAGTCAGATGGTGGATTGCCCACGAGACTCAGCACTGATGATCAAGGGAACGAATGGAGCTGAGCGCACTTCCAGCGTGGCCGACAATGTAGGAGGAAGGAGTATGACGGGGTGGATTACAGGAAAACAGGAAGAGGTTGTGAAAACGAAGAGAGGGGGAGAGAGAACAAGATAACACGAGAAGGATTAAGAGGCGGAGCAGGGAGAAGGAGGCAGTGGGGGGATGTGGGCACCAAGTAGTCCTTAAGAGAAACGAGGCTTTTTGGTCTGAAGACCAGCGTGTATAACCAGACGGCAGTGAATCAGGCCCTCAAGGGCAGGAAAATGTACCACGGGGCAGCCACAATGGAAAGGCCGGGGACAGGGACGACGTGGTCCAGGGCGATCAAACCCGATGCCTAGCCGGGCAAGTACAGGGCAGGAAGCTGAAAGGCCAAGTCTCAAACCGGGAGAGTGGCAGGACAAAGCGGTGCGAGAGAGTTCAGCCGTTGTAACCGATGAGGCATCATGTGTAGAGGAGAGGACAAGTCCTGGCACATGAGACGGCACCAATTGGCGGAGGGTGGAGGATTGACAGGGAAGGGGGGGGTCGAGTTTGTCACGGTCAAGGCGGGTGTCGGCCCAAAAGAGCAACGTCAACTCATGAACAGAGCGTTGCTTGTCTCAAGTTGTCAGAGGGCCTCCACGAGGAGGGGGGGCAACGGGCCAATGAGGTCCTGCGCGATGGTATGGTAAGGCAGTTCGCGTTTCGCCATGAAGCAGCCTGTGTCGTCGCGACAAGACCATCCAGTGTTTGAAGAGACTGGAATCAGCGGCCAAGGCAATGCGCCGCCCGCCGTCCAGCCAGCAGGTCTGCACAGACGGGCTTTGCGGCTTTCTCGAAGCTGCTCTCCGCCATGTCTGTGCTGAGCCGGCCGTGCGAGGCCTCACACTGAATTACCGCCCAGAAGAAGAACAAGACGCTATGGCAAGCAGCCTCAAGTATGGTTGAATGCATCACTCCTTGCCATGTCGTCCGTCCATACGACTGCGTGGCTCGGCAAGGAGGCATCGGGAAACAGCCCGGAAAACAGCCCGGAAAACATGCTCGTGGCAATACATGACTTGGGTCGCGCCGGATGGCTCCGTTGCCGCCGCCTAGCATCAGTCTCCAGCCTGGGTGCAGTGGTTCGTCCTTCGCATCACCCCAGGCCAGCCTGGGAAGCTCTAGGGAAGGGGTAGCCATGCCATCGCTACTCCGGGTCGCACGTACTGCCCAGTCTTGGACATGGGATGGCAACGCAGGCGGCACCCCGGGAGCGTGGACTGGTTGTTAAAGACGAGCTTCCATTCGCTATCCTTATTCAGTTGATCTGATTCAACCTTATTCTCGGAGGCTCGACGTTCCGCCTCTTCGTCGTCATCGTCCGTCGTGGTGCCGAAGGAAAAACATTACTCGGGTCCAATTGACTTGCATTGCGCACCGGGTCTGCTCGCCGAAGTCTATGTTGACCGTTTCGCCCCATCCCATCTTTGTCTTGACCTTTAACCTTAACCGTCTGTGAGACCCCTTCGCTGCCGGATCAAGGCCACCTGCTGCGCGGACTTTGACGGCAGGGCCTCGGGCCACGTCACTAGACCTTGTTCCCTTTTGCCTGCCGTTTCTGTCCACTTTTCTTCGGGCGAGCAGCGGGACCCGGCACGGCATCTAGACATCCGCCCGTTGATATGGCTGTCCATCAAGCAGTGTAAGCATCGGCCAGGCGGGGCCGCAAGCCTTCCAGTACGTCACGGCTTCCGCGGCCTGGCCATCCGGAGTGACGCGCACGGTTGTGAGAGCCGGCTGTGGTGCAGGTCCAGGCCATGTCATCGGATCTACAGTTCCTCGGTCATCTGCTCTCCTGCTCTCCGTACCTGATACTCGGCAGCAATTTGATCCAGCCACGCGGCCATTCGGTACCCGGCACGGGCGACCTGCCGCTCAACGACCGGGCCGGCCCTGTCAAAGTACTCGTCTGCCAGCTCCTGGCCTTCAATTGCGTCGACACCCTCGGGGAAGACTAACTCGGCGAGGTGAGAGAGTGAGCTAGGCGCCAGGTGGCGGTGACGGGACGCGGGGCTGGCTTACCATGGGAGCAAACGAAGGCGTTGGTTTCTCTTGACCATGCCATGGCCGTCTTGATGGGGTTGCCGAGATCAACATCCTTCAGCCATGTGTCCTTTTCGTCGGCAAACTTGCCCTCGGTGATTTCGACAGCCAGCTGATTTGCCCATCGTTCGGCCTCTGGGTACGGCCCGTCTCGCAGGCCGCCAATCCACTTCTCTGCAATGGAGGTGTCCCACACGTGGTGTAAGTTGAACTCCCTACCGTCCCAAAGCACGTAGATGCCATTGCCGCCCTTGGCAACATCCTCGTTGTGCAGCGGCTGGTGCAGGTCGCCGACAAAGTGAATGACAAACTTGGCCGCCTGGGCGCGTCGCCAGGCGGGCAGCGAGTCGTCGAGCGACTGGTCCGTGTAGTTGGCGAGGGCGCTGATAACGCAGCCAGTTTCCTTGCAATCGCGCTTGAAGTCGACGTTGCAAGAGGTGGGCGGGTCGTCATGGGCGTCGATGAAGTGAAAGGTGCGGGTGAATCGGCCCCATCTCGTGTATCGGATGGAATCGGCCCACGAGGCAACGCCGGCCAAGTAGTCGCTGTCGTCGTTTCGCAAAAGGTCCTTGAAGTGATGTTCGGTCGATTCGGCCACGAACTGGCTCGCGAGATATGCCGTCGCGATGTGGCCAAAGCCTGGGGGATTCCGCCATCAGCTGGCCGCCCGTCGTATCACGACGCACGCTACGTACTTCCCCAGGCGACAGCGACGGGTGCAAAGACGAGGGCCAAGGCCGCGGCGCTTGGCGAGATCTTCATGTTTGCGGGCTAGACTGTGGGAGCGGCGAGAAAGAGCAATGCGCGATTGTCGTGCAGTGTCAAGGCATCAGCAGAGCCGGCGGGCGTGACCCATATAGTCCGCGTGCCCCCCTCCTGTGGTCGGCTGTGAGGCGGCTGGGATGGCTCGATGGCTGTCCGGCTGACCAGAGGTTGCTGGTTGATTGGTTGGATGCCGGCGGCTACCATCTGAGATGAGGGAGCGAAGCTGGTGATCCATCGATCTGCAGGGCACTTTGTACATGTACATGTTGTGCAGCGATCCGCTATGCATGCATTATATCCTATCAGCGACCAAGGCCTGCACTGATTTACACAAGGACTTGGGCATAAAAGGGTCTATAAATTGCCACGTAATAGAGTAATAGGCTAAGTTACGCTCCTGACCGCAATGTGTCGAATCTTGGACAGCTACAATGGTTGCAAAATAGCCCATAGCCCGTCTTGCTGGTACACATTTCGAACTTGACGGGTTACTATGCGCGCCCTAGCAAGGTGATACTTATTCCAACAGGTCAGGATGGCCACTAGATGTCATGGACGCCAATCTTTTGAGTTCCGTCAAAACGAGGTCCACCTACTAGTGTTGGGGCTGGCTCGCTATCAAAAATGCATTAGTCAAGGAGAGAAGCTGGGGTTCTGCGGAAAGCTTCGAGAACATAGTCATTCACATGAAAGAAAGTTCAAGCCCACTACAGCGTTTATCAACCCCAGTCGCGTAGCGCCTGTGCGCGAGCGGGAGTCCGTGGCAGAGAGTGGTGAAACGCTGTGGCGGCTTGCAATGGATCCTGCCCGAACCTCTGCTCAGACATGGCCAGGTGGTGTTAGGCAAGGCTCGAGGTCCAAAGGCTGACTCGGGGCCGGCCGTGCGCCAGGCGAGTACGGTGGGTGTATCCTTTGCCGTCCAACGTCCGGACTGGTATCTCACGTAATTACTTCCTTGTTGGGCTGAGACAACCATGTTCCGTGCGCTGAAGTGCGTGGAATTCTTGGGGTTGAGTCGGTTGACGTTCAACACGGCGCTTTGACTGCTGGAACCCTGCCACCGTCGTGGTAACTACTATCAAGCTCATCCCACTCAACGCTTTTTTCCTCCAGCAAGTTCAAGAACAAACGGAAAATTAGCCTTCTTTCCATCTCTTGCTTTTCTCTCCCGACTGGGCTTAAAATCCCTATCTTGGGATCAAATGACGTCTTTCCCAGTCGCATCACGGTGCAAGGGTTGATTTGTCTTGTTGCTCTCGAAAGCACCTGAGTTTGGCAGCCAGTGGCTATTTCCAGCACTCGATGTAGGTCTCTCTGCTTGGATCCAGCCAGTGGTGGATGATGTGAGAAGCTCAACTGACAGGAGGTTACCCCGGGTCGGCTGTGCATGGCGTTGGCAGATGGCTTGAAGCTGAGGCTATTGAGGGCTTCACGATTCTTATTGCACGAATGCAGCCAATTTGAGTGGGTAATGACAAGACGCCCGTGGTCGAACTGGCGATCATGGCACCGTCGTAGGTGACCCTGACTTGATTCGAGCGTGGCTGCCACGGGTGTTTACCCTAGAGCCGACGACGATCGGGGACTGAATCGGCGAGAGTTAATGGGAAACAGTCCCTGGAGCAAGAACAACGCTGCTGCGTCTGCGGCCGAGCCCGCGAAAAGCGCCGCTCGCCAACCATGTCCTGCCCGATTGCGAAACTGCGGCGTTCTCCAGGGCTATTGTGGGGCTTGGCGGCCTGCGAGGTTATCTGTAAGACTGTAACTCGACTCAGCAGTCCAGCACAAGTACCTCTACCTCATCATTGGTGGCTTGCGAGAACTTGCTGCATGTCTGACCGCCTTGCTCCACCAGTAAAGTACGGAATACCCACTCTTCCCCGCACCTATGTCGATCTTGGCAAGTACTGGGTACACAGCAGCCGCTTGGCGCACGTTCCGCCGTTTGCCTCTGCTGCAGTGCAACCAGTGCTACGCTAGCTCGATTAAAGGGTGCCACCCATGTGCCCTGGAAGCGTCATGCGTCCCCCGACCGCCGGACCAGCAATCGGCCAATGGCGCCATGCCGCGATAAGACTTTCAATCCTTTTTGCCGCCCTGCCTCCCTATCATTTCTTCTTCGTCTTCGTCCCAGAGTGGCTCAAGCTCGCTGTTTCACCCTGCTCCTCCTCCTCCTCCTCCTCCTGCTCCTCCTCCTCCTCCTGCTCCCCCCGCCCCTCCCATCTCCGCTCGGCTGCGCTTCGTCGTCCGCCAGCCGTATCCTCACCATGGCCTCTCTCGTTGCCGCAGCCCTGGACGTCGCGGCGCGCCAAGTGCCCGTGGGCCAGACTCTGTCGGGCATCTTTGGCAGCATCAGCCTGACGGCCTGGATATGTCTTTTGGTATGACAACCCCGACTCGAGATGTGCTGCTGTTCCAGTTGCCCCTCGTCGCTGACATGCCGCGCAGCTTCCGCAGCTCTGGGCCAACTACAAGGCCAAAAGCGCCGACGGCCTCAGCCTGACCTTTTTGGTCGTGTGGTCCTTGGGCGATGTGTCCAACTTGTCGGGTACGTCCTTCTGTTTGCTCCAGGGCATCCGCTTGTTTTCGTGTGCCGGAAAATGGCCTTTTCTCACGCATGCTGACACGGCCCAGGCGCCATACTCACCAACCTGGCCCCGAGTGCCGTCGCCCTGGCGGTATACTTTTGCATCTTGGACGTTACCCTCATCAGCCAGTGCCTCTACTACAACACCATCAATGCGCGCCGGCTCGCCAGGGAGGAAGGCACCGACACCACCGGAACGACATCGGAGAACTCGCCGCTTCTCGCTGGGCGACGAAGCTCCTCGTCCGCTTCGGCCGACTCTTCGCGACAGTCTGCCGGGCGCGAAGCTTCACCGGCACGGCCCAGTCGCAAAACAATCTCAGACGACGAGGAGACGTCCTATAAGAGTGGATCGTGCGCATACAACGCTCTCAGCCTGTTGGCCGTCTATGCCATTGGCGTCGCCGGCTGGTTCATCTCCTACATGGCCGGGGCCTGGGACAGCGACGCGCCAAGCGTTCCCGAATCTCCAGGTGACCCGCAGTCGCCGTCTGCGGTAGCAGGCCTTGCACTCGGGTATGCCAGCGCTGCTTTTTATCTCTGGTAGGTTCCTGCACCATGTCATGAATCTCGTCGCAGCGGGCTTATATGGTGATGCAGTGCCCGGATACCGCAGATTGTCAAGAACTACAGAGAAAAGTCTTGTGAAGGTACGCGTCCCAGGCATGAAACATGCGAAACGCTGAATTTGGGTCTGACATGACTCTAGGCTTGTCGCTGCTCTTCTTTATGCTGTCCCTGACGGGGAACTTGACGTATGGGGTGAGCCTCATGGCCTATTGCCAAGACAAGCAGTACCTCCTCAAGGCCTTTCCATGGCTCCTGGGCTCGCTGGGGACCATGGTCGAGGACGCAACCATATTTGTCCAATTCCGGCTTTACGCTGATGGACTCCGCATCGGTGGTGCCCGAGAACCGTGAGACTTTCGTCAAGCGGCCGGTGCGTCATGTCATCTCCCTCGGTGTTTTCTGGGATTCGTTCCCTCAATGTTGGCTACTTTATGATCACGGACTGTGCATGGATGCATTGAGGCGTTGGCGTGTTTTTCCGGGGACAAGCATCTACCAAGGGTGCACTGTTTATGTGCTGGCCGGGCTATGTTCGTGGTTTCGGATAACCGAGTCCGGGCTGTTTTACTATGATGAGACTTGATGTAGCATTCCAATTAGTTGCATGGAGGTCGTAATGAGGGCGTTTGGAAGCCTTGTATTCTACCGGTTGAGCTTCTCACGATGAGTAGAAAGTACTACTTGTACTCACGCACATATCTACTTGCACATACGGCCTATTTTCAAAACACGTATCAACGCTAGTCCGTACCGCACATTCGTACCGCGCGCGCCTGGCAAGTAGCCGAATGCCCGCGCCGCGCCTGCGCCCGCCCGCACACACATACACACCACACATACGCACTGTTGGCCATATAACGCATGCCTCTCAATTCGCTCAAACAACGCATTTCCGAGCCTTCAGCCCGAAGTTGCAACATCCCGGCCCGTCAATTGATCCGGCTCCTCTGGCCCCTGTGACTGTGTGGGCGCCTCGACGCCTGACGAAGGCAGCCGCCTTGACGAAGCTGTAGGCGCGCCACCCCTGGCGCGCCCTCCTTTTGAAACCCTTCCCCTTGTATTTCCTTTGCCCGACGATCTTTGTTGTGATGCCGCGAGAGACCTTGGGCCGGATCTCATCTTGCGAGAGGTGCCTTCAAACGCTTGTGTTGCCGTCTCTCCTCCAAGAGCTTCAAAACGAAGCTTTTGGCGATCATTATAGACGTCTCGAATGCGGAAGAAAGCTGCAGAAGGATCGGCGTCACGTAGGATGCTTGATATCTCTCGAGCCGGTAGTGCTTTGTGTTTCGAGAGGTTCCGCTCGAGAGCTTGCTGTATGGAGGTCCGTCGGCGATGGATATTGTGTGCCGAGGGATCAAGCGAGGGCCCGTGGTTGTGGTGATCCTCAGTGGCACGAAAATCCCACTTCCATATACCTTCGTTGCATGAGGCTGTCACGAGAAGGCGGAAAGGGCAGTCGAGCTTTTGGGTGGACGTTTTGCGAAGCCCGGTGCTTGTGGAAGCTCGCTGCGGGCCACGATCACAAATAAAGATAATTCGGGTTGCAAGGGAGGTCCCATCGATATCCCGCTTGCGGGAACTTGACCGCCTGATAACAGCAGCTCCATTATCGCGAAGGAAGCCCTGGATGAAATTGTACGCTTCATTGTAGGTTTTAAAGCCTGGGGACGGCGGCAGAGGCGGAATCGCGGTTTGAGGGGGCTCTTCGTGATCGTGGGCTTCTTTTGAGTCGCTCTGAGGCGCAGTGGCATCACGGAGAGGGAGAAGGGGGTCCATCGCGGCGCTGGTGATGGCTTCAAAATTGGTGTGTGTGTGGGCGAGGTTGTAGGTAGGTAGGTGTATGCGGGCGCGCGCGGGCATTTGGGCGGTACGGCTAATTAAATAATAATACTTGCCAGGCGCGCGCGGTACGAATGCGCGGTACGGGCTAGCGTTGGTACGTATCTTAAAAAATGGGGCGTGAGTGCAAACAGCTCTACTCCTCACGATAAGGGAAAGGCTGAGGGGGTGGCGTTTTGAGCAGTCACTGATAAGCATACTCCGTGGCTGGACCCGCTTTAATCGCTGGAATGGCGGGGCAGGCCCTCCGACTCTGCTCCGAAGTCGTGGCGGGGTTGCACGCTGAGCATTCCTTGACTTCACTTTTTATCCGCGCCCCTCGCTGCCCTCTGCGCCTCGCCGTCTCGACCTTGCTTCAATCCACCTCACTGCGGGCTCGACTTGCTGTCCGCACACGAGTCCGGCACCATGGCTGCCCAGATGCCCACCAAGAAGTGCGGTACGTTGCCGAATTGCTCGTGGTTGGATGCCCACCACTGCCCGGTCCGCAGCGACACTCCCAAGAGAGGAAGGCCGCGACAGAAAAGGCTGACCCGAGAACAAAAAAACAACAACAGGTGTCCTCGGCTGCACCGGCTCCGTCGGCCAGCGCTTCGTTCTCCTCCTCGCCCAGCACCCCCTGCTCGAGCTCCACGCCATTGGCGCCTCGGCGCGCTCCGCCGGCAAGACGTACAAGGACGCCGTGCGGTGGAAACAGGCTCGGCCCATGGGCGCCGTCGCCGACATGGTGGTGAGGGAGTGCCGGGCCTCCGAGTTCAGCGACTGCGACGTCGTCTTTAGCGGCCTCGACTCCGACGTGGCCGGTGATATTGGTCGGTCGCCTGGCGTCGCGAAGCTGCTGGACGAGGAAGAATATCAATGACTGACGAGCGCTCTCGCCCGCTCATGAAAACAGAGCAGGAGTTCCTCAGGGCCGAAATCCCCGTCTTCTCCAACGCAAAGAACCACCGCCGCGACCCCCTCGTCCCCCTCGTCGTCCCCACCGTCAACCTCGCCCACCTCGACCTCATCCCGCACCAGCGCTCCGTCAACGGCCTCGCCCGCGGCTTCCTCGTCTGCAACTCAAACTGCGCCGTCATCGGCCTCGTCATCCCCTTTGCCGCCCTGCAGGCCGCCTTTGGCCCCATTGCCACCGTCAGCATCGTCACCATGCAGGCCGTCTCGGGCGCCGGCTACCCGGGCGTCTCGTCCATGGACGTCATCGACAACGTGGTGCCCTACATCAAGGGTGAGGAGGACAAGCTCGAGACGGAGGCGCGCAAGATCCTTGGCCGCATCGACGACTCGGCGCAGGCCTTTGTCGAGCAGGACGGCCTCCGCGTCTCGGCCACGTGCAACCGCGTCCCCGTCATGGACGGCCACACGGCCTGCGTCAGCCTCAGCTTCGAGCGCCGCCCGGCCCCGACGGCGCAGCAGTGCAAGGACGCCCTGCGCAGCTACACGGCCGAGGCTCAGACCCTGGGCTGCCCCTCGGCGCCCAGCCCGCCCATTGTCGTCTTTGACGAGGACGACCGGCCCCAGCCCCGCCTGGACCGCGACCTCGGCAACGGCTACGCCGTCAGCGTGGGCCGCCTGCGCGAGGACGAGAGCGCCGTCTTTGACATCAAGTTTACGGCCCTGAGCCACAACAGTGAGTCTCGCGTCCCCGTTGTCGCCAGCGGCGCGCGTCTCGGCTGATTACCTATCCCCGTCTAGCTGTCATCGGTGCGGCCGGGTCATCCATACTCAACGCCGAAGCCGCCATTCTCAAGGGCTACATCTAAGCGACATGGGTTGAAGAACCAGAAAGAGCGTCCTGTCTCCGGCCTCAAGACTCGAGTTCTGGATATCATCCCCAACTCCATGTGGCGGCTACCCGTTGATCAACCAACCCCTCGCGGAACCCCCCAGCTGAAATTCACCACGGGACAGAAGCATTGCGATACCAATTTTACGAGAGCTCATGTTTGTACCATTGTATGTAATTCGTGATCCACCGGTCAAGGCGTCATTATCAAGGAGAGGGGGGTCAGGGAAGAGAGTAATATCGGATGCCCGTCCCCACCCCCCCAGCCGCATAGTCACCTGACTACCTGGTAACGCACACGCCGAGTCACGCAAGGGCGCGAACAATAAGCCAAAGGGGAAAAAAAGCAAAGAGAGACCCCTTTCCGACAAACAGGAGGCTCTTCTCAGCGTTCCATGATCCCAAGTCCCGTGCCAATGCGTGCCTGCTCAACAAGACCAAAAAGTAAAAGATAACAAGGGAAGAAAACAGGGAGGGACAAAAAAGCCCACAGAGACAACCGGTGCCTGCAAAATGCCAATTACGCCAATACCGTGACCATACTCTTTAATCCGGCTTTCCGCGCGCGCGCTCTTTTCAGAATATGTGCATGCCGTCGTTGTTTAGGGGGGTCGCGCTGACCGGCCTCGATGTGTCGGCCATGCCATCGTCATCGGTTGCGATCCTCTGCCGGGGGGGTTTGAGACCGATGCCTGGTTCTGGAGCCGAAACTATTCGATAGCAGCCCAAGCCACCCCTCCTGCCGTCCTGACTGAGGCGTGCCACGACCTCTCGGGGATAGGATGCCTCGCTCGGGATCCGAGGACCCCTCAATCGGACGAGAGTTCGAAGCCTCGGCTTCGACATCATCGTCAGGCCCGTCGTGATACGGCTCGTACCGTGAGCTGTCGCGGCCGCTGCGAGCCAGGGATCGGACCACGTCTCCCTTGCAAATGGGACATGTTCGGCGGCGAGTAGTTAACCAGGGAGTTCTTGCGACATGGTCAGCTCGGCAATATGCAAAAGGGGTGGCGCAGACGCCGTCGTGCAAACTCACATGCAGTCGGCGTGAAATTCGTGGCCACAGGGCAAGCTCATTACCCTGCTCACGCCATCGACGTACTCCTCCAGGCACACGACGCACTCTACCTGTCTGCCCATGTACTTCCTCCACTCGGCAGAGAAGCCCGCGGAGCCCTTTTCGTGCTCGGCTCGAGCGCCGTTTCGCACAGGGGCCTGAGGCGTCGGCACGGCGGCGCTCGGGACCAGGAAGTTCTCGCTCTGCAAGACCCCAGTCGTCGTTCTCGAGCGCGGCCGCGGTCTTGCGGGGCTGTGCTGAAGCAAAGGCGTCGTGGGGCTTGCGCTGGAGGGGGATGGGAGTCTCGGGGACAAGCTGGGCGACGGTGCTACCGTGTGATACGTCCGAACAGGGAGACGGTCGACGACCGACTTGGGCGCTCGCCATCTCCGTCTCCGGATCCTGGCACGAACAATCAAGAGCGCGTACACAACGGTCAAGGTGACTAGTGGGCTGATGACGAGCACGAGCAGGGTATCGAAGAAGGGGCTTGCGCTGCTCGTAGGGGTTATGGTGACCCATAGCCCCTCGTGTGTCTCAAAGTCGTGATTGTGGTTGGGAACACTCTGACTCTCAGCGTCGTGGGAATGCTTTTCGCTGGCGCCGTCGACAGCAGCGGCGGCACCGTCTTCATCACCAAAAAGCTTCGAAATGAGACCGTGGCCCTTGCCGTCAGCTTTGGTCGCGGTCTCTTTGCCATCCTTGGGCGTCGCTTTGCTCGGATTGTACTCGCCGCTTCCTGGCGTAATGCTCCCGCCCTTGGGGCCGTTGGCCTCGGGGGCGCTTTTGCTCGACCCCTCGTGCTTCTTGCTACTCGGCGGCGTCTTTTGGTCGGCCTTCGCGGCGGCGGCGGCTGTGCCCTTCTTCTTGGGCGACCTGCCTACGAGATCTGGGTCCCGCCAGTCCTGCACACCGATGACGAAGCCATCATTAGATGTTTTGGACTTCGTTGATTTGCTCAGACTGCCCTTGCCCGCCTCCTCAGTGGAGCTCCCAGTTGAAGGCCAGTCAAGGCGTCCGCTGCTGGGTGGTCGGCTCTCGTCATCGCTGGTGAGAGGCGACTGACGCCAGCCAAACATTCTCGCCAGCCAGCTGCGCTTTCGAAGCGCGTTTGGTGTAGGCTTGTCCGTCGTATCACTGAGGCCCCGCTTGACTCCCGAACTGGGAGGTGCGGCGCCACGAAGGGCTGCTGTTCTGCCAGGAACCAATGTTCGCTTCTTGGCGTCCTGCCGGCTCTTGGGGCCCTGTTGTACCTTGCGCACGGGGTTCCCACTGTCGTCGAGCGTATCCTCGATAAAGCTCCCCGGCTGGGTCAAAGACGACAGCAAGTGCGCCGTAGTCCGGGCAGTGAATACGGATGGAACCGTCACGTTGTCGACCTCGTCGCCGTGCGCAAACATCTGAATGAGGGGCCCACCCTTTTGGTTGTCGCCGACAATGACGGCTATGGCTCCTCGTCGCTGAGCCCACATGACCTTTTCCAAGAAGCCGCAGCCACCGCGCATGAGGAGCACCACCTTGCCCTGTATCTCGGCGGCTTCTTGGATGGACTGTATATCGGCGTGGGCCGAGGAGGAGGCGGTGTCACGCCGCGAGACGGAGGCATGGCCCAATTCATCCGAGTCATGGGCACCTTCAACATCGGATCTCGTTCGAAGTCGGGTGATGGCTTCCCTGTGGTCAGGGTCGAGTAGCAGTCCGGCACGCTTGGGATGGCCGGACTTGAGCTGGGAGGCGGCGGTTCGGGGAATGTCGGCTCGAAATGAATTCCTGAGAGCTGCCCTCGTATTGCCGCTCCCCCAGCCGGGAAGGTCGCTGCAACCCAACTCTCCATCGCCGTCCTGGCTGTCTTCGGCAAAGCCACTGCCGACCCAGAGCTGGCCGCTCAAGCCGTGGGCAGCCAGCTTCGGGCCAAAGGCGGCGGGCCGGGCGGCAAAGGAGGTGCTGTTGTCGTCGGTCAAGCTGATGGCGGCGTTTGGCGGGAAGAGCGAAAAGGGCGTGTTGTAGTACATGAAGCCGAAGACGGACCTGGTGGATCGGGCTTCGGCGGTGTACGAGGACGAGGCACGTGGACGGCTGGCCGAGGTGAAGGCCCGGCCGAGGATGAAGATGGAGGCGGCGAGGAAGAGGGCGAGGATGGCGATGCGCGGCGGCCTCATCGTGTCGGCGGGGATGGATGTCGACGTCGGCGCCAAGCCAGTCGCACAGGACGACCTCGCAGCATCCGCAGACGGGGGACAAATGCAGACACCACCGGTATCTAGACGCAGGACGACAGGCAGGGTGCCGGGCGTGAGAGAAGATGGCAAAGAGGACGGCAAAGAAAAACCATACACACACGACGAGGCAGCAGCACGTAGGCGGAGTCGGAGAGGAGAGGCGAGGCGGGCGAGGGTAAGAGAAGAGCGGGGAGGAAGAGAAAGGTGGTGGTGGTGATGGCAGCATTTACGGGGTGGAAAGTGGGAGCCTTCTCGGCACGGCTGTGTACGAGCCAGAGACACGGCGGCGGGCGGCGTGGTCGCAGGGGCGGGCGGTACAGGCCAGGTACAGGCCAGGTACCGTCGTGACCTGGCTTGTTGCAAGTAGGGCGAGGCGGCGGGTCGTCGCTGGCGCTGGTTCCGCCAGTGTCTCAGGCGTCCAGGTAGTCTAGCTGCATGGGTCAGGCGCCTTCCTGGGGTGTGGGAGTGGGCTGCTGGCTGCTACCGAGGCCTACTTAGGGGCTCGGGGACCTCTGCAAACTCAGCTGTGCACTAACCTCGCCCTTGTAGTACGAATACAGAGCAATTAACTCCAAGACGTTCTCGAAGGAAGGCCGGGCAGGCCGGAGCTTTCGAGTCGGCCCCCTAACGCAGGTACCTACCTTTTCTGCTCCTCTACCTACTCCGTATCCGTGCATGCTTTTTAGCATTTTGGATGCAGACAAATGCTTTGGGCAGGCCAACGTGATGTGGACTGGTTGGTATCTACAGACACTCGTCGACTCCATGAGTGTGTCGTTGCCCGTCAGACACTTCAAGCGGCTACAAATAGAATCCCCTTGGCCTTGGGGTTACCGCTGCTCCTTCGCAGCTGTCCAGGTGCCTTCAACGCTCCCCCGCGCCGTCGTCAAGCAGCCGTCAAGCAGCCGACAACCAAGGGAGAGCTTGCCGCCCTTGAGAAACGTCTTGGTGAGTCGCGCCAATTAAACAGGCGGCACCGAGCGTAGGTGAGGGAGGGCGCGGCCAGAGTTGCCAAGAAAAGGGATCAAGCGGCATTGTTCCATGTCTTTGCTGGCCCGGCCACCACCGGCGGTAGGTCGACGCCTCTCTCCTGGCTGGCGATGCGTTCTGCTTGATGATTACGGAGTAGTAGCAGCTGCCTTTGCACGGACGCGCGTGCGGGTGAAACGTCCCGGTGCCCACGGTGCTCAACTCGGGCCCCGACTGGGGATTTTGTGGCTCCGCCACCCCCATCATGTGCATCTTCTCGTTCGTTGGCCGGTTGGAGGATGGCCCGGCCCTTGGGCCTCGTGATTTGGATTCCTAGACTTAGAAAACGGAAGAGGTCGATGTCGAGGACGCGCTTGGCGGCTCTCAGACTGGCGGCTGACGGCTCTCAGATCAGCAGCTGGCGGCTAATCCATCAAGATCTTTATTTGCAAGTCGGCATTTCGTAGTCTGCTTGCCGAATCCCGTTCCGTACATGCACCTGCTTCACTTCCAAGTGGCTTCATGCTGAAAACCTGTGTAATGTGCACTGAGCATTACCAGCCCTTGGTAACTAGTCGCAACTCCGTGGAGCCGTCTAATCTACGTCACAACAGTGACAGCCTTTGCATCAAATGACAGCCATTCTTCCGGGACGTTTCATGTCCAAGCAAGGGGCAGCAAATCTCATTCATCTCGCATCGTTTGCCGAGTTCGCGGGCCAACCAGTCAATCATCCTCCGAAACCAAGGCCAGCGGATGAACCGCCTCCTAGTCCAAGAACTTGCCCCTGTCCCACGCCCGCTTCTCGCCTGCCTTGGACCAAACGACGTCCTTGTCCGTCTTCTCGCGCTTGTCCTCGACACGTTCGATCTGGTTCTCGGTGAAGCCTGCGGATCTCATTCGCTGTGGCTGGTTCAGTCGCAGCTTCTGGAGATCCCTGTAGGCCTCTACCGTGTCGTCCCAGTCACCTCCGTCCATGTCGTGGTCTTGCGTATCGGTTCGCGGGTCATACAACTCGGAGAAGCGACGATCCAGGTTTGCGGCCCCGCCAATCGTGCCTCGTCCACGGTGCCTGGCAGGCGGCGCTGGGCCGATCAGATCATTCAGCGGGTCCGAATCGCCGCCGTCGTCATCGCCTGCGTGGGCGTCTGCAGTCAGCCGAGAGGGCCCGAACACGTCTTTGGAGGGGGAACGGCGGCGAGAGCGCTCTCGGTAATTCCTCTTCTCCTTTCTAGGTGAGCGAGATCTTCTGTGGCGACGGGGCGACTTGGATCCACCTCGTCGGGACCTGCCTTGGTGACGGCGGTCATCTTGTCCCGAAAAAGGTTTGTCGCGTCTCGAACGCCTCTCCTCTTGCCTGCCTGGGCTGTTGTCTCTCTGCTTGGCGTCGCCTTGGCTGGTCCGCCCGCGACGGTGCCCATCATCTCGGCTGCCTTTCAGGTCATTCTCCCAAACGACACGCTTCCTGTCGTGGTGTTGACTTTCCCGTTTGTCCGCGCCGTGCGATGGTCTGGTACCGCCTTGATCGCCAGTTCGCTTCGTGCCGCCCAGAATGGCGTGGATGTCACCCATCTGACGCTTTCGGATGTCGCTCGCATCTGGATTCGTCTTGCGTCGTCGAGCCTCGTCAGCCTTGTCCAGCTCTTGGAGCTTGGCCTTTGACTGGGCTTCTCCCTTTGCAATCCGTGCTTTGTTGTGGGTTTCCGTGTTCTTGATGATGTTGCGAAGGAACCGCGTGTTGGGCCTCGGCAAATTGGCCGGCCTGAGACTTCTTGGTCAGCCTAGTTCCTCGTCGTCTCGTGGGGAGGGGAATAGCATACTCCCTTCTCGGTTCCATGCCCATGGTTGAGTATTTCAGAGAGCAGTCCTTGGCCTCTTCGGCTAGCAGTCCAGCGACGTATTCGTCGGTTAGGAGGTCATCGTTTGGCATGGCCAGCCCGAGAGTCAGGCACGCGAAGCAATGCGTGGTGCGGGGAAGAAAAGAGAGGAGCGAAAAGCGGTTTGGGTGTTCAGAGGTCGCCTTGTTCAGGCGTGTGCCGGGCGACAGCTGGCGGGCAGGTGTTCGGAGCTCGCACTGCCGAGCCAAGTTGGAATGGAAGTTCGAGTTGCGTTGCGCCGGACGACCCTCAGACTCACCCCAACGTAGCTACCGTGTGAACAGGCGCTCCCCTTGAGCATCGCTATCCCGGGATATCGCTGGAGGAGCGTTGTTCATCTTGCCAAGGCCTGAGCCCGACGCGAACGCTTTCTGAGGCCGATTTTGTTCCGAGGCAGGGACAGGGAGAGAATGGGCATTCGCCTGTAGCTCATGGAGAACAGCGCGCATCACGAAACACTCTTCGAGATTAGTCAGCCTCTCCAAGACGAAGTACAAGGTACAGATAGTTGTCCGATAGCAGATAAGCGTTGCTCTGGCCACTAACCGTATCAGGCCCAAAGTAAACAGGCGACGTGCCAGGGACAAATACCGACACTTTACACACCGTTCACCACCGGCCCCGAATCATCGCGCAACATGACGGCAGCCAACGCAACGGACATCCTCGAGACGCTGCGGCAAGCGCAGGCCGATGACGAGCTCACCATCATCAAGCTCAGCGAACCAATCACCAGCCACACGCCGCCAGCGCAAGACTCGCGGCAGCGCGCCTCGGATGCCTCCAACGCATCGCTCGACGGGCCCACGCCGGCCGGCCTCGAGGCCGACCTCGCGCACTACGCCGAGCTCTTTGCCAAGCTGCGCTTCTCCTACGTCGAGCAGGTGACCAAGGAAAAGTTTATCCGCGCCATCGTCGGCGACCCGCCCTTGATTGTCTCGATGCAGGAGAACCTGGACCTGGAGAAGGAGAATGGCGAGGCCAAGGCGCAGCTCAAGTCGCTCAAGCTCGAGGTCGCCGACATGGCCGCAGAGCTCGAGAAAATGGGGAGGGAGCTGAGCCGGCGGTACGAAAGGGTCCGGATGGAGACGACGCAGCTAGCGGAGCTGCCCGGCAAGGTGGAAGAGCTCGAGACGCAGGTGGCGGCGCTCCGGACCGCGCAGGACGTATCCGGGTTGAACCCCAACCTCAACCTGCCTCTGACCAAGACGCTCGACCTGGTCGCCAAACGCAAGGCCGAACAGCAAGAGCTCGCGCGGGAACTGGAAGCCCTGCAGGCTAAGGCGCCCCGAAAGGCCAAGGAGGCAGACCGGCTACGGGCAGAGCTACAGCCGCTCGAGTCGAGGCTACAGCACAGCGCGGCGGCAGCGCGCGAAGCACAGAGAAGAAAGGAGGCGGCACTGGGAGGCGTGGCCGATGATCTGGAGCAGCGGGCGCGGTGGTGGAGGGCCAGCGAGGGCGTGCTGAGGCAGGTGTTGGATATCCAGAACTGAGTTTATTGGGTGGTGGGTCACATCGGGATGGCGTTGGGAAAGTTGAGAGGCTGGTGAACCGCCTCCTTGTCTTGCTATATGATGGGTTATACGTGGCCGTCCTTGTTCTTTTCTTGTTTCTGTTTTTTTTATGAGGGGCGGCGACGAGACGACTGAGACGATGTTTACGATGAAGGATACAGAGGCCAGCCAGGGAATTCAATCCCAAGGACTCGGAACCAAGCAAAGGGCACATGAGTCCAAAAGTCTGTCCAGCCTGCCCCGTGGGTAGCCTGCCAAGGCTTCGGGGCTTTTGTATCAGCTGATGTGGAACAGGCAGAAGCACCACGTTTCTGCCAAGCCGACATGCCTAATGATTTGGAAGCCCATCTGTTGGACCAGTCATTTGTGCGTGCATATGTAGGCACAGCCTCAGCTGACAGACGACGGGATCTGTGGCACGCAGCCACCATCGCATGCCAGAAGCAGATGTGTCACTTTTCTGGGGCCGGCGGGTGCATCCGCCCGGCAGGCAGAGGAAGGGAGGCGGAGGGGAAGAGGGGGGGGGGGGTGAGTTGCCAAGAGCGGCTGAGGGGGAGAAAAGAGAAGAGGATGAGGAGGAGGAGGAGGAGGAGGGTAGAGAGAGGCCATGGTTCGCTACCAGAGTTGGGGGATGATGATGATTGTGCATGCTCTCTCGGCGTGCATCCACATACATATAATATGTATGTACGCACCAAGGTAGATCCCGTAGGTCGGGCAAGGCAAGCAAGGTGAGTATGCGGGAAACTTTCTACCTCCGTCGATGACTCAAACCTGGATGCATGTCCTTGATTCCAGAGTATTCGCGAACCCTCGGCCCGATGCCCGGCCCACTCCCGCCCGTGTCCGCAAGTCCGGAGTTGCCCTGCTCTTGCACCCATGCCCCATGCACACGATCCATCATTCGACCACGGAGACATGCCCTTGATTCTTGGCCTTTGTCTCGGGGCCTCGTTTTGCTCTGCGTATTGATAGTGTGTACGGCACTGTACAGTCCCCGCTTCGTGCGCAGGCCGGGATGAGGCCCCACGGTCCCGGAGCCTGGCAAAACCCCGAACGCCGGCGCGTGGGTGCGCGCCGCCACCGAGTCCGGGGGGGAGGCGCCTGACATGCTTGCTTCCTTTTTCGTGTACAGTACTTTTCCCTGCTCTTTTGCCCTCGTCTACTCACTTACTGAACTTGGTGGGCTTTTCCTCCTTCACCTTAATTACTCTCTCTGGGTCGACCCCCTTTCCCCATCCTTCTTCCCTGCCCTCTCGCCCCCCCTTCCCGTACGCTTGCTGCTGCCCTTGCTTCATCTTCTGGACACACCACCGCTCTGTAGGGTGTGAGCAGGTGGTTGGTAAGCAAGAGAGGCGGCAATCGAGCCTCGCTGTTCGGCATGGCGTCATTCCGGCTGCTGACCCATCCGGAGACCGTGTCGTGGCCCCAGCCAGGCTCCCGTGTAATTCCCGGACAGGATTGTGCTGCCTCGGACGTGGAAGCATCTCGTCGAACACGGCCTTGGGCTCGACGTCGAGCTCCCTTTGCATGGACGGACGGTGGAGAGGAGCGCATATAATCGGCCCTGCTTGCTGGAGTCTCCATCGGTTGGCCACGACAAGCACGATGAATCATTGCGCGAACAAAAGCACCCCGTCACTTCTTTACAAACAGCCCGGCAGTGGAACCCAGCGGCCACGCCGTTGGGCTGACGCACTAGAACGCACCTACCGCTCCGTTGGGTTTGGTGGGCTGCAACCACGTCCGCGCAGACTCTCACCGGGGTGTGGGTGGCTTTGTAATGCAATCCTCGGCGGCGAGCAGAGGCCATGGCCCAGCAGTGCTACCCACCATGGAGCAGAGTCGACGACGAGCTCGTCCATCTCACTCACTCTCCGTAGCCCCGTCATATGCACCTCACAGCCGTCGTCGGTGCATGGCCGAGTTGCGGTGAGCTGAAAAGGGTGCACCAGCAGCACAGCACCAGCACCAGCACCAGCACCAGCAGCACCGGGCACCGGCAGCAGGGCGGGGAGGGGGCTCGTTGTGGCCAATGATGATGATACCGCTTGTATCAGCTGTTCGCTCGGCGTCTATATACCCAGCTATATACCTAGCGTGCCAAAAAGAAATGGCTGGGCCCCCGACGGAGCATCGCTCGTCTGAAGCCTGCCCTGGTAATAATGGTGATAATGGTGATAATGGTGATAGTGGTAATAATGGTAATAATGGTAATAATGGTAATAATGGTAATAATGGTAATAATGGCAAGGTAAATGGGGGGGGGGATGGATACACCCGTCCGTCTCCCCCGCTCTATATCTCTCTGATCCCACCCAGATGGCTCCTATTTTAGTTTTGGACGCCTGGAAAACGTGATGATGAAGAAAAACACCGTAACCCCCCATGGTAGTCAAGTCATCCATGTCATCAACATTGCGCGGTCACACCCCTGGAACCCTATCTCCGGCCAGGCCCGTCCAACCCCGTCCAGCCCCGTCAACACGTGCCATGCTCGTGGGGGCCGAGACGGAAACGGGAATAATAGAAGCCATGTAAGAGGAAGACAAGTAAGCACAGGTGGAAGAAGTGAAGGGTACGATGGTAAAAATACGATGGCCGGCGGGCCGCCACCCTGGGCCTCAGAGTCGCATGGCTTCGCCGTCAAAGGCGGAGCAAATCATGGGGTCGCCCATGCCCATCATGACGTCCGGGTTTGGCCGCGACGACAAGATGTCGGGCTTGATGGTGCCGAAGTCGGACTCGAGGAGGGCCTGGTTGAGCATGTCGATGCTCGACAGGCCCGACTGCTGCATGAGCTGCATCGTGAGCTGGTCCGGCTCCGTCTTGGGCACCACCCAGGCCGGCGTGAAGCCGCCGGCCGGCATGTGCGGCGACTGCGACGCCGACGAGAAGAGGTCGGGCGGCGCCGTCGTCGTCGGGCTAAAGGCAAAGTCGGTGCTGCCGCGCGTGCTGCCCGTGCTGGCGCTCGTGCTCGTGCTGCCTCGCGGGCCGCCGCCACCGCCCCCGGAGCGCGCAAAACTCGGCGGCGACATGGCGGGCGCCGTCATGCCGCCGCCAAACGCCGCCGCCGCCGCGCCAAAGTCGTGCGCCGCCAGCGGCCGGTAGTCGAGCTCGCTGTCTGAGGGGTCGAGCTCCGATGACGACGATGCCCGCTCGCCGTACTTGTTGGCCCTGAAGTCCTCGTCGTGCAGCTGCTGGTGCGGCAGCAGTTGCGGCTGCTGCTGCTGCTGCTGCTGCTGCTGTTGTTGTTGTTGTTGTTGTTGCTGCTGCTGCTGCTGCTGCTGCTGCTGCTGCTCCTCCAGCTGACGTGCCAGCTCCGCCATGCCGGCCTCGTCCTCGGGGAAGACAGAGTGCACGGGTAGGTCGATGTCGCTGTTGGGGCGGATGCAGCCCAGCTTCTGCGCAATGTTGTGGATGACGGGCTGGCCGCGGTCGTTGAGCTCGGGCTCTCCCAGATCCCACGGCTGTGCGCTGCGGACCATCGAGTAGAGTTTATGGACGGTGGCGATGAGGGCGAACTGTGTGTTTTCCAGCACCTCGGCGTATCTTAACGGCAACCCGTTAGCAAACAAATGACGCAGAGTCGACGACGCCGACGCCGACGGATGACCTACCCCTTGGGCAGCTGCTTGTATTCAACCTTTTTCCGAACCCCAGCCGTGCAAACGACTCCATCGTCTTTACACCGCTTACACGGAAACTCACCGTCGCACTGCGTGCCAAGTTAGCTTGCCTCAACTTGACGATGTAGAGCCAAGGCGGCGGGGCCGTACCTTTGTCTTCTTCATCCTACACCTCTCACAAGCCTTCCACACCCGCTTGTGGCGCCCGTCCATGGCCACGCCATGCGCAATGTGGTCATGGTGGTGTACGGCAGCGGTGGTGGAGTTTGCACGTTTAGAAATGCGGTTGGCGGGCTTGACAGGCTTGGTCGAAGTGCCTTTCCTCGATAGGGCTGTCTTGCTATCCTCCGCTGGAGGCGAAGGTAAACTATGGGTCCCCATTGTTACAGGAGAGATAAAATATGACGATATGAAGCCGAGGAGGAGAATAAAGGAGGTCGAAACACGAGCGTCAGCCAGGACGAGGTGTCGTGAGAAGGTTGTACAAGGCACGCAAGCGGAGGAGCGGGCCCCAGAGGCACAGCAGCCCAGGCCAAGTTTTATACAAGGACAAGAGAGAAGATGGTGGGGAGGAAAATCAAAACCGAGCCTCGGCCGTGGTCTGCTCAAGAATGACTCGAAGACCAGGAAGGGAGCTTAATAATGGCGAGATAGCTTCGCCGTCCGTCGAGGGCAAGCAGTGACAGAGCCACTCGACAAGATTATGTGAGACCTCTCGGGGTCTTTATTAATGTTCCTTGCCGCCGGTTGCGGGCGAAGCTAGGCCGGGCTGGAGGTACTTGACGCTGGACGATAAACCGAGCCGTAACAAGGGTGGGGGGAGGAGAAAGAGGGGGGGTCGGCCGGGCGGAGGGGTGTGGAACTAATGAGTGCAAGTCTTTTTGTCCGAGCAGGCGGGAGAGCTCGGCGCGGGGGGGGGCAGGATAAGAGGTGGAGGAGAAGGGGGGGGGAGGAGGAGGGGGGTGGAGGAGGAGGAGCAGGAGGAGGAGGAGCAGGAGGAGGAGGCCCGGTTTGCCGTGATGGGAACGGACTACGGGAAGGCAGAGAGGGGGGGCCCGCCGCTGTCCGTCCCGGGCCTAAAGGGACGAAACGAGAGGCATCTTGGACGAGCTTGGTCGAGCTGTTTTCTGCCCGTTTTCTTTCCTGTTCCTCGGCTGATGTCTTACGATGAAGGGGGTAACAATGGCCCAACGGAGCATGGCCTGTTTTGAGGGTATATCGACCGTCGTCAGAGAGGGACAGAGAGAGAGCGTCTCATTGTCCAGGCTGCTGGTTTGGGCCAAAGTCCGCCGCGCGGCGCGGACTTGATGGATATCGGCACCGGAGTGAGTGCATACTATTCCCCATCCACGCCCACTTATACACCATTAGGTTCAGGTACCTCGTCGGCATGTCGTGGCTACCTTGGGCACCGAGTGCTGCGATATTCAGCGGAGCGCCTACCGGGTCAGGCTCAGACCACTGAGTCAAAAAGTATTTTGCAGCCATAGGGGGCGCCCTCCACCGGAGCGCAGAGTCTATGTCGAGTTGTCGGACATTGAAGGAGGGGAGAGCGTGTTTGAAGCACCAGGATGGATACGGCAAGTCCCTGCCTACATGAACAGGACACGGGAAAGCGAGCCGCCGTTGGCAAGTCCCGAGTACGAGGGGGCTACTCACCATGATGATGCTCGATTTAACGCCCGTCAGAGGGAGAGAGAGAAAGCCCCTCTTCGGCTTACACAGCGGGAAGAAAAGCCCTACCGTCTTTTTGTTTCCCCCTCCTTGTCCGAGGCCCCCCTTGTCCGAGACCCCTTGTCCGAGTCCCCGTTGCCGATGACGGCGCCGAGCTCTGTCAGTCACACAGAGGCGTGCAGGGCGTCATCGGAGAGCGGAAAGCTCCCACCAGGTGTTCCACGATCCTAATGGCTGCTCTGTCTTGTCCACAGGGCCGGACGAGGCAGGATACCAGCCTGTTAGCGGCTCCAGGGCAAAATTCAATCGGGGATGCAAACGGTGGCCAAAATGCCACGCGCGGTTAGCTTCCCGCCTAGCAGAAGACGGCGCGGTGAATGCGGCGGCTATTCACCTTGTTGCATTGCCGCCTTCTAAGAAGTTGGTAACTTACAGTAGAGACGTGAAAGGCAAAAAACGTGACCAGCCTCGACTGCGAGAGATTGGCCACATTGCATGCCATGGGATCAAGGCCTTCTTTCTCTCCTTGTCTCGAGCGCTTCTACGCCTACGAATGGGCAAAGGCTTGCATGCATGATTACTCCATGCAACGCACAAGGACGGGCGCGCCACGTTTGTTCCCTCGTCGTGGGGCAGGTTGAAACAGGAACAGAGGCCAAGGAGGAACCCTCTCTCTATTCCTCATGGATGAAAATTCTGTCCGACAGAATTGAAACACATGCAGGGTTGGGGTACAGCTTGGCAGTGACGGGATAATGCATATGGTGGTGGCGTGGTGGCCCGATCCATCGTCTATCCATCCTTTCCTCGCCTGTCTTATGCCAAACCACCGACGCAGACGGCATTAGCCTCGCCAGCGTCAAGCCGTAGGGCAGGATAACGCGATAAGATAAAAATTAAAAACCAAAAAAGGCCATGCTGCACGCACTTTTGGTTGCCGCTGCGTCGTGGGCCCGGCTAGGCGTCGGCCTACTCTGTTTGCTAGCTTCAGCGGGCACCCTCTGGAGCCCAAGGTTTGGATCGCAACCGAAAAAGAAAGTTGCCATGTCCATGACCAAGACGGGCCATGGATCTCTCCATTGCCTTTCTGGCTGCGAAGAGGAGCGCGAGGGGGCGGCGCGGAGAAGGGGAACATCGCCCACACGCCGCCGTCTCCCCACGATGCGTGGTTGATCTCATCACAGTCAATCATGTTACATGATTCCTCTTGCTTCGGCTTGTCATCACTCATCAGCTTCGCGGACCGCCCATCGTGGACAAGGTGGGATGGGTAACGGATGGGCAGCTTCGCGGCTACGGCTCATGCCATGGCTTGCGGCTAAGTGTGCCACTGCCGGCTTATGCTCCGTAGATTAGATCGAGGTTAGAGATTGGAGCTTCCCGTACCCTGCTTGTAAAGGCATGGATGAATTCGGTTTTTTTTTTCCCTGGCCATGCAGTTTGGTTGCGAGACAAGAGCGTCTAAAGCCGTCTGTTGCAAAGGCTGCAAACGTGGTGGAACTCTATTACAGCCGCGCCCTTGTGCCCTTGGCCGGCCAAAGTTGCTGCCGAATCAGCTACCTTGGATTGGAAAGTCCTCGCCGCGCATAGTAGTCCAAACCTACCAACCCCATCCTCTCCTAGCAGCCGGCATCGCTTTCGTGGCTAGACGGCCTAGCTGCCAGCCACAGGGCTGGCGCCTCATGGCCCTCCCCCGCCCTTTTTGGCTCAGGCTTAAGAAACCATGATCGTATCCCCTTCCCCGGCGCCCAATCACCAAGTCAGCTGCGTGCCTTGTCGGGGAATATCTCTCGGGAGGGTGTTGGAGAGACTTTTGGGCTTGGCCGGGCTTCGTTGTCCCGTGAATAGACGGAAGAAGCCTCCGAGAGGCGACGATGACAAGATCATGGAGAGAGAAGAGACAGAGAGAGGCAACAAGAACAAGAGCAAAGCCAGGGGCATCTGAATGAAAGCGGCGTCCAAAGCCTGAAAAAGGCTTCAAGTTAACCATTTAACCACTTCAACCAAGATGAGCTAATAGAGGCAAACCCGTCTCCTCCAAGTACCGCCTACAGCCCCCTCTGTATCCGTACCTCGCCTACAAACACCCCTCGGCGTGGCCATGGCCCAGACGGACTTTTCCCTGCCCTGGGGCCGAGTGACGCACATCCTAGGTGGAGTTGCCCCCTCCCCGGACATCTCTTAGGGCCGACACTGACCAGACCCAAAGTCCGCGGACCGGGACTTTGACAGGGTGCCGAGATGTGGGTGTCCGGGTTTTGTTTTTGGCAAGGCCAAAAGAAAAGAAACACCCAAGAGGAATAAATGCCGAAGACAAGGGGCCCAAGGCGCACACGTTCCGCCCCCCCGGAAGGACGTGCCGCGCGCCATGTACGCGGCCTTGGGCAGAGCAAGCCCACCCACGTTTCATGAGGGAGGGGGGGCCGCATATCTATTTATTAGTCGAGTTACAAGATACTGCATTTGTCCATGGACGCCAAGGGTGCAGGTTGACTACTGTATGATAACCTTTGGGTTAGGTAGGATGGGGAGCAAGCGACTCTATCAAGGCTAGCCGAGCGCGCCCACGCCGGGAAGCCTCTTGTTTGCCCCCATCTCTCTCCCAAACACGCGTCCGCGGCAGCAGAACAGACGCTTGGTAATATGTACCGTCTGGGCCTCGGTTCGCCTTCCATTTGCCTCGGTCGGGCCCGGGGGTTGAGGGCGACACTGGTCTCCGATGCATCGACAGCTCACATGCCTGCTGGGTGGTGAGGAGGGCAATCCCTGCAAGCAGTCTTCTGTATCCGCACTCGGCACATGGGTACAGTGGACGGGAGCTTTGGCTATCAGACGGATGCGATGCTCTCCGAGCCTTCGCCGAAGAGGCGCGTTGCTGCAAGTAAGCTCTGCCTCCCTGCTTGGCCTATCTGTTTCGACGAGGAAGAAGAAGAAGAAGATGACCGTCGGAGGAGCGAGAGCCTGCAGTCCATTTTTAGTAATGGATCAACAGGCAGCAGCACAAGTCTCCAAAACCGTCAACGGCGCTCCGGGCCCCCACCCCGGCCGGGCCTTGAACGGAAATGGGGCCAAGGAACAAGGCGAGCAAGAACAAGGGCGTGAGAAACGAGAAGAGAGAATATGAAGATAGAAAAGGCAGGTTAGTACTGCAGCAAGTCACGGGAAAGAGAAGGGCAAGAAGAAGAGATGCCTCGCCAGAACACTTGGTTGCGTCTCACAGCGTCGACACTTGCCGGAGTTTGAGATGATTCCATCGACGGGAATCACTGGCCCGGATATATTCGGGAATAAATCTCACGAGGCGGAATGGGGCGGAGGGGCGGCGATCCATCTCTGCCTGCTGCGGGAGGGTTGAGATTGATCAAGACGTGAGAAAGATAACGCTGCCTCTTCTCCTATCAGCCCTGATGAACCACGACCCCCATGCGACGCGACGCCTTGCCGCCGCCATTCACGGGCTCGCATAATCTATGCACGTGTCGGGTAAATATATCTCGACGCACATGGCATTCTATGCGTGCCGTAAGGCTGCCGCCGCTGTCCGTGGAGGCCAAGCCTGGAGTATTCGCCGGAATGGCATCGTTTTGCCTCTCGGGGTGCGTCTGGTGGTCAAAGGTTGAGTGTGGCTAAGAACCCTTTTGGCTTCTCTGAAGGTTGAGGGCGAATTGCCCGTGCTGCTTGCCCGGGCATAAAAGGAGGCTTCTCCCCCCTGAATTTAGCTTTCCCCTTCCCTCTCCTCTGCCGCGTTCGTCCACCATGGCATGCTCCTTGGCCAAAGATATGTTGCGTGGACAGACACACCTGCCCTTCTCATGGATGGCTCGGCAGCCCTGAGAGTCACTTCCAAGGAGCAGCCCGAAAGCCGCCCTCCCGACCGCCGAGAGAACCCCGTCCGATAGCGCGAGTGGACGCATGCACGGCACTTTGGACAGCAGCAGCAGCAGCAGCCACGGCCATCGCCCCGGCGCCCCCCAGCGACGAATCTGTGCAAGGGGGACCAGCGCGGCACGAACTGCCGGGGTCCGCAAACCGGAGGCTTGCTCTTCTTCTGCCGGCCTTCTGGAAGCCGGGCCTCCGTCTCACTCGCATGGCTTTTTTGCCTTGTGTTGATGGTTGCCGCCTCTGCATGCACGTTGGTCATTGTCTGACCCTCTCTCCCTCACCCTCAGCCGCGTGCATGATGCAGGCAGGACATGGGACATGCCATACCTGGCAGGGACGTGTCACGGGCCAGTACGGAGCGTTTTTGCGGAGCTCCGATGGATGCTGGCCAGGAGCGGGTCCTCGGTGGGGCCGAGCCGAGCCGGTGCCGGCGAGGGCTTGGTCTGGTCAGCCCGCCGCCCCGTCGCATTCATGTGCAACGGGCACGATCCGAGAAGAAGCGAAGCGACGGGGCCCTCCTCTGCCTGGCTTTTCCGCGGCTGCTTCACTCGTCAGCCCGCCAGCGTTGGGCAGAAGCTAGCAGGGCCTTGGGAAAACACCCACGCACACCTACCGAGAAACACAGGTATTCCCTCTCCTCTGTGCCCCCGGTTAATAATTCTCCACCAGGACTCGCTCGGTCTTTGTCCCCGACACACTCCCGTCTCGCGGGGGTCCAACAGTTTCCACTCCCGACCTCGTGAGCGCTGTCTCCTTGCGGGAATTCCCCATCGCGGCCTGCATCATCCCCCGTCATATCTTATACAATGCCACGCTTAAACGCTCGATTCCCGCTTCTGCCTCCCTCGCCAAGGCCCCAAGGCTGTGTCGAGATCACCCATCGTCGCCGATTGGCCGCGTCGCCCCTCAGAAGCCTGTTCCCTGTGCCTCAATGCCTACTTACAGGACAGTACCGACATCATATCTCTCGCCCCATGGTTGAGGGTGGGCATGGTCCCCTTACGGACAGTCTCCGAGGCGGGCCAGCTTGTTCCCGATGTTAATTCCACGTCCCCCCCGTATCCGACTCCTCTTTGCTGCAAGGTGCTGCTTCATCGGACGGCATCTGCCCTCGTCCCTGTGCAGGAGAAGCAGCTCTCTTGTCGCGCACACGCCAACACGCCCCCCCCTCCCCACCTTGCATCCATGTGCTGTCGACGATGCAGCTCAACCTAACCTCCCGTGATTAAAATCCCCGGAATACGGCCCCTGGTTGAGCCTCGGCAATCCACCCCGGGGGCCCACCCGGGCGGCAAATGAGAGGAGCATTGAAAACAAATAAACAGATGAAAAGGAAAGAAGAAATATGACATGGGCGTTGAAATATGATGGGTAAAAATTTATAATAAAAAATATTGGACAAAAATTGATAAATAGTAAGCAAGAATAAATGGTGTCTCCGTCTCGCCATGCAGCACGTCCATGCCCACCTCGGGGGGCGCTTCATTCCCGCCATGCACGCAACCATTCCTGTTTCCTTGCCGTGGCTGTTGGATCTCTTGGTCGGCCTTTGACTACTTAAACTTTCAGGACCCAAGAGAAATGACGTCTTGATCGTGGAATTGACGCCTCCGTGACCCCACGACGACCCCGTTCTTCATCAGACGCTGCCCTGAATGACATCATTGTCTCCCGAGCCATGCTCTTCACCACCACAGTATGACGGCATCTCAAGCTCCGCTACTGTGTCCTCATACCCGTTATTCTTCGCCTCGTGTCAAACGCCTTGCCCTGTCGCCAAGATCCGGACCTGTCCCACTTGGCCACGCTTCTAGTGCCGCATGCTCGGGCACCAACAGCCGCATGTAGGCCGTCGAGATTCACCCTAGTCCTCGCCGACCAACCAGAGAAGAAAAGGAGAGAGAAAAATCGGCACCTCATGTGCCGCCGACGAGGCTTCAGCGGGTTCCGCCGAGTCATGTCCACAAGCTAGACACAAACGGCCGGCCGGGCGAATGACGGTGCGCGGCTCGTCGACGCCGAGGCGCCCCACAGACTTCCGAGGTAAAGTCTTCTTCGTGTCGAATCGCCGGCCACGAAATACAGCTGACAGCCCTGTTGTCCCCGTTTGTGCCTGCAGGCCGGGTGGCGGTGCCGTCACGGAGCTGCTTTTGCCCGTAGCGCAAACCTACAGTTGCACCAGACCCTGACGCGGTTCAAGCAGTAGCAGACTTGGACCAGACGCGGTGGGCAGAACCCCTAGCTCACCATCCAACGGCCATGGACTCGATGGGCGGTCGCTAAACGTCGGTGAAGAGAATCAAGCCCGGCTCATGCTCCTCGCACACCGACCACGCCCAAGCTGCACTGGGCCAGTACCCCATCACGGCCGACAGCTCACTGCCATAGTGAGCGGGCTCGAACATCGTGGCGTCGTCCTTTCTCGACTCTTCAAGGGCTTCGGGCGTCGCCTGCGCCAGGAAGTGCTCTCGCTGCGGGCCTTTGGCAAGGACTCTGCTTCGCTGGTTAACCCTACAGCCATGACACTGACAAACCTGATAAGCTTACAGTCCGTTTCCAAAGAGGCCGTGGCAGAGGCTCGGCTCCTTCTTGAGAAGCCCTTCGCTCCAGACCAGCTTGCGTCCCCTCTCAATGGCACTGTCGATGCGATCCTGGAGATGGGGGAAATGCGGCCGCAGGGCCTGGAGTGCGTAGATGAAACCCGGGGCGCCGTGGCAGAACTGGACTTGACTTGGGCCCTTGTTTGCCGCGGCCTGGACTTTGCTCGTCTGTAGCCAGTTTCCCTCGGGGGTCTGCAGGTCCAGAAGCTCCCGCAGTGTATCGGCCAGTTGAGGAGCCATGCAGGGGACGCTGAGCACGATCTGGGCAATGTTTCCGACATCGCCGTGGGCTGCGCCTAAACACCGAACCCCCTGGTAGAGCCAGTGGCCCTGGCCATCGTCATCCATGTCCATTGTTCGCTGGGCAAGCTCATATATGGGAGCGTCGAGCAGGCTGGCGCTGTCGGGGACCCAGTGGCGCACCATTCGGAGGATATACAAGGCCCCGGCCCTGCCGTATACCCATTCGGCTGGGAAGCGCTCGTCGTCCTTGGTCGCGGCCGGTTCGAGGAAGGGCGGTATGTCTTCCAGCAGGGTTCTCACGTGGCTCTGCTCCTTTGAGACGCAGGCCCGAACAGCGGCGAAGGCAAGCTTCTCGCAGAGGATGCCACCTCTTCCATCGCGCAAGACGAGGATGCCACGGTCTCCGTCAAGGTACCTTTTGGCCCAGAAGAGCAGATCCTGGCCCCGTGGCCGCAGGTCTGGGTGACGGGCAGACATCTGGAGGAGAAGATAGGCGGCGCCGGTCGGACCGTACACGAGACCTCCGAGCTCGGCGACGTCGTACTTCTCCTTGGGCGGCAGCCTGTTGAGCATCTCGTCGAGGCTGGCCCTGAGAAGGTCGGCTGGAGCGGCCTTGAGCGTGCGCGGCGGCATTGTGTTGGGGATGAATAGTTGCTCCATGATGAAGAGTAAATGGAATGCCTAGACGAGAGGATATGAGGCTGTAGTTGGCATGGTAGCTACAAGTCTGTCTGTCTTGTCGAGGTCTTGTCGAGGCTAGAAGGCCCAGAATACCAAGTTGAAGCGAGCGTCCGCATTCGGAAGTCATTTACCATCTCTGGCCGCACTATCCCCTCCCACCTTGGCTTGGCCCGGAATTGCAGAGAACTTCCGTTGCATGACGAGATGTAGTCGGGCTCAAGAAGCAGCTGTACGATTGTCCATCAGGACACAATCGCAGCCCAGAGGTTCATGCTGTCAAGACATGGAAACGGGAGATGCAGGGTAGGCAGATGCAGCCAGCAGGAAGCCTGGGCCGACTGACGACTCGCTGGACGACATATCAGGCCGGATGCGTCGATGCCCACGCTGCACCATACACCATCCACCTCAATCAAGAAACCCAAGCTCGATCTTGCCCGCGCATTTCCTCGTGATGGGATGAAGCGAGTCTCCGCATCGTGTTTCTGTCAAGAAAATAAAGTCACTTCTTTGAGACAACTGAACATGCACGAAGCACCTCCCTGTACGTACAGTACGTACCTACCTAGGTACCTAGGTATCTACCTGGCTTCACGTGGTGGGTAGGTACCAAGGTAGTTCCTGCATACCTCTATGACGACACCTTCGCGAAGGTGAAGACTCCCTTCTCAACAGCCCTTCGAAGCCACAACTTCACTTGTTGCAGCTGCACAGCTTCTTCAACTCGAGTCGCACACATTTCATTACCCGACACCTTGCCCGACTCCAAGCACTTGACTGATCGACCATGGCCGAGCTCAACGCGCCCGGTGAGACGTCGGGCGCAAAGTCCAGCAGGAGCCGCGTCGTCGGCTCGGTGAGCGGGAAGGCCCAGGAGGTCCTGTAAGCCTTCTCCCACCCAGCATTGTGGCACGCTCTTCTTCTGACATGGCCTCGCAGTAAGGAGGACTACGACAAGGCCAGGGCCGTCGCCCTTGATGCCCTCAAGAGCCGGGCTTACCTCTACCCCGTCAAGGTGGCCATCCATCTCATCATGCCATAACCAAAGAAAAGAGCTGACCGGCATCCATCTCAGGGCATCATCTACTTCTTCACCCACCGCTCCCTCTGGAAGCCCTTCGTTTCCCGCATCGGGCCTTACCTCTCCCTCTCCGCCGCCGTCATCGGCGGAATGTTTGCCTTTACCTATCTGCCCCAGCTCGCCGTCCTCGTCTTTGTCAACGGGCCCCTCGCCGTCGTCACCACCGTCCTCCTGGTCCTCAACGAGAGCTCCACCATTGTCAACATCATCTCCCGCAACTGGATCCTCCAGGATGCCATCCTCGACACTTTCGACGGCACCCTTGTCGCCAGAAACGCCACAAACGTGGTCCGCGAGGGCCGTGAGATCAAGTCGGGATCCGAGCCCATGCAGAGGCTGGGCAAGATCCTCAAGAGCCCCTTTGAGCGCTTCAGCCCAAAGGCCCTCGTCCGATACGTCATGTATCTTCCCTTGAACTTTATCCCCGTCGTCGGCACGGCCATCTTCATCTTCCTGCAAGGTTTGCTTCTCCCCTTGGATACTAAACCTTGGGGCGAGCAGCATTTTCTGACATTCACCAAGGGCGCAATCGTGGCCGACTGGTTCACGACCGGGTCAGTTTGCTGCACGACATCAGATGACGTCAACAACCTGCTAACAATGATGTCATGACAGTACTTCCAACTCAAGAAGTGGTCGAGGTTTCAACGATCGGAGTGGCTTGGCAAGCACATTGGCCCCTACACAGCGTAGGTCCCAAGCTCGTCCATACTCGTCGTGAGCGGTCAAGCCGCCAATTTCTGTTGGCTAATGTCTCTCGTCCAGGTTTGGGCTCGTTGCCACCTTGCTCGAGATGGTCCCGCTGGCCTCGTTCTTCTTCACCTTCACAAACACAGGTAGGAGACCTCCCACTTACCTTTCATTTGCTCCGAGACAGCTAACAGGCGAAGTTGGGGCGGCGCTCTGGGCTGCCGACATCGAGGCGCTCGACACGTCCATGACTGATGACACTGCCCCGACGTTGAGAGAGGCGGCGAAGAAGGTTGAGTAAGCGATTGCATCAACAACCACCCAGGGGGGAGAACTGGTAGAGGCAACTCTGAACATTTGGGGTGGAAAACTTCCAAGTGCCGCTATTCTCCAGATCACAGAAGCAGGATGTTGAGAGCCAGCTGTCGCTCGTCGAGCGCGCCAGGCGAACCGGCCGTTAAGTGAGATGATATTCTGGAAGGAAGCGGACTTGCATGCGTGCACACCATCATGACTAAACAACGACCGAGCTTTCACGACGACTCTTATGCATGTCTTTAGTTGAGCAAATTTCAAATTACATTGCGTGAACAGCCACACTTTGCTCCTGAATCGAATCGGGGCCTGTCAAACTGGCAAAAAACCGGTATACCAGGCAAAACAGGGGCACCCTCATTAGAGGTGCTATTAACGCGTATTATAAGTCTTTGTCTTGCTGACAGGTCCTGTCTTCAAGGCGGAAGCGGCCAGAAGTTTGGTTTTGCCCAGCAAACTACCACGAACCGCACAAAGTCGTGCAAAGACAGGGGCTTGAAGGGACAAGACTTTGGTATGAGGACTGACAGCTGGGATTCTCGCCGAGTCAGAGCTGGTGCTGTGTTTGTGAGCCGTCGCACAATGTCGGTTGGGGGTGGTACACGACGGCTCCGAGCAGCCTGTATGCATCAGCCTGTGCCACAGACCGTGACAGACACGCTTCACTAGACGACAAGTCGCGCCGTATCTTCTCTGCTAGGCCTCGAGACAAAGGTGGTGGCCTGTCGTTGAGACATGTCGACGGCATGACACACACCTCGGCATTTGAAGGCAGGAATCGGTAGCCAACAAGGCACTGTTGCTCGGAATCATCTGCCGGAGTTTTCATAGAGTCAAAGCCTCCCATACTGTCCGTATAAGCCAAAAAGAGATGTATCAGACTGGATTGACCTAGAAGAGGCGAGGGCCGGTATGCAACCGGCTTGTCTGGATCTCAAAGCTTGCTCTAAGCTCATGATAATCAAGGGGCTATACTGGCACCGCCATACCAGGTCGACTCGGGTTCGATGACGAGAGAGGAGGGAAGGGGTTCATCGGCTCCCCCTTTCATTTCATTCAACCGCCCCAGACCACCACCACTTTGTATCACGGACAAATCTGCCAAGTCGCTGGCGAGGTGTTGCCCTCCATCGGCTCGGCATGTTCGAGCGAACTGGTGCCGCATAAATGCCTTCCATCGTCAACGGCCTCGAAGAAGTCCCAGTGGCAGCCACGCCACCCCTTTCCCCAGTCTTGGATCAGCCCGGTGGCGGGAAAGCATCCAGCAGCTGTTGCTCCTTCGACCCGGGCTTGCCCTGCTCCTCCTCGGGTGCAACAGCCGCAACAGCAAGGCACTTCGTCCCTCGTTCGTCTCACCCGGGAAACGAGGCGAGGCCTCCGGTTTGCAGCAGTTCGGTCGATGAAGTGACAGAAGCCTCGAGGCAGCAAACTTCGGCAGTGCTCGACAGAGGGCGGGCTGGAGTGTGTTCTTGGTACTTGCTTGACAGCTGGCGGCTTATCAGGCAGCCCTCGACGCTCAAGCAGTCTGGCTGCCTCGCACTTTCCTTTCCCTCCCCCAACACGTGAAAAGCCGGCACACCCTCTTTTTGCTCCCACATTTTTCGCATCTTCTTTTTCTCCCTTCTCCTCATCCTCCTTCACCATTTGCACTCTTTCCTTGCAGAATATCCTTTCTCCTCATCTCTTCTCCATCGTTGCGCCTGGCATCATTTCTTCCGTCTCCGACCTTTACATCTTATCCTCCTATACTTTGGAGACAGCTCGCCTCCGACGCCAGGGCAACATCCCTTCAAACAAACGCCGTCCTTGTCTGACGGATACATTCGTTATTCTCGCCGTTTGCCCTTGGATATCGATCGTCAAAATCATCACTAGGGAACAGGTAAGTGCGAGGTGCTGGGCAAAAAACATACACGTGCTGATCCATGGCAGCTCAATATCACCTGTCATCATGGGGCATTTGGCCCCTTCGTTCTGCCTCTTGTCGACACTTCTCCTATGCTTCTGCCTTTCTACCGTCATCGCCCATCATGGCAACCGACAGCCTGATGCCGGCTCGCGACCGGAGGGCCAGGATAGTCATCGGTTGGAATCTCCCGGCACCTTGCCTCAATACTACACTCAGCCGAGCTACGCCTACGACTCTCCGCCTCCCTATGCAGCCGTGACGTCTATCTCCGTTTTCACCTCGGCCTCGAGCGAGTGTGAGTTGGATACAGGTCTGCTTAGATGCGTGGAAGCTTATTCTATCTCTAGATGCCTCTTCAGATGATTCAACGGACCGGTCAACTGCGTCAGCTGCCGCGCAAAGGACCGGCAGTGAGTCTGCGGGATCTTCAAGCAACGGATCAACCACTTCGGGGCCTACAAGTATCTCATCTGTCACAGTTACTTCGGACACAACCGTGCCCTTTGAAGATTCCAGTTCCACGGCTCCATGGATGACGACGTCGGTGACCGCTTCGCAAGCTCCAAGCCTGTCAGAGACAACAAGGGAGAGTTCACAGGCTTCAAGCCTGGCATCATCGACGGTTCTGGCAGAGACTTCAGCCATGCTCACTGGCGGACGCTCCTCGTCTTCTACGCCGCAGACAACTGAGTCGTCGGCGCCGAGTTCCACGACACTCATCCCTTCTTCCTTGGAATCTCTCACAGGAGAATCGTCCGCAACGAGCGGCATGTCAAGCGAACCGTCTCACCTTGATTCCTGGACTTCTATCAACACGGCTACGCCTGAAACGTCTGCATTGCCGTCGTCATCGGCTGTTGGAAGCACAATCCTGTTGACAGTGACTCGTGTAATATCCATTACTGAGTCTGCGGCGACTCCGGACGAAACACTCTCTCGCGCCTCTAGCTCGTTGAGCCCAGAGGCTTCAAGCTCCAGCGTGCTTTCGTCGTCGTCAGTCCCAGGCACTAGCCCTCCGCTACGCTCCCTTTCTTCTCTGGTCAGTACCACAGTGGTAAGCGGAACCGCGCTTTCTGGAACGCAGCACGGAGAACCAGGGTCTACGCCAGCCACGAGCAACGCGGCCACTCCAAGCTCTGATAGGCCGTCCACAACCATGACGGGCTCAGTAGAATCTTTCAGCACCTCTGTTCTGTCCAGTTCCAGTGCTTCAACCTTGACAAGCTCTTTCACCTTGACGGGGGGTGACTCCACGACGCCGACATCGAGCTCGCTATTCGACGATTCAAGTATCTTGTCCACAACAAGACAAACGGAGTCGGAGTCGCTCTTTTCAACCGCGGTGACAACATCCACGTACAACTCTTCAATCTGGATCTCATCCTCGGCAACAGGCACACCAGCCAGTAGCCTGCCCTCGTCGTCGATTCGCTTCATCACGTTGACCTCTACACTTGTCAAGACGCCGTCTACATCTTCCGAGCAAGACAAAGGATCAACTTCTGCAACGGGAAGTCGAGACTCGTCCATGTGGACCAGTTCAAATCTCGCAGCGGAGACGGGAGAAGATACGAAAACCACGCCCGGGAGGACGGCATCGGCATCTCCAACAGATACGGTCATAACGCTATCCATAACGTCGATAATTGTACGCTCCTCCAGCTCGGAACTCTCAGCTTCGAGCACCCCCCCAGATTCGGACTCAAGTGCCTCCATCGCCTCGACGTCAACGACGGCCTCTGGATCTTCGTCCATGACGCTCTCCTCAAGCCTCACCGAAGCTACCTATCAATCGTCATCGTTTGTTCCTAGCACCAATTTGACCTCGGATACCTACACCTATACCTCTCCAAAATCTCCCTTTCCTAGAGTCTCGACCCCGGCTTCTACAGATTCAACACGAAGTCCCAGTGGCGCCCCCACCACGTCTGGCGAGCCGCAGGAGAGCGACAGCGCTAAACCACCCATTACAACAAGCGGTCCGAGTGCAGGCTGGACTACTGTCAGTTCTGGGAACGGGAGCAGGTCGGCACCGTATCGCAACTCTACTTCGGGGTCGTGGATCACGCGGACGATCGTATCTACTGTGGGGGGTTCCTGGACTTCCAACGACGCTCAGCACGGATCCTTGGAAACGGTCGTGAAGACATTGACGCTCAGGATTGGCTCCTCGGCAGAAACTAGTTCTGTCAGCAGCACCGACGTCGACAGCACTCGCACAGGTGTCGGGGCCGATTCGAGCGCACCATCCATAACCTCTTCATGGTCGAGCAGTGGTCCGCCATTGTCAACAGCGTCAGACGCCACCTTAAGCACACATTGGGCGGTCGGTAGCTCCCGGGTTCAAACCAGGACGATCACGTATACACCCCCCGCATCGTCCAAGCCGGCCACAACTGCATCGTCTGGGCTCGAGCACGGTTCAACCTGGGCCCCTGGGAGCAGCTCGGCACATTTCCCGCTGTCGTGGAATTCGACAATGTCGCGACCAACCATGGGGGGGACGGCTTGGACGACCGGTGCGCCGTCGACCTGGTCCAATAGCACCAGAGTGGGCACGGACAATGCGACAGGCGTCAAGACCCTGACGAGAAGCATCGTCTTGACGCTGACGCAAGTCCCGGATTCCACAACTGCAGAAAGGTCGCAATCGACATTGTGGAATAAAGCGACCGTGTCTGCCGGAGACCCTGTGGAGCCGACCGCCCAATCGTCGACAAGACCAGGCAGCACTCAAGACAATACGTCGTGGCTTTCAAGTACCACAGACACGCGGACGACGAACTTGTCGAGCTCGGTATCGCGGATAGGCACCACCAGAGTAGCATCAGGGACAATAAGCCTCACGCGAGTCATCCTCACAAAGGTTACTTTAACTTTGCGATCGGGTACCACTGAGATTCTTACGACTGTTACGGTCGGTCCAACCAGTGCAACGTCGGCGCGGTCAACGGCCACAAGCTCTACGGCCTCTTCCGGAGATGGCGAAGGCGTGCCGGCAGATGACGGCTCAACTGACGGGGCAGATGAGACGACGGGGAGAAGCAATAGCTGGAGCACCAGCATGCAAGCTGACACGACGTGCACAGAGGGATTGCCACATCCGTACTCATCCTCGGAGGGCCGTGAGGGCACGGCTTCCTGTACTGCAATCGTGTCGGGCATGACGACAATGACCCAGTGCGCCGGCGTGGCGACAGCGGCCAGTTGGACGACTGCGACGGCGGCCTCTGGAGGCTGCGCATCTTCGAGGTGCCGCGACAGCGAGTCGGACGCCAAGGGTATGTCGACGACATGGACAAGTAAGGCGTCGCCCAGAGGAGAACGCGGAAGGTTGACTGACAAATACGCTTTAGCAGGCTCGTCGTTCCCGCAGCCGACAACCTTTGGGACATCGGTGACGAAAAGAGAAGCGGCCTTGGAGTCGCAGGAGCTGCTTCGTGGCGGCTCCACGTCGGAGACACGATTGCCCGGCAACCCGAACTATCCGTGGGGCGGAGACTCGCCGGCGCACCGTCGCCAGAACGTGACGGAACTCGGCCATGGCATCATGAGCGGGGTGCAGGAGCAGTCGAGATGGGTCAGCAAGATTGTTGGAAGGCTCAAGGCTATGCTGCTGTAATGGACTGAAGAAGGCCCGCTGCTTAGGGCAGCCATGGGTGGACAGCCGTCGGGAGGGATTAGTAACGAGGTTTTGCCTTGAGCGGCGCACTCCGTACAGTCGTCGGTCGGTACTTTGCAGAAAGGGATTGAAGCATCAAGAGTAATTAGAGGCATGGTGCATGAATGTCCTTGACAGTGCCGCTTCGCACAGGCAGTAATAAGTCGAGGTACGTAGCCGATGGCATGGATGCGAGGCATTAACGTGGCGAAGCCTTCCCAATGCAGCAATGCAAAGGAATGAGACCCGGTGCTAGACTGGGCAGAGGTATAAGTTAGTACCTCCAGTACCGTCGAGATGCATCGATAGGTCGGTCGGTACCTGCGGCATGCAGACGGATCCAGGAGCCCGAGGTAGCTAAGGTAGTTATCTTTTTTTGCTGTTTTGAACTGTAGGCAACACGAGGCCGTTGATTATGGGTACTCTGTCAGCGAATGCGGTGATGGATGCGATAAACCGCTTTGTACATGCAGGGTTTCAGCCCAGCACAAACAAAAGAGGGTGTCTGAAGGTTCCCTGGCAAGGGCTGCGGGTGTAGAGCGGTATCGAGACTGTCGGGAAACTTTGGAGCAGGGCTGTTAGGGCGCGACTTGGGCGCCCTCTGACGCTGCATTGCAGGAGGCGCGCGCGTCCCCCGGCCCAGGAGTCAGGGTCGGGGTGGATCCAATGCCTCTGAGACGCCACCGGCAGCGCCCCCAGGGAGCGTGAGTCGCCCTCTCGTACATGTACTTTCCGGGATACAAAGGGCAATTCCCTCGCCCCTCTGCGCCATTCTTTGCTCCTCCATCGTCATCTCCCGAGGAGAAGACTTTATCCTACAACCAAACAACTCGCACACTTTCATCACCCGATTGATCCCTTTTGTTTCCCTTTTCTTTACGTTGAGAAACCACTCGACTGCGAGTCGCATGAAAGCCATCGCCATGTTGCTCAAGCCCCTCGCCTTCGCGGCCACGGCTGCTGCCTTCGTCATTGTCCCCGAGATCTCCGAGGCCGACCGCGACATCCTCAACGGCATCGTTACGGCGCTCCCCGTCGAGTCCGAGTCGTTTGGGCTGGCCGACAGCCTCCAGGCCCAGAGCGTCAGCGTCCCCTGCCCGCAATGCAAGGGCCGCGATAGCCATCTGCAGCTCGACTTTGCCGTCGAGGAGGGCGCCAAGCTGAAGCTCAACGGCTTTGAGCTCTACCCCAACGCCGATCCTTGGGGCGGCGACCTCACGGCCACCCTCGTCAAGGAGAATGGGCAGGAAAAGGCAAAGAGGCTGGGGTATAGCCTGGTCGTGGAGCCCGTGGCCATGGACGCCTACCAGCAGATGCAACTCATCAGCGTCAAGCTCAGAGTCATCGAAGTCGGCGGCCAGTTCGTCGAAGGCGTCCCCGCTGTCAAGGTCGAACTCATCCGAGCCATCACCGAGGACCTCGCCATTTCGAGCGTCGACGTCGAGAAGGCGACCGACGTCAAGTGCAGCTCCGTGTGGTGCCGAGTCCAGGACCTGAGCCTGGAATTCTCAAAGGCTTTCGAGTCATTCAAGGGCTGCGTCGGCGGGCGGAAGCACAAGGGCCAACACAACCCCGGCTTCCACAAGGGCGAACCTCAGCAGGAGAGCGCGGACGCCGCTCCCACGCACGGCGACCGCCCCGGCCACGATGGCGAGGAGCGTCACGGCCACCGTCACAACTGGCGTCTGCTTGTCAAGAACATTGCCTCGCACATCTTCCTGCCCGTCCTCATGGGCATCACGGCTGGTGTCGGTGTCGCAGTGTACGTTTCACCCCTGAAGGCGCACGCCGCTTTCCTCATGCTGACAAACGTTCCAGCCTCGCCATGGTCCTGTGCAGCGTCGCCATTCGCCTCACCAGGCTCGTCAGGAACAAGCGCACCAAGAAGGCCGGCGGGTGCCGCAAGAAGCACTCGTCGCGCCAGCAGGCGGCCGACGTCGAGAAGGTCGGTCTCATCGAGGAAGTGGATGCCGAGGACGTGCCACCCGAGTACAAAGACGACGAGTCGAAGAACTAGGTGGAGGATGGGACCCCGGGCCGGTTGGACGAGATGAAGGTCGCGGACGGCGGAAGGTTGGCACAGTTCATATTTCATAGAAACGGAGGGGTTCAGGCAGTCTGCGACACGCGGTTGTACAAAGCATCGATCGGGCTTGTGGCTACATCCGGTGGTCCAAGACAGCACCGGGGCGGCGGCAGGGCAGATGTCCTGAGGCTTGTCTCTGGGGCCGAGCCTTGGATATCGCATTCGCTCCTTGACCTCTGCGGCGCGCGCGGTTGGCTTTTTCACTGTCGTTGATGAGCTGCGCGTGGACACGGCACTACATTCCTTTTTTAGGACAGAAAGATTATTTCCTAGCGTTCCTGCTGGTCGGCTTCGTGATGATTTGCCCGGTGTGGGCCGACGGATAGCGACAATGTGCATGTATGCATGGTCGTCTGTGCATGGTGATGTTGATAAGTTGAGCTGTTCGACAGGCAGGGCGGCACAACTGCCGAAGCCATGCACGTCGGATACACTTGGCTTCGTTTCGTTGGGCGGGCCGTTGGGTGGTCTGTGGTTGTAGGCGTTGCCGTCTCTAGAGGAGCGAGGGCAAAGTGACATTGCTTTTGTCGTTGGAGCATGATGACGAAACGAGGACATGCCGGCATTGCGTTGTGCTTGGTAACTAAGGGGTAAGTAAGTAGGTTGTAGTGCTTGTGCCTTGTGCCTTGTGCTTGTGCTTGTGCTTGCGTCTGTGGAGGTATTATTTAATACAGTATGTATAAGCGGCTCGTGTGGATGCATTCGAGGTTGAGGATACGCAATTTGCTCGGCGACCCGAGCAGAGCTCACGGACCTGACACGATGATTTGGCTGCTTGGGCACTTGGACTCGGGCAACGCCGAGCATTCACGCCTCGCTCGGCCCCGACAAGACTTTTGAGTTTCCCCAGTGCACGCCAAAAAAAGATGTGCATCGCCTGCTGCCGGCCAATAATGCATGCACATGGCCCCTCTCGCGCGTGGCTGGCGGGCCAGCTCTGGCTGGATCCTCTGCTGCACCTCGACCGCCCAACACGTTCCCGCCCCTTCCGACCCAGCGCGGGGGAATTCCTGCCCGGCTTGCCTGGGGTACTCGCCTCCCTCCGCATCTCGCAAAGGAGGGGGGGTTGAGGGGGACGCAAAACGCCGCAACGTCAGCGCTGAGAGGAGGGGAACCGTGCTTCTACCCACAGCTGCGCTTCGTCCCTGCAAGTCGCCTCGGAACCAAGGACCGCGCGCCAGGCGAGAGACCACACGAGGCGGAGAAGGCTGACGGCTGCTGCTCCCAACTGCTCTCTCTCTCTGTCTCTGTCTTCTCCCTGTCTTCTCCCTGTCTTCTCTCTGTCTTCTCTCTGTCTTCTCTCTGTCTTCTCTCTGTCTTCTCTCTGTCTTCTCTCTGTCTTCTCTCTGTCTCTCTCTCTCTCTCCGTCTCCATTGTCGACGCCGTCCCATCACCTAACCTGTGTGTCCCGAGCTCACTCCGCGCCTCGACGCCGACCGACTAGTCGCCTCGGCCAGTGTCCAACCTAACCACCACCCCTGATCTTTCGCGCGGCTCGTCGCGGAACCTTGCCATGTGGCAGCCCCAGGAGCCGACGTTGGAGCCGCCGCAGTCGCCGCCGGGCGCGCATGTGGACGCGGGCGCCTCGGCGCGCAGGAGAAACCCGGGTCGACGATTCGCACAGGTGGTTCGGCTGAGGCCGGAGCGCGTCGCCGAGTACAAGGCGTGCCACGCCCGCATCTGGCCCGAGGTGGCCAAGCAGATCAAGGACTGCGGCCTTGAGGATTGTGAGTCGCGCGCGCGCCAGAAAGTCCTTGTTTCCCGTCGCAATGGCAAACCCTGATTCTGCTTTCCCTTTCCCAGGTTGCGTGGGGCAACTTGTCTCCTGCACCAAGTCCTCTCCACGCACCCAGCCCATCCCTTTCCTCGATTGACTCTCGCTCTCCTCGGTGTCGCCGCTGCAGACATAACAAGGGGCTAACTGACGCCCTGGCCCGTCAACAGATAGCATCTGGTTCGACGACAAGTCGAGCCTGCTGTTCGCCTCCTTCAAGTACATCGGCTATGACTACGCAGGCGACATGCAGCGCATGGCCGAGAACCCAAAGGTGCGCGAGTGGTGGAAGATGACGGACAGCTTCCAGGAGAGCCTGGTCGAGGGCGCAACCAGCTCCGAGGCCGGCGAGCCCGGCTGGTGGAAGCCCATGGAGGAGGTCTTTTACCAGGCCTGACCTGGCTGCTGGCGGATCTTGACGGGCTGGGAGAGGAACGGGCTGAGACGAAAAAAGGCATCTCGGGGCATGTTAAATCATCAGATTGGTCGCAACGGTCTCAACACTGATTGCTGCTCGGCTTGGGCGACAAGGCTGGCAGGTATGTCTGTAGTTGCGCGCGTCAAAGCAGCAGATTCTCATGGCCTTGCTCAACTGGTAGGCCGCTGTTGCCAAGGGAGTACGGCTTCAACGTAATGAAGGAACCAGTACAGCCCACTTGGGCGTGACACTCGAGCTCACCGGCGCAGCTGGAGCCCTACCGCATGAGTGATGCACCAGAGCTGGGGCGAGAGCCTCCTCGGGTTCCAATCCATTGCAAGCCGAACGGCCAGTCATCGCACCGCCGCCAGGGGTGAGCTTCCACTTGGCCCCCCATCAACTCGACACGCAGAAAACGACGCAAGGACGTACGAGAGGACGCAGCTAGGCGGGCGTTTCTCGGATGCCAGCCACGCTCGCATCTTGTCGCACTTGGCTGTTGACGTGGCACTGACCGAATCTATCGCAACGCCATGATGCCGCCTCCCTTGAAGGATAGACTGGGCAACCCGTCGGCTTTCCCATCGGGGGCCGGCTGAATGCGCCGGGGGTCCTGGGTTGAATCCGTGCTCAGGGGCGGGCAATGTCCGCACTCATTGCGTGAACTTGTTTTGACCGGTCAGGATGGCGGTGACACTCGCATGTTGACGCCCACCCCATCTGCTGTCATGCTCCTGAGGCCGGCCGGAGACGCAGACCAAACTCACCGAGCCCGACCAAGAAAGGGCTTCTCCAACACCAGGGTCAGCACAGGCAGGACCTGAAGAGCGAGGGGACTCGGAGGCGTGTGATGACTTTGTGGTCGGTGGGCTTATTCGTGTCCAGGGACGAGATGTTATTGCAGGACAATGGTAATCTAGAGACGGTAGATTCACCAATCATACTGAAGAGTGAAACGATGCCCGAGAGGGGCTGCAGGCGGGAGACCAGGAGTCAGGGAGCCAGGAGCCAGACAAACTTGCTCGTGGGACTCTCGTCCTTGGCTTTGCAACGTGACACCAGCCTACCTTGGGCGTTCTGGGTGTGACCTCGTAGGACTCGGCGGCATTTCCGTCTCAAGTCGACCCGGATGGGACTCTCCTTGTCCATGCCAGAGTTGCCGGATCGGCTCCAGAGGGTGGTCCGGAGGAAGTCCAATGATAAAAATTGCTTCTTGGCCGGGACGACGAGAGTCGAGGCCAGGCGGCCGCCACGGTGCTTGGTTCGGACGCGTTCCAACACAAATGTCGTCTGGTCTATTCACGTTTGCACGGCATGAAACGTGCAAACGCCCATTTCGAGGGCAAATCCTCTCCTTTGCCCCGGTTGGGATGCTATTGCGCGGTCCATGACAAATTTCACCCACCGGCGGCGACTCAGCGACGCCCATGGCGGTTGATGACCCGCCACAGCGCGGGACTGGCCGTCAAGCGCTTTGACCGGTGGCGGGCGAGACTGACTCGCGGCGCCGAAATTCGGCTGGCAGGCTCTGAGATGCGGTGCCCGGTCGTAGATGCGAACAGTGGGTCAGGCCGAGCGACAAGATGAGCATTGTATCACCCTGCACAAGGATACGCTGTCTTGTGGGCGGGAACGGAAATATGGTATGCCAGCGTGTCGTATTACTCGTCAGTCTGCGGTTTGCACGTCGTACATGGCCATACCGTATCCCGCAGCAATGGCCCTGGTTGCCGAGAGACGCCGGGCGGTCACCGGCCATGATGAGGGAGCCCAAGGTGACGAGTAGTGAGATGAAGTTGCTCATGCGACATCGGTTGGAGGGATGCAGAGTAAGTAGACGGCACTGGATCGGGCAAGTTGACGAGAGTGGGAGGTCATGGGCAGCGGAGTCGAGCGAGGAGATAGATGGGCGGATAGATTACAGAGTGTGAAGGATACAGGGCAGAGACGCCACGCACAGGCAAGGACTGGACGTTTTTGATATCATCAGGACCATCGAGGGCGGTTGTGTTAGTCCCCATGTCTCAGTGTGTTAATAAGGGGGCGAGGATGCCTGAGACGACTCTCGGGTGTCCTGCAGCACAGCGATCGGCGCTATTCCGGATCTTTGCCGCTGTCAACCGTCGTGTATTATTTATTGTACAGTACACGGTCTGGCAGACACATGGTGGCGAGGCCAACGATTCATCAAGTCGGGGGGGACTTGAGCGCACCTCGGGTTGCATGAGAAGGGTGGACGGACGTGATGCATATGTGGAAAATGCATGTGTAATTTGTTAGTAGTTACGGAGTAAGTTAATTAATGGCCATCTGTCTGTATTCATGGATATACGTACCAGTATGCATGTATGGGCATGTATGGGGCCTATTAATACCCGGATACCAGGTCGAAACGCTCTAATTAACTACTTACCTGCCTTACTTAGTAATACGTACCGCATTTGAAAACGCTGACCCGCCCGGCGCACCGAATTGTCGATGCTGTCTATTAGCCGGGACTGACGAGCGACGTCTGCACGGCCGGGTACTGCCCGTCTGCGTGATGTACAGTACGGTACGCGCCCTGTCCGGGGCACTCGACGCTCGGCCCCTGCATCATGAGCTCGCGCGCCGCGGTGAAGGCCTGCGAGGTACTGTAATTACAGTATGAATTACAGTATGTTGCTGTTTCGTCGGACGAACAGCCAGGCTCGGGGACGGTCAAACAAACACCTTCTGTCCTTGCACCCGTCCCCTTCTGAAACATACAACTAAATAACTGTGCTCACAGACGTCGACCCTGCCTGCATACGCACGTGCACCTGTGCAGCCTACGTATGCTGTGCTCACGAGTGTGCGGCTCTGGTCAGCGACGATGCAGGAACACGACGCTAGCGTTTCCGCGCAGCCGATACGTCTGCTTACTCTCCATGTCTCCTCATAATAGGTATACGAGCTGCAGTACTTGGCCTTGCGCGACTCCTTGCAATCTGCTCCCGATCCGGGCTGGCAGACAGCGAGCAGGAGAGACTGTCTTGGCTATATCGGTCGACTCCAACGGTCGACTGCAACGGTCGGCTGAGACAGGGCCCCGAAATGGCCTACAACCAACAACCATGACCTCCCTTGGCCGACAAGCTGGTTATGGTTGCAGGCTCAGGCCTACATTTTGCAAGAGTCGATGGCGAGAGTCATCACTCGGTCTTGTTGAACAAGAAGACGACTGCTCGCCGAGGTAACAGGAGAGGGAGGACGCACGGGCAGTGGGTGTCCTGGAGTAAATAAGGGGACCGACCGCTCGCTCACTCATCTATGGCGCGTCCCCGCAAAGCTGTGATATATGACAACCAAGAATCACCTGCGTGCGCCATCCTCCGAGGCTAGTTTTTCTTTGTCCAGGGCGATTGAGAGACGACATGCACGTGTATGGATGCTTTTTTTTCTTTTCCAACCAAGCACCTGCTTGCTTGGTACTGTAAACGTCAACGGTCGAGCCGGAGAATGGGGCGAAGCTGCTGTCCCCGCTTCCGTTGGCCCCAAGTCATTGCCCCGGCGGAGTGGCCGTGTTCAAGGCGAATAGGTAGTTCCCTGGTGACCTGCATGGAAAGCCCATGTTCCGGGGGCGAAAAGGAAGGATAGAGATTAATTAAAGAGGCAAACAAACGCGGCGGGGCTGCCCTGCCTCGAGTGAATGAACCGTTTTCCCCTTGCATCTTCGTTGCATCGTGTACTAGCCAAGGTTGCCATGTCGGCCGCCGTTGCCGAACAGCCTCCGCCGGCCATCTAGCGCGCCTCAGCCATCGGGCTCGCAAATTATGGCAACGCCCTGCAATTCCTCGACCCCGGACTTGCCAAGCTCACGGGCCTTGTCTGGTGCTGCAGATTGCCTTGTCAAAAGCCCTCCTCCCGACCAAAGGCGCGTCTACCTGCGACACTCGTCGACACTCGTGGAGACGCCTCGCCTCGTCTTGTCCTCCCTCACGCTTGCCTACCTTGATCCCACTGCCTCTGGCCAACCTGGTTTGGCTTCGAGTGGCCCAAGTAATACCTACAGTATTACGTCTCTGTTCAATCTTGGTACCACTTCGTATGTGCCGAGTGAGGGTCGCCCCAGTTGCCCGCCGTCCTTCCTCGCCGTCCTTCCTCGTCTTCCTCCTTCCTCGCCTTCCTTCCTCGCCTTCCTTCCGCGCCTTCCTCCTTCCTTTCTTTTTTCCTGTCTCTCTCACCTTCCTCTTCCGCTCCCCGCCCTTCCTCCCCGCCGTCTCCCATCTTTCTCTCGGTTTTTTGCTCTTCTTCCACCTTCGTTTCTGCTGCTTCGCTCCCTCGTTTTCTTTCCGATTCCGTCTCAGGGCGCCATCATCTGGCCTCCTGAGCACGACCAAGGCGCCTCCCCCCGTCTCCACCCTCCTTCTCCTCCTCGAGCCCGTGCCTGACCAGACTCAGCTCAGCTCTCCAGGTAAACCGAATCCCTTCTCCCCGTCCTTTGTTTGAATCGTCCAATCCGCCTTCACAAGCTGTCAGCCGTGCTTTTGACACGATTGTCCTCAGCCCTATTCTTGACACGATTCTTTTCAGCCGTGTTTTTGACATGGTTCTTCCATGACTCCCCCCATCGCTCAAACGGTCGGGGCTCGTGCTTACCGTGCTCTTCTCGCCCTCTCTCAGTCGTCCGGCCCACGCCTCCGTCCACTTGGCGCCCCAATCTGAAACGCAAGATTCATGTCGCCGAGCGCGCCCGCACATCTCGTCGTCGCATACCGCGCGCGCTTTCTAGATCAATTCTTCTTACCTTCTGCATCCAATCCCAAACCCGTCCCAGTCTTTTTGTCGCTTCCATCTTCGTCGAGTTGCTCCTCCGCACCCTTGTTCGACCCGCCATCCCTTTTCGAGGCCGCTCTCGTCTCTTCAAGCCCGACTGTCGCTGCATTCACGCCGCACCATCTGAGACTCGAGCCGTTTCCCGTACGTGATCGTCCATCTCGCATCCTCCCTGATTGTCCCTTCTGCGACCTTGGCCGCACAGGAGTCCTCTGGCCGCATCAGCCGGCTGGCTCTCCAATACCTGCCCAGCTTCATGTCCCCTCGACAGCCCGAGTCATCCTTTTCTATCTGATGCATTCCCCTTTTTTTTACAGTGACTGACAGACAAGTATAGACCTCTGACGCTTGCCCCATCTGTCGCGCTCGTGAGTCCTTGCACGACGGCCTTTCAAACACTCGCTCTGGGGTCAGGGCACTTCTCTTTGTTTCCGCTGTACATTCTCTCGTCTCCACGTACGCACCCTCCTTTACTCGCCACGAGCATCTCCTTTCTTTTTCAGTCCGGGGGACTGGAAGACCGGTCCTGCCAATCCTTTTGCCTCGCCCAATCGCCTCGAAACAGCCGCTCTCTTGATGCTGCACAGCCGCGCCCATCTCGACTAGACGTCGACTTCAGCATACACGAGAGAGCAATACTGGTCATTGTCCCTTCGTCACTGGCAGGCGTGGTGGCGTCGGATCGGGCTTTGCTTCTCTCTGCCAACCAGGCGACGTCGAGGGCCTCTGCCCGTCTTGCTGGGCCATAGATAGGGCTGTCTGTCCATCTCAGGCCGGGTTTCCGGTCGACTCGAGGTGCCTTCTACCTGGAGATTGGAGAGCCAGATGAGTCAACAATACCATGGAAGGGATATGGACCGACCGACGCCAATACCAGGATCCGTCCAAAGGGCACGCGAACGGGCGCAGGCAGGACTGCCACGGGATGCGCTTCCCCTGCGCCAGCTCCAGCAGACGGGTGCAGACTATCCGCTGGGAGACTCTAGAGCCGTCCTGTCCCGTCCACCGCCCGCGGCGGTTGCGACGCCATCAAGGCTCTCTCAGCTCCCGCCCTCGCAGCCCGAGGCCCCGAAGCCGACCAGCATGTCTCGGTCGATGGACGCTCCCCAGTGGCCCCTCCCCGGCCCTTCTACACCCATTGGTTTCACGAATCCAGAGTCAAGTCGGTCGTCGTCTGCTGCACTGTCCCAGCTTGAGCCCACGAAACCACCTCACCCAATCCGCGTTCCCCCCACCTTTAATCCGTCACAACCACAAGGTCCGATTCCCTTTTTCGTCTCCCGCTCAAGCTTGCCTGGAAGCCCGCAAGAATCGATGGACGGTTTCGACATCATGTCACCCGCCGAAACTTCATCGAGGCGGACAACTTCGTCTGTAGGCACGATACCCGACTTCCCCATTCCCGCAGTCACCAACCCTCCTCCTCCGCCAAGGAGAAGTGCCATTCTGGGCCCACCACCGTCGAGCCGTCGGGGGCTATCAACCATGTACTCGAACGCGTCCTTGGTCTCGCCAATCCCGGAAGAGAGCCCGCGGTCGAGGTCGCACGGATCGTATGCTTCGAGCGCCGCCATGCCGGAAACTTGGGGGACGTCGTCGTCACCGTTGGCCAGCCCAGGGGATAGCGCCGCTTTTTTCGACGACTCGTCCTCGGAAAGGAGCAGGGATTCGACGTTGGAAGACTTTGAATTTGAAGACGAAGCCCAGCTGGTCCGAAGCGCAAGCCGGGGTAAGAGGGGGAAAGCCGAGCTCGTCAAGATGGCATCGACCAACGACAAGAAATTGAACCCCTTTGGCGATGGGACAGGATACATCGATGCGTCGTCGGGCGACTTGACCGCGTTTCCTTTGGTCAAGCCAGCCCCTACCGCCAGTCTGTCGAATCTTTCCCAAACCGGCGAGCTGACACCAGACGCAATCTTGAGGGCCTATGCAGCCGCCAGCTTGTCGGACCCGTCGGGGTTACAAGCGGGCGCAGGACCATCATCCAGCACGCCCAGCCAGCTCTCCAACTTGAGACGGCCCCCGTTCCTAGACATGGGTGCCGTGAGAGCGACGGAGGAACGAGGCAGCCTAACCAGTCTGCCAGACTTGATCCGGCGGGCCACACGCTTGGCCTCGCTGATTGACAAGGGAAAGAGGCCGGGAAGTCGCCTCGATGACCTGAGCGCGTGGGGTAGTGATAATACCGGAAGCAGAGACGGGGACGGGTCTCTCTCAGGTGCGTTGGCGTGATTGCTGTTGGCCCCGACGGCCGACCATGGAGCCCAGAACGAAACTGACAATGGACATCTTCAGACATGCTGGCTGCTTTCCCACCTCCCGTTCACTCGCCGCCGAACAACAGCCAGGGCCGGGGCTCATGGGCCCAATCTGGCTCGTGGCCCATGCGATCCAACGAAGTCCTCCGAAGCCACTCACGCTCCCCGAGCGTGCCGTATGACAACGGCGGCAAGAAGCCGGGCCGGCGCTGCTGTGGCTTACCGATATGGGCGGCTATCCTCATTGCCATTGTCGCTTTAGGCATAGTCGCAGCTGCCATCATCGTTCCCCTCGAGTTTTTCGTCTTCAAGAACCTCGGAAACAAGGCCGGCCGGGGAGCCCCGGACCAAAGTGTCGAAAACTGCCGAGACTCCCTGACCTGCCTCAACGGTGGCACCAACGTGGTAACACCAGGAACCTGCTCGTGCCTCTGCACCAACGGCTTCACAGGGTCCAACTGCGCCGCCGGAGGCTATCAAGGCTGCACAACCACGAACCTCGTTGCTGCGGACGGATCCAGCAGCATCAACAACGTGACCCTGGGCCAGGCCATCCCTCGACTCATTACAGGCGCCCAGTCCAACTTTTCTATTCCCCTCTCGGGGACGGATCTCCTGGCCAAGCTCAACGCCGGGAGTCTTTCTTGCAACGCTCAAAACTCCCTCGTCACCTTCGAGGGCCGGTCGACCAGGTCTTCTCAGACAAGCAACGCCATTGCCCAGGACGAGCTCGGCGTAAACGCCGTCTTGTTGAACACAAAAGAAAAGGAAGAGGAGTATTATCCGGTCCTGCCAACAATCATCTTGATTCCTCCCCGCCCCTGGCACTCGCCATATCCTAACGGTGGTCCACCAAAAGCCTCGTCCACTTCAAAGGCACCGGCTCCTGTCGCTCCCACTTTTCAACCCCCGCCGCCGCCCAATTCCGAGAGCACGACGCCACAAAGTACAGTCACGATCCCGCCAATACGGACCACCAATACTCCAAGGACAACCTCGAGTAGCTCGGTGCTGGCCCCCAGCGGCTCAGCACCGCCTCCCATTGGCTCGGCGCCAGCTCCCAGCAGCTCGGCGCCGGCTCCTGTGAACTCCTTCGTCATCACAGAGGACGTTCTAGATTTCGCGCGCGTTTCCGTACTGTTCATTGCGCAGGAGCAAGGCATGGGTGCCGCCGAGACCGCGCAAACGGAATTGCGCCGTTTCTTCAGCAGTGCAAACAAGAATCAGGTGTCGCAGCAGGAGGCGATCAAAATATCAGTCGGGGGCGTGAACTTTGCCAATCTGGTTGACTTTTCCGTCGACATCGGCCAAGGTCCCATTGGGAGGAAGAATCTCAGACGGGCGGTTGCCGACCCCGGACCCGTCTGATGTCTTTGTTGCCCTGATTTTCAAGGGCATGTACATTTGCGACAACCTATTTACGCAGGGCTACTATTGAGGCCCGGCAACCAAACTCTTAATGTTTTTTTGGAACATGTTCGACGGAACATGGCTGTACGAATTCCGAGCTATAATTCTGATGAGAGGTAAGACTTGCTGGCGGCGCGGAAATCTTGTATATACCATTTGGAGGACTCACTTTGTTCTTTTTCATTTCTTTTCACTCTCTGTTTCTTGGTTGCCGCATTTACAAGTCGGAAGCGACATGAGCGTTGGCGTTGACAAAAGAGACGAAAGGGGGGGTTTGGAGATACCATCCATGAGGCTAGACTTGGTACATCAGCAGAGGAGCATTTGCTCCAGTATTCAACGTTGACAAGAGCGCGCATCTTGGCCTGACTGGTCGGAGCCATGGCCGCGAGGCCTCTATTTAGCTTTATATATATACGTGTATATATATTTGAAGTCACTTGCAACGGCCATTCCGTGGTGATGATGGCGAGGCCGGGCCGTTTCCCAATCTGGCTCTCCGGTCTTGGAGCGCATTGAATAGACTGGCGGATGCCGCCTCTCCTTACATCCTGAAGACACCATACTTTGTGTCGCCCGGCTTTACCTGGTTGCGTCCCCCCATGGCGGCGTCGAGGCCAAGGGCGAGGTAGCGGCGGGTGTGTTGTGGGGGTATGATGCCGTCGTCCTGGTGCTCGCACGAGCAATGTTAGTCGCAGCCGCGTAGAAGAAGCAGGATGCAAGAACATACCCAGAGCCGAGCAGACGAGTAGGTGGCGTCGCTCTCGCGGTCGATGCGGGCCTTGAGTTGGGGATCGACCTTTTGGCCGACCGTCTCCATGACGGCGGCGAGCTGCTCGCCGCCCATGACGCCGATGCGGGCGTTTGGCCACATCCACAGGAAGCGCGGCGAGTAGGCGCGGCCGCACATGCCGTAGTTGCCGGCGCCGTAGGAGCCGCCGACGACGACGGTGAACTTGGGGACGTCTGCGCAGGCGACGGCGGTGACGAGCTTTGCGCCGTGCTTTGCGATGCCGTCGCGCTCTGAGGCGGCGCCGACCATGAAGCCGGCAATGTTCTGGAGGAAGACGAGGGGGATGCCGCGCTGGGTGCAGAGCTCGACAAAGTGGGCGCCCTTGACCGAGGACGAGGCGAAGAGGATGCCGTCGTTTGCGACGATGCCGACGCGGTGGCCGTGGATGGAGGCGAAGCCGGTGACGAGCGTGGTGCCGAAGTCGCGCTTGAACTCGGAGAAGCGGGAGCCGTCGACGATCCGGGCGATGATTTCGCGGATGGGCATGGGCTTGCGCAGGTTCGTGGAGGCGATGCCGAGCAGCTCGTCGGGGTTGTAGAGGGGCGCGTCGTCGACGTCGACGGCCTCTGTCGCCTTCTGCCTCGTTGTCGTCGGCCAGTTGAGGTTGGAGACGCAGCGCCTCGCAAGGACGATGGCGTGCGCGTCGTCGACGGCCAGGTAGTCGGTGACGCCCGAGACGGACGAGTGCATGCGGCCGCCGCCGAGGTCCTCGGGGGAGACGACCTCGCCGGTGGCGGCCTTGACGAGGGGCGGGCCGGCGAGGAAGATGTGGCCCTGGTCCTGGACGATGATGGACTCGTCGCTCATGGCGGGCACGTAGGCGCCGCCGGCGGTGCAGGGGCCCATAACGACCGAGATCTGGGGGATGCCGGCGGCCGACATGCGCGCCTGGTTGTAGAAGATGCGACCAAAGTGATTTTGGTCGGGGAAGACGTCGGACTGGTGGGGGAGGTTGGCGCCGCCCGAGTCGACGAGGTAGATGCAGCTTGGACGGGGTTAGCCAGACTCTTATTCTCTCGTCTCTTGCTGAGATTCAGATTCTCGAGCCCACAAGTTTACATTGTCTTTCGCCCTGTCGTTCTCGCCTCGGAGTAGGGGGAGGAAAGGGGGGGGGGCGCAACAGCACGATACTCACGGTAGCTTGTTCTCCTGCGCAACGGCCTGGGCGCGCAGGTGCTTCTTGACAGTAATGGGATAGTATGTGCCGCCCTTGACGGTACTATCGTTGGCGACAATGACGCAGGTGACGCCCTCGACGACGCCGACGCCGGTGATGATGCCGCCGGCGGGGACATCGGCCTCGGGGTACAGCTGGTAGCCGGCCATGGGGGAAAGCTCGAGAAAGGTGGTGCCCGGGTCGATGAGGGCGGCGACACGGTCGCGGGGCAGCATCTTGTTGCGGGCGAGGTGCTTGTCGCGCGCCTTGTCGGGTCCGCCGCGCTGGGCGGCGCGCGCCAGCTCCTGCATGCGGGCGACGACGTCGGCCATCTGGCGCTCGTTGTGGCGGAAGTCGTCCGAGGCCGGGTCGACGCTCGTCTGCAGGCGCGAGATGGCGGCGGCCTGGTGCGGCGGCGTGAGGCTGGCGACGCCCGCGCGGGCTTGTCGTTGCGGCGCTCGAGGGGGGTGAGGAGGCGGCAGTCGGGGCGGGAGGAGGAGGCGGCGGTGGCGGCAGGCCAGGCGGAGGGCCGCCTGCTGCGACGAGCTCGATATGGACATGACTGACGGTTCCCAATGGCCGGGCCCGAGCAAGTTGGTTGGGGTCTCGGAGTGGGAGAGGTGATGATGGCGAGGGCGGAGAGAGGCGAGGGTGAGGGCGAGGGTGAGGGCGAGGGTGAGGGCGAGGGTGAGGGCGAGGGTGAGACTCGGGCAAGGTTGGCGGGCCGCGACAAGCCGCGTTGAGCCGGGCTTGCGTCTGTCGGCTGATGAGGCCCGGCCTAGCCCGGCCTTGGCTCAGCCGAATCCCTCCTCCTACACCTTCCTCCAACTCGCCTCTCTCCAGCCGGCTCTCCATTGTTGCTCGCGGGCGCCAGAGCGTTTCGCGAATTCTTCACCTGCTACTTCTTATTTTCTCACTTTCCTCCGCAGACGTCTCGCGCGCAGCCCTCTCAATGGCCAGCCTCAGAACGGTGAGCAGGGCGGCGCTGCTGCTGAGCCGCCCTGCCGCGGGCCGTCAGCTTGGAAAAACGGCCATGTGCGGTGCGCGGTGGCACTCGTCCAAGCACCCCGAGGGCTTCGTGCCGCCGACGGGCGAGGAGCTGGAGGAGCTGCGGGAGCGGGTACAAGAATTTACGCGGCGCGAGATATCGGCCGAGGTGGCGGCGCTGACGGACAAGAGCAACGCGTTCCCCGACGACATGTGGTCCAAGCTGGGCGAGGCGGGCTTCCTGGGCATGACGGCGGACGAGGAGGTGGGCGGGCTGGGGATGGGGTACCAGGCGCACTGCGTCGTCATGGAGGAGCTGTCGCGGGCGTCCGGGTCCATCGGGCTCAGCTACGCGGCGCACTCGCAGCTGTGCGTCAACCAGCTCCAGCTCAACGGCACGGCGGAGCAGAAGCGCAGGTGGCTGCCGGGCCTCGTGGCGGGGACGAGCGTCGGGGCGCTGGCCATGTCCGAGTCCGGGGCGGGCAGCGACGTGGTGAGCATGCGGACGACGGCGACGGCCGTCGACGGGGGCTACGTGCTCGACGGCAGCAAGATGTGGATCACCAACGGGCCCGACGCCGACGTCATGGTCGTCTACGCCAAGACGCAGCCCGAGGCGGGCTCGCGCGGCATCACGGCGTTTGTGGTGGAGACGAAGACGGCGCGGGGCTTCTCGTGCGCGCGCAAGCTCGACAAGATGGGCATGCGCGGCAGCAACACGGGCGAGCTGGCGTTTGACGGCGTCTTCGTGCCGAGCGAGCACGTGCTGGGCCGGGTCGACGGCGGCGTGCGGGTGCTCATGGAAGGGCTGGACCTGGAGCGGCTGGTGCTGTCGTCGGGCCCGCTGGGCCTGATGCAGGCGTCGCTCGACGTGGCGGCGCCGTTTGCGCACCAGCGGCGGCAGTTTGGCGCGCCCATTGCGCACCAGCAGCTGGTGCAGGGCAAGCTGGCCGACATGTACACCAAGCTGCAGGCGTCGCGGGCCTACACGTACGCGACGGCGCGCCGCGTCGACGAGCAGGGCCTGGTGCGCACGCAGGACTGCGCGGGGGCCATCCTGTACGCGGCGGAGCGGGCGACCGAGTGCGCGCTCGACTGCATCCAGCTGCTGGGGGGGATGGGCTACGTCGAGGAGATGCCGGCGTCGCGGCTGTTGCGCGAGTGAGTTGTCTTTCCTCGTCTCTCTCACTGCTCGGGTGCCCTGCTGCTACGCATCTTCCTACGCATCTTCCTACGGGTCTGGGGCTAACTAAACGTCCGCAGTGCCAAGCTGTACGAGATTGGGGCCGGGACGTCGGAGATCAGGCGCATGGTCATTGGCCGGGCTTTTAACAAGGAGTATGCGGATGCGTAGAGGAGACGGGAAGAGTCGAGCCTGGTTTGCAGTTTGAGGGACGATGCCAACAGAGTGCGAAGCGGCCGAGTTGGAGCCAGATGAAACGGGCATCGTGGGGGCTCGGCAAACAATCGCGTTTCACGACGGTCTGGGCGGCTGAACTGCATGGGCGGGACACGGACGAATACAAGAAATGTGATGCGGTGGTTGCATGGGCAAGGAGGACCTTTGGTGACTGGACGTGCCATGTCCCAGAGATCAGCAATGGGCCCTGTAGCAAGACAGGGGGAGTCGAAGAGCACAAAACAGTGCGTTTGGTATTGGGCGTCGAGGGTAAAGATCAACGTCGGACGGTGGACGAGCGGGATGGACCTGCAGAGCCATGTTGTGCAAGTCTAGATCAGCTACATTGCAGGTTGAAGCATCGTGAATGGAGTCGAGAGCCAATTACAGCGAAATGGATACTACGGTGGCACTGTGCTCTGCAAGGTTGATGTTGTTGGTCTGGGGTGCTGCGGGGGGGGGGAGTGAAAAACGCCGTGGGCCCCGTGACCATGCCCGCTGGTGACGATGCTGCATCAGCATGCGGTAAAGGTCCCCTGGTTCCTGTGCGTTGCCTCTTTGTATGAAACAAATAGTTATCGCCCAGCTTTTGGAGCCTGGACGGGAGGGGGGCAGGCAGGCAGGCAGTCTTCTCGTCCGTCCATTGCTGTAAAGACAGTTGGAATGCCTCCCAGTACAGTATGTACATGAGTAGGCACCCACTGTACATACATCGAGAGAACCAAAGCATGTCCACTGTTTGGCCCCCCTACACTTTCTCCACAGCGCCGAGGCCCGAAAAAAAAAAGGGACTCAAGAACGATTGCACCTTTGAAAGAGAGAAAAAGGGTTCTGGGACCGTTTTCCATGAAACTCGGCGTGGCGAGCCAGTGTGGCATCGCATCAATTTCCCTCCACGGAGGAGGGAGGGCCTGGGGGGTTCTCGACTCGCAGCTGCAGTGCATCGAGGGACCGCCCACGGCACTGGAGGCCTGGTATCCATCCCCCACCGCATCCGCTGGAGCCTCGAGGTAGTACGGGACGGCTTCCCCGTCCCGTTGCATCTTTTTTTAGTGCTCGACGGCTCCCCCGCCCTCGCCGGAGGGCCCCCGCTCAGGGGGGGGAGGGCCGAGGCGAAGGCCGGCAGGGGAGGAGGGGGTGCGTGCTACAGGGGCCGCCTGAGGGGGTGCGGCGCCGAAGAGCTCGGGGCGTGTCGCCAACCTGCTGCCAATCCACGAGAGGACGGGGACAAGAGCGCTACTGCACTGTAGAACTTGGATACATCATCAACCATCCCGACCGCCCCAGCTCGATTCTTTTCGCCTTGCCCGCGTCCTTGCCAAAGGACCCTGCCGTGGAGAGCGTCATTGGGCCGGAGCTCCTCGACGATCCTCGCTCAACCTGATCCAACATTGTCGGCTCCATTCGCCACCCGGCGAGCTCTCCATATTTCCTCCCTCCCCCCTCTTCTCCTCTTCGTCGTCTCCTCTCCCTTCTCCTCCATACCTCGGCTGCCCGTCTTTTCTTTTTTTCCCTCTCTTCCCCTCCCGCCTCTGCTCTCCGGTTCCAAACCAACTCGTCATCGCCCTTCCTCCCACCGGTCCACCTTGACACATCAAGACCACGATAGCTTCCAACACACCCACCTTTGTCGCAATGGCCGCCAGACAAAGCAGCCGCCTGTTGGCCCCCCTCGTCGGCCGGCGCCCCGTCGTCGCCTCGCGCGCCCGCCCTTTGCTGGCCGTGGCCGCGGCGCGCAAAGGCCTGCACGACGGACCCCCCCGACGCAACAAGCCCGGCCACTACGCGCGAACCGACTCCGACGTGGAGATTGAGTACCCCGAGGAGCACGAGCTGCCCCCCTCGAAGCCCGTCCGCGGCCTGCCGGGCCAGTACGTCAAGCCCACCCTCGCCAGCTTCTCCCTCGACGGCAACGTCGGCCTCGTCACGGGCGGCGCGCGCGGCCTGGGGCTCGTCATTGCGCAGGGCATGGTCTACTCGGGCGCCGATCTGGCTCTCGTCGACATGAACAGTGCGGGTTTTCCTTTCCTTTTGTCTCTACCATTGCCGGCGCAAGTCGCGGCTCGGCTAACGCTCATGCGCCCGCAGAGGACGAGGCCGAGAAGCAGACCAAGCTGCTGATGGAGGCGTTCACCAAGGAGAACCCCAACGCCGAGCGGTAAGCTGAATACCCCTCTGCGCCGAGTGGAATGGCCAGCTGAAGCGGCGCTCGCCCGCAGCGTGCCCAAGGTCACGGCCCACTACGCCGACGTGTCGGATCCCGCGTCGGTCGACGCCTGCATCGCAGAGGTCATTGCCGAGCACGGCAAGATTGACAATCTCGTCACCTCGGCCGGCTTCACCAAGAACTTCGAGGCCATCAACTACCCCATTGACCGCATGCGCAAGCTGTGGGCCGTCAACGTCGACGGAACCTACCTCTTTGCAACCTCGGTCGCCCGCCATCTCATGGAGCGCAAGTGTCCCGGCAGCATGGTCATGATTGGCAGCATGTCGGGGTCCATTGTCAACGTGCCCCAGCCCCAAGCGTATGCCTTGCTTTTCCCGGAATCGTGTCCCTCGTGAGGGGGAAAAGAGAGAAGAAGGCCAGCGGAGCTAACCGTGACGACAGTCCCTACAACGCCGCCAAGGCTGGCGTCCGCCACCTGGCCGCCTCGCTCGCCGTCGAGTGGGCGCATGCCGGCATCCGCGTCAACTGCATCTCGCCCGGCTACATGCTCACGGCGCTGACGCAAAAGATTCTCGACGAGAACCCCGACCTCAAGCAGAAGTGGACGTCGCTCATTCCCCAGGGCAAGATGGGCCAGCCGCAGGACCTCATGGGGCCCGTCACCTTTTTGCTGTCCAACGCCAGCCAGTACGTCACGGGAGCCGATGTGCGCGTCGACGGCGGCTACACGGTGACGTGAGCGGCGCGGCGGCTTTTCCTTTTTGTGTGTTTTTTGGAGAATGGAAAACAAGAAGATGAAAAAGTCGGTGTGCTGGATGGCTGCCATACTATGCCGGCATGGCAAGGGCTGCTGCCGGTGAAATGGGCTCATGCGCGATAGACTTGGGGAAGCAGCTGTTTGGCTGGTCCCACCGTTGTAGCCTTAATGATAATGAAGCTTTCTGGAGGAGAGACATTGCCAGGGCGCCTCTTTGCAAGTGTCGTCACATGTCAAAAATGATGCAGGAAGCAGTTTTGCCACCACGATGAAGTTGACCATGACCACCATCCTCGATGACTCCCCGTCTACGGAGTAGGAATCAAGCCATGGGCAGAACCGACGGGATGGGACTGGTGGAGTCGTGGGGCGGGAGAATGAACCCCGGTTTCGGCGGGCGGCCCGGACTTTGCGAGGCGGCGGCCACGGAGAGGTACATTGTGGCATGCATGTATTATCTTTTCGTTCCAGATGAGACGGACACCTTGTTCTTCTGCCGCATTCAAGACCAGGTCCGATTCCCGCTGCCCAGCGCGTGGGCGATGGCTTGCTTTCGTGGCTTCGTCGTCCTACGAGGCAGTTACACGCTTCGTACTTTTTGAGTCGTGAGCTCCTCGGCGGTGGCGGCTTTCATCTGCACACGAGCTCGTATCGCGCGGCCTCGGGCACGACACAGAGGATCGGAGACGACGGCCAGGCACAGACATTCCCCCAGGCTCTGGAGTCTCAGCGTCTGTACCCCGGACTCGGCTTGTCGCATGCACCACGGCCTTTGCACCCGCATACGCCGTGCTCGCCACCTGTGTGCGACGGGGGAGGGCTTGTTTTCGAGCAAAGTGTGCACAGCATGAACCCGACGAGGGTGAGACGAGCCACGCTTCCACATCCTCCATGCTCGTCCTCACGAGGCAAAGCAGGAAAGCATGTCCGATTGTCGGTGGGCAGCACCCGCTGCTTGATGCCCAACTCGTCGACGACGGGTGCAGTAGCCAGGCTTTGGGCCACCATTGTCAGCCCGGGGCCCAGATAAGCGTGGCCGGCGCACAGGCGGGCCGCGTGGCGGGAAGGGTTGTCGGGGACGAGGCACCGGCAGGCAGCACATGCAGCTCGCGAAGCGGACGAGAGGGAGGACTTTTGGGGAGTGTTCTAGATCAGCCCTAGGCAGGTACATCTGTATATATGCTCTGATGCCGGGTGGTGGTATCCAGGTTTCTGGTTCTAGAACGTGCAAGGCATTGATGGGGGCGGGAGAGGCGGCGGCAGCGGCGGCGGAGGAGGCGGAGGAGGCGGAGGAGGGTTGGAGGGATGCAAGGCCCCCTGCCTCTAGGCCAACCCACCTCGGCAGCTGCGAGGTGGGTCGACTTTGGACGACCGAGTGTGTGGGTGCCTTGTTGCCGAGACGATACTTGTTGGATGGTGTTGTTTGTGAGTGCAGGCGTGTATGTACTGTACTGTAATTATGTACAGTACGTATTGTGTGTGTGTGTGCGTGTGTGTGTGTGTGTATCCCGACGATACACACACACACACACACACACACGCACACACACACACACACCACACACGTTTCTGCGGGCTCGATAAAGTCTGCACGCACGGGTGCAACACAGCGGGGAAGCATTTGGAGATGAATCCCCTTGACGGATGAAGCGAGGGGCATTCATCGGCATTCATCGACGATCATCAGCGACGAAGGCAGGTGTGGCGCATACAGGACGTGGCCCGCGGATAGAGACTCCTTTACTCTCCTTTTCCTTGCTCGCCACTTCCCTTCTGGGTCCTCCCGGCCCGGCCCGTCCGCCGAATACGAAGGGGGGGGGGGAAGGTGGCGAAGATGGACGCATCTGCCTCCCTTTGCCCTTTGCTTTCCTTCCTTCTGTATTTCGTCGGCCAAGTGACAGGTCACATGTGTGAGTGAGATAGATCATGGGGGGAGACGGGGGGGGGGTCGCAAGCCAGGGCCGAGCAAGCGGCGTCTTTTGCTTGGCCGGACCGCCGCGGCGGAAACAGCCTGTCGAGTGGTTGGGTCCTTGAAGCGCATAGAGGCCCGGGCGGCGAGCGCATGTGACGGTGCAAAGGCAGCGTGGCGTGGCTCCCTGATTCATCATAATCAGGGACCGAGATGAAGCAGCCCCCTTTGGTGCTGACGCTGGCCTATACTATATGGCGGTACCTGACTTCTCTCTCCTCGCCGTCATGCGCACCTCTGCGGCCATCCAATGTGGCGTACTGTACTAAATTACCTACTGTACTGTAATTACTGTACTGTAACTACTGTACCTAGAATTCTGCACAGCTAAGGTACCTACCTAGGTAGGTACAGCTCCGCGAGTACATAATTGACCTGGGCCGCAGCCAAAAGAGAGCGTGAGGCAATGTACCGGCTAACCTCGCGTCATGGCTGATGGCTGCATCTGGTACTCCGTATTAATTAATAGTGAGAGTGGCTTGTCCAGGCGATGGATGAGGCAGGCGGGCAGGCAGGCAGGCAGGCACGACTACCTACCGTAGTAAAAGGCACCTACCTACCTGCCTTGGCCAAAACATGGGCACGGAACTCCTCCCGCTGCTCCGGGGCAAAAAGCATCGCAGCAGGAGGTGAGGGAGGTACCAGAAGACGGCGGGCTTGCCCAGTTGCGGGACCCGCTGGCCAAACCTTTGCGTTGCAAAAGACTCACCGACCTCGGCCGTCTTTTTTTTCTTGACCCCCCCCCCCTCTTCTTCTCATCCTCCTCCTCTCTTTCTCTCCTCGTCCACGTCGTCTGTCTTCTGTCGCCTCCTTTGGCCCTGACGGCTGCTGCTTCTTCTTCTTCTCGTCGTCTCCCTCTCCACACCCGCCTCTTCTCGCTCCTCTCCGGCCTTTTGCCTGTCCGCGACGCTTCCTCGCCTCTCCACCGCCTTGCCGTCGCCGCCCTCCTCGCGTCTACTCGTCTCGACTCGGCCCGCCCCGGACGCTGCGGCTCTGCTCGCGCACCTGTCTACTGTACATCCATCCACATACTGGCTGCGACACCGCCGGCGCGCCCGCACATGCCACATGTGTACATGGACCAACCAGCCTAGCCCCCTGTGCCGTTTCCGTCGGCGCCCTTGCCCGACCCGAACCGGTCCCAGGTGAAGTGATTCATTCATTCGGCTTGTGCTGCCGTCGCCGCCATTTGCTTCGTCCTCAGCCATTCGAAGCTGGCCCCTTTCGTCGCCCTTTCGGTGGCGTGTTTTATTCCTTTGATTTTGGCCAGTCAGCAGGGTCCCGCTCAAGTCCAGGGCAAGCACGCCACGACACGCAACGAAAGCCCGTCCTCCTCCTCTCCAACCCCCGTCGCCGTCGACTTTTCTCTCGCCGGCTTCCCCTCCTCGCCACCGAGTGCGACGAGCGCTTCGCCGCTCCTCTGTGTGCTCCGTGCGTCAGTCGGTCGCCCGCGTGACCAACTAACAACGCAAACGCACGCACGTCCACTCGCCCATAGGCTCCACGCCTCCTTTTTTTATGATAGACGCTGTCGCACTTACACAGCATCACCCCCGGCCAAGAGAGCTGCGTGTATAAGCGCTCGGCCCCGTTGTCGACCCTGCCCGTCCCCGACGTCGTTATACCACCCAGTCACCCTCTACTTGCTTCTGTGGCCGCTCCACGTTTGCTGTCGCGCGACCCTGATTCGAATGCCCACCGCCTCTGCCTGCCTGGACCCGTGCCTTGACGGCACAACAGTCTCTTTTCCGCCCCTCGCCGCCTGGTCAAATCCTGCCACCATGCTTCATCCGTCCCGCAGCGTATAATCTTTCGCAGGCCAAAGCATTGGCTTGCGCTGGGGCTGGGGCTGTGCATCCTCGCCTTTCCAAGCAAACCCTGTTCAACCATTTTCGGCCGACCAAGGGATCCCGGGCAGCTGCTTCTCCCTGCCAATGGAGTCGAGCGTGCCAATGATATTGCCCAAGGGCATTGTCATCAACACCACAAACATTTACGACGAGGTCGCCAGCTACTCCACAGTTCCAGCCGACAAGGTCTGGGAGTATTGGCATGGTACGTCGCTTCTTACTCTCTGCTCATCTCATCAACCATGTGAGCTGACCTGGTGCCCTCCCACTCCGTTTCTCGCTCTCAGTATACACAACCACCAACAAGAGGCTCGAAGATCCCACAGCGCGCCGCCTCGAGAACTTTTGGTGGCATGTATGGGGCAGCGATCGTCGCTTTCTCAGCGGTCGAGCGCTGGCCCGCATCTATGAGGACATTTCCGTTGGCCCGACTATCGCGCCGCTGCAGGGTCCCCCAAATCGATGGGAGGGTCCGAATGTAAGTGGCTAGCCATGGAGGGTCACAGGGTCGGTCATCAACATCTGACTCCCCAAAACCAGGCTCCTCTGGTGACCAGACAGCTCGTACTGGCCCACCTGAGCCAGGAGCGAATCGCACAACAGAATCGCATCTCATCGCCGCCGACCACGAAACCGAGTGACGCTTCAGCCGAGAGCCTGTCATGCTCGACTACTTCGAAACCTGTGGCTCCACACCCGATCCTGAAAAAGTCTAGGGGTCCATCCTCGTCGGGTCCCCGGCCGACAGCTCGGTTCGCCTCCCCCCCCGAATCTGCAGACGAAGCCGACAAAGACGTCGATTTCCCTTCGTCTGGCAGCACCGCGACTACGGGCTTGGAAATGCCGTTGAAACCATCCAAGAAGAAGCCAACAACAGCAGGCAAGAAGTTCGTGGTGGCGTCGGCTGCTGCCAGGAGACGGCCCTTGCTCCCCAGAAAAACAAGTCCGCAGTCGCCGATACAAACGACAATGGCATCACGGGACGCTAACTTCTCGACGGGCTCTCGAGCGGCGGGACCGCCGCGCCCCGTATCTCCCATGCCCGAACGATCGTCGAATCTCACTGGCCATGATTCAGAAGATGCCAAGGAGAGCAGCGCTCGCCTGCCAGGCCCCAGCGCCAAGGCGCTCGGCAAGCGTCCCGCCTTACCTCCGAGGGCCATGTCCGAGAGGGGCGGAATCGCCAGCAGACAGAGTCTACAGTCAAGCTCGCTGGCAGTTCTGGGGGCGATGGGGCGAGAAAAGGCTTCGCTGCCTCGGGTGCAGTCTTACCTCGGCGACGGTCTCCATCCCAAGCCACCCCGTGCCTTTTCTGAAACGACCGGACTGGCTGGCTCCTCCGCTGTCGAGCCACCTCCAGCCATGGAACGCTCTCAGTCTCACAACGGATACGGCCGCTACTCGGAAGCCCGGGGCTCCACGCAGGGTCTCTTTACTGGCGCAACCGCCTCCATGACAAACGTGGCCGCCCAAGGAACCATAATCGACCAGGCAGGCTCACTGCCTGTTTCCAGCGTCCTCGGGTCGTCACTCAACGAACCCCTGTTCCCCACCCCGCCCTTGGCGTCTTCACTGCTTGAATCCCGCCTGACCCCCACGCAACCGGGCTCATCTGCTAGCGTGCCGATGGGTCGGACAAGAAGCCAGCTGACGCTGTTGCTGGAACGCGAGAAGGCGAGGACCGGTGATAGGCCACGGCCCAAGAGCTAGACGACATGTCTGCGCCTCGCGTGGCCTGGTCATGACCCCTATGCATCAGATCATGACACAAAACTTAGCCGCTTATCCTCGGGCGCAAAGTCGCCTTGGTCATTTATTTCCCTTGCTGTTGTTCTTATTTGTACTATACCATCTCACCAGCGGCCGGAGCATTGGCGGTGTTAGAAAAAAAGTAAAGGCTTAATTGACAAGCGATGACACGTCGGCCCTGCATTCGCAGGGTATCTGCGCTTTTTGTTTTTGTCGCCCTTCCCTCTTCTCTCTCCTCGAGGGCGAGTCGGAGGCTCGAGGTCAGTAGCCCAGGTAGTCAGTCATTGGACGGAGCATGGAGCGTACTGTACAGAATCGTGATGGAATTGGGCATGGGGTTCGAATGGGAAAAACTTGTGTTTTAATTTCCAGGGCCACGTTGCCACGAATCAAGGCCTTGCTTGGGTCTGGCTTGATGTTGTGCTCGCATGAGCGCCGAGCTTCTCTCGTCTTCAAGTACTCGGTACCATTTTCAAGTTGCAACGATCATGAGGGCGTCCGGGACTGGGCGGCCGGCTGCATGGAAGAGCAAAAGCACGCAGAGCAGCACCGGGTGGCTGTAGTGCATATATATAGAACCCTCTTAACGCCGTGCATATAGCAAAGGGACACACGCGTACTTTGTCCCCTCCCCCTTTTTCTTGCGCGTGGTTGCTCTTCCCTGCATGTTCATAAAAACGGAAAATCGCCGGAGGATATATTTTTGCTTCACTCGTCTTGTCTCCCCGTGTGGTTCTTGCTCGCGTTGCTCGGCGGGCCAGCCTTGGTCCCGACTCCTGCGGGCCCGGCTTTTCGTGCCCCTGAGTAACGGACGGTGATGAAGAAGTATGGAAGGAGTCAAAGAAAGAGAGATAGGGGGGAAGGGGGGGCTGGTCGGTTGGTGAGGGAGCGGTGGAAAGGGAGAACTCTTGGGATTGGGGCAGGCTCGTGTTCTGAGCACGTCGCCCGCTGCAGAATTATGAGAAGAGGAGAAAAGAAGAGACGAGTATATCTTGGTCCAGGCTGTTGTCGTTTGCAAAGCGTTCATCTTCCACACGCACAGCAGCAACCCCCTTCCCCTCTCACCCCTTTCCATCTCGCAGCCACCGCTTCGTACGTCACCCGTCTCTCAGCCTCCTCCCCCCCCCAAGACACGCGCCGCCGCCGCCGCCGCCGCCGCCGCCGCCGCACAAGGGGGTGACGATGCGGCCCGCGGAAGCAAGCGCCAGCATGGCCCGCGGCACACCTCTAGTTGTGGATGCCAAACATCTTGCGCAGCGCGCCAAACTTCTTCTTCTTCTGTTGTTGCAGCGGCACGTCGGCGCCGGTTTGCTCGCTGTCGGCGCCGCCGTCATCGCCGCCGAGGTCGGCGCCGAGGGCGCCGAGAGCCGACGTTCCCAGCGACGTGTTGCGCCGGTGAAAGGCCATGGCCTTGGTCCTGGAGTTGCCCACGGGCCCGCCGGCCGTCGAGGGCCGCGTCTTATCCGCCGCGAGGCCCTGCCGTTGCTCGTCGTCGGCGGCGCCTTCACCTCCCTCCCCATCGGGCAAGGGCCAACTAGGCCCTCGCTTGTGGTGGCTGTTGGAGCGAACCACGGAGAGCGTGTCGGGCGAGCGTTCAAGCCTGGTGTCTCGGCGCGCGGCGCTCTCGCCGACATCGCGTGAAATCTTGGGCGGGTCCTTCTTGCGGCGAAGGATCGACATTATGCTTCCGCGGCGGGGTCTTGGCCGCGCCGCCGCCTCTCCCTGAGGAGCCGCGGGGAGCGGCGTCAGCGTGCCCCGGCCAGAGCCACTGCGATGCAGACTCGATGCCTGCTCGACGCCCAGGGTGGCCCGTTTGGGCTGGGCAGCGTCACCGTTGCGATCCAGCACAGCTGACGAGGCCAAGCGCTGTGAATCATGCGTCACGCCCGCGGTCCCAGGCGCTGTCACGCTGGCCGACCTGTTGGCGCCGCGCATCGATTTCGCCAAGCCCTTGCCCCTCGGCTGTGGCCTAGGGATATCCTCGTCGTCGCTTGAATCGACGAAGCGGCTGCTGAAAAAGGACGGACCGCCTTCGTCCTCGTCACTCGAGTCGGCGAACCGGCTGCCGCCCTTTCCTTTGCCGCCCTTCTTCCCACCGGGGGACCGCTTGAATGGGGACAATCGCGTTTTGGGGCTCGTCGACGTAGCCTCGCTTCGCAAGGAGTGGCGCATCCGGCCCCCGCCTCCGCTCATCGTCGTCGGAGTGCCTGGCAGCGACGAGATGGAGTTACGACGGAACGCCGGTGGTGACATGGACCGCAAGCTGAACCGTCCACTGGCCTTGGTGGCCCCAGGAGGTGAAGGCTCTTGAAGGCTTGATCTCATGGACCTTCGGAAGCCGAGTGCCGCGCCAGGAGAAGCTCGCGAGCGTGTGAAGCTGCTTACGCTGTCATCTGACCCTCGTCGTCCCAAGCTCGGCTTCATGTTTCCTCGTGAGCCGAGGTCCTCTACAGAGAGGTTGCGCTTACGAGCCTTGTGAGACTTTATCGTCTCGGGCGGGTGGTAGGAGGCTGGCCTATCAGTCTGCGACAGTGATGGCCGAGAGCCCCCGGCATCACTGTCACCTCTCCTGTCCCTGAGAGATTTCCGCATCCCCGCGCCCGCCGCTGATGCCGCGGCGTTCGTGTCCATCTCAGGGCGTTGAGGCCCCTTCACATCTCCGGCCAATGCGGCCGCGGGCGCTGGAGCACTCCCTCGCATCGACTTCCTCATGCCACCTGGCTGCTCATTGACCGTTCGAGCCGATCCAGGCTGTTCGCTGCGCATGGAATGTCGAATCTTTGGCACTGCTTTGCTAGCGGTACCAGACTGTCCCGCGGGCGCAGAGGTTCGCCTATCGCTGGAAGCATCGTTTGTCCATTTTGTTCCAGGCATGATTTGATAGTTTCTTTCATTGAGCCCCCGAGGAGGCTGCGACGTCTCCTGTGAATGGCCCGTTGCAGTCTGTCGCTTGCCGTCTTCTTTTACACGCCGTGGCATGTCGTCTTCTTCGTCGTCGCTATCATCGGACAGGGCCTCGACCTCGAGTAGTCGGCGTTGGTCTGCGGATAAGCTCTTCCAGTACGCTTTGGCGTTTTCCCAATCGTTGGCTGGCTTAGGAGACGCCCTGCCCTGGCTTGACGGGACGGGCGATCCCGTACGCTTCTGGGCATCACCCAGGAGACCTGTCGCCACTTGCTCTCGACTTTCCGTGGGCGTCTTCCCGTCGGCAGAGCTCTCAACAACGGCGTCAAGGGAGAGGAATCCATCGCCGTCCACCTCATCTAGATCCTCGTAAGCGTCACTGTAGATGCTATATCGATCCGACTCTTCCTCTTCCTCTTCTATATCCTCCATCGCAGCATTGCTGACCACGCTCGGAGTCTCCACAGATCGTGATGGGGTTGAGGTCACCGTATCCTGGGAGGTGGCCTCGGCAGGCGTGTCGATATCCGGGCTTCGGTTACCATCGGAAGAATCATCATCCTCGGGGAATCGACCCGGGACTTCGGGCTGCCCACTTCGATAATCGCTTCTCTTGGGCTTCTCTAGACCCGGGCTGGGTAGAGAAATCGAGATGGTCGGAACGGGTTCGCCAACATCAAGAATCGCGCCGGGCTCCTCGTCGGTACGAGTCTCGGGTTCAGGCGTTTGTGGCGCCGCTGTTTTGGATGGTGTGGGCTCCATGACATCGTCCGGCTCCGTAGTCACGTCTGTGTCCAGGTCATCATCAGAAGAGCTCTCTACGAAAGTGCTTTCCTTTGCGCTGCTCTCTCCAGGTGGCATGGAGGCTGGAAGAGGCTCTCTATACTTGGAGATGTTAGCTGCGTTTCTAGAGGCCTGGTCCTGGGCGAGCGCCGCTCCGACCGCGGCATCCGACGACTGGCCAAGCTCTGTTCCCAGACTGGTCTCCGATGGCCCAGCTGCCGACGGGGACCATGTGCGTTCGGATGGCCGCACCAGAGGCCGCTCTTCGTAGTCCCTGGGTTTCTTCTCGCGCACGCTGCCAAAGAGAGGCAGCGCAGGTCGAGGGCTCATGGTCTCGTCCTCGCTCAAATTGACCGACTCCTTCTTGGCATACTTTGTGACGATGCTGTGCCACGGCTTCTTGGCCTGCGGGCTTGGAACAAAGGGCGATTCCGTGTCATGAGGCTGAACAGATTCACCAACAACCACGGTGTTCTTGTCGTCCCAGCTGACTCTGGCGCTCTTTTTCCTAGCCATGGCGGCATCGTCTTGACCATGGGGGCTCTGACGGCGCTCTGACGTTTCGGAGTCGTCGTCGGAGGGCGACGCGTCTCTTTGGCTCGAAAGTTTCATGGCAGACTTTTTGGGCGACACGGACCTGGGAGGAGGCTCATGTCTGACGAGAAGCTGATCTGGGGCCGGGGCAAAACGCGCCGACCGCGCTGGGCTTTCAGATGGTTCGCGAGCAAAGCGAGCGCCGCTGCCTGGCCGTATCGCCTCCGGGCCCCGCGCTTGTCCGGCGGCGGCGATACCCTGGGGCCCTTGGTCAGTCGGGACGGTGGTGGTCAGCGGCTGTGGTGCGGGCTGCTGGGTCTCTGGTGGTGCCCGCGCTTCAAGCTCTGGCTCTTCGTTCACAACGGATGGCTTTTTGGAGAGCGAAGGCTGCGTGTTGTCGGCCGAACTCCCCGTGTCTCGGCTCGTCGCTTGTTCGCCGATAACTACAGGCTTTGGGCTTCCAGGTTGCTTCTTCTTCTTCTTCTTCTTCTTCTGCGTGGTGGGTTCGCGCGACTGCTCGGACGCGATGGTGGCCTGCGGCTCTGAAGCGACGGACGGCTTCTGCCCAACAGGCAGAGGTTGGGGATGTTCGAGCGAAGGCGCCCTTGTCCTGCCGACTGTACCTCGGGAGAGATGAGAGCCTGTTCTTGCAATGTCTTGCTTCTTCTTCTTCGGCTTCTCAGTAGGCTCATGCATGCTTTGCGAACGCGCCAAAAGCTCGCTTCGAGGAACCATCCTTCTTGAATTGGCATCGTAAACGGGAGTCTGATCGTCGATGGATGCAGCAGGGGACGGCACCCTGGCGCGAGGATAGGAGAAGTTGATGGAGGGGCTGACACTTCCGGGTCGCGGTTCTTGTACGGCAGCGGCTGACTGCGAAACAGAGTCGGACCTCCTGACGTTAGCGGGATCGCCCGCGGTCGCGCCGCCGAACCAGGAGCCGTGCTGGCCATGCTTCATCTTCTCACTGGCGGTGCGGAAGGGCTGCGTCTGTAGCGCAGCGGGCTTGCGCTGGCCCCCGTTCGTCTTGTGGTCAGCAGCCAGGTGATGGACGTCGATGGGGAGGCTCGGAACAGGGGGAACGTTGGCGTCTCTGGGCGCGGGACTTGGACCGGGCGATGGCGAGCGAAAGGTTCGCTCAGCCATGGAGCTGACGCTGGGTGTTCTCTGCAGGTCTCTGTCGCGGCTGGCTTGCGACGACAACGAGGGGCTCCTCCGATGAGTGCGCTTGGTCTGGACCTCGGCCACGTTTGTCGGTGTCACCGGGCGCGCCCTGAGAGCCGCAGCGGCGGCCGCCGACGAGAGCGACGCGTTGGAGCCGCGACGCCCAAAGGCCGATGCAGCCGCCGTGGCAGCATTGGGGTTGGCCGTCTCCCTAGTCAGAGGCTGTCGTCGCGGCATGTGGTCAGCAAGGGTCCCCGAGTATGAATTCAACGGTGTCCTTTGTCACCGGATGGCGGCAGCAGCTGCGTCAAAAGCCGGCGCCCCGCGAGTGACGCCAAAGTTTGTCGTGCCGCCCTAAGCAGTACATACCTGGACCGGAGGCGCGTGCCTGCGGGAGCCAAACATCCTCTTCAGCGGCTGTGCATGGAGTTGCGTATGTATGGAGATGAAGAAAAGGCAAAGGGAGGCTAAGAGATGCGCTGGGAGGAGGGGGACTAAAATAGTAGTCGAGGCCGGACGAGGGTTGCAGGCCCAGGGCAGGCGGCTGTTTTGTGGTGACTGGTGACCCGACCGACTAATAATAAAACCAAGCAGCAACATGAATGACCTCGATGACGACGGTACATAGACTAGTTAGTTAACTACCGCACGGAACTCCCTAGGGGAGGCTAAGTCCTGGGCTCCGACCCGGCCCCCCCCACTGTGACCAGTGGCGCAGACCCAATGCGCTGGATATGCGCTGAACATGCGCTGGACATGCGCTGGACATGCGCGCTGAACATGCGCAACAGGGGGGGCGCCCGGCCATCGCCCACTGTTTCCACAGAACTCCCAACTCCCACCTTGCCCTTTACGGCAATCAAGACGACTGGTTGGGCAAATACCAAGTTACATGAAGCAATATAAAAAGAAGAAAAAGCAGCAACCAACCGGTCGACGCGACGAGTACCAAGTACCGTAGCGCCCTTTGCACAAGCAAGTATCGAATACCTACGTCACTTGCATCTGTCGTCTCGCGGAGTGCTCCGTCGGGCCCACACTCCGGCTTCTCCTCCACCTCCATATGTGGGCCCCCCCGGGCCTGGCTCGACGGCCGCTCCGTCTCTCGCGCCCGAGCCTTCCCGGCCCACCGACCCCTCGCTTGTGCCACCTGAGACGGCCCAAGTCTCGCAGCGTTGCTCCCGCCGGCAACCGACCGGGCCGCGGGTGCCTTCGCTTTCACACTACGCTTCCATCTTCTGCTTACCAGGCCATCATCCCACGCACAACACAATCGTCAATATCATCAACGTGGATTCATAGCCTGCATCGTCGGGCAAAGTCGCATATAAACTGCTCAGGCTGTCCTCGCCCACCCGCGCGCGAGCAATTGACTGACAACGCTGACATGACATAAAGCTGTTCCCACGCTCGCTTTGGGCCACCTCCCCACCGAGATGGCTTCAACGCCAGCACTCATACATGCCAACTCAAACAGGTACTGCTCACGGCTTGTGCATCGTCGTCCAAGGTCGGCTCCAGACATGCCATCTCTCTGGCCCATCGGTATTCCCAAATCATGACGTGCAACACGGTAACCTCGTGCCCAAAATGTCCAGAAGCTGGCAATGGTCGAGGCCAATCACCATGCGGAATATCAAGAAGGAGGGCACTCGATAGAGTGAGGAATCCAGCGCCGCACGACATCCACGTGCCATAAGCCCTGCCTGACCGACTATGTCTTGGCATGTGTGCAAATAGCTTCACCCCCGCCGACTCCCCCAGCTGGCCGACGTTCAGAGGGCAGCCTGGCGTATCTTTCTTCGTAGTCGCCCGCGTACTCCTCTTCCTCTGATTGCGTCGAATGGCTATGCCCATGGTGCATGGGCGGAGCGTCCTGGTCGCCAGCCACGTCTGCCGGGCCTTGGTCAGACATATGGTGCCCTCCATGACTGCCCTTGTTGACCGCCTTGCCGTTCTTCTTGCCCTTGCGGCTCTTCGCCTTTGCCTTTTCGAGCAGTCGCTTGCGGTCGGCTTCTTCCTGGCGGTGTCGGCGATCTTTGATTTCGTAGTCTCGGATGAGAGCGCGAGGCGGCTCGCCAAAGATCGACTCGTATTCACAGAATTCGCAGATCCACACATCTTCGCCCTTGGGGGGATGATGATAATAGTTCTCGGCGGCAATCTGCCGGCGGTGACGCGCTGCAATGTTCAACTCCTGCTCCAAACGACGACGTGATTTCCTGCGCGATTGGCTGGCCTTGGCGCCGGTCGCCTTGGAAGACACTTCGTGGTTGACGCCATTGGGTGCCTTGGATACGGCCCCTGCCACCTGGGGTGCCAAAGAGTGCTTGTTTGGGTGGCCTTTCAAAGTGTGAGCACTGTTATCAGCTATTCGGAGCGGTTGACTCACCAGGCCACTGCACTGTTCCAGCTACCTGAGAGTCACAGGTGAATGTGAACTGTGTTGACGCCGGCGTGGTTTTCGCCATGGCAGAATGTTGCTGCAGAAGACTAATGTTCTCCTGTCCCTGAGACGGCAGCTTTTCGGCGTTGGCTATGGCACTGGAGATGATGCCACTGCCTTCTTGTGCTGCGACAAAGGATATTCATGTCAGCATATTTCCATAGGCATTGACAATGACTGCTGAGTAAAAGCAAGATGTTGAGGAACAGAGAGGTGGTGGCGAGCTGGTGAAAAGAGATGACTGGATCACGGGAGCGGTTTATCGATGCGCGGGGAAGCCAATTTCACAGGAGCTCGAGCCGCATGTAGTCGGGGCAGAGCAACCGCAATCAGCCCGAAGGTGCTAGGGAGACAGAGAAGTGACCAAAGGAAAAGAGGTGTAGTGAGCAAAGAAAAAGCACCGACTTACGTGATGTCCAGGGAGACACACCAGCTTTCGATGACCGCGCCGGCCATACATTGTTGCCGTCTGGCAGAGCTTGCAGGGGACTTCTGCCGTTCCTTGCACGACCCAGTCGCCCTCTTCCGGGTCCAGAGAATCCCTGATTGATGGGTACATAGGGCCCCGACGCCACGTAGCCAGAGGTGCTGTGGTGCAATCTGTCATCGTGGGCATTGCTCGTAGGAGAATGTCCACCAGCCGAGATGGCGAGGGAGCTGGTTTCGCTGTTGAGCGAGTGCGCAGCGTTGATGGCCGAGTCACCTGCGGATGGGATTTTTCGCTTCTTCTTGTTGTTGGTGTTTTCAAAAGAGTCGTAGCCATCGACTGATGAGGTTGCCGAGGGCGGTGGCTGGGGGTCTGCCGGTCGAGGTTGATCTGGCCGAGATGGATTGCGAGCTGCTCGGCTGAAAATTTCCGGAGGGGATCGAGCGACGAGTGTGCTACGCACAATAGCTTCCTCCTCTTCCGCAACTTCAGGACCAACGCCGTTTCGCAAGGATCCAAAGGTTGCTCCCAGGTTCGATCGCCGATTGTGTTCAAGAGGACCGGCGGACTCGGTGGCGACGGAGTCCCCACCTTCCTTGACGGTATACGGCGGGTAGTAAAAGAGGGGGACGGTATCGTGGGTGGACGGAGGATATTTGATCGAATGGGCGACCTCTGGCGACAAGCGTTCTCGAAGTCGACGCTTCGGTAGTGGCCGGATAGGCCGGTCTGGAAATAGAGCCGACACGGTATCAGGTGACATTATATGACTGTTCTCTGCGGTATGCCGCCGAGTCCATATTGTCAGCAGATGAGTCTCCGTGATTCCGGGGAGCCTAGACATGGTCTGATGGAGAAGGAAGCGGAGAAGAAGCCTAGGCCATCCAAGAACTGCGGGTAGCTTGGCCATGACTGTACCGGCCCCAGCAGAGCAAGGCTGGGGAGGGGATGAGGGGGAATGGATGGCAGCGAAGAAAAGGGAAGAGATCTGAGGCTAGGCAGGGGCAGGTGTCGAGCGAAGCAGGAAGCCATGAGGAACAGCGTACCCATCTATCATCGTACATGCAAGGAGCAAGTTCAATCGGACAAGAGGAACGCGGGCCCCGGATAGCACGGGCGGCGAAGCTGGGAGCGACGTTTGTATGGGCTGGGATCGCGGTTCTCGAAGTGAAAGGGCTTGCAATTTCTGGTGCAGAGCAAACGGTCGACGTCGAGGGAAGGCAGCGGTAGCAAAAGGGCTCGTGTCCGTCAGGCTCCAACGGCAGCTTTTCTGGTCGAAAAGTTAGAAACCCCATCAGGACACGTCATTAGTAACGTGGTGTATTTCGGCGCCTGCTAGTATTTCGGGATAGACGAAGGCACGTTGGGGCCCGTTGGCAGGGCAAAGAGGCGCTCTCCTGCTCGCTGAAGCTGCAAGAGGGAGAATGGCGGACTGACCTGGCTGGTCCACCGGACACAAACGAGGGATGCCTCGGTTCAAGGCCAGAGGGGCGCCGAGTCGCTGCAAGGAGGGCGCCGGGAGCTACGGGCCAGTGAGCTCGTGGGTGATGAAGAAGCCAAAGCCAGGCTTGAGATGCAGCGACACAGACGATGGACCGGTCCGTCGTGGATTTGGGCGACACACTTTTGATTGCAGGTGACAGCATTCGAGAGCAACTGCTGTGTGGATCAGGAGGCAAGGGCCTCCGCGCAATTATGTAAGCAAGCGTCAACCCGGGGGCCCGGGGGCGGGACAGTGAGCCAAAGGTGCTCTTTTCTGTGCGCGGGCCTCATCGCGCTCGTCGACACCGACACAGCTCTGCGACGAGACCAGGAGCATGATGCCTACCAACACTTCGAGCAATCGTTGTCCAAGGGAGAGGCGACGAACCGACATACTCTGTCCAGGCATAAACGACGAGATGCGGTAACGTGCCTGTTAGTAATCTGACTGTCTGTATCTGTATTTGCAGCTTGACAACTGGTGCAGTTTCTTATCCGAAGCTTAGCCTGTCCCGCTCCGCGCCGCGCCGCCCGTGTGCAGCGCACCCTGCCATGAAACTCTTTCGTGCGATCATTATACATACCTACGCATACAGTTTGTGAGTCTTTTTTTCTTTTCAGTCGGAGACCTCTCACAGTGCAGCAGGTTTTCCGTTGTCAGAAGTCGCAGGTTACCAGAGCCGGGTCACTTCTTACGTAAGGCAGGGAGAAGTTCAGGCACCGCACAGGGCATAACCAACCCCTCACCCCCACCGAAAAGCACTGCAGTGCGGTCGGCAGGTAACTAAGGAGGTACCTAGGTAGGTACCTTCGCACGCCGTGCCGCTCAGCAGCTGCAGTGGGTTAATTACGGCGCAAAGAACTTGGGTTAGCACACTCACGGAACTATCCCGCGCTCCGGCACAGAGCACCGGCCAGCCCTCTCCTCCTCCTCCTCCTCCTCCTCCACCTCTCGCCCAGCCAAGCTGATCGATTCCGCCTCTGCCCGTTTCTTTGCCGGCCTTCCACCGGCCTTCCAGGCTCGAGCGCGTCCAGCATCGCCTGCTTCGGTTTACTCAGTCATGATTTGTCGCCGCCAATCTATTCGGCTTGGTCCTTCATCGTCTCCCGCGTCTGTCTGATCCGGTCGCAATCGCTGCCTCCAGCTCTTGACTGGTCGCCAGCCTCGGCGACGCCTCAGCCGTGGCCAAATCTACCCGTTCTCGCACCCCCCCAGCTTTCACTCAGGCTAGCTGCGAGTCGTGGAGCCTCGAAGACAAACCTCGTCACCGTGCCTCGACGCGCCGTCCGTCTGTGCCCCCTCCCTCCCAACAGCACATCTCTTCCGACAATCTTCAATGGCACCGCCTTCGCCACGGCGGTCCTCAAGAGCTCGCATAATCAATCCCCAGTCTAAGCAATCCTCCGTCTCTTCGAGCACCTCCGGCCGCCTTGAGCGCAACACCAGGTCTCTGAACAAACCTTCGCCGGGCAAGTCGACGCCCAGCGCCTCGCTTTCTTCAGAGCCCCTCGACGAGCCCGACGTTACCCTCCTCGGCCGAAGGCGTAAGCGCGGTCCCGAAGACGAACAAGATAAAGGCGCCGACGCAGGCAATCTGGTCATGGCCAATGGGAGCGACGACCTCCAGGATGAGGAGGACGAAGCGGTCCGATGCATTTGTGGCTCGGAAGACTACCCTGGCCGCCCAGCGGTCGAGGGTCCCGACGCCGACTTTTTCGCCGGCATTGAGCTCACTGAAGATGTTACGGGCTTCTTCGTACAGTGCGATGTCTGCAAAGTCTGGCAACACGGCGCCTGCGTGGGCATTTTCAGTGCCGAAAGTTCTCCCGACGAGTACTTTTGTGAGCAGTGTCGCAAAGACCTTCACAAGATACACACAGCCAGCAACGGGTACGCGACTCTTTCCATATCCTGAACTTGGCTTTGAGTTTGCCCATTTCCTCCAAGGCTTTCAATTTGGTCCTCGATCTTCTTGGACCACTTCTCCTTTCCACACTTGTCATGCCCCTGTCATGGATCTTTTTTTGTCTCTGACAGCTTCTTGGTCTACAGGCAAAAGTATTCGAAATATGTCCCTCTCCATCGCCCTTCGCGAGCCACCTCTCAGGCAACGTCGATTACCAAGGATGGCGCTCGATCGCCGAAGAACGGGGCTTCCAAATCATCCCGCCCCAATTCTGCTTCCCAAGCGGCAAAACGACGGTCTACAATGAACAGCCGTGACGCGGCCTACGACGACGAGCTGCTGCGGCGCGTCATGGAGGCGAGCAAGGAAGATGCCGCCCATGATTTGACAGACAACCCAGCAGCAAGGCGTGCCAAACGAGGCCGCAGCGGCAGCGAGGAGTGAGTTGCCCTCGGGGGCCAGCGATTGACCACTGCGCTAACCCGTCGTAGCAACAGCATGAATGTCAAAAGACAGCGCACTGGCTCTCGATCCGTCTCCCCACCGGTGGAGCCCGCCGACGCGAACGGGGTCGATGGCTCGGACGACGAGCCGGGCACTCGAAACGGAGCGAAGAAGCCCAAGAACAATAGAATCCAGCGCGAAAAGACGGAGAAGGAAGAAAAGGAGCGTCTGAGGCAAGAGGCAGCAAGCAAACGCAAAGGACGGGCCGAACGCCGACGAGCAGAAGGTACGGGCTGCAGAATCAAAGCTTTGAGACTCCCTGACTAACGGGTGCATAGATTCAGATCTTTCGGAAGAAATGCCCCCGGCTACCACAAAAGCGACCCAAATTAAGAGTGTCGAGCCGCCCAACGCAGAGGAGTCCCCCGCGACGGCACAGCCGCCGGGAACTCCGCCAACAAGTCATCCAACGGCTACAAATTCGCACAAGAGAGGAGCAAGAAGCAACCACAAGAAGGGCAAAGGCAAGAACCAGTACACGAAGGACCGCGACGCAGACAAGGAAGAGTCGCCGGCTCGGTCCACGTCGCGAGACACACAGAAGAACGCGGAAGAGACGACGGGCAGCACGAAGACGTCGGCCAACGACCACAAACATGGATCCAAGAGCAAGCAGGCAATGGCAAGCAAGATGAGCATGCTAGACATGAAGCGCCGGGTGGCTGCAATCATGGAGTTCATCTCTCGGACCCAGGTGGACCTGGCTGCCGAAAACGGAGGTCCTGCCGACAGCGAGGACTCACCACCCCAGGTGGAAACGGCTCCGACGAACGGCGAGACGACGGCCGCAGGCCCGCCGGGAGGAGCTGTGAACGGCAACGGGACGGCTGGATCTGACGAGAAAGATTTCAAGGAGCTGAACTGCATCGAGATGATGGACGTGCTGACGCGCGACATGGTCAAGTGGCAGAACCAGTATGCGTGCTAACCGGGCCTGCTCCCGAAACGCACAGCTGATCATTGCGGAGAAGACCGGGGAGGCACGCTCTTCATCTCGACTTGGTTTGTTTGTTGCGCGCGTGGGCTTTGTGTGTATGATATCGGCACAACGCGGTGGCAGTGTCGCGGCGTTTTGGATGGCATTGGGGCATCAACGGCGTCTGGGTAGTTGGGCAGAAGGAGCTTTGTCCCCCCAGTATGAATCGCGAGGTTTCGGGTCTAACACGGGTCGACTGCCTTTTAAATATACCCTACATGTCAAGCAAGATGTTCTAATGACGCTTCCGCGACCAGCAGCGCAATGCCTGGTGGCAGAGGAGGGGGGTGACAGCAAGGATAGGCAGCGAGACGGTTCAGGCGCCCGATCTTTTCCTCTTGCGCTCCTCCTTTTGCATCTTCTTGGCCTGGTTGACGCTGAGGTGCGGCTCCTGGACCAGCAGCTGGTGGGCGCGCACGTCGTCGTCTGCCAGGTCGTCGAGGACGTACCTGCCAAGCTTGCCGTCGCGCCACTGGGACAGGACGCGGGCGGCGGCCTCGTGCAGGTTTGGCAGGCCGCCGGCCTTGAGCTTGCCGTCGCGACGGGCGACAGCGGCGAGGAAGTCGTCGACGTCGTTTGTGGGCGCGCAGTAGCGCGCGTAGAGCGACGGGTCCCAGAGGTTGAGGCGGTAGAGCAGGTAGTCGGCGAGGATGTCGTCGGGGATGAGGCCCTTTTTGATGCCGTGGGCGAGGGCGACCTTGACCATGGCCTCGCCGTCGTCGACGTAGGGCTGGAAGATGCCGGGCGTGTCGAGGACGTAGACGCCGCCCGCGACGCCGCCCTTGTCCTCGGGCTCGACGACGCGCACCGACGTGCCGACCTTGCGCGTCACGCCGGCCTGGTCGCCCGTCTTGGCCGCCTTTGCCCTTTTCCTGCCCACGGTGCCGGCGCTGCGGAGGGCATTGAGCAGGGTGCTCTTGCCGACGTTTGGCATGCCGACGACGAGGGCGCGCATGCCCGTCAGCGAGTCCTGCAGCTCGGCGGCGCGGCGCAGCCGCTGCAGCAGCGCGTCGGTGGTGGCGGGCCGGTTCTTGTCCCAGAAGACGGCGCGGTCGCCGTAGAGGCGGCGCAGGGCGTGGCGGGCGGGCGGGTTGCTGTCGGAGCCGAGGTCCGACTTTGTGTAGACGACGAGGCGGTCGCGGCCCTCGACGAGGCGCTCGAGCATGGGGTTGTGCGTCGAGAGCGGCAGGCGGAAGTCGCGGCACTCGAGGACGAGGGAGATGGTGGACAGCAGGCCCTTGATCTTGCTCGTGCCGGCGGCATGGTGGCCGGAAAAGTACGTCTTTGGGATGGACGAGGGGATGCCGAACGAGGGGCGCGGGACAAAGGCGGTCATGGCTGTCACGTCGGGGGGGAGGTCGCTGCCAGCATCGTATTGGACCCTGGCTGTTTCTCGTCTGTGAGGCCACGCGCGGCGGGCCAGAGATTCGAGGTTGCCTCTGCGAACAGAGCTTGAAGCTTTAGGAAGATTGCATCTGTCGCACGTGCTGATAAGATAACAATACTCAAGCGTCGCCGTCGGTCCAGGCACATGACGTCACGTCACTGCCGGTGGAGGGGCAGATGATTGGCCGGTCGTGTCTCGGGCCAACGCCGCCGAGATTCCATTCGGGGGCGGTGAAGACGAACCATCTCTTTGCCGAGGGAGCTATCGTGGGCGGCGGCTCATGTGCGCCAATGGCAGCTTGTCATGGGGCCGAGTGCGCAGAGTATCAACAGTAGTTGGCCCTAACAAATAAGCACGGCGCCGATGCGACGGCCGAGGACGGAGCCACTCCTGCTCACCCCGAGGGGGTCCGCGCCGTCGCCCAAGTCCCGTTGCTGGATTTCTCTTACTATTTCCACCTGCGCCGCTTTGACCTGACCAGGAGACCGCCGTGTTTCACGCTGCCTCGACAACAGCGACAAAGCCGGGCCCCGTCCGCCGGGGTTCCGCTCTCCTCCCATGGCCCTCCCACCACCGGCCTCCGGTGCCGACGGCCCGGACGGGCACTCACCCCGGGATCCCCGCGACTCGGCCGCATCCGTCACCGGCCGATCCGTCGCCCCAGCAGCCACAGCCACGGCCCGCAGCGACAAGGCCCCGCGCCGAGGGGAGCAGCGGCAGCGGCACCCATCCGCAAGCCCGCCGCCCCGCAGCGTCCTCGGCCCCGGCGGCGGAAGCGGGCCGCAGCGACGCGGCGGCAAGCTCCGGCCGTTTCGGCTGCTGCGGGGCGACGCGGCCGGCCTGCGCGCCCGCTGGGCCTCGGACTGGGCCGTCTTCAACCAGCAGGTCGTGGCCAGCGCCGTCTACATCTTCTTCACCAACATCCTGCCCGGCATCACTTTTGCCAGCGACTTGTACGTGCTGACGGGCAAGTCGTGGGGCACCATTGAGGTTGTCTTGAGCACCGGGCTCTGCGGCCTTGTCTTTGCCCTGTAAGTGTCCTCCCTCCTGGCCACTGTCCATCTTCTTCTTCCTCTTCTTCTTCTTCTTCTTCTTGTTATTGACCATGTGTCGCCAGCTTCTCGGCCCAGCCCCTCACCATCCTCGGCGTCACGGGCCCCTTTTCCGTGCTGGCCGAGAACCTGTACAAGCTGTGCGAGACTCACTTCCAGGTAACATGCCTCCTCCCCTCATGTCTTCCCCGTCAATCATCGTCTCACAAAATCTCAGGTCGAGTTCCTGCCCGTCATGGCCTGGGCCCTCATCCACGCCGGTTGGATGCACATCGCCCTCGCCGTCTTCAACGCCCACGACTGGACCATGCAATATGTCACCCACTTCAGCGCAGACATCTTCTCCCTGCTCAACAGCGTCATCTACTTCCACAAGGCCGCCCTCGAGCTGCAGCGCACCCACGCCCACGTCTCCCTCGCCGCCTTTCTCTACGCCGTCGTCGGCGCCGCCGGCACCTGTCTGCTCGCCATCCTGCTCTCCACGGCAAAGTCGTGGAAGCCCCTCTTCCACCGCTGTGTCCGCCTCGGCCTGGCAGAGTACGCCGCCGCAATCTCCATCATTGTCTGGATCGCCATCCCCCACGTCGGGGAGCTCGCCCAGCTCGACCATGAGCGCCTGCAGGTCCAGACGGCCTTTCGGCCCTCGAGCCCGGACCGCTCCGCCTTCTTCGTCCGCTTCTGGACGCTGTCCGTCGGCTGGATCTTCCTCTCCATCATCCCCGGGGCCATCATCACCGTCCTCTTCTTCTTTGACCACGAAATCAGCAGCATCATCTGCACCGTCCGGCGCTACGGCGTGCGCAAGCCCGGCGGCTTCGCCTGGGACGTTGTCCTCTTGGGCCTCACCACCATCCTGTGCGGCATCCTCGGCATCCCCCCGGCCAACGGACTCCTCCCTCAGGCGCCGCTGCACTCAGAGTCGCTGCTCTACTACGCCATGGAGCGGCCCGCCGACGACGACGGGCCCCCCCCGGAGCCCACGCCCCGGACCTACGAGCAGAGGTACTCGCACCTGATGCAGGCCTCGCTCATCCTCATATTCGTCTCCCCGCCGCTGCAGCGGCTCCTTGGCCTGGCGCAGACGTCGGTCCTGGCCGGCCTCTTCCTCTTCATGGGCTACCAATCGCTGTCCGTCAACCCCATCCTCGGCCGCGTCGCCCGCCTCGTGACGCCGCGCTCGGAACTCGAGGAGCTGCCCAGCGGCGTGACGTGGCTCGGCGTGCACGCCTTCACCATGACGCAGATTGTCCTGACGGGTGTCGTCTTCGCCACCACCCTGACCGTTGCGGCGCCGGCCTTTCCCCTCGTAATCATCGCCCTCGTCCCCGTGCGACTGACGCTCATGAACCGCATCTGGTCCCGGGACACGCTGCGCGTCGTCGACGGCTGGGCATGTCGTCCGGGGAAGCCCGAGGATCAGGAGGCTCCGCCGGAAATGCAGCCCGCGGCGACGGACGAGGAAAAGGGGGAATAGGTTCCACGTGGCTTCTTGAAAATGCTCCACGCGAAGAGGAGCCTGTACCGGTACATACATGTTACATGCCCAGGGCGGCCCGTCCCGCATCCTCCGCCTGGCAAACTAGACGTATCATTGATAATCATGCCATGCCAACGCCTTTTTACTACCTCGAGCCTGTGTTAGTTAGCTGCCAATGTTTCTCCCGGCGGCGTCCAATCGTCCAGCATGGCCTCGATTGCATCCACGCTGGTCGAATTGAACCCAGCAGCCTCCACCAAAGCCCGAGCAATCGACATCACGTCTTCGCGCGTCCTGCCACGGCCGTGCTTCCCACCGCCAAATAGTTTCCCGCCGCCGAAGAGCTTCCCGAAACCGCCCTGCTTGCCGCCACCCATTTGCTTCCCACCACCGCCGCCCTCGTGCTTCCCGAAACCGCTCGGCTTCCCTATCGAAAACAGCGGCCCGAGAATGTCCTGCCGACAAAGGATTAGCTCGTGCTTGGGAGTGGATGCCTGACTGAAAGAGAGCGAGATGCTTACCCCGGGCGTGCCAAGAATCACTCCACCTGCGTGCTTGATCAAGTGAGGGTCCGAGGCCAAGGATACGACACCCCAGGCCAGCGATGTAACTATATTGACACCCAGCGGTCGCGGCTTCCAGCCAAGGTGGGTGGGCATGCGCTCTTCCTCGAAGAAGCTGCGCACATAGGACAGCGGCGCGCTGCCAAGCGGGCCCAGCGCTGACATGACCAGCCCGACCTCAATGGCCCCAAAGGCAGCGGCTCGAGGTCCATATACCGTCCTGGGGTTGCGCTTCAGCGCGTCCTCTATCCGCGCGCTCTTGGCTCTTCCCATGGAACTCGGCGTGACTTTCGAGCCCTTGCTCTTCTTGAGCTCGTTCAATACGATTTTCCAGAGCTTGGGGTCGAAGACGTTGTTGTTTCCGATGGCGGCGTCCTCGCGCGTGAAGCTGCAGTCGTGCTCGATGAGGAAGAGATGGTTCCGCAGATCCTCCAAGTCGAAGCCCAACTTGAAGATGTTATGCGACGAAGCGTATCCGATGGCGCCCACAACCGCACTGATGCCCGGGTCTACACCCAGGCCCACAAAGGCGCCGATGATGAGCTGGACAATGTTGACATTGCGCCCGTCGTGAGGGAGAAAGCCGTGGTTTGCAAGAGTGTTGAGCCCGGGACAAGGACTTCGGGCTGCACCGGGGGGGGGGGAATTCGGCTCAGAATCAAATCTCCATCTCTACCACCAGGCTTCATAGACGGGGTGCTTACAGTCGTTAGGGCCAGGAGCCTTGTACTGTTTGAATCTCTTGTCTTTGAAATTAAACTGGGGTGTCTTCCGGGCAAGCTCGTCAGCGCTTGCCAGGGAAATGAAGAGGAGCAGAGCCCAAGCCTGGAACTTCATGCTGCTGGCTGTTCAGATTTACACGGACGCAAATGGGACCCATCACAGCCCTGGTGCTGCGCAGCCTGCGCTGTTCTTTATACCTCGGGATGTATTCATCTCACCCCTATATCCGCATGGCTGGAATCAGGTCGCCCGCCACGAGCCTTGGCCAGGCATGTCTCGGCTTAGCGTCGTGATGCGACAGGTTGCTGGCGGCGGTGGTGAGAATGACGGTTTGACGAAGGGGCTGTTGGAATCCGACCAGGACAGACACTGACATTCCGCTCGGCTTGGTTCCTAATTCGACCTTCTTTCCTTGTTCTGCCCTATGCCTCGACCCGCCCACGAGGCGCCCAGGAATCCGACGAGTGTTAGCATGTTCCATCTTCTTTGCAGCTGATGAGCGTCGCCATATCAGATATGCGAGATAGCCACTCAAGTATGAAGCCTCCAGGAATGAGACTGGGGGCGCCGTGCAAGGCCGGCCATGTGGTCGTGGCATGCCCCGGGCACATCCACATCGTCTTCGCCTGCCTCATTCTCTTCTTCTCCTCCTGGCTTGGCGTAGTGGACAAGACGGCGGCTGGTCTAGACAAGTTAGAGCATCATGGCAACAAGGCTGAAGATGCCAGGCCTCGCGTCCACCCACCAGCTGCGACGTCGCCCCCCGGGGCCCGCCACGTCGTTCCTGTTGACAAGATGAATTGCGCGCTCCTCCCTACATTGATTCTTCCTTCTACCTCTACTCAAGACAAAAATCCCAGTGCCACCCACATGTTCCGTCTTGCTTGGTTCGCATTGCCGACCCATCAGCCGGCCGCTCGTCACGCAGCTTGCTCTCCACAGGATGGCATAAAAAACGCATCGAGATGACTGTCTGAGCTTGACACAAAAGCTTCCCCCCCCCCTCCAGCCTTTTCTTCCCCATTTCCTCCTCCCAAACAAGACACGACGCAGCCATTGTAGTTGGCGCGAGCGTGAATGCACTCCAAATATTCGAAAATTAAAAATGCGGCAAGTTTCAAAACTCGACCACCTGGAAGAGCAGAACAGCGGCGGTTCAGGTCGATGTGCTCTCGAAAGAGCTGGGTATCTTGGTCTGCCACTCTTGAGATTGTTGGTCGCTCGCCGCGTCGATGCAGTGCTCCGCCCCGTTCCGCATCCCAGATATGCATCCCAAGCCTTGCAGCGTTCCCCGTCGATTCCACGGAAGTAGCCGCCAGGGTTCTTCCTATCAAACATACGAAGATGGCCTCGGATGAATCGTTGCTCGCCTATGTGCGAAGAGAGATGTTGAACAGCGTCGTAGATGAAACAAGCAACTGTACAAAGGGCTTGTGCAAATCCGTCTGCACCTTGCACGGCTCCGTTATTTGATGTTCTTGAACAAATCGCTGCCCAGGCTTCCTTCGTCGCTCTCCAGGTCGGCCAGCTCTGGTATCATGGGGGGCGGTGGGCCAGCGGGCTTCTGGGACGGTTCGTAAGGTCTCTGGGGCGGTTCAAACGACTTCTTTGGCGGCGCTGCGACGGGTGCAGGATCCTCGAAGTAGAAGCTGGATCGCTTGGAGTCTGCGCCTCGAAGCCGCCTGAACCAGCCGCTGCTTCGCTTGGACCATTTGTCGTCGGCGACGCTCGTCGCGCCTCGGCTGTCGGGACGGCCACCGTTGACGGAGGCGCCTCCAATCGACGTCACCCTGGCGTCTGTATAAGTGGCACTCAGCATATTCCTACTAAACAGCCGGCGGAGGCTGCCCTGGCGGCCTGAGCCAGCGGGGCTCAGGGGGACGTCGTCGTCGACGGATCGTTTGGATGCAGCTGTATTACCATTTGGGGGCGTGGAGATGGCCTCGTCGTCGTCCTGTCCATTGGCGGCGTCGACGGCCTCCTTTTTGTCAGCGGGCGGAGTCTGCGGGGGCGTGGGCACCTTTTGGACAGGGGACGGAGGCGGAGGAATGTTGGTGCCATCGGTGATGCGGCCAAAGTTGAGGTCGAGGGCGGGCAGCTCGAACCGTGAAGGATTCATGGCCGTCGATGTTCCATTGCTGAGGCGAGAGGGCATGATGGGCGTCGGTCCCCAGAGGGTTGGTGGCGGCGATGAAGGGAGCGGAGGAGACTGCAAGCTTCGACGAAAAGGGATATTGGGGAGAAGAAGTCGGAGCCAGGCAACCGAGATGGGAACAGAGCAAGGCGGGCTTTGCGTTGCTGCCAACACTGGCAAAGGTACACAGTGAATTCGGAGGACGGGACGAGGGGAGCGAAGGCAGCCGGTGAATTATGGATGCAGCCTGTACTGTGCGTGTTTGACGGTCTTGGGAAAGCTCCCCACAGGAATAGGATGAAGAGGCGAAGAGCAATCTCTGGGAGATGCACTGGTAATGTCCGTACTCGGTGGGCACAGCAAAGGGTACCGAAAATGGACTGGCACTGTGGATTCGTTCGAAAGGCTCCTTGTGGCGTGCACGGTAAGCTTCGCAGCACGGGGTCGTGAGGCTTGGTGATGAACCGCGGCGGCTGCAACTAGGGAAATGAAGCAGAAGAGGCGATGGCCATTTGCTGAGGGACGCGACTGCGAAGAGGAGGAGATCAGGGAAAAGAGAGAGAGGGAGAGCGACCGAGATGGTCCACGGAGCAAAGTCGAGGAAGGAGGAGCCGCGTGCATACATAAATGTAAGGTACCTCGTTGGCTCCCTGCTGTGCTAGATGTGTGTACTGTAGTAGCGGCGGGCTGCTGCAGGCGGTTGTACACACATGCAGATACACGTATTGGGCAAGCTCGGTCCGGTCTGGCCTGGCTGGGGCGACGAGGTACAAGTACTGCACAGTTCAAGGGACTTGTACTGTACCGTGCCCGTACTGTATCTACATATGCACTAGCAGGATGGGCGGCCAAGGGCACACCGACTCTGGCCTGCAGTGCGTCTTCGCCTCCAGTTCACGAGGGCGGAACGAATTCCAAGAGGCTGGCTGGCGACTGGTGAGCCAGTGTCAATAGGTACCGCCCACTACGCACTGTCCAGGCATGTACCTTGTCTTAAATGATCAGACGCATCATCTGCCACTCGTTGCTGTTCTTGCCTGACAGCTCGGTCCCCTTTTTTGTGGTACCGTAGCACCAAGGCCAAGGCACCGACAAGGAGGGATTCTTCATGGCGCACCTCTTGTCGGACATGGCAACAGGCAGCACCACCAAGGGGAAGATGGCCTTTCGACATGTGCAAGCCTCCCTTCAAGGTTGGCGCGGGCAGATCCCGGCACTAGCGGCACCGCCCGAGGGCAACAAACTTCGAGGCCCTGGGAGGGAACAACGACGGAGTTAAGCAGGGGCTTTCGAGGGCTTCGGTTGTCTTGTGGATGAGATTGACAGCCCGGGTCCCCCTTTCCCCGGACACCAATGCCTTCGTACAGTACATGACTACAGAACAAAGAGCCCGATCAGGATAAGCATCTTGGGAACCTACCTACCTAGGTAGGTAGGTAGGTCGGTAGGTACCTAGGTAATGCATCTTATCTATCAAGTTACCTACTGAGTACCGAAAGGGAAGGTACCTCATGCACCTTTCATATGACCACATACCACGCTCAACTGTCCAAGCAAAGGCACATGCTCACTGTACAGTGCGTTTGTGCAGTACAGAGTACCCGTTCTATAACCGTTGTCTATCCCACGAGTGTGCTGCCTAGCACGTACTGTGCCTGCGCAGCCCCCGCGGACTGTACCGCCATCCTCTGCGAGCACACCAATAATCTTGACAGCAAAACCACCCACCTGTCGCACATCAACAGCTAATCGTGCATTGACCCTCTTCATCTTTTCTTTTCCCTTGGCCCTGTTTCTTTGCCCTCGGCCGCATCTGCCAAGCTTCTCTCTGACGGCCATTGGCGAGAGGACAGGACTCAGACATGGCGAGACAGCCAAAGGATGCCGGCTACGTGACACTCACTAGTCGACCACGACCAACTCTGCCCTCGGCACTGCCTAATCAAGGGTCCAAGGACTCGAGACTGAAAGACTGATGAGTTCCTGTTCGATTGCGGCGCACACCATGCTATGCTACTATGCTACCATGCAAGGCACGTCCAAGGTCGCTGCATGCAGCCTTTTTTCGGTCCGTCGCCGCGATTGGACACCGCCACGGCCACATGACCAGGCCTCGCTTGTACAACGCAGAGGCGCCTAGGTACGCTGCCTAGGTACGCTATACTGTACATTGCTGGTCTTGAAGGCTGCCGTCCAAAGGACTGTCTCGCACCGCCTCCCTTGCACCTCTCCCTCCTTTGCGCCTGGACTTGTCGTACTGTGCACCGAGGCACAGGCGAGAGAGGTGTTTCTTCACTTTGGTCCGCTTCTTCCATGGTGACGATTGCCCACGACGGATGATGGGTATTGGATTGTTCGAGAGGAAACCCAATGGGATTTCTAATTACACTCCGTCACGTATTTGCCACGCCCCGGGGACCCTAGGTCTGCACCTCAACAAGTGCACACAATCCACACGCACCAAGCCTCAGGCACTGTGTTTGGGGGGGCCAAGAAATCTCCGCCCTCGCACTATCGTTGACCCGTAAGCCGACACGCCGAGCCAAAACGTCATCGACATCTACCTCGGCTGAAAAGGACACCGGCAGCGCGGCTTTTGACAGCCTCAAAACACAAAGCTGCTTGTAGCATGGACACTTCTCATTGCCTCAGGCCGCGGCTGCAGCTGCTCGCCCGGGCGCTTGCCCGTCCGTCTGCCAGGCTACGCGGCGGCGGCAGGCTTTCCAAGACGACTGTCCGGCCCAAGTCCGGGCCCTACGGCTACACGCAAGCCAAGGCGCTCGTCTACTCGAAATGCGGCGAGCCGTCCGAGGCGCTGAGGTAGAGTCTCCGCCCCGACTGCGTTGCCAATCAGGTCTGAAATCTAATGGCTGGCAATTTGATCTTGGCAGCCTCCATACGCACTCCATCTCTCCCTCGATACCCTCGTCCTCGGTCCTCGTCCGCACCCTCGCTGCCCCCATCAACCCGGCAGACATCAACACCATACAGGGTACCTACGGCGCCAAGCAGCCCTTTACCTCCCTCATCGGCACCTCTGAACCCTCGGCCGTGCCCGGGAACGAGGGCGTCTTCGAGGTCGTCTCAGTCGGCAGTCCGTCCTCGGGGCTTCGCAGGGGCGACTGGGTTATCCCCGCCGCCTCACAGGTCGGCACCTGGAGAACACACGCCGTTTTCGGCGCCGACGAGCTGCTCAAGATCAACAAGGAGGCCCTGACGCCCACGCAGGTCGCCCTCATCAGCGTCAACCCGTGCACGGCCTATCGCATCCTAAGGTCCTACGGCCCGAGCGCCGGTGTCAAGGCTGGGCTTGGCATGCGGCCGCTCGACGTCGGCACCGGCAAGTGGTTCATCCAAAATGGGGCAAATTCGGGTGTCGGGCGCGCAGCCATTCAGTTCGGCAAGCTATGGGGCCTGAGGAGCATCAACGTCATCCGCGACCGGGACACAGCCGAGGCCACGAGCGCGCTCAAGCAAGAGCTCGTCCGTCTAGGCGCCGACGTGGTGGTGACGGAATCCCAGTTCATGTCCCGCGAGTGGAAAGACCAGCTCTCCGAAATCACCCGCGGGGGCCGCGAGCACCTCGGCCTCGGGCTCAACTGCGTTGGCGGCAAGTCGGCCACGTCGCTGGCCCGCTCCCTCGGCGACGGCGCCACCATGGTGTCGTACGGCGGCATGGCCAAACAGCCTGTTGCGCTACCCGTGGGGCTCCTCATCTTCAAGGACATCCGCTTCGTCGGCTTCTGGCTGTCGCGTTGGAACCAGCAGGACCCGACGGGGCGCAAGCACATGATTGAGGACATCCTCGCCCTCATCCGCGCGGGCCAATTCCGCGACGTGCCCGTAGACGAGGTCCGCTGGGACTGGGACACTGACGAGGCCACTCTGCGGAACGCCGCGCAAAACGGCCTGCAGGGGTTCAGGAAAGGCAAGGGGGTATTTGTCTTTGGAGACACATGAGCAGCTGAAGCAAACCAGCAAACAAGCAAAAATAGAGAAACTGATGAGAGAGCATCATCTCTCGGGCATCAAACTACGCATTCTCGCCCGCGCCATGGCCAACCAATTCCTGCCCGGCACGAGTCGTGGGACCGGGACTGCCGGCGCTCTAGGTTTTCCCAGGCCCGGCAGGTCGTCGCCCAGCAGACGGTCCTGCGGGCTGTGCTCATGCTGAGCTGGTTCTTAGTCTCTACCATGACGATGGCTCATCAACCGGGTGATGCAACTGCTGTCGGGCTCCGTCTTGACACTCGCCTATTCTCCTCCCCTCGCTCCCTGCCACGCTCCATACCCCGGATGATCCATCGTCGCTCTCCGAATACGATGAAACAACACAAGACAAGTCCAAAGACTGTAAAAGGCCGGTGACCTGACCCGCTCCACCTATGCGCACGAGCTCGCCTTCGTCTTCTTAGGTGTCATGACCGCCGCCAACCACGCAGTTTCTTCCGCCTCTCACTCGGCGCGATCCTCGTCGGGCAGCCGAAATGCAATCTCGACGCGTCCTCCGTCATCTTCGCCCTCGCTGGATTTCGCCCCGACGATGCGCCCGGCACGGACCTCAACATGCAGGACGGCCGTCTGGTTCCAGACGTCGCCCGCTCCGTAGACGATGGTGAGAAATGTGGAGACTAAGCGACGAGCACCAGGATGGGGAGCGGCGGGTCGGCTTGTCAAAGCAGCCCGGGAGACATGTTGCCCGAAGGTTCCCATAGTCGAGCTCCTCTAGCTCCCTGATGACGAGGTAGTACGTCTTGTACTGCTTTGCCCCTCGGAATGTGTACTCATCGCTAGGTCCTGCGTTGCTGCAAGCCAAGCATTTGTGGGTACAATCCTGCTCAGGGTCTCCTAGAGATAGATACAGCTTAAGTTAAGCCCGCGCATGACCCGACACAGCAAGGAACATATGCCAATACCAGGTTGTGTGACCAGCGACGATTTGTCGGTCAACAAGTTCGCCAGTCGTAGGACGTCAACCATAGCTGCCCATCAACCCATCCAGACGTATTGAAACAGACTCGCGCGGAAGGGGAAAACTTGTCTGAAGGCGCGTTTTGCTTGGCGTCTCTCGCGTCCATTGGAAGATGAGCCGCGGTGTCGAAGCTGCAAGATTCTGGGTATTGGAAGGGCATTTTGGAGGTCCGGGTGTTTTTTGAGCAGCAAAAAGGGACGGTGGGAAACATGTAAAGGTACGTCGCCAGGATGAAGGTGTCGACATATTTATCTCCCAGTATAAAAGCAGTGGCAGCGCCAACCCAGTTGATGGGAAGTCAACGACGATCTTTACAACTACGGAGAAGCAAGAGACTGAAGCCTTCCCGCAACAAGACGCCTAAAGTTAACCTCGACTCTTCGACACCTGACGCCTTTGGTTTCGAATCTTGTATCCAGATGGATAGAGTGTGAGGTTGCAAGACAGGATGCCTGGGTGACGAGACTGGGTCCTGGATCCGGTTGGAGTGAAGAGTATAAACAACAGCTGATCTGCCACGCATGGAGGCCGTTGCGCACGGCGGCGGTAGACATCTTGACCAAGCTTCAGAGCCTTTTGTTGTCAGTCAATATTCTTTTAATAAGCTGGGGTTAATCCAGGTGGGCCGTGTAAGCCTCAAATGGGACTCACGAAAATTTAGCAACTCTGGTCGTCGTGTAGGCAGCTCAAGGGCAAGGAGGCTTGCACGTCAACTGTGGTGGCGGGCGGGCGGGCGAAAAGGTGGAGCTTCGGCAGAAAGGTCGTCGTCACAAGCTTCATGTCCCTGTCCGCGCCTGCAGATGGCCACGGCTTCATTGTCGAGGATTCGCAAACTCCTCTGCCTCCTCACTTCTTGCGTCACGCCCTCAAAGCTTGCGCCCATTCGTGCAGCTTATCGATCACCACCGGAGCAAACGCAGTCAGCGTCCCCTCAATGACGTTGCCAAAGTACACAATCGCCTCCTCCTCGGTGAGCTCGAGGTGAAACCTTTCTCGGACTTTCATGACTGCCTTGTCAGGCTCCAGACGAATGTCGGGGATGTTGGCATGGACCATGAGGCTGAAGAGGTTGAGGATCAGATTGGATGACTTGCGCAGCGCCGTGTATGCGAGGAAGCAGTACTGTTTGAATTTCTGGTAGTGCTCTGAGTTGACGCCACCCATGCACTCGACCATCTCTTTGGAGAGCTTCATAAGCGGCGCAAATGGCTTGGGGTCGCGGCCGAGGATAAAGCCAAAGTCGGCGTGGAAGAAGTGGCCGTCGGGAGCCAGGAGGAGGTTGTCCAAGTGTCGGTCGCCGACGCCGAGAATGTAAGTGATGACGCAGTAGCCCGCACATGATCTGACGTACGTGTCCAGAGTCTCCTGGCGAACCCCGAGTGGCTGTCGGTCGTCGGGGTTGTGGTGGCGGAGGTACGCCAGCGCCGGGTTGGCCTTGAACTTGCCAACAATGCTCGACAAGCTTTGCGACTGAACAAACTGAGATGCACCCGCCGTTGTGCTCGTCGCCAAGATCTTGTACGGCGACAGCTTCAAGTCCAGGTTCTCCTTTTGCAGTAGCTGGTCCATAAGGGTGATGATCTGAATCACAAGCTGATCCTGTCTCAGGTCATCGCCCAGCTTGAAGATGATGGGATAAGCAGTCCCCGTTGTCGTCTTGAAGGTGCACTTGATGGGGTTCAGCGACGACTTGAAAACTGTCACTTGGTCGGGTGCAATGCCGGTGATCTTGATCGACGGGTCCAAGGGCATCGAAAGCGGCGGGTTGATGGCCACGAGCTCATTTTTGGGGTCGGCGAGGAAACTCTTGACGCGCTCCATCTTCTTGGCTATTGATTCACTGGATACCTTGACCTCGCCCGCGATCTTGGACAAGATGGCGACGAGTTCGGCTTGTCGTAGAAGCGTTTTTCTGTCCTCGACCCCGCCTGGCTGCTTGACCAGCTGCGTCATGAACTCGTAAGCGACTTTGCGATAGATGTTGCGGTTGTCGAGGCCTTGTTCCGGGCTGTGGTCGTCGCACTCGACCATGAGATACCAGTACAGGTAATTTCCGAGCATGAAGTTGGCGGCTGCGCGTTGGATCAAGAAGCGAGCGAGCGACGAGTCGTGCGCGCTTTCATTGTCCGATTCGGCGGATATGTGCTCGTACTTGAGGGCCTGCACTAGCTGCAGCAAGTACAGCAGCAGCTCCTGATCGTCCGCCTTTCGTAAGCGGTCCACGGCATATGATCGAACAGCCGAGTTGTCAAAGGAAGGCCCAAGCAGCTCCAGGGCATCGTCCACGTCAATCTCGGTCCATCGGCCGAGGACTTGTATCGCCTGTTTCGATTCGCTCTGGTCACCCCAGTTGACAGACTTGACAAACTTGGTCAAAGCCCTCTTGTCGCGAGTCAGGTGGTACCTGAACTTCCACACCAGATCCGTTTCTTCCGGAGACAAGACGTGGGTAGGCGAGTACGACATGATCATGTTGAGCTCGTCGCGAACCTTGGCGTTGGGCTTCAGGTCCTTGTCCAGAATGCCATGTCGGTGAGAGCTCCGAAAGAGTCGTCTATGCTTGGCTTCGGCAGGGCTGTCCCTTTGGCCGACCTCGGGGTCGTACACTTTGATGAGCCTGGCACCAAGGCCATCGGAGCTCTCGCCCAAGGCGTTGATGCCCGGGCCGAAATGGACCTGGGGCTGGCGCTGGGAGAGGTTGCCCTGGGACGCTGAGAGGGACTGCAAGGCTGACACGGGCGGTGGCCCATACTCGTGGTCTGCAAAGACGACGGGGAAGTCGAATCGAGACAGTTCGACATTAAGAAGAAATGCCGACAGTGGCGAGTGTTCATCACCAGCGGCTTCGTCGTCACCATGGCCGTCAGCGTCGTTGCCATTGACGGCACGCTGGCGCTGGAGCATCTTCATGGAAGACTTGGCTGCCTGAAGGCCGCGCTTTTCAAAGCTGCGGAAGACCATCTGATCGAGCCAGTCTACACGGGGGATTTCGCCCATCTCATGCTTCTTGAAGAGCTTCTCCATCCTGTCCAGCTCCTCTGCGTTTTTGTCGAGAGCGGCGACGTTGCTGGCCTTCGAATTTGGCATCTTTTTGGCCAACACCAACGCGGGGGTTTCGGTGTTGTCGGTTCCATCGGCGTGCTTGTGCCTGTGTACAAGGCACTTTTGACGCCCTTTTTGCACCTGGTTGTCGCCGTCGAACATGGACAAGGTGGTGCCTCCAAAGGGAATAGCATGGTCGAGGGCAAGCTTGCCGCCCGTTGGGGACAGATCCCAGACAGTGATGGCGAGACGGGCGTTTACAGGAAGCTGCTTGTAGGTGATTGGCAGTTCGAGCCACTCGTTCCATCTGTCGGCGTGGCCCGTCAGCACTTGGATGCTTGCTCGATTTGCCTGGGCTTGGTGGCATACTTTCTTTCTGATCGGAACGACTTGTAGGCTGTCTGGACAGGCACGGTGAGCGGCTTGGAGCCAGCCCAGACTTGCACGGTGACGTAGAGGTCGGAGAAGGGGCTGCGATGGTCGAATCAGCTCGCTATTCAGGCTGGTAGGGTTGGTGGCTCGCGAGGGTTACCTGGTGTTGGAGCCAATGTGCCGGAGGTCGGGCGAGTCGAGCAGCGTGGAGTATTTGACAGGCGGCTCGTCGCCCTCAAGGTTCATTCTAGAAAGGGTCAGCTATCGGTCGAACAACACGTCCAGGGGTAGACGCACATGCGGATGCTGACGGGGTGGTCGACGTCCTTGGATCCCGCAAAGGAGAAGGGGTCCATCCTTCCGTACTCGGCCATGGTGACGACGGCTTCACGCCCTCGTGGGCGCACGAGAGAGGCAGTCGTGGTCACACGGCATGGCCTGTCCGCAGCGAAAGACTCAACAGCGAGGTGCCGCTGGGGATGTGCCTTGAGGAACGGAGCGAAAGGTCTTCATAACGTGCTGCGTCATGTCAGATCCAGCGAGCGGTGGTCACGGGAAGGGTCACGTGTAGATCCCATGTGGTGACTGCCAGCCAATCAGGAAAGGGCCCAAGGAAGTCTCTGAGCACAACGCAGCTAGCTGATTTATAGAATGCTATTGTCACATGTAAAACAGTCAATTATAACAGTTACGTGCAGCATTATCTGCTAGAGTGTGTACTCTGTTTTTGCCTAGCAAAATGGTGAGACAGTTATAAGCCCGGGAGGAGGTCTTACGCTAATACCTCCTAGAACTTCCGCGCCGTACCTTGCCTTAGATAAATTTAACAAGAGCCGTATTTAAATCCTAGGTGGCAATAGCTAGAGCTAGAGCTAAAGCTAGCGCTATAATAGGTTTCTAATATGCCGTAGAGAAAAAGTATAATAATTGTCAATGCTATGATCGCGCTAATTACTACCCCCTCTCTGCCACGCACGGCGCTAGTGCACGTACGCGATAAAAGGTAACGAATTAACTAAGGCGCCCACTTATTAATTAACTATACTTATTAACCTAACCTAATAGCCCCTTACCGTAATAAATAAAAGGAGATATACTTACTTTATAAATAATACTCCTTTTTAGCTCTTTTTAGTAGTAATATAGTTATAACTAAATAGTATTATAATACTTTATATATACCTAATACTTATATATATATATTATATTTATATTTAAGTATAATTTTTATACTCTTTATAAATATATACTAGCCTATAATAAGATAATATTAGATATACTGCCAGTTAAGGTTCCTAGAGACCCCGTAGGTGTATATAGCTTAACGTCTTTAATTTAACCCTACTACTTATAATTAAAGGCAGGTAGTTTAACTTATTAGGGCCTATAATAAGTAAGATATTAGCGTATTACTATAGTAAGGCTAAATTAATAGAATTAAATTAATCGCTTCCCTAAATATTGCAATGTTATTTATATATTTAAAAGGAAATATAATACTCGCTAAGGCATTAATTAAGTTAATAATTCTACATCCAGATTTTAGTTCTCCGTTTCCTAATTGCCGCGCTGCTCGACCATTAAACTCATGAGCTTACCAACAGCCCTCTTAGCTTTATTGCGGCGGAATGCATCAGGCCATCCGTGCTGCCGGTAGAGTTGCCGGAGGTACTGGATATCTAAGTCGGCCCCCTATTATTCCGTCTAGGCGAGCACTTCTCCCTTGGTGATTAGGTGCAGGCCGGCGGCGCGTTCGGGCACATTGCCGGCCTCGAAGTAACGCGACCCACCAGTGGAATCTTCCTAAGACTGCGGTAGGCCTCCTTTAAATTTTCAGAGTACGTTGGTGCGTCTTCTAGTAGGAGTAGGTTGGCGCGGATTATCTCCTCGGTAATCAAGCAACTCTTAACATCCAGAAAGAGCATCCGGCCAAACGATTTGCAACCAAAGGCGATGCAAATAATATAGACGGGGCCGACTGCATCATTATCATCCCAGGATTATTTGTCCTCTTAAAGCTTATTAAGCTCGGGGAACTCTTTCGGGTCCAAGGTTATATAATCTATTAGCCTGTATTTCTAGCGAACTGCTGCCGTGCTTCTGTAGTAAGGTAACCGGCGCAGAACCTTAACGACGAAGTCTGTCTACTAGCTCGGGCAGGCTTGTCGGGCAACGTTTGGCCAACCCTTCGGCGGAGCAATCTTTAAATCCGCCCGGCCATAATAGAGCGTGGCTAGAAATTCGTAAGAAGTCAAGGAAAATTATTATAAGCTCTTAAGGGGTATACGGCGGGTTGCTGCTTTGAGAATAACTAGAGTAATCCGGATAGTCTATATCGGAATCAAGATACATTATAATTAGATTGCTAGATAATAAAAAACCCCGACTAACCGGGAAACAGCTCTGCCTAGCGGGCAAATAATCTCGTCTTATATAAGGTTAATCGGTTAACGTTATAACCCGTTAGCCTTATCCTTGTTTGTTACGCTACTATTATCGTCGGAAAGCGACGTGCGACGTATAGCTTAATTATATGCCTTAAACATATATATGCCCGGCTTATATATATCGCCGTATTTATAAAGGTATCGCAAGCCTTAGGTAGTAACTATCGCCGTAGTATTCTTAGTATTTAGCGCCGGCGGCCTTATAACCTTAGCACGTTCGACGCTTTCTACGATCTTATATGCCTAAAGGCCACGCCTTATACCGTGTGTTTTCTAATTTCTTAACTTTAAGGGTAACTTTAGGCATACTATCGCTACGCATAATAGACGGCGTATAGGGCGCATTAAGGCATATTAAGATAGATTGTTGCGTCTGCATATACTAAAAGCTATTAAAGTCCTTAAGTCGCAAGGAGGCCTTCTCTTTGAGCGGCTTAAATATAAGATAGCGGCACGGTGAGCCTATTAGAGAGACTGCCTCGTAGGCGCGGGGAATGTGGGCACACAAACTTTCGGTATCGGCGCTACGCCTTGACTATTGTTTACTCGCTGAGTAGCTGTTTACCGGTTAGTCGGGGCCTTTAAACAACAATAGGCCGCTGGCAACGGGGGCTACGGGTTGCTTAAGTCAACGCGAGGTCCGCTAAGGTTAAGCCGTTGGTCTATCAAACGAATTGATTGAATGACTCTCTGCTACCTATAGCTGCTAACTAGGTGCTTTCTGCCAGTTATTTCGGAGCATCAGCATCGGCAGGCAGGCCAGACGTGAGTTTGTTGCCCACAATGCAGCTTTCCATGCGTTCCGGGTGGACCCAAATGTCGTGCTTGAGGTCGAATTCGACTTGAGTATCCTTTCCTTCTCTATCAGCTTCCTTCAACCCGAGGTAGAGAAGCTCATTATAGCAGTCGGTTATGCGCTCTTCTGTGCAGTTCGGCGGATTGTTCATCTTGGGGCACCAGTAGCTCGCCTGCCAAAGTCACGCGCATTAGCAACCGCTCGCGGGGCGCTCGACAACCGGCGCCTATAGGGGAAAACTCACACCAGGAGAGTTGTTGTCCTTAGAGGCGGCAGACTTGGCCGACGCGACTGGAGTTGCAGCGGCGGAAACGGCCAGGCCGGCGCAGATGGTCAGGATCAAAAAGGTGGACTGCATGTTTGCGGTGCGTTAAGGGAGTGAGTGATGAAGTAAAGAACTTTAGACTTTTGTCTTGAGTGAGTGATGAAGCAAAGAGCTTTGGACGTTTGTCTTGTATAGAAGATAACAAGTTGAGATGTCTGTAGTTTCTTAAGCCCTTGCCCTCGGTATTTATACTTAACCATTGCCTCCCGAGTTGCACGTCGTCTATGATTCTCAGCTCTTACTAGTTCCTTATCGTGACTCGGCATGCCGCATCATTTCATGCCTTCAAATGGGGCGGCATTAAACGGCCACCTACTGCCCAAATCGGGCTGTTAAACGGCCACCCACTCTAGCTATTCGGCCTCTTAAAAAGTAGGATAGTGTAGTTTATCAAGGCGTAGCGCTAATACCGCATATATTTATATGCGTGCATTCCCCGCCCGTTTGTTAGAGACGGCGATAAGTGCCGCCCCGCACCGATGCATACAATATCGCGATTCATAGAAAATATCAGACGCACTAATCTATAGGGTGCCCTATATGTAAGTGGATTTTAGCAAGATCTGCCCTTTTACGTCCGATCTTACTAGACCCCCCGCGCTATTGTCGATCGCTTAGCGCGTCTTAATTCCTTGAGTTTCTACGGTATATTAGGCGCATTATGGATATGTCTCTAAAGAAGCCCCCCCGTATATGGCTCCTACTATGCTTCTGCTTCCTCTGGAGTTCTGCCTCTGCCTCATCCCATTCTATATCCTCTTTTTGTAAGAGCCGTTATAAGGGCACTGCGATAACAATCTTGTCTGGTGTGTTAACTTTGTCAGCCTTGTCACTTAACGAGTCAGAGGCAGGTTTTAGGTTGCCAAGGAGCAGGAGCAGGTAGCCGTTTAATGCGGCCCTTAAAATGCCTCACATTAGGTCGTTACATTAAGAGAGAGTATGTTAGATTGCGTTTGTCCTTCTTAAAAGAGAGGTTGTAGGGCCCGTATAATTAAAATACTTCGTCACGCCTTGCACTTTAGAGCAGTGGTGCAAGGCGTACAATCAGCCGAAGGCTGCAAGTCTGCTGTCAACGGTAAGGCAGGCCTGAAAATTCAAGAATCTACAGTCATGCATTCATTGCGTCATCTACGTCTTGGTAGCATCAAGTGGAGTTACGTAGCCCTAACCGTTCTTATACGGATTCTGAGTGAGAACCTGCCAACTCCTAAACCTTTCCTGAACTTTGTTGGGTCGGCGGCAGTGGTGTCCCCAGCACTACACGCGGTTGGCTCATCGAGTCCTCGGAAGAAAACCTCACTGTATGACGTTCCTGGAAACTTTCAGATGATGTAGGCTGGGCTTTAGGTATCTTTTGCTCGGGTTGTAAGCGAGCATCTCGGTCTGTTCTTTTCGCAGCAGGCCCGTCAGCGGAGGAAGGACGGACCGCGACCTCCTCAAAGTCTGGGTTATGCGTCTGGACCTGGAGTACTTCAATTGATCAGCATTGAACATCTTGTGGAGCGCGAGATAAAGCCAACATGATAGGCGCGCTTATTGCGGCAGCCCAAGCAGCTCTTGGTGTGCCCAGCCGACTTTCTTCTGCCGAGGAAGTCTTGCGCTGGTTTCTCCTCGCCACAGCGAATGCATACGATGGAAACCACGCCACCTTGAGACCCTCGATGAGGCATAGGGTTCACTGCGGTTGAAAGCAGCTGCGTACGATGGGTTTGTTGGCGACCCGCGATGCTCAGAGTAGCTCTGTGACATTCAGGGCAAGTGCAAAATTGGACCCACTTTTAGAAGGCCATCATCCAGTTGAGTTACGTTTTAGAAACCATACAACCAATCAGATGTCAGAAAACTTAACTGATCCCTGCTGCACCAAACCCTCATATTAGGGAAAACTTATTCGATTAATGTAAAGTCAGCCTACGGCTGAATTAATGTAAAGTCAGCCTACGGCTGAATAACTCTATATATATATATGTACACGATATATGCGGGGCAACAGGGTTCCCTACTAATCTGGCCACAAACGGGTACGTATCTGGAACCGTCTTGGCGTCCTACATAGTAACTGCCGCCTTTGGATGGGACGAGGGCATTAAGGCCCGGAACAAAATGACTCATCCCTACCTATAATAATAAGTCTAGACAAAGGCACTTCCTACATCGCCAAGGAACCAAAACTCTCTCCCCATCTAATTAGTTGGCTGCCAGAGGCCCCGCCAACGGGTAAAGGTGTAGCTCTTGAAATGCACCTCGAAGCGGGCACGGTCCGGCAAGGTAGATTCTGGCTCCTGGTCACTTTCTCACCAACGACTCCGAGACCCCGCGAAGCCCACCTTCTTTTCCTTCCTCGTCCTGTCTCCTGTTATACTTCACAGTACATCGGCACTATCATCTCTCATTGCCCCCACTCACACAGCCGTCGGTGGGTGGCCAGGCGCCCACACCCTTATAGGCTTGGCAAAGGCTCTCAGCTTCATACACAGCAAGTGGTATGTACTTATGGACAGCATGTGATAGTTGAGCAATTATCGGGCAGAATCTCTCCACTAATGAGCTATTGCACTGCTGTGAAGCCAGAATCGGCGGCAGGTACGGTCACGGGCGCCCATGATCAGCGAAGGGTCTAGGAGCGACACCCCGTGTTTCCTCGCCCAGCCCGTTTCCTCGTACCTCGTCTCTGCGACAATTGGTAATATAGCTATGCCAACCCGTCCGCTAGCTTTTTGACTTTACCATCACTCTAACGCGGGGTTGCAAACAATTCTACGCTCACAGACCAGCGTACTGTACCTGGGTATAACATAGAAACACGTTCTGATGAAGATAGCGCATGGTGTGACCAGCACGTTGTTATTATGCCAATCCACCCGAGATTGGCCATGAACGAACCGATCCGCTTCCTTGGCAGTCGCACTTCGTTGAGATATCTGGCCGTGTTCACAGCCGTTCCGCAGTCTTGAAGGACCCGAAGATGAAGTGGATCGTGATACTGTTAATCCTTGCTGCGGCGGTCCCTGACGTCGCCGTTGTCACACAGGAAGCGAGTCCCACTCTCACCACTTCCTTCAAGATAAAGTTTATCACTGTAACGGTACCGTAGCGTTGGGACTATAGGCTTGTAGCCTAGTATATTTGCAGCGGGGTGCCTGCTGTAGCTCTATGCCTTAGTGGCTGTTTTAGTAGAATATCCACTGTATTTTTGGTACCCTTAGGGGCTATAGCTTAGGGCCTATGGCCTCTATAGCTTTAGTACGGTCTAGTAGGGGAGCCGCTATAACTATAGTGTACTTAGTGCTCTGAATCCTCTATAAGCTACTAGTTTATAGTGGATTTTAGTAGCTTTTATAGTGGTTAGATTACTAGTACTTCGTTATAATAATAACACTGTATTTTAGACTGTCCGTCTACTAATAATTATAGTGCTAATATAGAATCTATAGTTCCTAGTACTATTATTTATATAAATAGTACTATTATTTATATAAATAGTACTTCTTAAGTAGGGGCTTAAGAGTATAGTAGAAGAAATAGGGGCATAGAAAGGTGAATTTAGTGATGCATGTCTTGGTCTATCTATTAGGACAAGGGAGGGGCTTATATAGGTACAGTGACCATATATAGCTAGCTAAAAGAGGGCATTAGGATGTTCCTATACCTGAGTCAGGCCTGCATAATATCCTTAGGCTAGGGGAGTCATGTTATTTAGGCAGGCTTCCTTATGCATGACTATTAGGTCTACTGAGCATGACTGTGGCCTCTTATGCCCACTCTCTCTCCTTAACAGTACTATTATTTGCATGAATTAAAATACTAAAAGGGCTATAGTATAATTGCTATTGTACGGGCATAAGGCAGGTTAATAGGTTAGTAGGGATGCTACTAGTAGGTCTCTGTTAACTATTATATTGATCTCTTTAGCTAGTCCTTCTATAGGTAGTTACTGTCTTAGGCGTTATGAATATAATATTTCTAAATAAATGGTACAGCAGTCCGACTATAAATTCAGAACGTTCTCCCACTTTCTCTTAGGATAGCATCGCACTCTCAAATTCACTCTTTTTACTCATCTTAAATTCAAAACTCTACAATAAATCTTTTATAACTATCTTTTACTCCTTACCTACCCTACCTTACCGACTCTTTACGATCTCAGAAGAAGTATGAAGCAAATCTATGTTCTTGCTTTGTTGACTGGCCTGGCTTTGTCGGGTTCAGTCTCCGAGCTCTCTAACGATGGACTTCTTCAAGGTTGGTTACCCAGACCATTCAGCCTGTAACAGCGCAGCATGGCAATACGACAGGCATTCTAATAGGGCCTGCGTAGATTCCTCTGTGAAGGCGCGGGAAAACACTGATTTTTCGCCGAAAATGAAGCTACCGGGACTAGACAAGCCTCACACGGAATACTCGTGGCTGTTTGTTGGCGAACCAAGACATCCGGATAATGTCCGAGAAACCGGAGGACTCAAGCCTGACGACCCGCCCCACAGCGACACAGCATACAGCCTCCAGCTTCACTCTCTTTGGTCAGGCAATCAATATAATGGCCATTTTGATACTGCATATATCTCAACCACGTCTTCATTTAAAGTTGCAGCTGAATATAGTGGCTCCGCATATTTTGAGTCCTCGATAAGGAATCTAAGCGGAAATTATATTTATGTTCTGCACGTAACGCCAAATATTATCGATCTTCAGGCATCCTTTTCCGGCCTTATTGACGTTAACAAAGGCGAGCATGAATATACTGTTCCGGGCGGTGTACCCATGCCGCAGATACGCGGCTGGTATGAAATCCCAAAGGACTATGTGTAACGGGCTGAGCCCGTGAGGGTCTCGGCTCCGCTCTCGACAAGACCCACCGGAGCTCCGCTTATAAGCTCGTGCCATCTTCGAGAGCTTTCCTTTCTTTTCTTTTCTTCTTCTTTTCTCCTTAGCTTTAGGATACTCGTCGCAGTCGCTCAGCTAGTTGTCAACACACTCAGTTGAGACCGTTACATTATCCTAAAGCTCCGCTTTCATCGTTAAAGCCTTTGATCACAATCAATTGGCAGCGCTGTTCAGTTCCCTTTGTGGGTACGCGGAGTGGCAGTAGCTTGGGCAATCCTGTGTGGAACGCCCGCGACGAAAGTGCGTGTGTGTACGGCGCCAAAGCCAGCTTGGCTCGCGTCGCGTAGCTCTCATCTCCCGAGCAAAGGACGGAGCGTCAATCTGCTCTCCGTACGGCGTGCGGTTGAGCGAGAAGTACGTGATTGCTGCTTGGCTCCCAGTGTGGACGGCAGCAGCTGGACTAGAAGCCCTGTGCAGAACGTCCAGCCGTGTAGGAAGGAGCCTTCGAGGCGTTGATAGCGTTCGACCGTTGTCGAGATATCCCTTCCGTATCAGACTTGCTGTGTGATCAAGTCGCCCTCAGTCCTGAGAGACGAGGAGAAAATCTTCAGTCATGGAGGCAATCGATTCCCAGCAAGGTTCTTTTGAGCCTCAATCGATGATGCAAGCCCTGGCTGCAGTGATGGACAAACTAGAAAGTGTGTGTGCAAGCCAAGAGGCCGAACGCGAAGAGATGCGATCGCAGATCCGAATCCTCCAAACAGCCGTCTCAACTCCGACTCCGGCAAATGAACCAGTCGCTCCTATCGAACCGATGTCCGACAACACGCCTCAATCGATCGAGACATCCGAAAGAATCCCATCAAAGAGGGTAAAACCAACCTTGCCTGATCCGCCGAAATTCGATGGAACCAGGAAAACTTCCGTCCCTGGTTCTTAGAGATGAAAGCGAAATTGGCTGTGGACCGACAGGCATTCGACAATAAAGAAGCACTCTTCGCCTATGTGTACTCCCGGTTGGCGGGAACAGCCCAGAACATGGCCGCTGCTTATTACGAACAGGGCGGTATCGATGGTGCTCGCTCCCCAGATCTGTTTCTCGACTACTTGAACCGTCGGTACGGGGACCCGAACGCAAAGGCACGAGCACTGGATCGACTTCGATCGTTGAAGCAGAAGCCTGATGAGAGTTTCGCCAGTTTCTTCCCAAAGTTCGAGAAAGAGCTTGCCGATAGTGGCGGTGGCGAGTGGGCCGACGTGGTGCAAATCAATTACTTGGAAGGAGCAATTAATAATAGGCTCAAGTCGAGTCTCGTCAGTGCCGTCAGTCTCCGAAGGATTTCAACAGCTACGCCGAGCTACTCTTGACGATTGGCTCGCGCCTAGATAGCCTCAATTTCCACCAACGACAACAAGGCCGCGAGCAGAGGTCAAGAAAGGAGTATGGTCGTTTATCCGAACCGCTCGAGTCCCGACAAAGCCCCGTCACCCGGATCGCCAACCACGTCGTCCCCGTCCGATGATCAGATGGATTGGGAACCCGTGAAAGCAAATCGGTTGATAAACGGCAGGAGGGCCCCGGAGGAAAAGCAATTTGTTCCGTTGAGGAGCGCAAATGTTACGAGTGCGGGAAGCTTGGCCATCTTGCGCCAAGTGTCCCGGGAAGGAGCGGCGGCAGCAGAGAGTCAAGGTCCGTGTCGAAGAGAAGACAAGAAGCTCGAGAGCAAAGCACCAAGAGCCCGCGGAGAGTTCTAGCGGGGATACCTCCGATGACCATTCGAAACGAGTAGCTCCTGACGAAAATCGCCGTCAGGAGCGCGCAAAGGCTGAGGCGGAATGGGCAACTCAGAAGGACGAGATGGACTGTGAAGGCCTCTACGTAAATTTCGGTATCAATCGAGAGTATTTCACCACGGCCTTCGTTGACTGTGGTTGCCTGTGTTATGGGACCATCAGTGAGCGCCTTGCCCGCAAGCTTCACCTGCCGCGTATTCCGATTAAACCTCGAGCGTTGGAGCAGGTCAACACATTCTCACCCGAGGCCATCTGTGCCGTGACCTACTTCGACTTCGATATCGACGGGTACCAGAAGAAAAGAGCTTTTTTCTACGTTGTGCGAGACCAGACCGATCCTGTGATTCTGGGCAAGAAGTGGTTGAACCAGGAGGATGTCACCTTGCGATTATCGCAGAACCTCTTGCATATCGGGACGCACGACCATTGGGTGAAAGGCCGAGACCCGAAGGAGGAGGAACGGTGCAACATACGAGGACAGGCGGCGTTCGTGTTCGCCGGAATGGTTCGCCGAGCAAGAAAGTTCAAGCATCGAGACGATGGAGTGCGGATCTTCGCCGCAAGCCTGAAAGACATTGAGAAGGCATTGACTCCGAGGAAGAAGTCAGACCCGAGAGAGAAGCTGCCCCGTCACTACCACGAGTACCTATCCGTCTTCGACCGCGACCAAGCGGACCAACTCCCACCGCGTCGTCCGGGGTGTGATCACAAGATTCAGTTAGAGAGAGGTCCTGATGACAAGGAGAAAGAACCGCCGTGGGGACCATTGTACGGCATGTCACGAGAAGAGCTCATTGTTCTGCGAAAGACTCTCACTGAGCTACTCGACAAGGGTTTCATTCGAGCAAGTAGTTCTCCAGCGTCAGCACCAGTTTTGTTCGTGAGGAAGCCCGGTGGTGGTCTGCGCTTTGCGTGGACTATCGAGGATTGAATGCGATCACCAAGAAAGACCGATATCCCTTGCCGTTGATCGAGGAAACTTTGCGGTCGCTGTCCAAGGCCAAGTGGCTCACCAAACTTGACGTTATCGCAGCATTTCACAAGATTCGCGTCGAGGAGGGAGACGAGTGGAAGACAGCATTCAGAACACGTTACGGACTCTACGAATGGCTTGTCACGCCATTCGGGTTGACGGGTGCTCCCGCAACGTTTCAGCGTTACATAAACCACACGTTGCGAGATTTCCTCGACGAGTTCTGTTCCGCTTACATTGACGACATCTTGATCTACTCGAGCGGTTCGCTCGCAGATCATCGCAACAAAGTCAGGCAGGTCCTTGCTCGACTGCGAGATGCAGGCCTGCAGATTGATATCGACAAGTGTGACTTTGAGGCAAAGAGTGTCATACCTGGGCTTCATCGTCGAAGCCGGGAAAGGTATCCGCGTGGACCCGGAGAAGGTGCAGGCAATTCAGCAGTGGCAGCGACCCCGTTCTGTCAAAGGCGTCAGAAGCTTTCTGGGGTTTGCCAACTATTACCGGCAATTCATTCCCAGATTCTCCAACATCGCCGCGCCTCTAACGGCGTTAACAAAGAAGGATGCGGTGTTTGCGTGGTCGAAGGAGTGCGACAAGGCCTTCGAGGAGTTGAAGGCTCTTCTGACCAGTGCGCCGGTCCTTGCGCAATGGGATCCGGATAGAGAGACGATTGTGGAGACGGATTCATCCGGTTATGTCACAGGAGGGGCGCTCTCGCAAAAGGGCGATGACGGCATCATGCGGCCTGTGGCCTTCTTCTCAAAGAAAAACGCACCGGCGGAGTGCAACTACCCAATCCACGATAAAGAGCTGCTGGCGATCATTCGCTGCCTTGAGCATTGGGACGCCGAATTGAGGAGTGTGAAGTCCTTTACCGTTTTGACGGATCATCTCAACCTCCGTTACTTCACCAAGAAGCAGCAACTGAGTGAACGTCAGGCGCGATGGGCTGAGACGCTATCGCGGTACAGCTTCACCATCAAGCATCGACCGGGCAAAGAAGCCGTCGTACCGGACACGCTGTCTCGACGAGAACAGGACATGCCGCACAGCGCCGAAGATGATCGGTTGCAAGGACGACGTGTTCAGCTGCTGCAACGTAACAAGGGTGGCCTGGTGACAAAAGTCAAGAGCGGTTATGTCACCAAGGGCGACACGGATCAACCCGATGACGCAACAACTGACCAAGACGACTCAATCGAAAACCCTTTCTCGGACCCGGAACTGCAGAAGTTATGGGACGAAGGTGTCAAGAAGCACAATCGTTATTGGCTCATCCGAAAGGCCGTACAGCAAGGCGAGAGGCGTCTGCCGTCGCATTGGGGACTGCCCGTGATGCTCTCGGAATGCTCGATTGACGATGGACAGCGGCTCTGCTGGCGAGAGCGAATTTGGGTGCCGAACCACGAACCCCTGCGCACGCGGCTTATGCAGGAGACGCATGACTCAACGCTTGCAGGACACCCCGGACGGGACATGCTGAAGTCCTTGTTGAGCCGCAAGTTTTATTGGCCAGGCCTCGATTCAGACGTGCGTCAATTTGTGAGAAATTGTGATGTGTGTGGCCGAAGCAACATTTGGCGAGAGAAGCGTCGCGGTTTATTGAAGCCGCTACCTATTCCAGACAGGATCTGGTCGGAGCTGTCAATTGACTTTGTGACAGACCTGCCACCAACCAAGTCGAACGGTTCGACCAACCTTATGGTCGTGACGGACAGACTGTCCAAAAGTGTCGTTCTTGAGTCATTGAAGGACATCACGGCCGAGACGACGGCCAGAGCATTGCTACGGAACGTGGTGCAACACCATGGCGTGCCGCGCGCGATCGTCACTGACCGTGGCACGCAATTCACCAGTAGACTATGGCAGAGGCTCTGCGAGCTGCTACGCGTGAAGCAAAGATTGTCTACGGCGTGGCATCCCGAGACTGACGGTGCAACAGAAAGGGCGAATCAGGAAGTCGAGAGATATCTGAGGATCTTTGCTGCTTATGCTCAGGATAACTGGGAAGAGCTGTTGCCAGCGGCCATGATGGCCATCAACAATCACAACTCGACGTCGACAGGCCTGAGCCCGTTCTTTATCACGCATGGGTATCATGTTGACCCGATACAAGTCAAGGAGAAGTTACGGACGGACGGAAGGTCCCCAGTGACCAGGGCTGAAAGCATTGTGCAACGATTTCGAGAGGCAACGGAATGGGCCCAGGCGGCAATTGCGTCAGCGCAAGAGCAGCAAGAGAAGAACGCCAATTCGCGAAGACAGCCGTCAGACCAGTTCAAGCCTGGAGACAAGGTATGGCTGCGACTTCGCAACATCCGATCCAATCGGCCATCCAAGAAGCTCGATTGGCTGTCGGCCAAGTACACCGTCCTGGAGACCATTGGGTCACACGCGTGCAGGCTGGACACGCCTGGAATACACAACGTGTTCCACGTGTCGCTCTTACGCTTAGCAGCGGACGATCCGCTACCGTCACAGACGTCGGATGACTACCGCCCACCGGCCATTTTGACGGACGATGGCGAGCTGTGGGAAGTGGAAGAGATTCTGGACAGGAAGAAAGTCGGGAGAGAGTGGAAAGTGTTGGTGAAATGGGTCGGATGGATAGGTCCGACGTGGGAGCCAGTCAAGTACGTCGCAGACACAATAGCACTGGCTAGGTATGAAGAAGTTCATGGGAAAGTTGGATCGAAACCACCCCAATCGAAACGATCGAAACGGGGGAGGGGAAGGAGGGGGTTATTGTAACGGGCTGAGCCCGTGAGGGTCTCGGCTCCGCTCTCGACAAGACCCACCGGAGCTCCGCTTATAAGCTCGTGCCATCTTCGAGAGCTTTCCTTTCTTTTCTTTTCTTCTTCTTTTCTCCTTAGCTTTAGGATACTCGTCGCAGTCGCTCAGCTAGTTGTCAACACACTCAGTTGAGACCGTTACACTATGAAAGTCGCGGTAAGACAGATCAGCAAACCTTTGACGAGCTATCCCAGTACTGGCACGAGAATCCGCAGTGGAATCCAGCCTTTCTGAAGTTCCAGGCTAGCGGCGGGCAGCCACAGCTTGTTTTTGATTTAACAAACTCCAAGAGGTCAAAGCTGCCATCCTGGGTCAATAAAACAAAACCCTTGAAGGAGTATGCTTATGAATTTATAAAAGGGGTCGGGTTAGAGTGGGACGGTAAATACCCGAATTTTAGCTCTCTAATCAACAGTAGCAGCATGTCAACAGAAGCTCGGCTCCCATTGTCGCCCTTGCCTACTGAGCACCCTAGCTAGTAAAGAGAGATCTAGTGCCTAAGAAAATTCAAAAATGCAAGTCACTCAATCGATTTATTTATTTTTTTGCCTTGGGCGTAGAGTTCCCCGGTTTAACGAGAATTCTTAAGAAGAGTCTATACGTGCTATTAATATAATACGAGACTCTTAAGTCTTATATATATATGTTCGTGTATATCCCTTATTATTATCTAGGGCAGATTAGCTATCCTTTTTAGCTTATTAAATACTTAAATTAAGCTATACTATTACTATACTTATATTTCTTAAAATTTTAATTTTAATTAACCTTTTTATAATTTATATTAGGCTTTAATTTAAAGCGTTTACTAAGTTTATTAAGTATAGCTATATAATAAATACTACGTTATAAATATTTATTAAATTATTTATTAGTAGGTCTCTTTATATATAAAGGGTCGGGGTAATAGTAGTTTATCTAGGGCTAGCTATAGACTATATAGGGACGGTTCTTTTAAAGGCGTATCCGATAAAGATTCTATGCCTCTACGAAGTTAAAGAGTTCTCGGCGTAGTAAGTCTTCGAAGATAGCGTAGATAGAAATCTAATCTTTTAGTATATCGCTATCGAAGTCCCCGTCCTTAGTAAGTTCTCTAAAGTAGTCTACCTACTACTAGGACGAGATATATAGTATATACTCCTACTAACTCTCGATCTTAACGTTCTTTATACTTAGAGCCGCTTTATATAAATCCTTAAGTTAATTTCCTTATTAGAAATCTTACCTATACTATTTTACTCGCTTATTTATTACTAAGATAAAGTTCTAGTATACTACTATAACTAATAGCGTTTCGCTCTCCCTATCTACTTATAAATACTATAGCCGAAAGCTATAGGCGCTATATACGGCTAAGTACTACTTTAATACGCTTAAAGTAGTTATAGCGGAGTAGCTAATATAGAACTAAATAATATTACGCGAGTATATATTAATTGCTATATATATCTTAAATCTATATGCCTTAAGCTTATTATAACCGTTAATATACTATTAGTAGTTTAGTCCTAGGATAAGAAACTATCCCTTCTTCCTTTAAAATATCCTTTTTTAGAGTTCGACCTTATTTAAGAATAAGATTTTATATATCGTAAAGAGGGGGTCTCTTAGGACCTAGAGCTGCTTTTACTAATAAAGATAAGGCTAAAAAAGGCTTTTACTATATCCCGAAATAGTATTAGACCGTCGCGTTATCTTAATAATAACCTATTCTATCTTTTCTAGTAATATAAAGCGCTCCTCGTTACTATTAAGCCTATATACCTAGCGGCGGTCCGGGTAAAGCTTAATACGCTTTTAACCTTATTTTATAATCGGCTAGCCTTATCTTTATAGCACGCTTAGCGTCTACTTCTTAATAAGCTTAACGTAAAAGATTAGGTTATAGATAGTTTCTATTAGCTCTAGAGTTTCTTTAGTACGGGCTTGCTAGTATAGGAGACCTTAGTTTATAATTTAGCGAGAGAGTATACTAAGATTAACGGCGATATAGTAATACTTCTAAAGCTTATACTTAATCTTACTTTATAAGATACTATTAAGGTATAAATAAGTAATATAGGTATAATATTAATTAATTAGATTAAGCGGATATATTATTATTACTAATAACGTTAAAGGGATAGTAATATTCTTAGTCCTTATACTAAGAAAAAAAGGGATAATAATATAAATTAACTTACTACGTTTTCTTATAGCAGTAGTACCGCTAGCCTATAGCGGCTTAGTACTAAGGGGCTCTTCGTAGAACGGTTACTAAACTAAGAATAGATTAACGCTACTTACTTATAGATCCCTTTTAACCTCAGTTTTTACCTTCCCTTTAGTATTACTATTACTATAGAAAGCTATTAGTTAGTAGCGTTATTATATCTATAGTAGATTCCGCTATTATAAGTAAAACTATAGTCGCTAGCTTAATAGATAGGGACTCGCTTAGTAGGAATAAAATAGTTAAGAAGGGTAGAAGATTAGTTTAACTTAACGCCCGTAAATCTATAGCTAAGATTACTATATAATTTAATAAGTTCTTTTATAAAGAAGAGGCGACTACTAACTTACTCGCCTAAGTAAAAAAAGAAGTAAATAAAAAAGGCCCCTCTTATCGGCTTAGTATAAGACTTCCTATACCGTCTTTATATTATACGCGCTACTAAGACTCCCGGCTATAAATATACCTCCTAGGATAGTATATTAATTATCCCTTAAAGTATATATCTACTTTACTAATTTACTAGGATAGATACTAATACTATATACTAGGACTATATAAAGAACGCTTATATATATAAGCTAGTATAAGACCTTTATTTACTCTAAAGAAGCGAGAAATTAATTAGGCTATATATCTAGGTCCCTACTAGCGCTATTTTTACTATATATACCTTTTAGGATATAAATCGGTAGCTTAAGCTTATAGATACCGAACCTAATAATACTTAGCGTATCGCTATATAGCGAGTAGTATAATAGCTACGTGCTTATAGTAGTAGTATAGCTCTTTCTACCGCTTTAGGACTAGCTCTTACTTTAACCCTTAAAGAGCGGAAGCTTATAGCGTTAGAAACTATCGCTAAAGCTACTTAGGTCTAGATTATAAGCGAACTAAAGTTATAAGTTATATTTCGGCTACTAACTAGATATATAGTAGCTTAATAAGCTAGAGGATAAGGGTAAGGAGAATATATAGATAGAATAAGGGGATATAATAAAGCGCTAGAATTACTATATAGTATTTTTACTATAAGCGACTAATATATTTTTATTAAAGGGAGCAGACTAACGGTCTAATCTATATATATAAAATACGTCGAACAGCTATTAAGTTACTAAGGTAATAGGCTTAACGGCTAAATATCTAGCCCGAAGGCTAAATATTATATACCTATAATTCGGCTTTCCTAAGGAGGGCCCTTAGAAACCCCCCTTTTGCCTATAGCGGCTAACTAGCTATTTAAAACGCTTCCTAGTAAGCCTAGTCTAGCTATATACCCTATACCTTACCGCCCCTTTCCTTATAGCTTAGGGGAAGACAACGTTTAGTTAAGATAAAGTAGTAGATATAGCGTATTAGTAAGCTATTAAGCCTAACGGCCTTTTTAGTTAGCGAGGCGTATCTTTATCCCTATCTTATAGTTAGCTATAAATATAATACGTAGGAAATGCGTATAACCTTCCGTTAGCGCGTAGTTATAGAGGCTCTAACGATCGAAAGGCGCCTTAAGGAGTAAGCCTTATAGCGACGTAACCCGTAATATAGTAATATAGCTAATACTAGCCTAGAAGTCGCGTAAAGCGAGGTTAGTAACTATTTAATCCTTCGTTAGGCTCTAGTATTTATAAATAGTAATAGTAAAAGCTACTGTTAAGGGAAACTATATATAGGCATAGGTCTCGTTACCTACTAAGAAATCACGCTTAACTATAGTAATTAAAATAGTCCGGTATAAGTTAGTATTAGTATAGTAAATACCGCTAAGACCTAGTATAGTTTAATAAAAACTTAATACTATAGTATTACCGGTATACTAGATTATACTAGTAACGCTAAAAATAAGCTTAGGTAAGAGGCTTATTACGGAGAATAACTAAGTAGAATCTAAGCGGCGATAATTCTAGTATTATCTATAAGGCTTATTAACTAGTTTTCTATTAGTTTATCTACTTTATTTAATTATAAATACTATTATCCTTATAATATCGACCTAGCTACCTTAGTTAGGTCGATCTAGTACCGAACGGATACTTTTTATCTTTACTACTAGGTAGCTATCCTAGGAAGGCCTAAAGGTAAGGCTAGTATTAATACGTATTAAAAAGTACTTCTTATTATACCTAGTTTTATAAGTTCTTTTATATAAGACGGAGTATAACCTAACGTATTACTAGCTAGACTTATTAATTGCGTTATTAAAGGGATAGGAAAAGCTTAAATAATCCTTTTAGGGATAGGAAAGCTTAAATAATCCTTTTAATCGAATTACTTCTATAATATTAAAGCCCGAAAATTTTTACGTTAGGCTAGTTAAACGATAGACTAAGATCGAATAATCGAAAGCTACTATACCTTAATTAGTATATATTATAATTATAGAATCTCTAGCGCTAACCTCGCTATCTTTATTTATAATAAGTTTAGTATTAATCCGCTCTAGATCTCCTATATTATATCCCACGCTATACTTTTCCACTATAACGCTATCGTCTAATTCTATCCGTTATCTTAAGCCTCTAGACGAATTCGTATAAGACTATATTATATACCTACGTCGCGCGAAGACGATAAAGAAAGCAGCTCGTCTTAGCTCGTCGTATATATAGAAGTACGGTCTTTATTATATCCGAGACGATAATAAGAAAGAGGTATACT